GCGATGTCTAGAAAATCACTTGAAACGATATGTAGATATAAAGTTTTGATTATATATAATAATTAATAATTTTATTATGCTAATATTTCTTGTTTTTAGATATGTCATATATATATATATATATATATATCTACTATGTTAAAAATCCATAATCATCATTAACTCTCCAAAATTCTTCTGCAGGTTTATCTTCTCTTGTTATACTATTATTATTAGTAGTAGTAGTATTGTTGTTATTGTTGTTGTATTGATAAACATTAGCAATATTAATATTACTAGTATTATTTTGAAAATCTGTTGTAGGAATATTTGTAGTAAGTGGTTGTTGATTATTATTATTATTAACGCCATCCTGCGGCATTTGTTCAACTATTTCATTGATTGAATTGGTTGTCCATGTTGATATATTATTAATCATATCATGTGTACCATTATTAAATAATACATCACTTGGATTGGGACTCTTTTCAGGTAATGCCATATTTATACTTGGTCCACTTGAAAATGTTACAGCGGCATTTGGTGTATTATTATTACTATTATTATTATGACTATTCTTATTATTATTGCTGTTGTTATGACTATTGCTATGACTATTGCTATGACTATTGTTAGTGTGACTATTATTGTTCATTGGTATTGGATATAATACATTATTGTTATTATTATTATTATTTAATACATTTTCACTAGTTGAAACAATTAGGTCACTTATTCCTCTCATCGATGAAGGATTTGAATTATTGGTATTACTATAGGATATTACACTCGATGATGATGGAGATGGTTGTTGATGAGTTGATGGCATGGTTAATGGTCTATACATATTATTTTCATCTATTGTAAATTGTGGTATTGATGTAGTCTTAGTATTATTATTACTATTATTATTATTATTATTATTATTATTGAAATTCGATGCTATATCATTATTTCCTGAATTTGGATTATTTGTTGTTGTTGTTCCTGACCAGTGATTTTGTGCAGTTAAATAAGCTTGCAAATTTTGTTGTGCAAAATGTTGTTGTAAAAAAGCTTGATGTTCAAAATTTTTCCAATTAAACTCAACTATATTAATTGGTTTTTTAACAATATATTGTTTTTTCTTCATTCCAAAATTTTGAGTTGTTGTTTCATTAGTATTATCAGTAATATTGTTAGTATTAATTATATTACGATCTATATTATCTTCAACATTATTATACTCATTAAATGAAGACATATTTTTCTCGGAAGGTGGAGAAACTGATGAATAGGAAGATGGTGGTCTAATAATACTGTTATCATTAATTTTATCATCATTTCTAATATCGGAATCATTATTAGTCAATAAATGAGATAAACTTCTTGGTACACTAATCTTTTCAAGCATACCCCTTCTTTGTTTCATCTTTTTCTGTTCATCTAAATCAACTTGTGAATTTTCAACAAATCCAACATGTTCTTCTGCTTGTCTCTTACCAAAGGTTCTATTCATTGCAGGTGGCATACCACTAACAGTTTCAGAATCTTGATCATTATTATTATTGTTATTATTATTGTCATTGTTAGAATTCATATCATCGGGCATCGTTTTTTTATTAGTAGTAGCATTGACATTATCATCTTTAGTTTCTTCATTATCATTGCTATTAAGTTTATTTTCTTTCTTTTTAGTCTTCTTGGAGGCATTACTTTGTAAATAATCTCCAGTACTTGACATATAAATTAATTCAGAAGAATTTGGACCACAACGTTCAATTAAATTACCTACTGTAGCATTCATTAATTGATCAAATGTATCTCTAAAGATTCTAGCAAAATCAGAACGTTCAGTCATTACATATAAGCAAACAGAACATGCTCTTAAATCATCCATTGTTGAAAATAAACTTGCCGTCACTAAAGGTCTAGTATGTTTTGATACATCACCTAATTTTTTACGTCTTTCGTCATCATAATTTCTTGCTAACCACATGCAATATATTAATGTTACACCTGCGACAAATATTGTATGAACCGCTGGTGTTGAATGTCCAGTAATTGTTCTTTGATGAAAAATTTTATATAATTGACAAATTTGTCCAGCAGCGGCCTGACATTCTCTAAATAAACGATCTTCTGGTGTTAATGCTTCTAAATATGGTTGAATAAGTAATCTAACAGATCGATAATAATATAATTTTAAAGTTTCATTTTCAAAATTTTTAACATATGTTTGAATACAATTTGATCTCCAAACTTCTAAATCATGGAAAATTTTTTTCAATAACGGTAATTGTTTACGTAATTCTTTTTTATTACTATTATTCGGTCTACCATTATTTGGTAATATTTTTAACTTTTCAACAAAATTTGATTCAATTCTTCTTAATTTTAATGATTGATTAATAAAATGCACACCTCTGTGAATTTTTGTATTCTTTGTATTAAATGAATCCTCATTGAAAAATGGTAAATTAATTTCTGATTCCGTGACAGTATACGGTTTACCAACTGAAACACAAATCATACGTTCTAATAAATAAACACACCAAAATAATCTAAGTTTCTTATTTGCATTTGGATCTTGTGGATCCCATTTGTTTAAATGTAATTGATCTTTACATATCCTCATAACATCACTAATAATATCATAAAGGATCATTGTATCACGATCTGTTCTTAATAAGTATAAAACTAATAAAGTTAATAATTCTATACGTTGGCCGTAATTTAATTTCTCACCACATCTTGTAATATGTCTTATTGCTGTTGAAAAATATCTTACAGGAGGTTGGCCTTTATATTTACCTGTTGTCATATGTAGGCAAGCTGCAATCGTATATACTAACCACATTCTACCACAACAAAAATGAAATTCATTATCAGAATATGAATAGATTGCATTCTTAATATAATTTTCATGAAACTCGTAAATTTCATGTTCATCTAATAATGGGTATTTAAATTGTAACCGCGTGAAAAATGTATCTAAAAATGAGCGAGATAACTCTTCATCAAATTCAAATGCAGGATCATATGAATAAAATTCCTTTAAATTATACTTGGCAAAAATACATTTTGAGAAATCTATTTAATCAACAGAATCGGATGAAAGTAAAGGAATATTAGCATTATTATGTTGTAATATTGTTGCTGCTGCTGTACCTGATGTGTCAGGTCTTATATTGGTATTACGTTGGACACAATGTGAGTTTTGTAAACCATTTTGATCTGTCAAAATTTGTGGCTGGGACTGCCCAGATTGTTGGTTGATAAGATTTCCATTTTGTCTTTGAAAAAATGATGTTGAAACTTTTATAAATGGGGCTCCACCACTGATATTTGCAGGTGACACAGCACTGTTTGGTGTTCCTGTTCGCAGCACTATTGGACTGTTATCTACATGTGGGGCAGGTAACGTTATAATGTTATCTGGTTCTGGGGAACTTGTAGTTTCCAATAAATGAGAAATCTTTTTATATTGTTGAAGTTTTTTATTGAACGCAATACTATTTGGTTCTAAACTTACCAATTTTTCAAGATATTTCAATTTCTTCTCTAGCAACTTAGTATAATCATCCTTTTGTGTTGGCTTTAATTGGTCACTATTAGTATTATTATTTTTTTTACTAATTTTTTTATGAGTTAACGTTTTTTTCAAAGGATTTTTGATTAGAAGTGGTGGAGACCCTATACTCTGTTCAGTCTTTCCATCCTTTTGTATTATACTACTCGATTTTGTCACTGGATCATCAATATTATCGATTTTTTTAGTTACTTGGTTGTGAATTTTCTCGTCGGAATTAGTTTTGTTGCTACTGTTATTGCTCTTTTGCCTATGATTAGCAGTATTGTTATTAATAGCATTAACATATCGTACCGGTTGAACACATTTTACACCAGCTTTTAAACAAGCAGTACAACTAGGTACTTTATGGTCACACCGTTGCTTTCTTCTTCTACAAAGTAAACAAGATCTAGATCTTCCCTTTTTATCCTGTAATAAAATATCAGTCCTATCACCTGCTAATTCTAATTCTCTTTGAAATTGTTCAATTTTCTCTTCACTGACTTCTTTCTTAGGACGTCCCATGTTTGTTTGTTTGTTTCTGAATTGATCTTTCTAAAATCGTGCAATCTAATGGATATATCTAAATTCAAGTAGGTTGCAATAAAAATATTAATGTATACTTATGCGTATGTTCAAAAAATGAAGGCAATTATTATGGAAAACAATAAAATTTCAGTTGGTTCTTATTTATTTATTTTGCTCACTTTCCCAAAAAAAATATTATAGCTATTGGGGTGAGTTGATAATAAGAAACAATTGGGTGTTTAAGTAATCTCCTATATGGATCTCTTTCAATGTTGCCAATTGAATAAATAAAGAATAATCCGCAATCAAAATTATTAAATTTTAATTTTTATTAATTTTGAATATGATATAAATTAGGAATTGAGTCTTTGCTCTTAATATAAATTGGTACACTTACTCAATTGACTTTTTCAAAAGAAAATTTAAAATTAAAATGTAATTGGAACTCGATTAATTGAATTTATGAATTTCAATTAATTTTGATATGTATATATCAATAGATATACAAACTGATATTAATTTAAAATCCAAAAAAATAGTGCGATTGTGTTTTTTTCTCCTTTTAGTTTTAACGAAAAAAAAATTGGTAAACTGTGTATGTTGAGAAATAGCAATAATAAAATGCTGTTATTATTATTATTATTATTATCAAATTCAAAATACGTATTTTTTTCCTTGAAAACAATAACTTTTTAACCCGTTAAATTAGAATACCCGATTTATAAACAAAAAAAAGAAAAAAAATTGAAATGAAATTAAATAATGAAATGACAAAAGATTCTTATTTCAAAAATTGATAAAGCACTATAAACAAAGACCAAATTTGTAAGTTTGATTGAATTTTTTTTGCTTATTTCTTTTAATTAGAGGATATAAATAATGAATAAAAAAAATTGAATGTAGGTTTGAATAAGATGTTGATTATTTAAGAAAAGAAGAGTCGAGAAAATATAAAAATAAAAATTGCGAGTAAAGAAATTATAAAATTTTAGTCAACATATATAAAGCTTTTGGGTACCTATGTTAGGAGATACAAAGTGAAGAAGATATTAAGAAACTAAAATCATATGCATATAGATGTGCTATAAAGAAATTGCCCCTCCATTATGTGTACCTTTTTGTTTGATCTAAAGATGAAGTTGAATATCAGTTATTGCAAGATTTCAATCTAAAGAGAGAAAATTGACATTTTTTTTTACTGATTTACTTTATCACTTTACTTTATTTTTTTTTTCTCGAGAAATATAGAAACCCTCTCAAATTTTTTACAAAGTGAATAAGTAAATAGGCAGCCTCCTTTCCTATTCCATATCTAATTAAAGAGAGGTGCTCATTGTAAAAAAGAAAAAGATGTTCTCTTCTTTGTTTTTGGGGTTTCAAAAGAAGAAAGAAGAAAAAGAGGGACTTGTTATAAACTGGCTTATACAAATGAGGAAGAAAGGACTAAAAATGAAATAAATTGGAATGAAAAGAAGGAAAAAAATTATATGTGAAACAATCGGCACCATACCCCGCTTCAATAAGAAATTAAAAATTTCAAAAATATAGAATAAGAAAATTAAATAAATTTGATTTCTCTGCGTGAATATTGTGAAATTTAAATTAACAACTGATAAGCATCAATCTGTAGTTGTGTTGTAGGTAACTTTTTCTGTTCCATGTATTTTCGGACAGCTAAAGGAATTAATATTTTTCTTTTTCTAACAAAAATCGTAGCATTACACATATATTCTTTACCTCCCCTCTCCTTGCGGTTCAGTGCATATTATATGTTATTCTTTTTATCCGGTTAATCAGCAAACACACCGAGAGTACTGTAAACCCCCTAGAAGCAGGAAAATAATTGGAATTCAAAAGAAGAAACAAAAGAAAAAAGAAATTTACCATTCATCAATTTTATCTTATTTTGATCAGAATCGGGTTTGTCTTACTGCGTGTTTTATTAGTGATTTATTTAAAAAAACAAATACCTTTCGGTCCGTAATATCTGTCCCTGTTTTTGTAACTAAATGAAAAAGAGAGCGAATTAATGTTATTCGTTGTTTTTTTTGCAGCACGCAGTAAAATTTCGTACAATTTTAAAAGAAAAATGAATATTGATCAATTTTGTTTATTGACAGCATTTTTCTTTTTCTGCCTAATAATTTTCCCTAGCTCTGTTATTTGTGCACAATTATGTTAGAGTGTACAGCATAAGGACATACAACGGGCATAAAACTAAGAAAATAAGGAGGAACCATTTTTAATACGATCATTTGTGCTAAATTTTTATTTAAATATTCTTTAATAAACCAATATCTACTGTATTTTTATACTGAGAGGAAAGTTCGTTCCAGTTTTGTTCAAATTTTTTTTGAACTACTAATTCTATAAAAAAGACTATACTCGCATCATATGATATTGAGCAGTGTGTTGTTTTCACGTGATATTTGCTATTTTGGGTCTACATTCGTCCTCGTAACTGTTATGAGGAAGGGTTCATATGATTAATTATTAGCAATTATTCATTTAACTGAATCATCTTGTACATATTAGTTAACAAATATATATGTATAGAACAATGAACCTCACAAAAGCTAATAATTATAAAGATAAGAGAGTTATTATAATTTATGTCTTCTCTTCTTTTGTTGTAATTCTTTAAATCTTTTAAATGGTTCACCATTAATCCAAAATGGTAAAGTTGAATTTGTCTCTAAAGATTGAGCTTGACGTAATTTATTATTAGTTTCAAAACTTAATAATTTTTTCATTTCACTTAGACTATCAAGACTTAAATATTTACTTTTCAATTTTAAATCTGTTAAAACTTTATTATTAAATAATTTTGTTTGTTCAATATGATTAATTTTATCATTATTAAAATTATAATTTTTAACAATAATTTTCCCATTTAATTCATTAAATGGAATTTTTGTACTGAAAAATAAATGTTCATTAGTTGAATTAATACCTAATTTATCATATAACGTAACAGAACTGCCAACTTCAGCAACAAATCCAAGACTACTGAATGGGAATAATAAATAAACAGAATCATTCATTGAATAAACTATATCACATAAACATACAAGGCATGCACTTAACCCAATAGCTGGTCCGTTTAAAGAACATATTATCGGTTTTGTATGTTTAACAAACGCATTTGTCACATAAACATTTGGAGTAGCAACACTTCCAATTAAAGTATATAATTTTCTTAATTCATTATTTTCTTCTTCTTTTTCATTCTTATTAATTTCATCAGTTGTCTTTGGCGCTAATTCTAATACAGAAGTAAATTTGCCACCTGCACTGAAAAATTTACCTGAACTTTGAATTACTGTGAAATTAACTGATGGATTTTGATTCGATAATTCTAGTAAAGTTGCAATGAAAAGAAAATCATCAAATGTTAAAGAATTTAAATTATCGGTATCACAAAGTTCAATAATGAAAATATTATCATCAATTCGATGTGATATTCTTGGTGAAGATAACATTTTGTCTGTATATATAGATATATATATATATATATATATCTTGTCAAAATAAGATAGATACAAAGATTTATTTACTAAATTTTGCTTATAACTGCCATAGATAACAACGTCTATTTATATTTTTAAGACATTGAAAGATGATTTTGTTTTATTGGGGAAAAATTCCATGTAACCGGTACTAACCGCCTTATCTCCATTTTAAGATCCGAATTTCAATCCTTCTCTCTTAGTATTGTTTGTTTTAAAAACCTTTTCATTTTTTGTGGGGTGGAAGAAATAGTATTTGCCCGTCATAATAATGAATATAATTGTTATTAAGAAAAACTCCGAATATTCGTATCCATATAGAAAAAGAGAAATAAATTAATAATGAGGTCGGTTGTCTACATGATTATTAACAACGAAGTATTATATGTTGGAAGTAGGAAAACAGTTCCTAGTTTTGATTATTAATGTAGTAACTAATGAATGTAACATTTCTTATCATTTTTGTTTTTTTGTTTACAAGTAAGACTCAGGTAGAAGCTTTCATTTTGACTACTAAACGTAAAAATATATATGTATTTGAAAATTATTTTCTCTAATGTCGTATTTTCGCATTTAACAAATATTTTTCTTAGGGAGTCTTTAAATCAAACAATTCATAATATATTCTATAAATAATTACAACTATATTAAACATAAACTTTGAATCGGACTCGTTTATACTTGACAATGTTAACGTGTCCGGTTTATTTAGAACCGCGTAACCTTCTCAACACTCCTACCCTTCCCAACGATTTAATATACTATTCTTATTCACAAATATAATTAATCCATCAAGAAACTTGCTTGAACTCTTTGTACTTCTTGTCATCGCAAAATATATATTAACTTAGTTGAATTATTTGATGTCATGTTACATATCACTTTCAACGACAAAGAGCCTTTCATTTTTTTATTTATTTATTTTGCGAAGATTCACACTCGGTAAAGGGGTTATGAAGTTCTTCATACAGAACAAAGTAACCGCTTATAATCATTTTTTGAACTTAAGAATAAAAATTGAAATAATTAGAAAATTAAAGAAACATATTTTTATCTAAGTAATTGAGTTTATTCATGGTAATACAAACAAACTCAAAGATCCATCTATTTAAAAGTTATTTATTTTATTTTATTTTTCCAAGAAGTTAATTACAATAAACTTGAGAATATGGGTCTCCTAACTACTCAAGATAAAGAAATTATAAAGAGAGCTCTACCGAAGGGTTCCAATAAAATTTTGGATGTCGCTGTGGCTAGATTATACATTGCATACCCTGATCGAAATAAATGGAAATATACAGGTCTATCTGGGGCTCTTGTATTAGTCGATGATTTAGTCGGGAATACTTTTTTCTTAAAATTAATTGATATATATGGACATAGAGGTATTATTTGGGATCAAGAACTTTATGTTAGTTTTGAATATTACCAAGATCGTACATTTTTTCATACTTTTGAATTAGAAGATTGCTTTGCTGGATTTTTATTTGTTGACATTAGCGAAGCACAACATTTCTTAAAAAGAGTTCAAAAACGTGAAAAATATGGTTCAAGAAAGACTTTAATGAATAAAAATGCAATTGCAATGAAGAAAAAAGTCACAAAGGAGAAAGCTCAAAATGTATCACAAGGTCCAAGAGGTGAAACTATTATGGGTGATCAAAGGAAAAGATATAATTATAAAAATGTAGAACATATTCCAGAAACTAGGAAAAAAGCACCTCCACCCCCACCTCCATCAGCTGACACAGCAAATACTGTTGACAATGATGATGACTATGATACATATCAAAATTATTCTGATGAAGACGCATATGATAATGATGAAGTTGCTTCATCAATTCAGCAAAGTGACGACGCTAGAGAAGCCTCAGTACCAAGTACAACGGAAGTCCCTAGCCATACTGCACCAATGATAAAACACAGTATCCCACCTTTACCGGCGGAGTTTGCGCATCCAATTGGACAGGCTCCACCGTTACCAGGCCAAACTCCAACTCAACCACAATCAAAGAACCCATTCCCAATGCCAGTACCGCAACCTACCCAACCCCAATCAAATAATCCATTCCCAATTCCATCAATGCAACAACAAACTCAAGTTCCACCCTCATTCGGTAACGCTGCGGCACAAAATGGAAGACCACTACCACAGGTACCAGGTGTGGCTGCAAACTCTGTACCATTACCTCCAAGAAATGTCCCACAACAACCTACATTTGGTGCACAAACTCCAAGACCTCCTGCATTTGGGATGCAATTGCCACCAAGAACATCGAATGCACCAGCACCTCCTCCGCCTAGAAGAGGACCTGCTCCACCTCCACCTCCACATAGACAAGGAGGTCCGACAGTTCCAATGGGTGCCATAACAGCAAATAACACTAATAGACCACCAATACAACCCCCTGTTCCAAGGAGAGGGCCTGTGCCACCCCCACCTCCAAGAGGTGGAGCTAGAACCAATATAGCCACACAATCTCCACTACCTGGTGCGCTACCACCTAGGTCGACTATGCCAATACCCGGTATGGCGCCCGCAACTACTACTAATAATATGGGTTATGCTATACCTGGAATGACCCAAACTCAACCTACAGCCACACCACCAATGACAACATTTAACACAGGTATCGAGACACCTACACCACCACCTACATCATTTGGAATGCCTATGCCACCTGCGCAACAACCAATGGCTCAAGCCATTCCAACACCACCTCCAGCCCCACAGATGCCTCAAGTTTTTGCAGCACCTCCTCCAGCTCCACCAATGCCTCAGGCTTCTGCTGTACCACCTGCACCAGCTATGCCTCAAGCACCTCCAATGCCACAAAGTATGGGTGTCGGAGCTGCTAGTGCTGCACCAGGACCACCACCACCTCCACCTGCATTCCTAACACAACCTCAGGAAGGTGCTCCTCCACCAGCTCCAGCACCACCTCCAATGGGTGCGCCAAGTACAAGCATGCCAGAGACTACAGGAGATACTGGCAGAGACGCATTATTAGCATCTATTAGAGGTGCTGGTGGTATTGGGGCATTGAAAAAAGTGGACAAATCTCAATTAGATAAACCATCTGTATTACTACAAGAAGCTAAGGGCCAACCAGTTACAACGACATCAAGTTCTGCACCTGGTGGGCCTCCTGGAGGAGGACCAGGTGGTTCATTAGCAGATGCTCTTGCAGCTGCATTAAGTAAAAGAAAGAACAAAGTCGGAAATGCGGATGATGATGACAATGCCGACGATTGGTAAGAGGATTGCATATATTACATAAATATAAATCTAAAAAAGGTACATTCGTATCTATGTATGTAATTGCTTGTGATATAATATATCGTATATCACTTAAAAAAAGAGACATTAAAACATATGTACCATACATTTCATTGAAACTTATACTTTCATCCCTTTGTCGAGGAAAAAAATAACATTAAGTACATTACAAATAATGTAACAAAGATTGTAAACAGATTGAAAAGATTTAAAATATTCTATATAGATATATATAACTTAATAAAAGTAACTTATGAAGTATATTTTAAAACCGTTTATTGAGAGGATGGACCTGGGTTCATTCTTCTCTTACCGTTGACTAGAGTAACATTGACGAATCTTCTAGTGTAAAGTAGTCTCTTGTAAGCTCTACCCTTTGGCTTCTTTGGCTTTTCGGTCTTATCAACCTTTGGAGTTTGGGACTTAACTTTACCAGCACGAGCTAGGGAACCGTGAACTTTAGCCTGTATTAAAAATAGTGAAGATTCACATATCTTGTAAAATATAAAATCAAAAGGTAATAATAACCATCATTTCATAATTTTATCAAAGATTGCATAGATATTTGTTAGTAAATTATATTCAACTAAAGGGATAAAAAAATAAATAAGGAATAGTTAGGAAAAACATTGAAGATTTGTAATCGATCATTCCTTAATTAGGATATTTCCATGACATGGAATCTAAAATTCAACGATTCTACAACCAATCAGACATATATAGTTATTACTACAATACCATATTCAGGTCCATTCCTTTCATAACATCTTTTCATAATAAAAATTGCTCAGTAGTACTCAGATGGATGTGATTAATAAAACGTATTGATCAACATTGAAGAAGACATAGCTTCGGTAATAATAATAAGTGTCTTAACAATCGTCAAATCTCATGAACATCAATATTAACTTGGAGACAATAACTAATCTATATTTTTTCTGTCCAATCTTCTATTCAAATAATAATGAGACATTCAGTCTATTAATCAATCATATAAAATCCTTATTTCTTTCATTTTTGATTTCTTTAAATCTTCTTGTCTATTCTCATAACTTATTCAGCTAATATTATCAATAGGTTATAATAACATACCATTTTTCCTTTACTTGTTTGTGTATTACTTCTTTTTTATTAGAACAAATTACAAAGAAAAAACTAAATTATACATAATAAGATCTTATATACTACAACTTTTAACTATATGTAATGTTATCTAATACTTTCAACACTTTACAGTATGTGATTCGTGTTTGTTAGAATTACAGAGCTTCACAACAGTATGTGTGGTTTTACTCAATATTTGAAAACATCGTATATCACCACTTACTACAAGCCCTTTCCCTATCTTCCTAAAGATGAGAATATTCAATTTCTGACGATATTTTCACACATCAAGGTTACTACAATTTTGAAAAATTCAAGGTAATCCCATCAGCAAATAACTTGTTCTTTGACAAACAATATACCGCACAAAGAAACCTGTTCATATTAAAAAGTGAATGCGCTCAATTAAAAAAAAAAATCCAAAAATTCAATATTCCACAGAAAAAGGAACATTGTTGAAAATGTAAAGATGCAAATTTACTGGGTGCACGGATGGCACACATACAAAAACAGTCATATATTTGGATTTTTTCAATTTGACAAATTTCACGAGAAATACGATAATTTACTCACAATATTTTTTATTTCGTTGCCACAGCGTTACAAAGAGAAGGGCTCCTTCTCTCACCAAAAAAGAAGTAAGCCGTCACGCAAGACGGTCTGTGCACCCTCTACCTCTACTAATAAGAAATCTTTGTTTTCGTTCTTTTTGCTCATAAGATGAGAGGCGCTAATTTTATCCCACGCTTGCCCTCGTTGTCAGTTGCTAAGAAAGTACAAGGAAAGAGGTGGGGGGGGGAAGACGGGAGCTTAGAGAGGAGTGAGCTACGCACATAGTTCGTTGAAAGATTTCACGAGATTTCGTAAGATTTCTGACTCTTTCTACCTCTCTCAATTACAGTCACACGTTACAACTCCTCTTACGGCACGTTAAGCTTGCGAACTTCATAGTAATAACGTTAGCCTCATTGTCCCTTTGGTCATTATGATCTTCTAGTTATTAGACTTATTTCTTGAATTGGTTGCGTATTAGAAGAATAATATTGCTCATACTTAATTGTAGTCTTATATATAATATATAAAGGTGTGTAATTTGGAAAAGGGGAATTATTGTTGAAACATTCAATTTTATAAGAATTGTCTATTTATTGTGAAATATAATTAGTAAAAAAATCATATAGCTAGAGATATAGATAAAGTATACACAATTCATCTCAAAATAAATTAAGGTAATATGTCACAATTAGATAGAGAGGAACCAAACTATTTTGGTGCAGGTCCTGCCCAATTACCAACTAATGTTTTACAAAAAGCTGCATTAGATTTGATCAATTATAATGATTTAGGATTAGGTATCGGTGAAATTTCTCATCGTTCAAAGGATGCTACTGAAGTTATAAACAATTCTAAGGAACATTTACGTAAACTTTTAGCTGTTCCAGAGACTCATGAAGTTTTCTTCATGCAGGGTGGTGGTACTACCGGGTTCTCTTCTTTAGCTACTAATTTGATGACCGCTTACGTTGGTGCCACAGGTACTACAGCACCAGGTGGTTATTTAGTTACTGGTTCTTGGTCCGAAAAAGCTGAACAAGAAGCCGCTAGATTAAGATTATCTACAGAAATCATCTTCGACTCTAGAAAATTCGATGCTAATGGTAAATATGGTAGTATCCCAGATGAATCTCAATGGTGTGAAAATATTAAAGGTAAGAAATATTCTTATGTTTATTTATGTGAAAATGAAACCGTACATGGTGTTGAATGGCCAACTTTACCAAAATGTCTTGAAGATCGTGATGATATCGAAATTGTTGCAGATTTATCCAGTGATATCTTATCAAGAAAAGTTGATATTTCCAAATATGGTGTCATAATGGCTGGTGCTCAAAAGAATATTGGTTTAGCTGGGTTAACTTTATACATTATTAAGAAATCAATCCTTGAAAATATTTCAAATGCTGAAGCTAATGATGCACTATTGGCTCAATTGAATGTACCTGTAACACCTATTGCATTTGATTACCCAATAGTAGTTAAGAATAACTCTGCTTATAACACTATTCCAATATTTACCTTACACATTATGGATTTAGTTTTCCAAAATTTATTGAAACATGGTGGTGTTGAACAACAAGAGAAAGAAAATGATGAAAAGGCTAAAATATTGTATACTGCATTAGATGCATGTCCTGATTTCTACAACATGCCTGTTGATCCAAAATGTAGATCAAAGATGAATGTTGTATTTACATTAAAGAAGGAAGGTCTTGATGATTTGTTTCTAAAGGAAGCTGCTGCTCTAAAATTAACTGGTCTTAAGGGCCATCGTTCAGTGGGTGGATTCAGAGCTTCTATTTACAATGCTGTCAGTGTACAAAGTGTTGATAAATTGGCTAAATTTGCAACCAAATTCGCAAAGGAACACTCCAATTAATTTATATAGATATATTGACTACAGTTTTATATATTATTAAATTTAAATTGATGATTAAGTATTATAAGAGAGAAATATTAATAAAGAATATATTTCTAATGATTTGGTATTCTTAAATTACGATAATAAAAAAAGTATCGTGAGACAACTTGATCGATACCCTCGTACTCAAAAAAGAATTCCTTTTGTAGTTTATTCTAGCCTATTATAAATCGTAAAAGAGAAATATAATTCTCCTTGATCATCCAGCTCAAGATCATAATATAGATGATAATTGTGACCGAGCGAGGCACAAGGCTGTGAAATCTAAAGCTTTCAAACGACAATATATACAATAATCAAGTAAAGTATATTATGAATACACTTATTAAAACATCCGTTTTTATGAGTATTGTTAATATTGATCGTCTAGGTAGATGTGCTATTTTGATTTATCTTTATTAAGTAATATCAACATAGTTCTTAAACGACTTTCTTAATATTGTGGGAAGAAAATATATAACGGTTTCTTCTGCTCACATTTATTCTTTTATATAATAATATTCTTTGATCCATTTTTTTTTTTCATTTTCCATTTTTTCTCTTCGAGATTCAGTGATGTTCACACGCGTTACGGTATTTGTACTCATCACAATGTACACACCAAAATATTAACGAAAGGCAGAAAATTGCAGTTAGGGTCAGGATTCATAAAAGAAGATAGTTTAGAAACACCCTATATTTTTTACATTTAAGCAGAAGATAATGTAATATAGTTCAATGAATCATTGCTAATTTAACCGACAACTATTTATTTAGATAGTTGTTACAACTCCGAATGCATTAATTAGTATAATTAAATAAAGAATAATTATACAATTTTAATTTGATTAAATTTCAGAATAAAAAGGTTTTGAGATTGAATATTTAGATTATTTAAACATAAAATAATATACCACGAACATGGCATGTTTGAAAAACTTACTCTCTGTGTACGTGTCTGTATATGTCTGTATGTATACGTAAGTTAATTTGGAAATACTATTATTCCATTGAAACAACAAAGAAAAGGGAAAAAAGAGTAAGCACACGGTTGTAGTATATTATGATGATGTAATAGAATGATTAATAGGGAAAGAAAAAAACACACAGAGACATATGAGAATGAAAAAAAATACAAAATAATACCCATTATTCATTGTCTCTCATATTTACATTCAATTAATGGTGAGATTCTTCTGGCTCATCTTCAATAACTAACCAGTCTTCATCTTGAGCAACATCTTGTTCTTCAGCAGCGGCGTTTGCAGCTGTATCTAATGTAGTTTCAACGTTTTCATTAATGTAATCTTGTAAAGTATCCTTTTGAGTAGCTTCTAAAACTGGTACTTTTGGCTTAGCTGGTGCTGAGAATTGAATAACATTTTCAGCAATGGATTCAGGAGATTGTAAAGATGCCATATCAAACTTTGTATTTTTCAATTCCTTTAAGTATAGATCTTGTAATAAATCATTCTTATAAGCAGTTATAGAGAAGGCTCTTACCGTACTTGGAGCAGTTGTTCTTACTACTTTTGTCAGTATGTTTAGGGATGATCTTCTAACTGCAAGCATCTTAAATGTGGTCTATTTCTATTATGATTGTTGTGATACCGTAATGGTTGTTTCTAGTGAAATTGAAATTAACAATAAAATAAAGATATAAAAAGTTATTAAATCACTAGTATGTATATGTTACAAAAAATAGAAAATGGTTTAATATTAGTTATATTTCTATTTACAATTCAAAAATGTATTACTCTTCTCTACAAAGTTTCACCAATATTGATTGAGTGAACCTCTCCCCCCTCCCTCTATTTTACTTTATTTCAGATTATTATGTGAAGAAACAAGCGTTAACTAACTAATAATAATATATTTTTTTATTTTTGTAGCGGTGCCCGCAAAATACTAGAATATGATTGGCTGTGGTCGATTTCGACTTCACCGAACGGAAAATATAAATTTCACAACACATTAGATTTAGGGTTCAATAAATTTGATTTCATAAAAATCTCTTCGCGGCAAACTAAATTAGGGTCTTTTTAAAATAATTCAAACAAAATTCCAAAACCGCTGAACGGGTAGTAAAACAAATTTAGGCAAGAAAAATAAACAGTGCAGACATATTTGTAAAAATGTCTCAAGTTGAATTCTTTTTTGTGTGGCAGAGATGAAGGGAGCGAGAATATTATGCGGAACGGATGCACGGATAGTCGTTTAACGGTTATTAGCATAAAAATTTTATCATAATTTTCTTCCCTTTTGAGAGAAATTTAACTAAATTAGAGAAAAATAATTGACGGATCAAATGGCCATCCATTATTTTATTTAATTTTTGCCCTAACTAAAAGTTATAAATTTCCTGATTTCTTATTTTTCTGCATAAACTTAATAATTATTTTTTTCTACATATTTGAACGAAGATCGAGTTAAATAGTTCCGGATAGAAATTATTTCTTAATTAGACCGAATGTTATAAGAATTCCTTATTAGGTAATTAATGGATACTAACCGAGCAATACATGAGTAACCGAGGTAATGGCATATTCAATCTAGGATGACTTTTCTTTTTGGTTATTTTATTAATTTTATTTACACACTCACAGGAGCAAACTACTATATATATATATACGTCAACTTTTTTTTTTTAAATAAAATATAGTTTTTCTTTACTGTAATGTTTTTTTTTTTAATTATACTATATGCTAATCCACTAAGCTATTCTTTTTAAATAATAATACTACTATTATTAACCTCATTATTTCACATAACTATTATAATTAAATTAAGATGATGTGTGATCATAATCTTGAAAAAATCACTACAACACCAACAGATGATGTTAATGATAAATATATCTCTATATATCAAATGGCTGTTAAATCATTAAATTCATTAGTTGGTACAGATAATAATCACCATCAATATGATAATTCCAGAAATATAACACCAAATGCAGCAACAGAAAGTGATAAATTAGAATTTGAATTTGAAAATTTTATTGTAAGTACAGTAATTTGGTTCATTGCAATTATTTTATTTATTTTAGTTGCTGCATTAATAATATTAGTATTTATGAATACTGGCAATAGAAGAATAGATTACAATGATGATATCGAGGAAGATTCTTTTAATAATGATTTAGAGAAACAAGAATTACCCGTACGATTATCAGTAATTGAAGAAGAAGACGAGGATGACGAAGAAGAAGAACATAGTAATTAATTGAAATTACTATTATTTTATTATTTTTTCATTTCTCCCCCTTCTCTATTATTTCAAATAAGACGGTAATATGCCGATTACCTAAAAAATTAAGGTAAGAATAATACCGGGGAGGAAAAGTCGAAACATCTAAGGACTACGATTTTCACTATTCATAAAAAGGGGAGCTTGAAATTTAAGAATACTTAACATTTCTTTAATAGAAGTATTCCATTATCAAAAAAGACAGGGTCTAGAATACATATATACACTTTTTCATTTCCCTTCAATGAACAATAGGGAAATTTAAAAGCAGACCGAAATTCCCATCATTCCCTTTTTTCATACAACTACAAAAAAAGCAAGAAAAAAATATTAAATAAAAATGTTTTCAAGAATATATTTGAAGGATACAATGTTCCTTTGTAATATCTTCATTCTGATGATACCTACTTATCATCTTTATGGTTAATTTCTATTTATTAATACCAGTTTGTTCATCATTTATTTTCCAGCACTTGTAAACTCTTTTTGCAAGACATACACCATAGTCATTTCATTCATAATACCATATATAATAATTCTTTAATAACTAATAAATTTCTTTAATAATATCAGTTTACATCCATTTCACCACACTGATTGCAGACTTAATATTCATTTATATTACATAAGCCTTAAAGAGAGATAGATCATTATTAATTTAAAGTCCGTCACTTAGGTGATAGATCTACCTAACCCTCCCTTCGTTTCAAAAAAAAAAGAAAATGAACCAAAACAAGTCGTACATATCTAATTTAGTTACCAAATGCGGTAAAGATATGGATTAATCCAAATAAGAAGCTTGATATATAACAGAGAAAACCTATTACTAACGCGACCAATTATGTTGCATTTTACCACTTACTATGAAGTATTTTACAGCCTTCTGAGTCGTTAAAAAAATGTAATAAAAATTAAAGGGTCCTACGGATGATATACTCCATTTCTTTAATTTATTTTCCGACTCAAAAAAGAAGAAGAGCTTACTAAAATATTATTAAACCAAACGGTCGATATTTCAATATATTTTAGTTTTTTTCTCTCTTTCATTTTTTCCACGAATATTTTGTCCCATGCAACCTCAAATTTATTTTATCTTAGGGTTATTAAAATAGAAACATTTTTTCCATTTAATTTCAATTTCTTCGTTTAGGGTTGGTTGAGACCGTGGGTTTTTTTTTGAGCCCCCAGAATTTTATTGTCTTTTCTCAATTTTTAAATCTCCGGGAAAAGAGAGAAATTCTGAAAATTTTAAGTGTCCTTTGGTTTCCGTACAAAGTGATATTATGTCGGACGTGTCGCTTTTTAACCTCGAAATTTATTTTGAGTTTGGTGAGGAAGAAGGGGGCAGAAAAGGGAAACACACACACACACAGCATGGTGAATATAATCTAATTAGACCCCGGTTTGCTACCTTTGTTTTCGCAAACCACTTTTTGCTTTTTTGTTTAGTTTGAAACCTAAGAGCTGTACTACAATAAACTAAATTATCTCTTATTAAAAATCGATTATATGTAACACATCTTGAATATATTATTTTTTTTTATTTGTATATCTTATCCTTTTCTCTTGGTTATTGCTGCTACTCAGAAGGATTAAAAAGAAAGACAACTACTTATCTTTGTTATCAAAATAATAATAATAGGATGTCCGTTTTGATGCCAAGGTTGTCGACCAACCTATTCAAAAATAGTGTTGTCTCTAAGACTATTTTTACTCAAACCTCAAGAGTTACTAAATCTTTTCTATCTACTACATCAGTAAACTATGCTGCCGCATTTGATCGTTCCAAACCTCATGTAAATATTGGTACTATTGGTCACGTCGATCACGGTAAGACTACCTTAACAGCTGCCATTACCAAGACATTAGCTAAACATGGTGGTGCTAGTTTCCTAGATTATAATGCTATCGATAAAGCACCAGAAGAAAGAGCTCGTGGTATTACTATCTCAACAGCTCATGTTGAATATGAAACAGCTAAGAGACATTATTCTCATGTGGATTGTCCTGGCCATGCTGATTATATTAAGAATATGATTACCGGTGCTGCTCAAATGGATGGTGCTATTATTGTTGTTGCTGCTACAGATGGTCAAATGCCTCAAACTAGAGAACATTTATTACTAGCTAGACAAGTTGGTGTTCAAAAAGTTGTTGTTTTTGTTAATAAAGTTGATACTATTGATGATCCAGAAATGTTAGAATTAGTTGAAATGGAAATGAGAGAATTATTATCCGAATATGGTTTTGATGGTGAAAATGCTCCAATTATTATGGGTTCAGCTTTATGCGCTTTAGAAGATCGTCAACCTGAAATTGGGGAAAAAGCTATTATGAAATTATTAGATGCTGTTGATGAATACATTCCAACTCCTGAAAGAGATCTTGCTAAACCATTCTTAATGCCTGTTGAAGATATCTTTTCTATCTCTGGTAGAGGTACCGTTGTTACAGGTCGTGTTGAAAGAGGTCATTTAAAGAAGGGTGAAGAATTAGAAATTGTTGGTTTCAACAAAGTTCCATTAAAGACTACTGTTACTGGTATTGAAATGTTTAGAAAAGAATTAGATGAAGCTATGGCTGGTGATAATGCAGGTGTCTTATTAAGAGGTATTAGAAGAGATCAAGTTAAGAGAGGTATGGTTATGGCTAAACCAGGTACAGTTAATGCTCATACTAAGATCCTTGCCTCTTTCTATATCTTAACTAAAGAAGAAGGTGGTAGACATTCTGGTTTCGGTGAAAACTACAGACCACAAATGTTCATTAGAACTGCCGACGTTACTGTTGTAATGAAATTCCCACCAGAAGTCGAAGATCATTCCAAACAAATCATGCCAGGTGACAATGTTGAAATGGAATGTGAATTGATCCACCCTACCCCACTAGAAGTCGGTCAACGTTTCAATATTAGAGAAGGTGGTAAGACTGTTGGTACTGGTCTAGTCACTAGAATCATCGAGTAGATTTGATGAACTTTCCTGACTCAAGAAAATAAAATAAAATAAAATAAAAAAACATAAACCAAGAAATGAGTGTATTGTCGTACACTCTTCTTCCCCTGCCAATTAAAAAAAAAAAAAGGTTCTGTAAATACTTTACAATATATTATTACGTTAAATCCCAATTTCACACAAGTAAGTAAATATATATATTTTCTAAATTATTCACCAATTATTGTAAAATCCGGTCCAAACCCTTTGACAAGTTCAATGAATAGTAGCAACTGTTGATATGCGTGTGTCTGCTCTGCCAATTGGTTTCTTTTTATTTTGCCTTGGGATTTAGAGCGCAAATTTTTTTTCTTTGTTTGGTGAAAGTTTCGGCGGACGAACAGTTTCTTGTATTTGCTTTTTCTTCGTCGCTGTAGCAAAAAACAGACAAACAGACAGCCAAAAAAAAGAGAGAAGTAAAAATGTAAACATTGGGAAGAGGCGTAACTGGTTTTGATTTGGCCAGACGTCATCTCTGGGAAAGAGATCCTTATAGTTATTTTTACTCTTTCTAGAAGAAACAAAATAATAAAACTTTACATAGTGTTTAATAGCTATATTGTTTGAAATAGAAAAGGAAATTTTTCGACTTGTTATAATATTAAACACCTCACACTACCTTATTACAACCTTTGGTTATATTTATTTTATTTTGTTTTTTCATTTTAGTTGTGTGTAAAAGGAGTGCTCCTACAATAGTCGGCATTTGTCAAAACAGGACCAAATTTCAAAATATTTAAAAGTTTATTTTGTTAGTGTACTATCGTTTTTATTTGTATTATTACTGTCCTATATCTCAAATCAAGTTTTGTACTATTTGTAAATACCTAGATTGATGGAACAAATAGTGAAACCTCTTCCTGATACCCCACTAGGACCTAGTGGATCACCGTCTAAATCGGAACATAGTAAACATGTCTCTAGTAGACATTCTTCACCCAGAAGGGATACGGGTAATGATAAGAAACAAGATGATGATGATGAAGAGTTCGAATTTTTCCATAAATTTGATAGAGAAAAAATTAAAGGAGTCATTCATTTAATCACCTCAGAATTGAAAGAGAGAGGTGCTGATGTTGAATATATTATGATACCATTTAGACCTGAACAAACAAATGAAAAATTATTAAAATTTTTAAACCAATTGTTTCCTATGGGGAATGGACAACCGGTGAATAAGAAATTACAACAGAAAGTTATCACAAAGACTGAAGTATGGACATTATTTCAAGGTTTAAAATATATTTGGTGTAGATTACCAAATTCTGAAATTATTGGTTGGAAATCTTATTTAGAATTTAAATATAGAGAAGCTGATAAAGATTATCCTCAAAAGGCATTTTTAGAAATTATGCCACAATGTTTAGAATCATCTAATCATGCATCTATAGTTTATGATTTTTTTGATTTAATTGTTACTTTAGCATCAAATTCTAAAATTAATAAAATGAGTGCAAGGAAAATAAGTAAAATGTGTGCCATTTGGGCATTCAATAAACCAACCAAAGATGATAGTGCAATCTCAACGGCAAATAATTTAGATTTTGATTCAAATGCGAGTGGAGGTATCTTACCAAAATATAAGAAAGTTAACAATACTTTTCAAGATGGTTTAGCAGAATGGGTTCCAGCATCAGATGCAATGTTTCATTTGTTACTTGCATTCTTAAAGAGCTTTGTGCCAAAGGATCTCGAATCTGCAAAATTACCAAGAGCTTTAAAGAGTATTTTGTTTAATAATGAATATCCACCAAAGGACTCCACAGCATATACATCCGAGACTATATTGACCATTCCACTTGTAACATTATATACAGATCAATTCTCTAGAAAACCATGGCAACTATTAGAAAAATGTAACGATTTGTTAGATTTTTCTGATTATGATGCCTTTGAGGCTCGTGAAGATTATGCATTATTAAAATCGTTGTTTAAGAAAAAGAAAAATGTCGAAGGGATCAGTAGAAAGATGTCACAAGAATCTAGAAGATTGATGAAGGCTATGTCAACGAAACATTCTACATTCCAAGCTGGTTGGGCTCCAAGAAAATGTCTAGAAAATATTAATCATTTGGAAGAAAATATACAAGTTAAAAGAGTAGATATTGATGATTATTTCATATGGACATGGTTATCTAGTTTATCATATGAAGAAACTTCTGAAAAAAAGAAAATATTTGGTAGATCAGTAATATTAGAATTTGAATTTGATGGATTTAAAAAATGGGTTTGTTTTCAAGAGAGTGATATTACTTTAGATTATAATAGTCAAAGTCAATTAAAGGATAAAAGAAATGAGGAGAGAACTAAAAGTAGGAATGCATCTCCTGCGAAGAGTAAAAAAAGTACATCATCATCTTCACTCGATAGAAAAGAACCTGTTGCCCTACCAAAGATTAGAGATCAATCAAGGTCATATGACAACTTTAAGAGTTCGAATGAAAGTACCACACGAACATCATCTGCCCAATCGACAGGTCAATACCATACTAAAATTAGCTTAGATTCCTTAAACAAGAATGGCAAACAACAAAAATCTTCATTTGACAAGATATCTAAATGGAATCCATTACACAATTTAAGGAAAAAGAGTAATAGCAGTGTTGGCGCATCTGTATCTTCAAGTAATTATGAGGACAGAATTCCATCAAGAGGAGGTTATATAGAGAACGAATCCACCGATAACAATTTGAACAAAAATGTAAACCCAGTGGTCAATAATACTAATAACTATGAATTACCACCAATTGAAACGGATGGTTTCAAAATTGATCTTCCTGATATCAATCCTGATATGATTGTTGCTCGTTCAAGTTACCAACAACCATACCCTGATACACTTGAACCTCGCTATGATTTAACGTCTGATTCAGTTTCAGAAAAGAGAAAAACCATGCAATCTAATCCAAATACCATAGAAGAAATTAATGAAATGGTAGAAAATATGATTACTGATGAGATAGCAGAGAACCCATCATTAGACTCAGAGATCCCTGATCCCTTTAAGAATGTTACGAAATTTGACCAATATAAACCATCAGCTCTTAGAGATCCAGATATGGAAACTTCATTGTCCAGTACAGTTCAATCTTTAAAGATTAGTTCTCCACAGGATGCTACACCAACCCATGATAGAAATGGTTTGAACTTTAAACAAAATAACAGTAATTCTACAATCAATTTAAATAAAGGGCAACAAACAGCAAATGCCCCGCAGAAAAATGTTAGCAATCAACAATATAGGTCACAAGGACCTTCTGGTGGTCAATATGGGACACCTACCAAATCTAAGCAACATGGTTCAAGAGACAATAATATGGCTGGCTATAATAATTATACTCAACCACCAAATGGGAATGGATACCAAAATAATAATGTGAACAACCAAGAAAGGGCACAAGTTCAACAACCACCAAAAACAAGAGATATCGAACAACCATATTCACAATACATACCGCAGCAACAACAGCAACAATCTCAGGAAAGAGGACGTTCTCACGGACAACCTATGTCACAGAACGTCCCAATCCCACATAATGGTAAGAGTAGGAGTGGAAATGCTATACCTAATGGCAATTTCGTTCCACCAGCCGGACCTCAACAAGGCGTTTACAATAGTTATGGTGGAAGCCCATCTCGTTCAAATGAATCTCCAATGAGACAAGGTCGTGCGCATTCACCTGTAAGACAACAACCTCGTTCTTCATCGCCAATGCGCAATCCAAATATTCCAAATCAATATATGGGTTCCCCATCTCCAGGCTATTATAATGGTAATATGCCAGCGGCTCCTAACGCTCGTTCATCTTCACCAATGCGTCAAAATGGCATGGGTTATCCACAGATGGGACCACCGCAAGGCCAATATAACAACGCTCCAAAGAAACAAGTAGGACCTCAATACAGCATAATGCCCCCACCTGTTCAATCACCAAGTATGCAGTTCAATAACCAGATGTCACCTCAACAGAGAACCCAGGGTTTCAATCAACAAATGCCAATGGCTCCGAACTATGGGTCACCACAATTCCAACAAGGTGCAATGCCTATGGCCCCTATGGGTGGAATTCCTATGGGTGGAATGCCTGCACAGGGGTATAATCAATATGGTACTGCACCTCCAAATACGATACCAATGCAGATGCCACACGGTGGTGCTAACAAGTTACATGGTAATGCAAACAAGAGACAAGATAGAAGACAACTTTACGACAATATTCGTAGTGGTAACTTTGGTATCTAGTTTGAGGTTTAGAGGCCAAAATAAAAAAAACCAAATAATAAGTTGGTTCCACCGAATATATAAACGCATAGTTATGAACTACTCCTTTCAATTGATTTTAGATATTCGCTGAACATTTACAACACCGTTTCTGGAACGGTACGAAAGGGTTGCATCACCAACAGTTATAATAATAGACAATAAGATATATATATATACCTATATAAATATAGTTAGATTAGTTTTTCTTTTTTAAAGTAATGTTAGATTTTCTTAAACTAAACTTTCACTTCCTTATTCGAGTGTCTTATCGTTTATTTATCCTTTTGAATAGATAAATTATGATGTCACTTTCACTTCTCGAGATCGATTAACAGCACAGAGCCAAAAAAATGCACCAAAAAAAACACCCGCCGCGTTTAAACGAATCAAATGTACGAATACGCACGCCAAAAGAGGTGTTTACTATAATAATTTTATCGCTTTTTAGACAGGATAGNNNNATATATATATATATATATATATATATATATATAAAGAAGAAAGAAAGAAAAGAAAAGAAAAGAAAAGAAAGGAAATGTCAGTTAGACCAATTCTTCTCTGTATTACCGTTGCCTTTTTTTTATAACCTTTTAATAAAGATCCAAAAACTAAAAGATGTCAGGTTCACAAAATCGCAAATCTTCGGATAAAATATTCAAATCTGAATCTATTTCAAGTTTAACAAAACCACAATTATTTTCATTATATGATGAAGACATTACAAATCCTACTGAATCTAATTCATTATATCAAATTATCAATGATACAAAATTAAAAAATACACAAACGGAATCACCATTACATAGCGATAATAGTACATTATTTCAAAAATTGATCCATTTCATTTTCAGTGTATTTGTCTTGGGTGTATCAGGTATTGTATATTTAGAGATATCCCAAAATTTACATGATAATCATCAATTACATTCAAGTTTTACTTCAAAACCTGTAATTGTAATTAATAAAATAATTAAATGGATATTTGCAGATAATATTCCAACTATATTAAAACATGAATGGATAATATATTCAATTGAAGGAATACTCTTCGGATCAGTAATACCAATCTTAGATTTAATTTTTTTACAAAAGAGTCAAGCACAATTAAAGAATGGTGATTCATCATTATTTGGAATTTTGAGAATTGTTAATGCAATGCTAGGTGTTGCATTTGGTATTCGTAAATTAGATTGGTCATCATCATTACAAGCTTCAAGTGTTTGGGGTTTATTAAACATAATAATGTGGTTATTCTTTGATGGTACAAAATCATTATTAATGGAATCATTATTAGCGAGCTTAGGTGTTACAATAAGTTGTTTACAAGAATTTCAAAATATTAATTACCAAAATTGGGAAATTTCTCAATTTTTATATTTTGAAGATTTTTATTTCTTAGGCTTTTTAATCTTTGGTAAACTTGGTAGATATTTATTTTTTTGAATTTTTAAAAAGAAAAATAAAGATGAATCGTATGGTTTTTATTAATAAATAAATAAATAAATTTTATAAAATGATATAATTGATAATAAAGTTATTAAGATTGTTAAAATTATTGGTAATAATTCACTTGGTAAAAAACCCCATATTAATTTATTTAATGAACAATTTATTATTATTATTGATTCATTTAAATCTATCTTTGGATACGAATCATTTTCGAAAATAAATGAAATTTCATAAATTAATTTTTGTTCATTATCTGTTGTAGTAGTATGGTTAACTATAAATGATTCACTCTTATAAGATATTGGTGTTATAGCAGACCAACAAATCTTAAAAGAATACAATTGCATATCATAACTATCCGAGTTAATAGCATTATCATATTCAAATCTTAATAGAATAGGTTTTGAATCAATTACATTTGATGATATATCTAATGACCAAATATTTAACTCAGTATTAATAATTGACGGTATATTAACAATTGGATCACCACGAGGTAATGAAACTTGAAAAGTTTCTGTATTAGCTACAACACATAATAAACAATTGATCAATATGAATAATAACCAAGTGAAAGATACATTAGAACCTACCATAACTGAACAGCAGTTTCTTTTTCCTTCTTACCCTTTGTTTTAGATAAGTAGGTCTACCTGTCTTATGTATATTGAAATAAAATTATATAAATTTCAATGAGAGAGAAAAGTGAAGGGTGCGCCGCTTTAAGGGTCAAATTTTCAATATGTTTGGCGAAAAAAAAAATAAAACAAGACAAGAGAGAACGTTATGAGCTTTCTTGTTATCATATTCAGGGACAAAGCGAAAAATTGATTTATTTAAATATTTAACAATCGTTTAAGAGAGGGTATATACAATCTGAGAGTTGATATTCTAAAACGATAGATACACTACACGAAAAAGCAAACATAAACTAAATATTGCAATGTCTGGTTCACATGCAGAAGAAGAACAAGCAGAAGAAGATATATTATTTAGTCGTTTTCTAACTCTTTCAGAGAATAATCCTATTGAGACAAATAATGAAGAAAATCATCTTAGAGATGAAAATAGGAATACACATCCAGTAGTACGTGGAAATATTGAGTTTCGCCGTACCTTGGGAGATATAATTAATACATTCGAAGTTGAATTACAACGACAAGGTGATACAACAAATACAATGCGTGGAGATCATAATATTAATGAAACACCGACATTTATACCAAGAAGATCATATTTTGCATCAATGGTACGTCATTTATTAGTATTAGATTATTTTATAATGGTAATATTATTCCCATTTTCACTCTATAATATATTAAGAAGTGGATTTAGTACGGTAACATTATCAGAAAATGATTTTATTGCAGAAATAATGATTTATATGAAATATTCAAATGTTGTTAGTTATCCAATCGAATTAAATAAAAAAGTCTTATTAGGTTATAATGATGATGGTGCAATGGGGTTACTAGGTAAATTTCATAATATTATTGTATATTATAGTTCACCAATTGGTAAGAAAATAATGAATTTTGAAATAATTAAAATTAGAAATATAATGATATTAATTTATGAAATTTTAGTTAAATTAAATGTTGTATCAATCTATTTAATTTATGGATTAAGTGGCACAACATATTTAGCATTATCGGGATTTTTTTTCATTTTTTGTCTTGCATTAACTATAATACGTCGTTATAGAAGTGTTCAAAGATTATTAGTTACAAATTTAGTATTAATTCCACATGATAATGAACAAGAAGAATACGGTAATTTATAGTTAAAAAAAAAAAAAGAAAAATAATGATACGACTATTAATGAAGTCAACAATGAAATAAACAATAGGAACTGAGTATCTATATTGTTTCATTCCTCTCTGCGTGTACCGTCATCGACCACGTTCACTCTGTTAACTCTTTTCAGACTACATGAAGTTAGTTAATGATCACTATTATTATTATTCGTATTGTTATTACTGTACTACCACACGTAAGCACTTTGAAGTATCAATCAAAGAGAAAATTGTGAAATTTGCTGCAAACCGCGTGGGGTCCATTTTACGTATTTTTTGTGCGAGGAAAATTGAAGAGTTCAGTTTCGTTCCTGCCACAGAAGAGCCCGCACCCCGCACTGCCAAGCAGGCTGGATTGTCCGGTCAAAAGAAGAAGAAATGTTTTCTATTTGCGTGCGTGTTTGCGCTGAATGGGCAGTGAAACCGGCGTACAGGTGGCAAAACTCGGGATGGGAGGGCACATCAACGCGGAGTAATGGCTCGTCACCCGTCGCTCGCTTTCGCTGGCTGTGCGCGTCTGTCTGAGGGCATTTCTTTTGCTGTGTTGTTCCGAGAGAGAAACCACCGTACGTAGCAGATTATTGCTTTTTTGGCGAGGGTGGGGTGGGGAGAAAACTGTCTTTTTTGGTTAATTAAAGCGATTCGAGAACTTTTGTGCACAGAATGTTGTGCACGGGGACGGTTCCGCCAACATGTTTTAGTGGCGTTGTGCACTTTCTTTTTTGATTGCCATACAAAATTTTAAATTTAGATTCTGCCCTCGAAGGCGGGGGGTGGTCAGAGAATGGAGTATTTTTTTTTTCGTTCTTTCTCTATATATATACATATATATAGATTGCAATATATGGGAAATGTGCCTTCGTTATCAAGAATGGGTAGAAAAGTCTTATAAGGACGCTTGAACTAGATAAGAACGATCGGTCGTGAGTGTTTTGGGGTCATCTATATCTATATCTATCTCTACATATATATATATATATACTGAGAGAGGACGGCGTGTGGATAGGTTTTAAATATAGAATAAATTATAACGATGAGCAATAGCAATAGCAATAGCAATAGCAATAGCAATAGCAATAGTTTGTTCAATATTGAAAATACTACTTGCAGTGCAACCAACATGGAATGGTCAAGAATTAATAAATTACCATCGATAGAATCAGGTGTATCGTTACAAACTGTTGATAGAAGTCTATCTTCATTAAGTACAAATACTTGTACTAGTGATGATAGCACTACTAGTACTGATGACATTACTTATTTACAAACTGTTGATCCTTTACCCGTGGAACCTCCATCATATGATGCAATTAATCCTTCAAGAAGAATTACTTTCCCAGTTTATGAAACACGTTCACAAAATAATCAATTACCTGATTATTCACCTGCTGTCGAATCTTTAACTTTAGGTGCAATTAGATTAGAATATATTGATCCAGAGACTCATTCAAGTCTTTTGAGATCAAAAGTTTGGTCAAATTTTATCATTGAAATTAATTCAACACAATTAAATCTTTACGCAATTGAACCAATTTTAATTTCAAATATTAAAAATTATAGAGATTCTGTTAATCCTTTAACAAGTAAAAAATTATCAACTCAACAACCACAAACACATAAATTTACTTATTCTGAAAGACAAAAAATTTTAAATACAATTCGTTTAAAACCTGAAATGTTTTTAAATAATTCAACTTTAAGAAGAACTTATACGTTACAATACGCAGAATTTGGTTTACCATCTGATTTTATTAGAAGAAATAAATTGGCACAAGATCAAGTTAATGTATTAAGAATTAGATGTGAAAATCAACAATTTTTAATTAGATTATCTGATATTGATGAATTAATTGATTGGTCAACTAAATTAAGTGAAGGTATAGCCGTTTCATTAGATTTACAAATTAGAAAGATACCAGATTATAAAGTATTTCCAAGAAGACGTAACAGACATAGACACAGACATAATCATAACGACAATGATACAGTAAATTCAAGTGTTGTGTCATCACGTTCAGCTTCTCCATCACTTTCTTCTTCTTCTTCTTCTTCATTTTCTCCAATGGATCCATTATCAACAGATTCAGTCTCACAAAGCATATTTTTATCAAGATCTTCTACAAATGTATCGTCTACATCATCGTCGTCATCATCTATATTTAGAGTTGCATCATCTACTGCATCATCAATCTCAGTTAATAATAGAGAATCTGATTCAAAGAATCCTATTATTAGAAGAGTTTTCGGGATGTTTAATAAGAAGAAAACTACATCGCGTGGCACTACTACTACTAATAAATTGAACTCGGCCTCGGCTTCGGCTTCGGCTTCATCTGCGCTCAGATCAAGAAGTACATCTGTATCAAATGTATCACAAAGAACAGTGGCTGGTTCACGTTCAAATAGATCGGTATCTGTAACTAATTCAATTTTAGAGACAGAAAGATCAATTCAATTTTCAAATGATAGAAACCCTGTAATACATGAAAGAGTTGAAGAAGAAGATATAGATTTTTATTCTGATGATGATGATGATGATGATGATGTTGATGACGAAGAAGAAGATGTTAATGATCTAGATATTAAATGGTGTCCTGTACCAAAAATAACAAATCGTGAAAAACATATTAGCACTAGTCTACGTTGCCTACATGTATTCAACGAGACTCATAGTTGGTTTGGGAAAATTATCTTGAAAGAAAGCCATAATCCATCAAAATATGATTCAATTAATCTACCAATTTATTTTATCAATACTGCAACAATGGCTAAAGAAGGTACTCATCATATGCGTATCAAGAATCATTGTTTACATCCTTATGTGTTATCTCCAAATGGACTCATTAAGCATGGATCAAAAGTATTTGATCTATGGTACGAAATGTATAAGTAGGTACAATTTATTATCATTAGTAACTTTTCGACGAATGTATTTTCTCATTATTTTCTTTCATGCGGCATTATCTACGACCACCCCATTCATTTGCACATTTTATCTATTTATTTATACATTTTTCCAACTAAATATTTTTTATAAATTATACACACATTCAATTTTATGACTTTATGATTAGAAAGTATTATTTTTATTTTATTAAAAAAATAGTATTATTTAAATTTATATCTTGGAATATATAAGTGTATGTAGATATCTAAGCGATAACACAGGCTGGGTCCCAGAATACACCCTTGACAATGTAGTTGTCCTTCTTTTCAGAGGAGTTGTTCTTTTGAGAAGCAGAAGTGGAAACAGTAGTTGGTTGCATTTTTGAAGTGATTGGTATTGATTGTTGTTGTTGTTGTTGTTGTTGATTGTTGATGGTTTTTTCTTATATCTAGTAATTATAAAGTATAGACTGGAAATAAAATAATAACTTTTGTAATGAATTAACCGCCCTTATATACAAAAATTTTCTGGAAATACATCTCCAAAAAGTAATAGCGTTATTGGTATAGTTTACAACTTCGCTTAGTTTTGTTCAGCACATTATCGTTATATTCTTTTTTATTGGTTTCATCATGTATATATCCTAATCGGGTAATTACACTCATATATTATATTAAGGACCTCAAAAACACAGGAAACCGAGAAAAAGAAAAGGACTCCAGAAAAAAAAATTACTACGATACAACATGCACAACTATGCATATATCTCCATTAGAACATATCGTTCATTCCCAATTAGGAAAACCGGTTCTTTTCTTTTCTTCCCTCAGCATGAAACATATAGTATCTTTATTTCTCTTACTGCAAAACGTACGTCTATAGAAAGAAAGGCACCGTTAAAGTAATGCATAACGTTATGAATACTATCAATCTCTGGACATTCACTACGTTATAATCATCAAAATCAGTTAGCGACACATCAAATATTACACCTGTTCTATCACTTTCTATGGAGGCCACACTCAAAGGACTATGCCTTATGAAATACCACGATGGTAGGCCATTTGCAGCAAACTTTTTCAGTAGTAAACAAATGATCACAAATAATAATGTATTCCTTATTATTCTTCGGATATCATTCGAAATTCGTCCTCGTTGATTGCTGTAACCAATTATAATATTAGTAGGTTCGTTGTAATCAACATTCTTACCATTCATTCTAGTCTCAACAAATAGGGTATTGTCTCCAATATACTTACTAAAACGGTTGCCCCCAATGCTGTTATACAGTCACAAACTAATATGTCTATGTTTCCTAGGAACAAGAATCTTTTTATGTCTTATTATCTTAAAATTCTTTGTTATGCCTTTTTGTTTATTTTTTTTTTCAATATCTGCTAGCGATGAGAACCTTCCGTGGCACGTAAAACTTCTCATCACAAAATTTAGTTAGTACTAACAGCTATCTTGAATATCATACCTAAAAACAAGATGTTAACATCGGCAAATAAACACAGTCACTGAAAGAATATATTCCAGACAGAGAAATATAGCGCATTCGGAGTTTCTTCAGTTGAGATACAACCTTTAACTTTGATACATAACCAAACCTCAAAATAAGAAACAAGATCGCTAAGAAAGAAGAACTGAGCACTGAAGGAAGCATTTGTTGATGTTGTCGTGTTATTACCAAGTAAGTGATAACTATGGTAGTTTTCTCGACTAATAATTCCCACTTTAGTTTCTCTTGAGAGAGTTTTCGATTACTTTTTTCTCCCAATTACAACGTACATACTAGTTTGGTACAACCATTTGCTAATGAACATTAATAATATTGTAGCTCGAATAAACGAAAAGATGTATTCTTTTCTTTTTTTCTTTACTGTTTAAACCAAAAAAGTAAGAAAAACTTGAATTTGAAAGTATCAGTTGCTCTTTTTTACGTATGCTCGTACAAATACACATATCTTACTACAAGAATTATGTACTTTTACTTATATTAATATGCACATGCGCAGCTACTGGAGACTGTAAATTTTATAAATCAATTTCTGTATATCCTTTCTGTGAAAGAAGTTTATTGTAAGCATTGTCCCTACATTTGATAGTCCCTTAACTTTTTTTTTTGAGGCTCCAATAAATTTTCATGTAATTACCCGATTAGGATATATACATGCTGTCAGAAAATTAAAGATGAAACGACGAATAAATGCAAAATAGAAATTTAGTTAGTAATTAATTACATCTCAAAAGCAAAACCTCTATCTTTATAAAAATTGAAAACCCCAGATCTTATTATAAAATTTTTGTATATAAGGGCGGTTAATTCATTACAAAAGTTATTATTTTATTTCCAGTCTATACTTTATAATTACTAGATATAAGAAAAAACCATCAACAATCAACAACAACAACAACAACAACAATCAATACCAATCACTTCAAAAATGCAACCAACTACTGTTTCCACTTCTGCTTCTCAAAAGAACAACTCCTCTGAAAAGAAGGACAACTACATTGTCAAGGGTGTATTCTGGGACCCAGCCTGTGTTATCGCTTAGATATATTTCAAAGCCTTTATATTTTCTAAATATTCTTTTATGTATATCTTCTAGTTCTTTAATACAAAATATCCATTTCTAACTTTCCTCTATTTTTATTTGATATGTATTGTATATTCTGGAGGCTTTACCTATTATGTGGTATACGGTCCAACTAAAACTATAATCAGACAGAATAGTTATATATATATATATATATATATAATTAGATGTAAAAAGGTTTTAAACATTGTCACATTATCCAGAAAAATTTATAATTAATGCTTTTAAAAAACAACAATTAATATTAGTTTTTTTCAATGTTAGAGCTGTGGTCGAATTGAACTTGCCGAACTGCCTTTCTTTTATAATACTGAGCAAGTGTCAAAAAGAAAGTCGATCCCAATGTCATAACACCACTCCATATCTGACCTTTATAAAATTCCCCTTTATTTATATCGATCAGCTTACCAGCAACAGGATTACCAATCAGAGTACCAAACCCGGCAAAAAAGAAAGCGGTACCTAATCTACTTCCAATTCGGGTAATATCATTAGTCACTGAACTTATAGCCGAAGGTGGTAATGAAACGACAGTACCACTTGATATACCATACAATACAGAAAATATAATTAAACCAGGCGTATTTCTTATTCCAATCCACACTAATGCAAGTACACCACTGATAAAAGATGCCACAATCATAGTGTTAATTGGCCCAACTCTATCAGCGTAATAATTTGGAATAATTCTACCACTTAGACTTGCATTGATAATGCTGATCATATAGTAACTGATATTTATACTTGTGTGAGCGATTCTATTGGCATATGATGAAATATAATAAAAGGGAATATAAATACCGGTGAAAGACAAAAATAATCCTATTGTTAAAAACAGATACGGCAATTCTTTAAAAGAACTAAGTTGTAAAATTTTTCTATGAGTCTCAGGAATGGTTCTTTGTTTCATAATCATAATCGGAACAAATAAGGTAACGAAGCATATTAAACCGATTACTCTACATGTCCACCCAAACCCGATCTTTGGTATCAACCTCTTAATAATTATGGGGAAAATGACACCACCAATCGAACCACCACTTGCAGCTAGTGTAATAGCAATAGATCTATATTTTAGAAAATATTGAACACAGACCCCTAAACTTGGAACCCATAATGCACCCATACCAACACCCATGCAAATACCTTGTGATAACATAACTTGATAATACGTGGTTGAAAGGCTACTCATCATTATTCCAAATACAATCATAAAGGAACCTATTATCAACAACGCCTTAAAGTATCCTCGATCAAACAAAGGTCCTGTTATAATTCCAACAAGCATCAACAAATAGGCTTGAATGGACCCAATCCAAGAAATGTTGGAAGATGTCTGTGTAAATAATTCACCAGATTCATAGTAAGTTTGATAAGCACCGAAACTGTTTGTCAATCCCCATGTACAAAACACCAAAACAAAGGATCCCACTACTTGAGACCATGCAAGGAGACCACCATCGGGGTACTCCTCAATTGCGATTTCTACTTCAAATCCATTTCCCTTCGATTGGTTACTCTCCCCAACACTTGATATACTGTCCATATTTTGTCGTTCCCTCTCTTTCTCTAGTATCACTTCCACTCTTCCAAATTATTTTAGTCGAGTTATTATACATTTACATATAAATAAATGTATATCAGCAAGAATTATTAGACTATTTAGGATTAAACCACCAGTCACATCTTTAAATGCACTCTCTGTTCAAGAATACTATCCCATATATAATTATATATGGTGGTAAATATGATACTTTAACAGCAATAAGAGTTGCATATAAACAATTACAAATGGCTACCTTCTAATTTCATAAAAGTTTCAAACGCAATACTAAATTTGAATATTTGACGTACATTATTACTTAATTAGATTATTAAATATCGTACACCATTACATAATGGACACTTGAATAGGATATATAATTTACGAGTCAAAATGTTTATAATCATCATCAGTTAGGAAACTGTTTTCAACTTACCAAGCTAAAAGGAACCCCTCATTCTGTATCTCAGTGTGTCTACCTGCTGCATCTCCTCTGTCATCAAGGATTAGGTAATTGACTTTCTTCTCATTATAAATCAATTAATGTCGCTTTGTCATGAGATTACTAATTTTCGATGATATCTGAGTAAGGGGAAGAGCTAAGAAAAGACGCGGAGAGAAGGAAACTAAAAACAAAACAGCAATTCCAGTCACGTGATTTTTAGTCAGAATATAACATGACTAAACTACAATCATTGATAATGATTAACTCACATTCAAGGATTTTTTTAGTAATAAATAACATTTTTGGTTTGTCAGTTTTGGGATGATCAAGAATATGATCCTGGGGCAAAATTCCTGAAATTTCTACAATCAACCAGGTATATAAAGACTAGATAGTACGTCGATTATAAATATATGTTTTAACTCAATAGAATAATCTTTTTATATAACATACTATCGTCACAATTGATTACACCACCAAACCAAACAAATTACTAAAAGTATATTGAAAATGTCAGCTCCAAGAAACATTCTTTACACTCATGATATCTTTATCAGAACCATTGTCCCAGAATGTTTGATTTCTTACTTCAACCTGGATTTCGAAGTAGTTGAAATCGATGAAGCAAAAGAGCAATATGCTATAGATTTTCCAATTAAAACAACCCCAGCTTTGAAATTAAAGGACGGATCTAAGTTCTTTGAACAACTTGCCGTCAATGAGTATTTGGTCCGTTCTACTGGCAACGAAGCTGAAATCAAGCAATTACTAGGTTCCTGTGATGATTTACTTAATCAAGCCAATATTAACAGCGTCGCTTCCTTCGGTGGTTCTGACGTGTTAAATATTCTGGCTGGTTATGTTAAGCCTTACATTGGTATGCTACCTTACGATGAAGCTCGCGAACATAGAGCTTTAGAAAAACTTAACATCTTTTACCAATTTTTTGAAGAAAAATTAGCCACCAATAAGTATTTAACTGGGGATGAAATTACAATGGCTGATTTGATCACTGCTACCAGTCTGAAATTAGGTTTTGCTTTTATGTTCGGTAGGGAATGGAGAGATGAGCATAAATCTCTGACTGAATGGTTCGAAAATGTTATCCATTCCAAATACTTAGAATCTCATTTCAAGGATTTCAAGTATCCTGATGTTCCACCCACCCTATAATGTTACTTACAGTATACATATTTTTAAAAATTTTATAGATTATATCTTATATTTTCTTTTATAGATAGAATAATTGTCAGAATCTTTAGCAAACCTATAAATGTCAGTAGCACTACTAAAAAGTCGTGCAGCGGATAATTTTTCTTCTTCCGAAGATCTACCAGAGATTAAATAATGATATACAAAGAAAAGAATCGGGCACAATGTAAAACATAAAACCACTAATTAAATAATGTATTCAATATATATATATATATTGTTAAGCAGTCAAAGAAAGAGTTTCCAAATTCAGCACAACTCTGACTACCCATTTCAACCCAATAATGAGTTTCAAGAGATCACTAAAGGAAATATTGGACTCAGAATACGTAGAGAATAGTGATTCTGAAGTCGAGGAACAGAATGACGAAATCAACCAAGATGATGAGTTAAATGAGGAAATTGACCCATCCCTTTGTATCGAATGTAGGGACATGAAAACCGAAATTCTGTGTAAGGATTGTGATGAGCATTTTTGCGTTGTTTGTTTCGAAATGTTACATAGAGGTGGTAAGCGTAAATTCCATGAATATGTGAAGATTAAAACTGATACTAATAAAGAAAATTCGAACCAAAACGAACAAGAACAGAAGAATATCCAAGATTCTACTAATGGTGAACAAGATGCAAACCGTGTAGAAGAAAATGAAAACACACAAACAGTTTCGGATACTCCAAACTCAATGAATGAAAGGCTTTTAGGAATCCTAAAAGGAAACGCTAAATTTATACCGATGAGATTGACATATGATGAGAGACATCTGCTAAGATTATTAGAGGCTGCATTACAAGTATCCGAATACACAGATCGTGTCGATATCCTTTCAAACAGACCGAAGTCCAAGAGAATTGTAGATCAATTGAAGGAAATCTGTTCAGTTTTGACCGGTTTGGTTATTGCATCCAATCTAAAGATTGGTAAAAAACTTTTAGAGATGAGAAATTTTTCTGATAATGCTAAGTGGTTTCAAGATGTCTTCGAAATCGGGAGACGTTATAAAATTATGAACCCTGAGAGGATGAGGGATACTTATGGTAAACTTTGCTATATGGTTATGGATTCTAGATTACCTCAGATTGAGGACCACATGGAGTTTCATCTTTTTAAACCTATTCTTACTGTCGAGACGTTCTTAACTTCAAGAGGTGAGGGTAGTAAGAATCAGATGGATCTGTTCAATGATACTATGATCTTCTATGCCACCAGTCATATTTCTCCTGTAGGCAAAACAAGATCCTACATTAATAAATTGATAAAACAGAAGGAGCACGCCATTGAGACATTGGCATCAAAATATTCTAGTTCGCTATATTCTAAAGATGATATTCGTCAAGTACTTTACTCGATCGGTGATTATAATGCATTTGTAAATATGAACAGAAAACCTGTAATGAGAATGTTAGAAAGATTAGATGTTTTTCTTCAACCTGAAGTCGAAACCAAATATTCGATTGGGATTCAATATGGTAGGGACGGTGCTCGTTTAACCCACGACCATAAGAGACAATGGCATTACGTTCAACAGTCCTTAACCATTTGGTCAATTATTCAGAGGGAGATGATCCGTCTTTGGTATATTGCTGACTCTGATTTATTTGATGGTTCTGCGTATAGACTAGCATCTACAGGACATGGTCTTAACCGTATAAAGCCATGCCCTGGTATTTATAGAGAAATGCACAAGATCTTGACTGAGTGTAGATCAAGGACGGAAACTTGGATCGGTTCCTCTGTAGTTCACTTAGGTGATGATGCTGTACCAAACGCTTTATTTTTCCTTGATAAATATACTCAAGTCCCAAGTATATTGATTCCTTTTGATCAAACATTACTAAAGATAAATGGATTGGTCAAAAACGACACATATATTTTAGAATATATTAATAAGGAGTACGGTTCTGTGGATGACTTAAAACTAACCATCTTACAAGATGCATTTGCACACATGTTTGATGGTTCAGGTGCCGACAATTTCTATATGAGCGGTTCCTGTATTGATGGTAGATTAACATCTGCTTGGAATCATTGTAATGAAATATCCAAGAAAAAATACTTCAATATTTTCCTACTAACAGGCTTTAATGGTTTCAACGGCAGTGAAGGATTCTGATTTATCAAAGAAGAATGAAAGGTTAAGTATTGATGTTAGTAAATATATAAAACGTATAGTAATAAAATTTTCAACCGTCAGTAGTTCATATTTTCACAAAAAAAAAGAAAATACAACAAAACAATTCGCAAATTAATTCTTATTTTCGTTATATCTTTATCTATTACACAAAGCGTGCATAATAGTTTACATATTCAGTATTTAGATCTTATTTACAACAAGGTTACTTAGTCATTGGGTCTTTCTCATCACTATCGTAAGCAGAATCATTGATATTTTCATAAGAGATAGCTCTGTCTTCTAATGAAATATCTCCCATTTCTTTCTTTAAATCTTTTACTAAATTCGATTTAATTTCCAAATGTTCGTCTTCATCGGGAGAATGAACGTCTAGCAATTTTTCTTCTTCATTTTGTCTGTCTATTAATTCTTTAGCAAGATCACCAGAAATACTATTTCTTGGTGTGAGACCAGTCTTGGTACCACCGATTCTATGCGTTCTCTTTTCTTCTTCTGATAATTCTAGAATGTTAGCTGTGAAATTAACTAATGATTTAGCACTCTTACGTCTTGCCCATCTTCTATACTGATTACCATCCACAATTGGGGATTCAGTCAATGCTGGAGAAGTAGCAGACGATAATGAAACAGATGATCTTGGAGTACGTGGTAATCTAACACATGATAAACCGACATCATTAATTAGTTTAGCAACGACTGCAGTCCAACCACATTGATGTGATGCACCTAATCCTCTACCCGTATCACCATCGAAATATTCGTAGAAAGAGATGTAATCTTTGAAATTTTCATCATTTGATAGTAAATTAGAATGTTCACCGAAGTAAATGGCACGTTCACCATTTTCATCCTTAATGAACATAGAAATCATACGGTATGCGATCTCTTCAGCGACTTCGGCAAGATTCAAAAATTCACCAGAACCAACAGGGCATTCAACTTTAAAGTCAGAACCGTAGTAAAGATAAAATCTCTGTAATGATTCAATAATTAAGAAAGATGTTGGGAACCAAATTGGACCTCTCCAATTAGAATTACCACCAAACATACCCGAATTTGATTCAGCTGGTAAATAACCAACTCTGTATTCAGAATTATGAACTTCCATTTTGAACGGATGTTTTTCATGATATTTAGATAGAGAACGTATACCATAATCGGAGAAGAATTCACTTTCATCTAACATTCTTGTTAAAATAGCCTGTAGTCTTTCTTTTGTTACCAAAGATAACAATAATCTTTCACCAACACCTCTCTTTGACATAGATGCAATGTTTCTACCAAAAATTTCAGGTCTATTTTCAACAAACCAATCAACTCTTTTCTTAAATGATGGGAAACGGTTAATAATGCCTGGTTCTAAAGTCATAGCTGCATATAACGGGATTAATCCAACTAAAGATCTAATTGGTAATTGTTGTTTGTTATCTTCACCCCATGAAATAGCATCATAATAGAATTGATCCTTTTCATTCCACAAATTTTGTTTAATGAAATCAACACAACCCTTTTCATCATTTTCAATGGTGTATTCAAATGACATTGAGTCACTAATTAGAATGAAATGTTCAAAGAATTTAGATGCGATAGATTCATAAACTGGATTTTCCTTAGCTAATTCTAATGCCATATTTAACATTTGTAAAGAAAAGAAAGCCATCCAACCGGTAGAATCGGCTTGTTCTAATGTACCACCAGTTGGTAAAGGTTCGGATCTATTAAATACCCCAATATTATCCAAACCTAAAAACCCACCTTCAAAGACATTATTATCATTACCATCTTTACGATTAACCCACCAAGTAAAATTTAAAAGTAATTTTTGGAAAACTGATTCTAAGAAAGGACGATCTTCACGACCATATAAATTTCTTTCGATTTTAAATACACGATAAGTTGCCCAAGCATGAACTGGTGGATTAACATCATTAAAATTCCATTCATAAGCTGGAATTTGACCATTTGGATGCATATACCATTCTCTTGTTAATAAATCCAATTGTTTCTTAGCAAATTCAGGATCAACCATAGCTAATGGAATGCAATGGAATGCTGAATCCCAAGAAGCAAAAAATGGATATTCCCATTTATCAGGCATAGAAAGAATATCTTCAATATACATATGTTGCCATTTTTTATTTCTCCCATTAGCTCTATTTGGAGGAGGTTTAACTTTTGCATTTCTATCACCATTATACCATTCTCTCCAAACAAAATTATAAAATTGTTTTGTCCATAAAAGCCCTGCCATTGCTTGTCTTTGAATTAATCTTAATTCTTCACTTACTGGTAAAGGATTAATTCTCCAATAAAAATTATCAGCTTCTTCTTCACGTCTATCGAAAGTTTGATCGAATTCATCTTCATCAACAACTGCCATACCTGGGACATGATAAATTTTATTTTTAAAATCATTTGTAAATTTATATCTTACTGTAACATATTCACCAGGTGGAACATTCTTAAAATGATAACAAGCACCAGCTTTAGTACCTACATTTTCTGGATTTACTGCAGTTTTATCACCATTAATTAAATATTCTTCAAAAGCATCTTTAGTATATTTTGATGGATTTTCTTTTTCTTTAAATAATTTAATTAAATTACTTTCATTTTCTGTAAACAGTAATTCGGGATCAATATCTTCAGCTTCTTCAATTGCTTCATCATCATCACCAAATCCACCTGGAGATGGTTGAAATACAATTTGAGTTTCACCAAATTTCGGATGTTTAACATGAATTAAATTTGAATCTTTTGAATCTTTTTCAAGAATTGGTTTTATACATTTGTTTGTACTTTCAAAGGCCCAAGTATTTCTGAAAAAAATTTGTGGCATAATATATAATTCTCCAGAATCTCTTTCACTTCTATTATGTACAGTAATTCTAAAATTTAATTCATCAGAATTTTCATCGTCTTTTGCCATTTCAAAAAAGACGTCATAATAAGGACTATCACCTGTCTTTGAATCTTTGAATAATCCATCAATATCATAAATTTCATATTCTAAATCCTCATAACCACGTTTCCCATTTTCTTCAACTAATTCTTTATATGGGAAGGGTTTCATAAATGGATATTTATAAAGTGCTTTCATATAAGCATGAGATGGTAAATTATCTAAATAATAATATAATTCTTTAACATCTTCACCATGGTTACCTTGAGGACCTGTTAAACCAAACATTCTTTCTTTCAATCTTTCATCTTTCCCATTCCATAAAGCAACATTCATACAAACCAATTGTTTATTATCAGAAACACCAAAGATACCATCTTCACCCCATCTAAAGACTCTTGCATTAGCATGTTCAAATGGGAAATTTGACCAAGCATCACCATTAAAAGAATAATCTTCACGAACTGTAGCCCAACTTCTTTCACTTAAATAAGGACCCCATCTATACCAAAATTTTTCATGATTTTTATTTTGATGTAATCTTTGTTCCTCGACAGTTGAGTCTATCAATTGTTGATTCATTTTCCTTTCTTTTCTTGCTATGATAATTCTCAATAAGATTATAGCAATTGAAACAATAAAATAATGTGTTTTTTTAAAAGGGTATGAGGAAAACTAAATATATATATAGATATATCTAAATTATTCTCCCTATATATATATAGATAGATAAAGATGTGTTAAGTTAATTATTGTCTATTAATTATCCAATACATACATTTTAGGGGATGGATATGGTCGGGGTTTTGAATAGAGGGGTGTAAAAAAGTAAAAAAAAAGATAATAAAAGAAAAAAATTAAGGGAGGAATACTATATACTTGAAGGGGATAGCGATAGAGATATGTAACTAAAAGTAATGAACTTGAAGTTTCCTTATTAGATCTAGATCGGTATATTTTACTAATAGCTTGTAATGTAGAGATGTAATAATAAAAAGAAGAAGAAGAAGAAGAGGAAGATAAAGATACGGTTTGTTTTTAGAAAAGATGAACAGTTATTATTATCATTAATAGAATACTTATATATAGATATATATGTGTGTGATTAAATAATATCAATTAAGTAGTATATGTTTTTTTAATATTCATTAATTCTTTTCTAAGAAGATAAAAAAAATTAAGTGCAAAAAAAAATGTTAAAAAAAGAAGTAAAAAAAAAAGTTATATGAATAGCATTATAATGTGTCATGAATGAATTGCTTTGCAAAATAGCATTTGTCGTAAAGAAGTTGTAATAAATCTTTCCTCCTCTTTTCGTAACAGAGAGGGAAAGAAATTAATAAGGGTGAATGAATAATATCTTAATATACAGAGATAGAATATAAAAAATGGTCATTTTAAAATTAAAATGATGATAACCATAATCTATAATTTTGTTGAGCAACATTTGCATATGAATCTATTATATTTTCATAAGAACCTTTTGAACTTGATAAAATATTGTTATTACTATTTTCATTTTTAAATTCAATTTCATTCTTATTAAAATTAGTGGTGACATCATGATTTTCAAAACCACCTGTAATAAAATTAACTTTTGGAGTAATGATTGTAGCATTATTATTGTCAGTTGTTGTATCGAGATCCATTATAAAATCTTGGTGAATAAAATCATCGTTATTATTTGAATCTAATAAATTTATTGAATTATTTGCAAATGATAATGCAAACATATCATTATCGTCTATCGTACTAGAATTATTATCACTATCTTTAATTAGTGACATTTTATGTGTAGATTATTATTGCAATATATATATATATATTCAATAAGTCAATGCAGAAAAAAAAATAATTTTTTTTTGTAATTAAATGAACGAAAGTTAAATCACACAGATGTAATTATATGTTAATTTTGTTATTATTATAAACAAAATATTATTATTATTATTATTTTTTTTTTTTCAATTAAATAAGACCAAGTTCAATAAATGATAATACAATAAACAAATCATTTGCTGAATGCATACTCATATATATATATATTAATATTGTTTTATCTAATCACACAAATTATTTTTTTTTCAATTTGAAATAAATCGGGTGCTCTGTATGACCCATAAATGTAAACAATAATTAAAGATAGACAAAAACACGGAATGTTGATAAAAGAGAGATAATTTAGTAATAATAATATTATTATTATCATCATGCAAGTAAAAGGAAATTAAATTTATCTCTTTTACTGTGTGTGTGTGTATGCATATAAATTAACGGGTGATAAACCATGTGGTTAATATCCCAAAAAATATATTATTTTAGCAGAAAACGTTTACTCTGTTTACTAATCACAGCTAAATTAATTAAAAGAGAAGGAATTCGCTCTCTTTCTGTTGAACACAACGTGTTTTTACAAAAAAAAATTCAGTCTCTCTTCTCTGTTTCTTTAGCGTAGTTTTTGTGTGTGGAGAGAAGAAAGCCACATGTGGAATTAATATAAAATTACGCGGGTTCAGAAATAACTAATTATGTTAAAAACGGGAATAAATTAGTACGTCAAGATAAAGATAAAAAAAACTGTGGAAAAATTGAAAAATGAAAAATTTTGTGTTTTTTTTGTTAAGGAGTCTATTTCTGCGTGTGCGAAGTTAATACTTTTTTTGCATGGATGTGAAATTTGTATTTGGCTGGGGGGAGTGGGGGAGAGAGAACCGGGGGGGTCACTATTTACGCTTCCAGAGTTTTCTCTTGTCCGTTATATTGAAATCACTCACTAACGTATACAGCGTGTATTTTGGAGATCTCTCACCATGTGTGCCCGCGTGTTTATAATTCATTTTTGTATTTTCGTGACACACACACACACACACCCTCGTAATTTGAACGATTCCCGCGTGGTTAATAGCCAAATTAATAGTTTCTTAGTAATTTTTTCACTCTATTTCTCCACTATCCTTCCTCCCCCTCCCCCATGTGGGGTAGATCCCCTCTAATAACTTTCCCCCTTTTTGTATTCCTCTCCGTATTTAATTGTTTATTGACTGTCACGAGTTTGGCAACAACAACAATGTTTTTTCTATTCTTGTAGGTTATAGTATTTTGATTGATTTAATTACATATATATATTGTTATACACAATACAATTTAGGAAAAAAGAATGGGCCAGTTACTTGAATAGATAATGAAAGGCAAAATGTAATTTAGTACGTAAAGCAATCTATGACAATAATATTAATAGTATCCCACGAATATTGCAGGCTTTATTACATGGATATATATTCCATGGATCACGTTGTCAGTTTTCTACTAAAGTATTGTTATTAGCTACACGTTATGTAAACTCATTGGATTGCACTGACAAACCCACGCTCTCTGTGTACTGTCCTAACCTCGTGGATCGGCAAGAAGGGTTCTCAAGCAGTGTTTGTTTTTCATCGTGTTTCCTTTTTCTCTTAAACTTTAAAAATAACAATAAAATGGACAACGAGCCAAGAAAATTACTTGAAAGAACAAAAAGAAAATTATATATATATATATATATGAGGTATTCTACGGGGGAGGGGGTCTTTCATTCTTTGTCCTGTATATCCTTGCATCATTCGTGTTTATTCGTATCTACCACATGGACTGAAAGGTTTCTAAACTTTGTTCCTCCCTTTAACTTGAAGCAAGAATATTTCAGGTCCTGCAGTTTTACTTTCTTGAATTTATTAAATGAATAGTTTACAGGAGAAACTAATCTTATCCTCTTTCCTACAACTGAAAATGGCAATTAATAAACAAAGGAACCCCCCCCCCAGCGTTACTGAAAAAAATGGCTGGATCTCTATCTTATTTTAATATGAAATAAATATTATTAATCATGAAACGCGTAGTTAAATTTTAATATACCGATATATTGTTACCCTTCTTCAATTAAGAAATGTTCTTAATCTTACATGTGCTCTGTGACTGTTACTACTAAATAACGCCAATGTATTTCTCTGATTTAAAAAAATACGAACATATAGGAAATTGGCATTTATCATGTTAGGTTCGAACTTTGAATACACTCGCGTCCTCCCTTAAAATACAACAAGACAACTATACATATATATATAATTAAAAAATGTGCATGAAGAAATATCTAATCATAACTTATATTAATTCACAGTTCTAGTGTAGATACTTTTCAGACTCCTCATTAAAATTTCATTAGATGAAATTAAAATAAAAATTAATCTAAGATCTGCCGCGAGCACGACAGTAGAGTAGCTAGTACCCTACTGTACTATTTTACGAATAAAAAGTATAGGTCCACTGGCTTATTTCATCCCGTACAAACCGTGACTCTGGGCGTCTAGTTGAAAAACATTGTACCCTCTTTAGCAAAAAAAGAAAAATAAAAAAAGATTTTTTTTAAAATATATAAAATATACAATCAATAAAATTAATTTTGTTTAAAAAAAATATCATCATCCTTCCTTTTATATAATGACCTTTGAACAGTAAATTTTAGCTAATAAGCAAAAAATCAAGAAAATTTTTTACGAAAAAAAAAATCCTGAACAAGAGGGTAACCTTGAAATATATTACAGATATTTATAGAGGGCTTGTAATATATATTTTATATACCAAATAATCCACTAATGTTAGATGATAACAATTAATTACGTCATGTTCTTCCTTTGAAAATATCTGATACAATAATCTCTGATTATTGGTAATACCTATGATGTTCTTTATAGAACAAAAAATAAAATACATATATAGAAAATAATTAGGGTTCTGTTTAAAAAATAAAAACAGAATCAAAAAGAAAACTAAATACTTGAAAATATAACTATTGAAATTAATATATTTTTATATTGGTGATTATATTAATGAATATCATGATATACCTGTATCCTTTAATAATAATTATGATAAAGAATGTAAGAAGAGAAAAAATGAAACGTTAAAATCAAAAATTAGAAATAAAACATATATTGATAATTAATAATTAATAACCAAAGTTTTTACTATTTTTTTAATTATTACAAAATTCTTATACATCGCTTAATGACGACGAGAAGCAGCAATGACGTTGTTCATTTCTTCAACCTTAGCCTTAGCTCTCTTTAGAGTACCTAATCTCTTCTTAGCAACCTTCTTGGCCTTCTTTTCACCGGTGTTTCTTAGAACATCGATCAATCTTCTTTCGTATGGAGCTAGACCAGCGATTTCTCTAACAAGAGAACGGACGAACTTAGTTCTGTTAGAAGAAGCACCCTTCTTGTAAGAAATCTTAGCAGCTGGGGTCATAGCAGTAACTTGCTTACCCTTGTTCAAACCAACAGCGATACCTGTAAATAAAATATTATAACACAATAATCAAACATTCATATTGAAAGTGAATTAATTATTGTTTTTTGTATTGTTAGTATTTCGAAATTTAAGTTGTTCATTTATAACTGCATATACACATAATCTAACAATTATGGTAGGTGCAGTTGAAGAAAATAAGCATGAATAAGGAGAAGTATGGTATATCCTCTTTGAGGATTTGTTTAATATGATGATGTGTAATATCATATTCTGCGGATGCGCCCCAGATTTGTAGTTTTATTTATTTGGTATTCTTATTGCCCATCTTTTAACGCAACTCAAAAATGTATCTCTAAATATTGTAATTCTATATCGACTCTCTTTATTCATCATAAAATAATAATGCATATCCATTTCTAGTTTATCTCCATAGACTCTTTTAAATATCTTCAAACACAGAAAACTCATCATATATTTCATTTAAACCTAATTCATAACTCGCTCATTTAACTATTTTCTATCACATCGTCTATTACATACCAGTCTTGACAGCCATTTTTGTTATACTTGTATATGGTTCTTTTTATTTGTGATATTAAAATTCAATATACTATTTTTTAATAAGTGAAGTTCTTGTATAAGAGTAGATATTGAAAGTTTCAATGTTGCGCGATCGGTCATCTTCCATTTTTCCTCGAAAATTATGTATTATCCGAAACAGAAAAATAGAGAAAATTTAGAAAAAAAAATATTTTTATCAAAAAAACAAAAAAATAAAATTGTTTTTCATAATTGAAGGATGTACGGATGGAAAAACAGTCACAACATTTTTGGCTTCGTAAATATCTGTCCAAACATAGACCAGTAACAACAGTAGTTTTAAGAATAATGTTATTTCTTGTTATAGAGATATTTATTTATTTACATGTATTTTACGACATTTTATGTGCCTTTACTACACTCTTTTGGCAACAAGTATCCTGATATATGTGATCAATTCTCTTGTAGCGATACAGTAGATAGATCGAAATTATAGTCGTCTAATTTACTTAGAACTTGCTCAATAGTGCAGCCATAATAAGAATCTGCATACGATTTTCTGGTAATCTTAATGCCATCAGCAAGCTTCTCTAATTTTTCTAATGGGAATAACAAACCTAGTAAACTATTCTTGCTCTTAATAACTTTTAATGGTTTACCATTTATGATCCCATCATAGTATATAACAACATCCTTACCATCTTTACCCTTTACCACTTGCATATCTTTTAAATAATCTTTGCTTCTTCTTTCCTTCTCCTTTAATATACTGTAACGTAGTTTCCAACCAGCGGGACCTAATTCCTTGATTCTGGCAGGCTTGTCTTTTATTAAATAGTTATCAATACCACCTTCTTTACTAATGGTTCGAAGAACACTTGCTGTCAATTTTATATCGATCTTCTTATTCAGAATCTCACTCCATAATCCCTTTCTTACAATGTTTGGAAGCCAATTTCTTCTAGTTTTATGTTTACTTTCAGATATACTGTTACCAAATTGAATAAAAGAACCACCGAACAAACCCTTTGCACTTCTTTTAAAGACAGTCGGCTCGCCATATTTATAATCAGGGAACTTCTTATCTCTTCTTGGAACGTAATGGGGTTTAGAATCACCTACCTGGTAATTAGGTTGAACTGCAACCCTTCTAGTTTCTACGAGCTTCCATTGCTTCGACACGGTAACTGCAGAGGAGAAGGCCCTCTTGTTACAGCAATCTTTTAATAAATTCATACTTGAACCCTTGTAGCTTTAACAGCTCTCTTTTACAGTTTAATTGTTTAGTTGTTTGCTTTTGATATACTCCCTTTATCCTATGCATAGATATTATATTTCAATTCGTTTGAATGCTATCCGGCCTTCATAAGGAATATAATATAACACCCGGACACCGCATAATGCAACTATTCCCACAATGCAATGTTGCATGCCACTTTCCAAAACTCTGTTACACATAAACTATTAAAATGAAGTCTAGTTATATATATTAATTTTCAATTTGTATGTATGTAGATTAAGTTCAATTCATTTAAAGACTTTTTTTAAACCAGTCCAGCCCCCAGAAAGAAGTGGGCTTTTGAATGCACTGGATGAGATACCGTTCGCAGCATCATAGTCTATTCCTTCAGCAGTAGCTGTCTTTATATCGCTTATCAATTTCTCCAGACTGGTTATACGATCTTGGTAGATCAAATTTTGTTGCATAACCTTACCATTCTTCTTTAAAGTCATTTCTAAATCCTTTTGAATATCACTAGGGACTAGGATACTAGTATTACTATTATTTTTCTTTATCTGTGTATCTAATTGTTTTCTTAATTGTAAAATTTCCATTTTCATCCTTGTATTCGCTTCAGTAACACCTTCGATCTTTATGTGATTTTGTAACAACTCATTAGCGATTGTAACATGTTCTCTATTAAGTGACGTATAATCTCTCTCTAATTCACGCACTTCATTTTGCAATTTGAAGTTTTCATCTCTCATTTGTTGAAATTGTTCTTCTTGTGCAAGCTCATTCCTATGAATCTCCACATATTCGTCACTGTAACGTTTCAGTAACTCTGGTGTAATTCTAGTCTTTTCGATCGCGTCAGTGACGAATTGGTGAACATCAAAATTATCCTCTGTCAGCACAATTAGCCTCTTGTATTCAACACTGGACGCATCACTCTCATTATTTAGGTCTGTATCTTCCTCATTCTTAGCAGAGATTTCACTTTCATCCTCAGTAGTATCTTTTTGGACATATGGTTCAAATAGCCTATTCTTGCAATAAAAGAACAAGTCATCAAATTCAAGTTGTAGTAAGTTATCTTCGTTTTTCATCATTAAAGCCAACGAAAATTTCAACAAAGCTGGTATACCTTCAAGAACTACCACATCTAGAATTTGGGGAATATATTTTACAGGTAGTGTCGATGCGAAACTGCTTAAAAGCCAATCAGAAGCAAACATTGATGAACGAAGACCCTTCTTGATCAAATGTGTATAAAGATCATGACAATTCTCTTCTAATAGTCTATCGAATTGATATAGTAACATTGCCAAGTTCTCGCTATTTTCCGAATACAAAGCCACCCAATCGTATGATTTCAATAGTGTTACCATCACACCAAATGAATCCAACTCATTCTCGTACACTTTATATATTGTCACGGCCAAGGCAATTGCTTGAGATGTAGGTTGAATTGTGGCATCCAATGACACTAATGCAGACAATATATTGAAAACTGATTCGATATCCGTTTCTTGTAATCCTTGATAACCTTGGATTTGTTTCACTATAAAATCGTTATCTTTAATGCTTGTTTTCCCCTCTAGAGCCTTGTAAATTGGCTCCCAATCACGACAATACCCTAAAGTTAAAGATTTCCATAATAAAGGACGTAATGTAGGATCGATTCCTTTAATAATTTCATTTTGCAGTGTATCTGCCGCAATAGGTATATTTTGAACAGGATCATTTATGATATTAATCCAAATTGAATCATTTGAGTCACTCTGTGATATTATGTCTTCTTTAGGTCTCTCGACAAATCTGTCATTATCCTTTAGATCCTTTATTGTCAAATCTAGTCTGTTTAGAATCATACTCTTTTGATTTAGAGGCTCTGAATTAGAAGTGTGTGATAAGTTGTCTTCTAAAGACGATGTTCTTGCCGGTAATGGTGGCGGAGCTAGTCCCTCCTGTGGCGTTGATGCAATGTCTGTGTGTCTTGGAGGTAAAGCTGGTACTGAAGAGGTGATGGTCGACTCAGTTCCATCATTCTGTGGACCCAATTCTATTATTTCATCACCCATTGATCCTTCTGTGTTATCTGGTTGTTGCTCATCTTTGCTATGTTCAACGATTAGTTCAGGTTCTTTATTAGGGAAATTTTCATCTATTTCTTTCTGAATTATAGTACTTTCTTTTTCTACCAAAGAAGCACTATCCTCATCATTGGTTTCTATCGAAGTTACAACTTGTTGGATATCATCTACAGTAGTAGTAGGTTCTTTCATAGAATCATTCTTTTGGATATCTGTAGATTGTTCTTCTGTAACAGGTGATCCAGGGATGTTTACTATTTCTTCTTTTCCTGGTTCAGTTTCAGTTACTTCTCTTTCAACGGTTTCATTTGCATCTGTCGAAACAGCAACATTTTCAGCATCGTTATTAGTTGTATTTTGTTCAATGGAATCCTTTTTAATGTGAACATCGTCCCCTGGATTCTTAATTTCATTTCCAGTATCATCATCATCCATTTCAATTTCATTATCAGATCCCTCTTTTTCTCCTTTCTCAACAGGTTGAACACTCACTTCTGTTTCAGGTGCATCATCGAGATCTACCTCATCCTCTCCTGCTTCAACTGTTTCTTGTTCTTCATTATTTGTATTATTATCATCAGCCGACTGTTCCAATTCAATTTCATTACTTTGAATATTATTCTCCTCAGGTTTGTTATTATCATCATCCACTACCTTCTCGGTTGGGTCATTCAAATTTACTTGGGAATCATTATTCTTATTCTTCTTATTCTTATTTCTTTGTTTCTTTTTGTTATTGTTCCTGGCCATCCTGAAAAATGTAACGTAAAAAACTGTAAAGACGATACAGTAGTTCTTCTTCAAGAATAATCAATTAAAAATATAATGTGTATTTAAATGTTTCAATTTACTAAACTTCCTAATAATCTATTCTTCTTTTCAATAATTTTCAAGACTGCCTTCTCTTTATACTGTGTCAAACAGTTGAATCCCCCTAAGCCCTTCTTCCTCTTCTTACTTTCCCGAACTGTAAATTCAAATTTCCTTTTTTTTCCTATCATCGCTAGTAATAATAAATTTAAATATTTAGTTATATGTGTAGATACACAGAAGAGATCCCTTTTTTTACTATAAATATAACCATCTGTATACCTTATCTCGAGAAACAAGGCTGGATTTACTTGACATATCACAAGGCCATGTCTGGCTATACTTGTCATCGAGACATTGTTAAACAAGAAAATATAAAGCATGCCTATGTAGCCCAGTTCTGTTAATCATACATGCTTGACAGAACGCCAAACTATAAGTTTCTATTGAGAGTTCAAGGTGTAACAAACATGAAACATATATAGAATGTCATTACGACTATCCCATCCAACATATACTACATAGTAAAGAATACCACTTCTTCTTGTTCAATGTAATCAACATTTAGATAATCGCGGTTCACTTACTATGTAATTTGTAAGAAAAAAACGTTATATACGCGAAATGTACCAGTTTAACGCTTAGCGATTACATACAATATTTTTTGTTTTTTGCTTTTTGTATGCGATGATGAGGTAATTGGTAAATAAATATTTACACTGAATCAATAATATATATGATATTGTTTCTGACCAAGGTTAAAAAGTTACACGGATCGAGAGATATAGCCACATTGAGTTCTTTTTTTTCATTTAATTAATTGGATAATTAGTAGGCTGAATCTTTTTTTGGAGGTTTTCTAATTTAGTATCGTTCTGATTTAAAAAATAGAACCAGGGTCCCTACATAACAACTACAAAAAAGTTTCGAAGATATATATTCTATTATGGTAACTAAACCGTCCCATAATTTACGTAGAGAACATAAATGGTTGAAAGAAACCCAATCGATACAACGGGATCATAATTTATTAGTATCAATATTAGGAAGAAAAATAACTAATACTGATGTACGAAGATCAACCACTTATAATAGTGATCGTTCGAGGACTACTATAAATAAGAAGAATTCTACCGTGGTAAGGGATTCAAATAATGGTACTCCCATTACACCTGTTATTCCATGGAGTATACCTCAACAATCTAATACAGTCATAAGTAATACTAGTACAACTTCAATTCCTCCTGTTGCGATAGTGTCGAGTACGCCCACTTTCAATAATCAAAGTAACAATAGCCTTATCAATAATAACATTCAATATAATAATAATAATAATTCAAACACAATTGCTACGTCGATACATAATGTAGGACCTAATGTCAGCATGACTGAAAACTTAAATAATAAAAGTCGAATTCAAGGATTTCAAAACAGCAATACTGCTACTAATAATAATAATAATAACAATAATAATAACTTCACAAAAGAAAATATACCACCATTGATAAATAGTACTAATGAATTATCAACAAATACTAGCCATCCGTATAATAAAGACATTATTAAATCACAAAAAAAATTAATTGATAAATTGAAATCACATTCCATTTTATTATTATCTAAATGTAATATAATGGAATCAACTTCTTTATCTGAAGATTCCAAGAGAAGTAAACTTAATAATGAAATTAATCCACAAATTATTAAAGATGAAGCTGAAATTAAAATTTTAGAATTAGAATTAAAGAAATTATACAAGAAAGAAGTAAAATCTCAAATTACCACGATTTCTGTTTCAACAAATATTGAATCTACTATATCTGAACCTGTAAGAATGAGTAACGCCAATGATTCACAAATAAATACAACGATTAATACAGCACAAGTGGCACCGGCAAGCGTTATTAGTCAACCTTTGTCTAATCATACTACAAGTACGACACAAGATGATCTAATTGAGGTTTTGGATGATGAGGATGAAGAAGAAAACGAACCTACAGTAATATATGATAAGAATGATGAATCACCAAAGCCAAATGAGGACAAAAATGACGATGACCAAAATTCTGGAAGAACCATGAGATCTAGAAATAATAAAATTAATTATAGGATACCTGAGAAGGATGATCCATTTGATTATAAAGTTGGGAAAATTGACCATAGTAGAACTCAAGAACAAGAAGGAACAGACAATGAAGATGATTTTGGTTCTAGTTACATTATGTCAGTTAGAACAGAAGACAAGATGGCTAATGATATTCTTAATGATAGCGATCGTCAATTTGTCGTTGATGATTCGGTGATGGAGGATTCTGATTCTGATTTTTCTGATGAAGCTAATTTCTTAACAGCGACAACAACTACAACAAACGAAATACAAACACAAACACAAGATAAAAATAGTACCGTTGATACTAATGTTGAAATAATTATGTCATCTCCTTTGAAACCATTAAGTCAAAATCATGTTACTAAAAACAATTTAATTAATTCGAACATCCTAGGTAGTAAATCAACACCAAGTCTATCTCAATTTACAGAACCGATATCTGTCATAGATAGCAACATGGAGTATATTTTTCGCGAAAATGGTGGTAATGAAGCAGATGAAGAGAGTGGTGATGATGAGGGCGATGACCTCTCGGATAGTGACCTTGAAAGGTTCGATGATGAAAGAGAAAATGATACGCAGGCGTTAAATATGGAGGAAGTTGATAATGAATTAAAAATTATAGCTGAGAGAAAATTAAATGAAGAAGAAGTTAGTGACTTTAAAGAAGACATTCCTCTTATTAAACAAGAACGTAATGAACAAGTTCGTGAAACAGATATATTAATAGAAGATTTAGATGATGATTTTTCTATTTTGGATGATATCGATGTTCTTCGATCCGATTCTAATAAGGTAACATCTACTTCTAACAATACCGCAAACCATAAGTATCCATGGTCAGAGGAAGTTGAATTTCGACTTCATGAAATATTCAAATTACCAGGATTTAGACCGAACCAAGAAGATGCCGTTAATGCGACTTTGAATGGGAGAGATGTCTTTGTGTTAATGCCAACTGGTGGTGGTAAGTCTTTATGTTATCAACTGCCGGCAGTTGTAAAATCTGGGAAAACAAAAGGTACCACTATTGTGATCTCACCTTTAATTTCCTTGATGCAGGATCAAGTTGAGCATCTTCTTGCAAAAAATATTAAGGCCAGTATGTTTAGTTCAAAAGGTACTGCTGAAGAAAGAAGACAAACGTTTAATTTATTTATTCACGGTTTATTAGACTTAATTTACATTTCTCCTGAGATGATAAGTGCCTCTGAACAATGTAAAAGAGCTATCAGAAAATTATACAGTGATGGAAAACTAGCAAGAGTAGTTGTTGATGAGGCACATTGTGTGTCTAACTGGGGCCATGATTTTAGACCCGATTATAAGGAACTTAATATTTTCAAAAGGGAATATCCAGATATCCCAATGATGGCTTTGACGGCAACTGCAAGTGAGCAAGTTAGGCTTGATATCAAACATAATTTAGAATTGAAGGACCCAGTGTTCCTGAAACAAAGTTTTAATAGAACAAACCTTTTCTACTCAGTCAAACCGAAAAACAAAAATACAATTAACGAAATTTGTCATGAAATTAAAACAAAGTTTAAAAATCAAACAGGTATCATATATTGTCATTCAAAGAACTCATGTGAACAAACAAGTGCACAACTTCAAAATGCAGGCATTAAATGTGCATTTTACCATGCTGGTATGGAACCAGAAGATAGATTAAGTGTTCAAAGAGCTTGGCAATCGGATGAAATTCTCGTGATTTGTGCAACTGTTGCATTTGGTATGGGTATTGATAAACCTGATGTAAGATTTGTGTATCACTTTACCGTTCCGCGCACACTTGAGGGGTACTACCAAGAAACTGGTCGTGCTGGAAGAGATGGGAAGTATTCTTATTGTACAACATACTTTAGTTTTCGGGATATTAAAACCATTCAAACGATGATTCAAAAGGATGAGAATCTTGACGAAGAAAACAGACATAAACATTTAGATAAACTACAACAAGTTATGTCATATTGTGATAATTTATCTGATTGCCGAAGGAAACTTATCCTGTCCTACTTCAATGAAAATTTTGACTCTAAGTTATGTGGGAAAAATTGTGATAATTGTAGAGATAAGGGAAACTTTGAAACTGAAGAACGGGATATTACTGACACTGCTAAAACCATAGCGAACATGATTGAAAAGATACAAAATGATAGGGTCACTTTAATACACTGTCAGGATATATTTAAGGGATCTAGAAATGCAAGAATGATGCAATCTGGACATGCAACATTGGAAGAACATGGAACAGGCAAAGATATGTTGAAATCGGAAATCGAAAGAATATTTTTCCATCTTGTTACAATCGGAGTATTGCAGGAGTATTCAGTGATGAATAATAGTGGCTTTGCATCAAGCTACGTACGTACTGGTCCAAATTTTTATAAACTTAGAGACGGAAAAATGAAGATAAGTATGAAGTTCAATGTGTCACAACGAAATTCAAGAACAAGTACCAGGGGTTCTAGCGCATCTTTGAAAACTCATGATAATCGAATAAAACAAACTCCAGTTCCAGAATTTTCAAATGCCAGAGCCCATATTCAATCGTTTACATATGCTGAAAGTACTCAACCACAAAAAAATAGAGGTGGACCAATTTCATTGGCAAATAATACGTCCTCGAAATCCCCTGAAGAACTCAGTGACATCACATTTGCATATAATAAATTACGAGAGGTCTCCCTGGAACTTGCTAATCGCGCAAATCCACCTATAAGAAATTTCTTACCAGATGGACTACTGAAAAAATTGGCCACAATTCTTCCAGCTACCCAAGAGGAGTATGTGAGTATTCCAGATGTTCAAGGTAACCTCAGAAATAAATTCAGACATATAAAACCTACGATTATGGAATTGCGTAAAAGGAGGATCCAGTTAAATGCGTCCGTTGATTTTATGGACAGTGCAAATAGCTTAATAGCCACACAAGGTAGCAGTTTACCAGAATTCCCAAGTAGTTTTGGCAAGAAGAATAATGGTACAGAAACAAGATCAAGATTTTTTCAACAAACTCAGGAAGAAAGGAATAACGATGAAATGATATTGAAGCAAATAAAAGAAACCCATTCTAGGAATATGCCAACAAAATCGACCTATTCGAATAATAATAATAGATTCAAGAAAGATAATTACACAGGAAACAAGTATAATAAAAATAGAGTAAACAAAGGTAAATATAGGCATTAATAGCATAAATAATTTTTAGCATAATTTTAACATAATTTACATTTGGTGACATCAGGCACCAGAAATAGCATATATAGGTTTATTACTTTTTTTGTCTTCCGGATAAGGAATATGCCTAATAAATTAGATTATTATACGTTACGTAAGTTTACAACATTCATATATTTACTTTTGAGAGCTTGCTACATCCTCAACACTAGGACATGTGCACATTAAATTCATATCACCATACATGTCGTCAACTCTAGCAACGACAGGCCAGAATTTATTTTGTTTCAGGAAAGGAAGTGGATAAGCGGCTTGTTCACGAGTGTACCCACGAGTGTCCCAATCTTTTGATATTAATAGATCTTCCAATGAATGTGGCGCATTCTTCAAAACCATACCCTTTGGTTGACCATTAACAAAATCATCAATTTCACCTCTGATTGATATCATTGCATCAACAAATCTGTTCAATTCATTCAAGTCTTCAGATTCGGTTGGTTCTACCATTAAAGTACCCGGAACAGGGAAAGCCAAAGTAGGAGCATGGAATCCATAGTCCTGTAGTCTCTTTGCGATATCTATAGCCTCAACGTGTTTATCTTTAAATTCTCTTAAATCTATAATAAACTCATGAGCACAATGCTTGGAGACTCTATCCTCTTCACTAATAAATAAGATTTTATAGTGTTCCTTCAAACGTTCAACTAAATAATTAGCATTTAAAATAGCCATGGAACTCACAAAAGGAACACCTTGGTTACCTAACATTTTGATAAATGCAAAGGATATTGGTAATACCAATGAATTACCAAAAGCAGAGGAACAGACAGCATCAATTGATTTTTCACCGGCACCTTCAATTTTCGTTATGTCATGACCTGGTAAGTATGGTTGTAAATGGGATTTAACCCCAATGGCACCAACACCTGGACCACCACCACCATGAGGAATAGCAAATGTCTTATGTAGATTTAGGTGACAGACATCAGCGCCAAGGAAAGCTGGAGAGGTAAGTCCTAATTGGGCATTCATGTTTGCACCATCCAAATAGACTTGACCACCATTTTCGTGAACAATATTGATTGCATCTGTGACACCTGGTTCATATAGACCATAAGTTGATGGGTAAGTAATCATAATAGCGGCTAGGTTATCCTTATACTGCTCTGCTTTAGCCTTCAAATCTACTAAATCGAGAGAACCATTCTTCAAGCAAGCAATTGGTACCACTTTCAAACCACACATAGCAGCTGATGCAGGGTTTGTACCGTGCGCAGAAATTGGAATTAAACAAATATTTCTATGAGTTTGACCTTGGTCTTTTAAGTATGTCGTAATGACACGTAAACCGGAGAATTCACCTTGAGCACCAGAATTTGGTTGAAGGGAAATAGCGTCGAATCCAGTAATTTCGCATAGGTCATGTTCTAATGATTTAGTTAATTCATAATACCCTTGTACCTGAGATTTTGGTTGGAATGGATGGATATTTGCAAATTGAGGCCAAGTAATTGGAATCATTTCAGTAGTAGCATTTAATTTCATTGTGCATGAACCTAATGGAATCATAGAATTAGCTAAGGAAAGATCTCTCATTTGTAGACGTGTCATGTATCTTAACATAGCAGTTTCATTGTGATAAGTATTGAAAACCGGTTGGGCCAAAAAGTTGTCAGAACGTCTCAAATCAACTGGGAACTCTTCAAATTTGCTCTCCGCTACCAATTGTGTCACATTAATTTGTGAATCATTAGAAAACAATTTAATTAAATTTTCCAAATCTTTCTGAGTTGTCGTTTCATCAATTGCAACTGATACAGCATTATCATTAACTTTATAGAGATTGATATTATATTTCTTTAGAGCATTCTGTAATAAATTATCACTGGTAATACCATCTGGTAATTTAATTGTTAAAGTATCAAACCAATTTTCGTTTAAAGTTTTAAAACTTGATCCATCGGAATTAATAAACTTAGCCAGTATAGAAGTAATAGCAAAAATTCTTTGAGATATATTTTTCAACCCTTCTGGACCATGATAGACGACATACATAGCGGCAATATTAGCCAACAAGGCTTGAGCAGTACAAATATTAGAAGTAGCTTTGTCACGTTTAATATGTTGTTCTCTTGTTTGAAGTGCTAATCTGAAGGCTTGGTTACCTAATCTATCTTTACTGACACCAACAATTCTACCTGGAATCTTTCTACTCAGTTTATTTGTAACGGAGAAAAAAGCAGCATGAGGTCCACCGAACCCCATCGGAACACCAAATCTTTGAGATGATCCTAATACAACATCTGCATTAAATTCAGATGGTGGTTTTAATAAAGTTAAAGCCATTAAATCAGATGCAACAGATACAATACCTTTCTTTTCATGAATCAATTTTGAAAGATTTTGTAAATTTTCCATTGATGCAATTGAACCATCAGTAGCAGGATATTGAATTAAGATACCAGATACATTATTAGTAGATAATTCTTCTTTTATAGAATCTAAATTATAAGGATCTATTTCTTTAATTTCAATATTTGTTGGAATAGATCTTGTTCTAAGGACAGCTTTTGTTTGTTTATGGATATTTGAATCAATTAAATAAGTTTTTTTTTTACCTTTTGATAAATTGAAAGACAGTAACATTGCTTCACTTGCAGCTGTACCTTCATCTAATAAAGATGCATTAGCAATTGGCAAGCCTGTTAATTCAGTAATAATAGTTTGAAAATTTAATAACGATTCTAATCTTCCTTGAGATATTTCAGGTTGATATGGAGTATACGAAGTATACCATTGAGGATTTTCTAATAAATTTCTTTGAATAACAGGTGGTAAAATAGTACCATAGTAACCTTTCCCAATAAAATTTTTAACCTCAAAATTATTTAAATTTGCTAAATTTTTCAATTCTTTTAACATTTCTTGTTCTGTATAACCTTGATCTGGTGCTTTTAAATTTAATGATCTCTTTTCAAGAATTTTTTCAGGAATTACAGAAGAAATAAAATTTGAAAGATCATCATAATTTAGAGTTTTTAACATCTTATTAACATCCTTTGGAGATGGACCAATGTGGCGTTTTAAAAATCCATCTAATTCTCTCGAAAGATCCTTAGCATCACTATTATATATTGATTCAAATTGTTTTGAAGTGATATTTGCAGTCTTATATGCAATAGCATCAACATGAAAAGATCTATGTTGTAATAATTTGATATTTGAGATCCATCTTAAAGGAATAACCTTCTTTGTGACTGTAGTCATTTGTTAGTTTTCTTTATCCCTGTAAACTAATTTATTGAATAGTAAACAAAAACAAAAAACAAAAAAAGGGTACAATCGGAAATAATATTTTTAAAGACTTTTTATCTTTCAGAGTGAGTATAATTAAAAAGATTATGGTATTGTAGTTGTTTTCTTAGAAACTCTGTAGTATTAAAGGAAGTAATGTTTGAAGTAACAAGTAAAAAGAGGAAATAGCAAGAAAACTTAAACATATATAACCAGTATATATATATATATATATAAGAGATAAATATGTTTACAGGTTATCAGTTTATCAGAATAGAAAGAGAACAATACGATATACAATGGATTAGATATTTGATAACTTTCAAAGTCATCACATCTTAACTTCTTCTCCATCTCGAAACCATTTTTTCAAGAAAAAAGAGAGATAATGAAGATGTGCCCAAGGTCTGTCGATCCTATATTTGCATTCAAGGACTAACGGAGATCAAAGTGCAAAACGTTGAAAGTTTCTCTGTTTGTTATCTCTGTTTCACTTGCGATGAGGGCAGCAGTATTTGTCCCCTCATCGTAAGTTTGGTCAGAGTCACACAACTTTGGTCTCTTTTTCTCTTTGTGGTGTGAAACGTGCTGTGCTGTTTTGATACTGCTGCCGTTCAGTGAGAGAGAGGAGCGATCACAATGCGCGCGTGGTAAAGAAGCGGTACACGGTGTACGTCCGACAGAGTCATATTCAGAGTTTGACTCCTTTTTATTTTGTGTGTGCTTTCTCTGTGGGGGGATGCTGTCAGGGTCACGTTCCGAGGTATGGTTTTATCTTTTCTTCGTTTACTGATAAGACACATTTAGAAGATTGGTGTCACAAATCATTGTATAACAAGAGTGTGTCCATATTAGTTTAGATCAGATAGGCTGTGTTGATGTTTGATAAGGTGCTGATGGAGGACAGTCTTGTATATATAGAGAGATACATACATACATACATATATATTTCTTAGTAAGTTTTGGTACTGGAAGGTACATCTGATCGCATCTGGATCATACGTAAAAGACAAGTTTTTGGTTACTTGCATGTACACCTGCTTGTTGTGAACTTTATATATTTTGCAAAATTCTCATTATACGTTAGTCTGTGAATCTATTAAATAGAAAAAGCATTGCAGCATATACGTGATTTGAGTAATGAAATTGTTCTTGATAATGTGTCTAATGTCGGTATTTAGTGATACATTTTAATCTGTTTTAACAGTTTTATTTAAATCATTCTGTTTTTTCTATTTCCAATAACATCATTCTTAATTTTTTGTTTACTGGCAAAGACAGTTTTATTGTTTTTCAAATTGATACTAAACGTAAAAAAATATATAGTTGTAATATCGATCAAAATTTTTTTAATACTTGAAAAAGACAGAGCAGGTTTTTAAAAAAAGTAATTCGATTTGGGCTGTCAAGTAACTGGACATTGTACTCTTCTTATATATTCAAATTACACTAAAATGGTGATAATAGTGCTTCCTTGTATGAAAATAAAAATAAACATCTTAATGAGTTTCTAATCATTAAAAAAATAATTACTTCAACGTTATTTACCAAAATAAATAATTCTTTTCATTAATTTATGATATAATTTCAATATTAGAATTACTAAATTGAACATTATTATTCACTCCTACTATTGTCGTCTTGTAATCATTTTATACGAGACGTATTTAAGAGAGAATGGTTATTTTCTATGGCAATGCCCGAATCGTTTCTAAAACAAAAAAAGAAAAATAAGGACAGTCTCTTAGATATGTACTAAACCAATATTATTGAGCGTTTAAAAAATGGTAGATAGAGTAAGGGAAATATTCAAAGGTTAGAAGCTAATCACTTCTGAAGAGCTCTAAATATCCTACGAATAATACATTTTAGAAACATTCAGTAGTTTCCCAATAGAACAAAAATTTGATTAACGATAGAGAGACAAAACACCTTTTACAATAAATATAAAATGGCCCGTCAAAATTTCATTGGGATGGTCATCTCTCAAGGTAAGATGCAAAAGACAGTAAAAGTACGTGTAGAGACTAAAATTTTCAATAAGAGAATTAATAAAGAATTGATTCATAGAAAGGATTACCTTGTTCATGATGAAGCTGATATTTCACGTGAAGGTGATTTAGTGAGAATTGAAACAACTAGACCACTTTCAAAACGTAAGTTTTTCGCAATAGCTGAAATTTTGAAAAATAAAGGTCAGCAATTTGCTAAATTTGAGAAAGAAGCAAAGATTAATGTAGCTAGAGAAGAAGCAAGTAAATCTGAAATTTTCCTTGAAAGAAGAAAACAAATAGAAAATGAAAATTTATCTTTATTGGAAGATATAAGAAGAATTCAAAATTGCCTAAATAAATCAGGATCACAAGAAGAATTAAAAGAGATTAAAGAAAAATATGGTATTACCGATTTTTCTAAGGATACAGTTAAAGAATTATTAAAATTAAACGTATCATCAATACAAGAAGATTTAATAAAAGAACGTTCTGCAATCGATTCAATACAGACAAAATTACAAGAACTTGTTACCAATGATACATTGGCAAATCAATTTCTAACAGAAAAAGGTGTCGAGGAACCAGAAGAATTGAAGAAGAATATAAAGAAAAATATTTTAAGAAAGTACTTACTTCAGGATCAAACTCACAAACAATCTCAACCGCAGTTATGAATAATGAAAAAACAATCGGACAAACAAACCGACTTTGCACCATCTCAACTAACGTGAAGACATTAGTAAATACCTGTATATAATGCACTCATATAAATATCAATAGTATCATTATTCTCTTTCAAACCAAAGTAATTCTTCCCTTCTTTTTTTAAATTTTATATAGTATGTGTTTAATTATTGCATCAAATTTAAGGGCTCTTAGATAACGCAACAAAAAATGAAACATCAATGGAGTATTTTGTTGTTAAAAACTACAGACATAAAATATGTGGATATAAGACGAAGAGGTTTAAACACCCAATTCCAGTAATATTAAAGTATTTCCTAAATTCTACAAGATTTCGTATTCTATTGATGTTGTTTTGGAATACGCTACGGAAGCAACAGCCAGCAAGTTACACCTGCTGGATTTGTCTAGAAGAAGAAGTTGTAACAGATAAAAGCGTTCGTTTTAAATGGATCAAACATTCATGTGGTTGCAATTTAGAAATTCACAAAATTTGTTATTTAAAATATTTAAACAATATGATGGAGAAATCTTACATAGAAGAAATCCACTTCGACGGAGGGATGAGAGGTCCAAATGTCACTATATATGATTTGAACAGAATTCATCTGTTCGATGTCATAGATACCAATAAAAGAATTTCTCAAGAATCGAATGTTTTATTAGACATTTTCCCAAAATCCGTTAGGCGATTAATATCTATATATCTACAAATGATCAAATTACCATTTTTATTACTGGGTCCTAATCCCTTTGAAGGTATTTTGAGTGAAACATTTCAAGGCAACATTCATACTTTAACAAATATTCCTTCAAAAAAGTGCCCTCAATGTAAGAAAAACTTTATTCCTTTAAACACAACATATTTAAGAAAATCCTCAACTATTCTATCTATTTATTTTAAAATTCAAGATGTGATCCAACATTTGATTCCGTTAGGGCTAGGACTATCAGTTCTGACTAATCCATCTAAATTACTATTGAAATTGGGCCTGTATCAGTTAAGGACCCTCTTCCCAGAATCTATATTGAGGACGATATTAAACATTAGTTCAACTAAGGCGCTTGACGTATATAGTGAGACATTTAATGGTATTCATAGTATATCGAGATTCAATAAGTTCTTAATAATGGGATTCCCCTGTTATATTCTAAGTCTGGTAAAAAACCAAAGTACAATGTTCGAGTTCTCAGGGTTACTACTAGACGATTTTGAGTTAATGTATCCATTTTTATTTATGCTACATCTCAGGTCTTATGAAGGAGCTCCTACATCTACGATTTCTTTAATATCCAACTGTGTCCTAATATCCAAAATAATGCTTTATCTATATAGAGGTATTGTTAAACCTTGTTACAAGAAGAGCTTTTTTAACAAGTGGTTATCGCAAAATAATGTCACACCACAAGCATATTTTAGAGAACATCAGCAACAAACCAACAAAGATTTGGCGAACCAATCAGTAGGAATAACAGCACGATTAATCTTCGACTACTATTGCAGTTTGACCACGTATTGTGATGAACTAGCAAGAGCATCAATAATTTGGCCCACAATTTCTAAATTATTTTCAAATGTGATCCTTGATAAGTTGGCACCATCATTAAACATCTTACCGGTAGGTTGGCTGAAAGATATTTCTCCAGATGAAATAAAAATGTGTTTAAATTTTACAAGTTATGGTCTAGTCGGATCATTCTATTTTCTAACAAGTGGTTGGTTAGCCAAACAACGAATAAATGAGATTGGTAAATTGAATGAACTTGTTGATAGAGTCCTTGAAGATTCTGAGGATGATACTGACATTTCTCTATAATCCCAATATATATATATATATTCCAGAATAATTTTTACTTCTATAATATCATTTGCATTATTCTTTTAATACATAAGTAAGTTAAACTTTTTTCTTTTCTTTATTGTTTAGAATTTATAATATTTTAATTTATATACAACCCTATTTATATATGTGATGTACGTTTTCGTGACTGTGCTAATATATGAAGACATAGCTAGAAAATTAGTAATTGATAAAAAGTAATATCTAATTCTTTTAATCAACTTCTTCCATTTCGGTGTCAGCTGGAACTTCTTCAACAGTAGCTTCAGCAGCTGGAGCAGCTTCTTCAGTCTTTTCTTCTTCTTCGTCGATGTTTAGGCCTAGAGAGATCAATCTGTTGATTCTGGAAGCGAAAGAAGTTGGTTCTTCTAAAGTGAAACCAGAAGTCAATAGAGCGGTTTCGTATAATAAGTTAGTCAAGTCCTTAACGGTCTTATCTTGAGCACCACCATCTTCAACTCTCTTTTTCAATTCCTTAATAATTGGAGAAGCTGGTGAAATTTCGAAAGTCTTCTTTGAAGACATGTATGAAGACATCGAAGAATCTCTTAGGGCTTGAGCCTTCATGATTCTTTCCATGTTAGCGGACCAACCAAATTGACCGGTTCTGATAGCAGCTGGAGCATCAACAAGCTTGTAAGAAACAACAACCTTTTCAACTTGTTCACCTAGAATTTCCTTTAAGGCGGTGGTTAATGGTTCGTATTCCTTGATTTCCTTTTCTCTTTCAGCCTTTTCTTCGTCAGTTTCTTCTAGTTCGAAATCCTTAGTGATATCAACTAAAGTCTTACTATCGAATTCCTTCATTTGGGTGAAAGCATATTCATCAATTGGGTCAACTAAGTATAGTACTTCGAAGTCCTTAGCCTTTAGAGCATCTAAGAATGGAGACTTTTCAACAGCCTTTAGAGATTCACCAGTGATGTAGTAAATATTCTTTTGATGTTCTGGCATTCTAGTGACATAATCAGCTAGAGAAGTCATTTCTTCACCAGACTTAGTAGAGTTATATCTTAGCAATTTAGCCAAAGCTGGTCTGTTTTGAGTATCTTCATGGATACCAAGCTTGATGTTCTTGGCGAATGCAGAGTAGAACTTGTCGAATTGTTCAGCATCTTCGGCAATTTCGTTGAAGGCTTCAATCAACTTCTTAACGATGTTCTTTCTAATAACCTTCATGATCTTGTTTTGTTGTAACATTTCTCTGGATAAGTTTAATGGTAAATCTTCAGAGTCAACAACACCTCTAACGAAGGATAACCATTCTGGGATTAAATCTTCAGCTTCATCAGTAATGAAAACACGACGAACGTATAACTTAATGTTGTGCTTCTTCTTCTTGTTTTCGAATAGATCCATTGGAGCTCTCTTTGGAACGAATAGAATAGCTCTGAATTCTAGTTGACCTTCAACAGAGAAGTGCTTAACATATAATGGATCTTCCCAATCATTAGAGATAGACTTGTAGAAAGCATTGTATTCTTCCTTTGTGATGTCAGTTGGGTTTCTAGTCCATAGAGGCTTAGTCTTGTTTAATTCTTCTAATTCTTTAACTTCTTCCTTAACGGTCTTCTTTTCCTTCTTTTCTTCACCTTCTTCATCGACTTCTTCCAATTTTGGTTTCTTGTCATCTTCTTCTTTCTTTTCTTCTTCGGTTTCTGGGACTTCCTTTTCAACTTCCTTAGTAACTAATAATTGAATTGGGTAAGAAACGAATTCAGAATGTCTCTTAACAACTTCCTTAATTCTCTTTTCTTCAAGGTATTCTAATTGATCATCCTTTAAGAACAATCTTAAGACGGTACCTCTACCAATCTTTTCATTAGATTCATCTAAAGTAACAGTGAAAGAACCACCAGCATTAGATTCCCAAATGTATTGTTCATCGTCGTTGTTCTTAGAGATAACTTGAACCTTGTCAGCGACTAAGAAAAGAGAGTAGAAACCAACACCGAATTGACCAATCATAGAGACATCGGCACCAGCAGATAAAGCTTCCATGAAAGCTTTAGTACCGGACTTCGCAATGGTACCCAAGTTGTTAATCAAATCAGCTTTGGTCATACCAATACCAGAATCTCTAAGTTCTAAAACTTTTTCTTCTGGCTTTGGAGTCAATCTGATGAATAATTCTGGTTCAGATTCTAATTCCTTTGGGTTAGATAGAGCTTGGTATCTGATCTTATCTAAGGCATCGGAAGCGTTAGAGATCAATTCTCTCAAGAAAATTTCTTTGTTAGAATAGACTGTGTTGATGATCAAACTCATCAATTGAGTGATCTCAGCTTGAAATTCAAAAGTTTCAGAGGACATCGTTGCTAATAATTTTTGACTTGATTTACTGACTAATGTTAAGCAATAATAAAAAAGAAAAAGTATTAAAATAAGTTAAATGTTTAAAACCACAATTAATAAAAGAGTTGAAAAGAAAAGAAAAGAATTGGCGGCTCAAACGGTTATATTCCTATGTCAGAGTTTCACCATATATATATATATAATACTATTTGCTAATTGCCACCCAACCTCCCATCCCCCTTCTCCCTTTCCCTCTCGACATTCAACTCCATTTACCGTCGGCTATTGTAATTTTCAAAGAGAGAGGTGGTGGAAGAATAAATTGTTCCACAACGTTCTAGAAAAAAAAAATTTCATTTATGTTTCTGTGTGAGTTTTGGTTACGTAATAAGAGGCCGTACAAGACTAACTGCAGAAAGGGGAAGGGAGAGAAAGAAAAATTGAAAAAAACAACAACTAATTCTGTCAAGTTTCGTCAACAGTGATTTTGGGTGAGGTTGTGTAGAGAGACACTGTTTCGTGATACTAAGAAGCACAAAAAATTTTTTAGATAAGACATTCCCATATTAGTGAGATATGCAAACGATTAACTGGTACAGGTGTGTCGTAATTAAAGCTATTATACCTCTAAATGAAGGTTATCAACCTTTAATGTATTATACATACTGTACTATATACTCAAAGGAAATATACTTAAAACGCGTTGTTATTAAATTTTGTCTTCTTAATCAACCTGATAGTTTCAACCTTTCCAACGTAGTTTCTGGTATGACTTCATTGATTGTCTTGATCACTTGAATTATCTGTTCACATACAAGGTAATCTGTTTCTTTATCTTTGATGTACTCTAACAATGTTAACAATCTTTCCATACCGTATTTTTCTGGTAATAAAGAAGGTTCAAAATCATAAAATAAATCATAAATCAAGCGTATAGCACTTCTTCGCATAATGAACGTATCATCTTGACCATCATTTATAGATTCATCAGTTTCAAATTGTAATATACCAAATACACAATCTAACATTTCACTGATTCTCGTAGAGACACCCTTTGCGTTGACTTGAAGACATACACCAAGAATAGACATGGCAGACATACGAATCTTATTATCCACTTTTGTATGTCCTTGAATTCTTTCTAAACAAACATCTATAATCATATTGGCATACTTACCTTGAAATAATTGATTCTCTCTTTGAATATAATTTATAAATACCTCACCAACTTTTAAAATATCATCCATTTTGTTTCTACGTCTACGATCTTGATAAAATTCAATTAAAACACCTAATGTCATTTCAGGTTGATATTCACATAACGACGATAACCCTTTAATTACATTTAAATAAATAAAAGGATCAGGGTTTCTTAAATATTGAAGATGTAATTTGAATACTCTATCAGGTGCAATAATAGTAGATCCATTTTCAACAAATTTACGTAATTCCATCAAACCATGTACTTTTATTGGAACCAAAGGATCTGCAATATTTCGAAGTGCTTTATCTAATTTTTCATTATCATTTATTTCATTTTGTACCAATTGAGAATCATTATCTTTTCCCTTCAGAGAATCACTCAAAAGAAGTGTCAAAGATGCAGATATCAATCCCTGCGATGCTGTGGTTGTCCTTTTAATCTTTTCATTAATTTGCAATAATAAGTTTTTATTTTTTTGCAAGACTGCAGATGGAGTTTGATCAATAATTGTCTTCAGTAACTCAAATATAACATCTAATGTACTCATTGTACCACTACCATCATCATCACCGACCTCATCTTCCTCATCGTCACTATCTTCCTCCTCCTCCTCATTATTATTATTATTACTTTGATTCTCTTCAGCATTGCTCAAATGAAGATCTAAAAGATCATTGATTACCTCCAGAATATCTGAAACATTTCTGATCAATCCTGATTTGAAATTTTCATTCATCTTCTCAAGTAACTTTATATCAGTCAATATTAGAATATTTTTTGTTTGGGTATCTTTTGGAAGATTTATTAGAGAACTCTTCTCTGTATTACTTCCATTAAAAGTTTGTTGCACCCATCTCTTTAAAACGTTTAAAAACTCATCTTTGATAGATTCTTCGTTATCTAACAATTTCAAAAATTCTATGTACAATTCGATGGATATATCCATGTCTTGAAACAATTTTGACATTTTATTCATATTTTCTCCTGAAAGTGCATCACCATTTATTTTAAGATCAGGTAAATTTTCGTTGTTTGGACCCTTTTCATTAATATAGGCCAATTGTGTTTCTAAATCTATTCGATATTCCCAATCTTCATGGTCTGTATTTAGTAAATGCAAAGATAAATAATCCAAAGTATCATAGTCATCTAGAATAAATAGAAATGATTTCATAAGTGAAAGAATAACTTCATAATAAGGTCCAAAATTATCAGTCTTTAAACTATTAGCAACCAACGGGTCGACCTTTTGGTTTTTTTTCAGAAATAAAGCATATATCCATAAGGTTAAAAAAAATTCATTCCCATCTAAACCACTAACCAAATCCTTAACGACATCAACCGATGAGTTCTTTGATAGTGATATCAAAACATTAACCATATCATTTAATTCCTTGGCCGTATGATTTTTCACCGGACTATTTAGTAAAATTTGATATACCCTTTTAAAAAGAAAATCTCTTACAATTCTTTTATTCCTTAAAAAAAAGTCTTTTATAATATTATTAACACACATAACAACGATTGGTCTATTAACATACGTTAGTGAATCATAAATTTGATCGAACAAGTTTTGTAAGTATACCTTGTTTGATATAACTTTTGGGGGTCTGGACAATAAAATCTGATTTATTCGACTCATCTTTTCAGCGTCAATATCTTCATTTTCTCTTACACCTAAAATAAAATCAATCAAACTTAAAAGCCCATCTTCTTCCCTTCTAATAACTAATGTAGATAGTAAATTTATAACCTTTACCTTTGCCTCTTTATTTACTAAAGTCTCTGTCAAGAGTGTGTACATTGAAAATAAAGTATATGTTTCTTGAATTGCCTCTAGAGAGTTCAATTTTCTCTCATAATTTTCGGGATCTGTTAATACAAGGACTAATGTCCCCAGAAATACATTTGTAAATGCCGAACCTTTCAGTAAAGTAGGACGTAAATAATCAGTTTCGGAGTTTTTGTCTTTCTCATAAGCCTTCTCATGACTCAAAACCTCATACATAGAATCTATTACGAATTTCAAAGTTGAAATATTCATTCGATGGGCTTTTGGAATTTCGTATCTTTTATCGTCTTCCTTAAATTGGGTTAGTCTTTTGGAATCCATAGGTATTCTTACATCATCTGGAATATTGGCATCAATACCATGTATCATTAGAAGGTTTACTAACGCATCCACATATCTCATATCATGCAACGATATTGGTAATAAATCAGACTTATCTTTTATTATATCCTTTTGGTTATCTAGAACCAATTCATGCAATTTACCAAAATATTCAAGTAATTTTGATACAAACATATCATTATTCTCAAACCCTAAATATTGGTAAACAGATTGATTGTTATCTTCTTCTTTTTGTAACTGAACTAATGGTTTAAACAATTCATCGCTTAAGTGTTCAAAATATATATCCAGCGGAGTACCTTTAACAAACTCTGGTCCTTTGTTTAGGAGATCTTTTACAGATTGTCTTTCTGTCATGGCGCAAAATGCGTAGGTATATATTGCAATTAGTTTGGCTTTTTTTAAAGTTGCATGTTATGAATATGTGATATTATCTTATACTTAATATAAGAATGTGTTAAAAGTAAATTCCCACTTACTTTTTTTTACTTATTATTTAAGCGGATCTACATCATCGCGAAATTGACATATTTTTTTAAAATATGGTAAACAATAACAACAGGTAGCATCGAGATCATAGAACATTTTGCAATCTTTTAATATCTAAATACATATATTATTTAACTATACAGTATTGTCTATAATTTTTATAAATGCTGGGCACCATGTTCCTATGGAGGTATCAGATACCATCCATTGCGTCAACAATTTTTTTGCTGATACTTTATCATTTTCAATGATATTGACAAATTGCGACAAAGTGTTCACAGTAGATACATTATCTAAACTTCTCTCAATATTATTGTCCACCTTATTTTTGTAAAATGTAAATTCTTTTTCTGAAAGTTTCGATTCCTTGGAGAGTAATTCATCTATCTTAGAGAGTAATTCATCTTTTGTCATTATGTTAGCTTTATCCTCATCATTATTCTTATTTGGATCAATTTGATTAGAAACCTTTCTTTTTGAAATTAGTGGCGGTGGCGAAATAGCTGATTTGGTATTACCAGATGTATCCCTTACTTTGCTAGTTATAACATTACCTGTGCTCGAAAGTGTAGTGTTACTGCTCGCTAGACTGGTAGATGAGGAAGATTTTTTGTTAGATACTTGGAATAAGAAAGTAGGACAATCGTTATAACCTGGGACATCTGCCTCAGTACAGTTTTGGAAACTCTTCGAATTTTCTGACATCTTAGAAGTTATATGGTATCAAATTTTTAGGGAGCAAAATGTGTTTTAGTCTGTGTAGTTGAATCAAAAAGTTCCGCGGATATAATAAATCAAGGACTATTCATTTAGAGATTAAGACTTCAATAAAGTATTTTAAATTTCTCCTTATCAAGGTTTTATGTCTAACTTGTTTAATATAAACTAAGCTTCAATCTTTTCTTAACAAATAAACTTAACAACAATAACAGTCATTAGTTCAAGAGTTGTACTTTTGTTAGTGTTTACGTGTTCTATATTTGTATTACACAATACATTTTTCCTCCTCTCCGTTATTTGTCCTGATCTAAATCAAAATTCGAGTGTTTTTTTTCCTTGGATTGTTCCTTAACGCATCGAGAAAAAAGACCGAAGAAGAAAGCCACTCAGGCGCTTCGATGTAAGAATGATAGAAAGCAAGTGAAAAATATTCAAATAATTACTATAACTGGAATTAAGGGTCCGATTACTAGTAAGAGAAGAAGTAGAGAGCAGAACGATACACACTATGTCAATGATCGAAGTTCCTAATAATATCTGATAACGATAAACACTAAATGTATATGAAACGGCATACATTCTGAAAATAGCCTTATACGAGGTTGGATACATTTCCAATCCTCCGTGGTCAACGTTTAAAAAAAGAAAAAATAAGTTAACCCTCATCGATTACCAACACTAACGTTGACATCCCTCTCTATATTCCCGTTAATTACCCATTGGTAAAGATGTTAAACTTTTATTGGCAAGAAAGAAGTTATGAGAGATTAAGTCTCTGTATAGAGTATTCTTGTCGTTAAAAGGACTTTAAGGTCTAAATCCGAATTATTTTTATTCAAGATATAGACTTGCCAGATAGGCACAAAAAACCAAAAAAAGAAAGGAAATTATTGTAATCGAAACATCTGGGATGAATATATTATACTATTTAACTACCAAGAGATTGATCTACTTTTTTGTAACTAACTTATCCCTCTTATTTTATACTTTCAGGAAAAAATTGAGTGCAATCATATAGAAAATCTTTTATCTCTCTAACTATGAAGATGCTTAACAAATTTTAATAGAAATGAGGGAACACCCGGATATTAGCATTATTTGCTATTATCAGAACTTTTTTTTTATTAAGGAAATATCTGGCGCAAGAGGAACTCAGAACTCATAGCAAGTAATTTCCTAATTGAAACACAAGTAACCTTATTGATAATTGTCTACTTTTTCTTTTTCAAAAAATCTTAAGAATTCCTCTAGGTTAAAAGAGGATCATCCATCTTGAAGTAGCTGGTCAAAAGTGTTTTTTCTATTAAATAATTACGTGGCGTCTATCAATTGGTGGAACAGACTTTTTCGCAGTTCGAATTAGTCAATATCTAAGCAAGATAGGTTAAGTAAATAAAATGATACCCCCAAATGGTAATCCACAGGGTCCAAAAACCGACTTCCCAGGGGAGATTAACCTACCTAGGCACTGAGAAAGAAATAAGGAGGGGGAAAATAATTGTTTTCTATTTGAAATGATCTGCAAAGATTATCATAGTATTTCCTATTTAATATTAGCTTAACCTACCCCTCACCAATGTACCCGTGGATGAAAAAAGACCAATTGAAAGATTGTTGTTGTGATTACTAATATTCATAAGAAGGTCCAGACGAATCATATTGTCGCTGATACCAAAAATAATTTTGTTTGTCATCATTTTAAAATACCACGGAAATTAAAAAAAATTAAATGGTACCTTAACAAATTATTTTTAGGCTCAAGTTTAGTAAAGAACAATAATAACCCATACTTAAAATCCGATGAAAAGATAAACAAATGAAATACTTACTCCTGTAAAACTAAGCGGACGGATCTATTTTCTCCTGAGTGTTACTGAGTAATATATCAAGCGAAACCAAGGTACTTTTGCGTTCTATCGCATTTTCTTTTCTTTCTCTATAATTATGCTTTTTCTATAACACGAAGGGCAGATATAGTATTTTCTGTGCTTCTTTGAGAAGAAAGTACGTACAAAACCACTAAATTTTCAAATTCTTTGTACTTTTAATTAAGTTTTGTACAAAGAAATTGGCATTTAAGTATTTAACGAGGTTTAACTACATATAATTTAATGATGATGATATCCGTAGCGTTTAAGGTGGTTTAAAGTTTGTGCATGGTTTTGAGTCAATACGAAAGGCAAGTCTGTAGCAGAGATCTATCTGAATATTGTGATGACATCACCATTATTTTGTACCAACTTTGTATGTGTGTCTACAAAATATATGTTTTCTACTTAAGTTTCTCTTTAATATATTTGCTTTAAGCTTTATTTTTTTTCTTGTACCATTAACTACGTTCATTAAAAAACTTTGCATACACATATTCAACAAAAATACAGACTCATGTACGTACTTGAGATACTGATTTCATTACTGCAGCATAAATGTTCTCATAATCACTAAAATAAAGTTGAACTTGGAGTACATATACATGACAATGCAAAGCACAAAATACGTAGCTTGCATTATACATACCTAAAAGAATTCCATACTCGAGCTCTTACATACTCTTAACCATTATGATTGTACTGAATAAAAAATTCGGGTGCATTTACAACAATTTGTTTGGTTTATTACCATCGGTATTACATATTCTAATATTATGATCTAGTATTATTAGCGACAATGAATGCTAACAACGCAATGCTACGTTATCTTACTATAATTAACAATTGTATATGGAAAACAAATAAATAACAGGATTTTTGGCAGAATGCTTAAATAATCAAAAATCAAAGAAAGGAGGAAACATTCAGTGTGTATCCTTTTACAAAATTCTTATGACCAAAATATTGTAGATCACAACGATAAGTAGTTTCACTGATATACTTCTTTATTATTACTAGCCTTAATACTTAGACCTGATAATAAAAATTATATTTACGTCTTAACATGAAGTGGCAGACGATTAAAATTAATATATGTCCACACCATATTAACCCCCCGATCTTATTAGTAGCTATTATTATATCATAATAATTTATTCACATTCCCTTTCTTGGATTGTTCCCAAAGGAATACTTGTGTGATATTTCCCTGTATTACTGCAGGAACACTAAAAATTTAGAAGGAGAAAAAAATGTTAAAATTTAAATCGGAATGTTAAAAAACCAGAACAATAGAGGAAGAATGGTGACATGGGTAGAATTTGGAATAAGGGGAGAGGGATTATTAGGAGAAAAATTTAAATTAGAGTAACTTTCCGTGGAAATTCACAGTAATAAAGACGAGTAAGGGAAAAAAAACCAAAAAAAACCAAAAAAAAACACGCACTCACAGAAAATACGCTGCACAATTTAGAATTGTCCCATCTTTATTAGTGATAAACAACCATACTCTCACCTCCGCCAATTTCTTAGATAAGAGGAACTGTGACCCTATTCTTCACGCATTCTTGAACTTCCATGAGAACCACAATTGTTTTGTAGAAAAATCCGCTTTAAAAAAGTTTCTTTTGTGCGACGTACTCTCCGATTTATGCAATATATGCATAAAAATTTATTTAAAAATATTTTGCTAACTATTGGTCGAGCTGATGTATTGCTTACTTCATTAAGCTCTCTACGTCGAACTGTTACATAAAAAAGAGCAATATTGATAAATTCTTTATTAAAAATATAATTGGTTCTTTTTTTAAACTTTCATTTTTGTATTGCTGAATAATGTTAGGCTCACCGTTTTTATTTGTTTTCTTTACTTCTTCCCGTTTTTTATGCTTTATCGTTCTGTTGAGGGCGCATTGACTACATATGATTCAGTGGAATTTCCAGAACTCTATCTCTATCTAATGAAACACTATAGAATAGAGGACGTTCCACACTTTTCTTCTTTCAAAACTGAAATGGAGAAATGCCAGTGATAAAGCAAAACTTTGTGTGCTCCTTCTCCTCTTACCAATAAATAATAATAACTCAGTCACAACAATACAAGTTCATAGTTTTTCTTATTATGCCGTATGTAGCGCCGCCCATACATATCTTTTTAAACAGAGAGGGTGTTACCGTGGATCAAAAAAAAAATAACGGGGTGAAATTCAATGGATGTTTTATCTTGAATGATCAATGAATGATCCCCAAGTTTGCTAATTAGGAACAGAAAGGGGTAGATAAAAAATATTCCTTTTGCTAATGGCTGGTTTGATTAATTTATTACCCAACAATTTATTACTTTGCTCCCTCTAACTAAATCAATTTCTCATCTTACAATTGTAATTAACTGAAAAATATTTTACTTTCCATGTAGGGTGAAATACTTGACCGAAGAAATTGAGAAAAACATCACAAGAATTTTATGTAGACTTTGTTGAATGTATGTATATACTCTTAAACTTTTGTTGCTCAGTCGGTTTGTACGGTGTTTCAGTGTACATCTTTCTTTTTCCGTGTTCTTTTACTTATTTTTTTGCTTTTCATTGTCCTCGTCGATGATCGTAGATATCCTTTTTAACTATTTTTTCTCGTCCTCTCTACGTTTCTGAAAGAGAGAGGGGAAGAAAGAGGGTACAATACAGAGGTAGAGTCATCCAATTCCATGTACGCCCCTTCTTTACCGGATAACTTCTGTAGCGTAACTCAGAAGAGGGGAAAAATGTGCTTCCCTGATTACTTCGCACAACTAGGGCCACAGTTATCATAACCATTATTGCTATTGTATTTCTTCCTTCACTTTTTTTCTCCTCTGTCCCTGTCGATGTATATTAGTAACACACAAAAACCATTAACATATATCGATCCAATTGAAGGTCCTTAATCTACACAATAGAGCATATATAATTTTTCTTTTCTCCAGATAATTACTGGGTAGGCATTATGTGTACGGCAATTTCTTTGTAAATCCAAAAAAATAATTTATCTGAAATAAGCATTTTACATTTAAACTTCGAAGAACTTTCGCCGTTCATCTATTGTTTCTTGAATTTTCCTACATTTTCACTGAAATTCAAGTAGAATAATAATATTAATAATAACGGAATATTCAAAAAAAATAATTAAATTTGTAATAATAATAATTTTTAATATGTATTTCTTGGTTTTATCGCTTGGCTCTTCCGATGGCCCTGTTCCGAATGGTCATTGCCCTGTCTACTCACTTTTTCTTCTGCTTCTTTACTTTTTCTTTCTTTTTCTCTTGCTTTTTTTTAATTTTATTATTATGATTATTATCATTTCTCATCTTCTTTACTAGAATTTATTTTAATACTTAGTAAGTTTTTTTTATTTCTTTAAAATGAGGTCTACTTCCTCTTCTCTTTTTCAATTTTATTTTTTAAATCCATTGAATCCGATGATCAATTTTAAAGTATTTATATAATCATAAATTCTCAAAAAATTAAAACTATCTTGCTTTCCAAAAAAGTTATTCTCTTTTAATTGAATAATATAATCTTACAGTATTATATTTTTTCATTAAAAAAAAGAAAAATAATATTTGCTTTAATTCTATTAACTGATCTTGAAACAATTATTAGAAGGAAAGATAACAAAAAATATATACAATTCAGATTTTTTTTAATTAAAAATTACATTCATCAACCAACAACCTAATTTTTATATTTATATTCTTAACACACTTTTTTTCTCTCAACAAAAACACCAATATTATTCATTCGAACATTTCAAAATAAGCATCTCCAAATAAAAAAAAATTGTTTCTATTATTCATAATGGGTAGTTTTAAAAGAAGTCCTACTTTGTCAGCAAGTCGTCCTCATCATTCGTCGGTAACAAATACTACAACAAGCAATAATAATAATAATAATAATAATAATAAAAAAATGTTTAAATGTGAGGGTTATAAAGATTGTAATATGGCTTTTACAAGAGCTGAACATTTAGCAAGACATATTAGAAAACATACAGGTGAAAAACCATTTCAATGTTATATTTGTTTAAAATATTTTAGTAGAGTAGACAATTTAAAACAGCATAGAGATTCAGTTCATGCAAAATTAAATCATCCACCTTCATATTTTAATGAAGTTCAACTACCTACAGCAAATCCTAATACTAGTAATAATTTAGGATCATCATCATCTCATTTACAGCATCCTAATAATAATAACAATAATAATAATAATAATAATAATATGCATTTTGATAATAGAATATTAGGTTTATCAAATAATACTAATAATAATTATACAATAAGTGAAACGTCAATCCAACAACATCGTCCAGATATACGAATGATTGGCCAACCGAAATATATGTATACTAATAACAATAGCAACAACAATACATACGAACATGGTGCTAGTTATATCCCATATGGTCAACATACTACATCTACTACACAACCAAATCAACATCAACCTTTGCATTATACAACATCAACATCATCATCCACATTTAATAATATTCGCGGACAAGATTCTTTATATTCCACATCACAATTAACGTCACCTGTTCAAGCTTATAATGTTAATATTCCAAATTCAAGAAATCATGCAACAATAATTACGACGCCATCGATCATTACATCAAAACAACAAGAACAAAACATAATGATACCATCAATTCATACTCAACCGCATAATTCTCTTGAAAATGTACCATTAAGTCCAATGAGTAAACCATGGAATACAACTAATATTATGGTATTTCCTGTAACTCAACAAATGCATTTAGAATCACAACTTTTACCATCACAAATTCAACCACAACAATCGCAAATGTTACAAACACCTATACCATCTGTTCATCAATATTATGATACAAGCCATACAGGTACATTATTACCAAATCAGTATTCTCCAACAGGAACTACAATGATTGAACCGATAAATAATTATAATCAAAATAATCAAAAATTGATGAATACAGGTATAAAGAATACTAAAAGAGTTGGTCGTAAACGTAAATTAACAGGTAATAAAGGTTCACCATCTTCTCCTTCTTCCAGTAGAAGTAGCACTAGTAGTAGAAATAGTATTAATTATGAATCACAAAACGATCAAAATAATAATACTGGTAAATTGCAGTCTAAATCGATTACAACTAATAATGAAAGGATTGAACCAACTATTGTTAATAATGATAACGCTACTACGTCAGCAATTAAATCTAACTCAGACAGTGCTGAAGAATTTAGAACTGATAACAAGACTGTTAAAGATCGTCTAAGTGTTAATTACATCATTTTATAAAAAAGAAAGGAAAAAAAATATTTATAATTTAACATTTTTATTTAATTCCATCCAACAGAGACATCTAAATAACACGGTCTTTCAATATGTAACATAAATGATCTAATTCATATACATCAAAAATAAATTTCTTTATCAAATCGAAACAGTACATAACAATTACATCACTATTGTATTATGTATATGTCATATTTACCGCATATACATACGTGCACATATATTAAATTAGAATGAACGCAAAAATAAGCAATTCTATTATTTAAGCACATAGCCAGACATCTGTATCTGGTAACTTTTTTTTTGGTTCCTTCTCCGAGATCTCAAAATATTTTGTTTTTTTTTCGCACTCTAAGCAATGACGACGATAACGAAAGACGAAAATGACCGAGGCGGAGTTAAATACAGAAAGAAAGAAAGAAAATTAGAAAAACTCCGCATGTTCGTATAAAGAGATAATAAAGGATCGGCAATTCACATGACTGTATCACTACACACGACACAGCATTCTATAAACACAGAAACCCACACACCGCATTAAAACCGAAAAAAAGAAACAACCTTTTTCTTTAATTCTCGGAGTAACGAAAGCCCGAAGGCCTCCCCTTTCTCCTCCGTAATAAAACATGGAGGGGTATTAATTCCATACGATACCTTGATCCATCTGTGCAGAGCTGTTACTGGCTGCGCAAAGTAATTAAAAGATTACAAATTTCCCTCAACCATTTAATAAAAAGAATTTTAGTCTAATTTATTTATCTACGCATTCAAAAAAACTGAGTAAAATGTATAAATGTCTAACTGTATACAAATTGAAATTACTTTCATTCAGTAGTATTAGCAGAGAATGTGAATCGTTGAACTGTTTTAATTAAAAAAGTCAGTCAATGAGTTTGTTGAATTATAAGGAACTGAGCATAGTTAAGTTAAGTCTCTTCCTTCTGTATTTGTTTATGCCTTGATTGTGTAAGATATATATATATATATATATATGCTAGTAATGATTCTTTCATTTTATTTTCATATAAACTGTGTAATCTTTACGCAGCAAATAGACTTAGTCTTGTCTTATGTATTCTTAATCAACATCTCCGAACATTTTCCTTCTTTTAGAGAAACGGACCGAGCGATATTATTATTTTTTAAAAAAAGCCAGAACAAGAGACAGAAAAAAAATAAAAATATAGTTATTAGTCAAAGGAAAAATAGATTTGTAAATATTTATTATTAGTCAATAAAAACATACAAAAACTTTCCCTTTCTATAGCACGTTCTTTTTGCTTTAACATTAAATACATATTGTTACAAAGTAAACATTATACTATATTAATTTTATCAAGAAATATTACTATTACTATGCCTCTATTAAACTCAAATATACCCCCTATACAACAACAGCAACCAGGTTACCTCATGCAAATGAATAATATTAATGGTAATAATCCTGTTTTACAAGATTTTGATTATCAACAACATCTATCACCTTTATTAATGCAACAACAACAAGTTATGATGTTAAATAACCAACAATATAATAATACTAATAATGATAGATCGTCATCATCAATAAAAAAATTTAATGTAAATACAACAAGAAGTAATTCAAGTTCGAGTTCAAATTCAAGTGTATTAAGTGCATTAAGAACAACAAATAATATTAGTAGTTTATCATCATCACCAGGTTCAAATATTACTAGTAATAACACATTTGGTCATCATTATGATTTATTATACGTTAAGAATAGAAGTAAATTATTTGAAGATGATGTGTTATTTTGTCCAAGAGCTTTATTATCTCAAAGTGAATTAAAAACAAGAGATGAATTAGATAAATTCTTAATGGATAAATATTACGAATATATGATAATTAATGGACAACAAAATCTTCATTTAGATGAAAGAAAAAATGGCAGTAATGGACCAAAATTTAATCCTTATGCCTCAAAAAGTTTTACTCCAGGTAATTAACTAATGACATTTAATATTTCTATTTTTCATTATTCTTTTCATTTTAATTTTATCTTCATTTTTTTCATGGCTCATATACATTCATAAACATGTTAGACTTCATTTCATTTCATCTATTTATTTTTATTTCTATCATCATTCATGTTCCACTTCATATTTTTATTTCTAACGACCCTTATCTTCATTTAAACCTTATTTTTTATTTCTCTTCTTTATATTATTTACTATAGAGCTCATATACTATTATTCATATACGACATAACAAACAGATTTAACTATTTATCATTTGACATTCATTTTTAAGTAATTAAATAAGTTAAATAGACACTATATAACCTATTCGTAGTCATTTTCACATTTTTATTTTCCTATATTTACACATTGCTATTCCTTTTTTTTTAAATTCCAAACATATATATATATATATATATATATATATATAGCGTACAACAATATACATATATATTATTTAGGATCACTACTGCAATTATTAGTAGCGGGCGTATCATGACTTACTCCATCATTACTACCATTAACAAAGGATGAAAAGATATCGTCACCTTCATAATCATCATTTTCTTCATCTTCATCTTCATTCAATGTAGGCTTATATCCAAACATCATCCCTGGCGATGATGGCATAATACCATGACGCTTATTAGAGCTTTCATCTTCTTCTTCATCTTCTTCATTACCCTCATCTTCACTCTTTGAATAACTTACTAATACTGTTGCATCACTATTTGGAACAGTGACATCAGCAGGCATAGCACTTGCAATATCAATAAATTCCTTCTGTTGACCAGAAAGTAATGGTAATCGACGTAATTGGTCATGACATGTAGTGACTTTAGATTTAGTACTACCACCTGTACTCTTCTTTCTCATGTTTGTAAGCGTACCATTTTCAATAGATTTTTCATTGTTTCTAATATTATGAATTTTCCCCGCTTGATCTAATTCCATTAATGGCATAGATAATGTATCAATTGGAGATGTTCTATCCATATCTTCAACAGTTGGAATGTCTCTTGGTGTATTTTTAGAATTCGTTAGATTTGTCATTGCCATTGGAGTAGTATTACTTGGAGGTTCCATCATCCCTACTAAATCTAATCCTTTAGTCGCATCATTGAATTCATTTAACCAATCAATACTATTTTCATTAAAATTCAATAAATTCGTATACATATCACGACTTATGTTTTCGTTATCTATTGGAGGTGGAATATTCTCTTTGTTACTACTGCTATTATTATTATTATTATTATTAGCTGAAGTAATGATGTCATCATCTTCATCACATGGTGTCTTGCCCGTTATAGTTTCACTTAAGCCATTAGCTATCGTAGTTAATGGCGAAGGCACTGTTTGAGATATTTGCATGGTAGCCATTGTAGGTAGGATTTTCCCCGATTTAGTTCTGCTGGCTTTCGTAACTTTTTTAGTCGATTTCTTAGTTGAAGCAGTACTATGTTTCATAATTGTTATATTATTTGTAGCTGTATCCTTTTTCTTATTCATAAAATCAAACCTTTTACTGATGGCATCATCGACTTTAATCTTCTGTACAGAATTATCAGGTTGCAAAGAATTTATCTCGTAGGTTAATGCATCAGGATGACTTTCCTGCTTTTGTTGCTGCTGCTGTTGTTTACCAAGATTCTCAGTTTGTCTGTCCGCCATATATATTTTATGTGCAATTGATGTTTTCATGAAACCAGAGCCAGCTGGATTCAAACGAGTATCCCAAATAGGTAAGGACTGTGTTCTGATAGCCTTTGGTGCAGGCTTTGGATTTGTTTGCCTCTTATTTACTCTAACGGATTTTGCCACAGTTGTTATTGTTGGAGGAGCATATCTTTGAGGTTTTACAGACGGAGTGGAGACCTTCGGTATTTCAGGCATCTCCTTAGGTCTATTTGTGACAACCCTTTTAAGTTTTAATTTCACTTCAAGGGTCTCTGGTGTAGCTACAGATTCAGAATTATTTTCATCGTTTTTATTTTGCTTTCTCTTTTTAGATGCATTACTATACGTTCTTCTTAACATTGCAGAAAAATTGGAGCAAACTCTACCAATTACCATAAATTCATCATCATATTCATCAAGTTCTTCGTCGCCATCATCTTCTGGTGTTGTGTCTTCATTGATTGTAGTTAATTTATCTTGAGTTTGTTTTTGTAAATTGGATCGTATCTTTGATAATAGACCTAAACTGACTAATGGTTCATTGGCTTCACAAATATCATGATAATAAAGATTATAATCCATTACCACATCGTTATTTATCGAAGGTCTATTTGTATATATTTCCATTACTTCTGGAGAGTTCAATTGTATTTCATCTAGGACAAATGAAAGGTTCACTGCACCTATGCGTAATTTCAATTCACTATCTGTTGGAGATGATGGGTTTGGGATATTGGCGACTCTAACTTCATGTGGTTTCTTGGAACGTGCCAAGTAACTCCCACTTGTTCCATCATCTAGAGAGTATAGTATCTTCAAAGTCATTCGCGAAACTTCTGCCATCTTTGGTTTCGTGTTTATTTGGTTATATTATTATGCTTTTATGGGTATATATGCGTCTGTGTACTTGTATAGCTTGGTTCCAATTTATACAGACGTCGATTGCTATTAGTAATACGATTGTTGTAATTAGAGATTTTTAAGCACCAAGGAAGTTGTATATATATGTATATATATACCAGGTGTATTGTTATTGTTGTTTTTTTGAGAATTGAAGTAATTGAAAATAAACAACAATAAAAATAAGTATGTTAAAGGAGAGAAACAGGGAGTTAAGAACACCAAATTAGTAATTGTTATTTACAAATTTCAATTCTATAATGTATTATATTATATTATACATATAGCAGGGTGAAAAAAAGAAAAATCAAACAATTTATTCAAGATATTTAAATTAATTAAAACTACAGAAGCAAAAAAAAAAAAAAATAGACGCGTTCATTTGACTTGTCAAAACAACGATCCTACAGTATAACAATAAGTTGAAACAAGAAACAGACAGAAATCTGTTGAAGTTCGACATGCTTTAGAGGGGCCACTAAATGAGCTAGTTCGTTGCAGTTTGAAAGATGATTGAGCTACTTAGTTTTCGTGACGCGTTTCTTCCTGCTTACATCTTCATTTTACTTTTCTTTTTAATTTGTTTATATTTCTTCGCCTTTGTCAAAGGTATATACAGAGAGAGAGACTCTGTGTGCATTATTTTACGCGTCGCGTTTTTTGAAAGAAGAATTTTGATGGCAGGAAGAATTACAATGAGGGTGTTTTTCAAACGAATGAGGTCGAGGAGAGAACTAAGTAAATTGTGCCAGATTTTAAAACGGCTATAAAAATATTTAAATTATACTACTCTTGTATTCCCTTCACATGCAGATACAAATTTTTCTTAGGGGTAAACCAACTAATTGGGTACTTATTTTAAGCAATATTTAGCGATCTAAAAATGCTTGGCTCGGTATTAGTAAATGTCTTTTTATTTATTGAAAGAGTCCAAATATATATTATTTAATGTCTTATTTAGATTTGACTAAATGATTTTCATAAATCGTTATAAAATTATAATTAAAATTTTCAAAAAAAAATTATTAAATCATGGAATGGCATCGCCAATTAGAAGGTCAAAGAACCCTCTTAGTATTATTGAAACGGGTAAAATACCTCGTAAGGAATATTAGTAGTTATTCACAGCTTGGAATAAGTAAAAAGTAGAAACTGGATGTATGGATTTGAAAAACTAGATGTCAAGCTTTTTATCTTTTTAGTTTATTGTGGTTTTTTATCAAAGTGGATTATATTATTATGGAGTAAGTCACTTCTTGTCATCATTTTCAACTAAAGCATTGGAATCTGTTGTTGAAGCGTTAGTCTCTGTCTTTGGATTCCCTGACAGCTCCCTCATGATACTTTCAATATCGCCAATCGATTTTAAAAACGAGGTTTCCGACAGGACACATTTGATCTTATCAGGATCACCGTTACCTAATTTCAATAAGCTTTCCCTCATGTCGTTGACATAGCTTTTGAACCAGAAAACATCATCTTCCCCTAATTCTTCATTTTTTTCCTTTAGGGTTTGAAATGCCTCTATTGTCTTTTTCAATTTATCGATATTTTCTTGATTGCTTTCAACTGAAGCGGGTTGTGGACTATTCAATCCACAAGTAGGCGAATTTGTCAAAGATCCACGTAGGACAGCTGGTTTATTAAACCCTTCATCAAAACTTGGTAAGATTCTTGGCTGATTAATGGTGGGTGCCATTGTTGGAGCTAACTCCATAGAGACTACTGTGTTCGGAGCATATTGAGCAGTACCATTAATATTAGATACTGATGGTAATATTGGTGCTTGTTGCAGTTGATAAGGAACAATAGTAGCAGGAGCTGATTGGGGTGGGGTTCGTATCTTTTGATATTGAGGAATTTGATTTAAGAGTGGTTGTTGTTGTTGCTGTTGAAAATTTGCATGGACACTTGGCAAAGGGTTACCATTGTTAGTACTGTTATAAATTGGTTGAAGATAATGTTCATTAGGGTAATATGGGGCTTGAGGGTTATAAGTTTGCATATTAGTAGCTGTTGTGGGCGTACTATTCTGATAATAAATCGGTATTGGAACATTAGGGTATGGGTATGTCATAGCTGGTTGATAACCAATAACGGGGCTCATACCGGTCATTGCAGGGGTTGCAATCATAGGACCAATATTATTAGTTTCTGTGCCTGGTAAGAATTGTGCAGTTACCGGTGCTGTTGACATTTTACCTGGTAAAAGTTCATTTACTTTTGTTTCATTGTTCCTATTATTAGTAATATTATCTTTTTTAGTAAATTCAGCTTTAGTTAAAGTTGGAACTGGAATATTAACATTATGATTAACTCTATGAATTAAATCTAATTCAACAAAAGCATATCTATCTTTATATTTAAAGATAAACCTTGAACCACAATGATATTGTTTTAAAATCGAACCTCTACCATTTTTACTAACATCACCTCTACTATCCTGACGACATATATATCTTTTACTTCTTGTGACATTATCCTTAGCCCTATCGGTATGATTTAACACTAAAGCAATACCACAAGCATCATAAATATTTTCTCTGATCTTATCATAAAGAGCATCAACAGCATCAGGCGTTGGATGGAATGGTAAATCGAATGATGAAAAAGGTATAGTAGCTCTAATATGAAATGATAAATTATTTGAATTTTTTTTAGCAATTAAAATATTAATTAATTCAACCATTGAATGAATAGTAGATTTTTCAAATGTTTCCACTCTATTTTTTTTCTTTTTCATTGTTAAATGCTTTGATGAACCTAATATGTCATCATATTTAGCGTATTTGCTAACTTTATCTTGCCTTTGTCGAGGAACTGTTGGTGCAAGACCAATAATCTCTGCAGAATTAGAGAATGGAGGCGAAGAATTGGCCATTTTATTTTTTCTAATTTTATTGACTTTCTTTATTTCAATGCTACTTTTATTTTTTTTTAAATACTGATAGTAATAAATAATATTAGTTAATTCCCAATTATGAAATTAGTTATGCTTAAACAAATATATATATGTATGAAGTTCTAAAAAGTATAAAAACAAATAAAATAAAATCCAAGCTGTTGAGTATACGAGTAAGAAACGTGCTTGGGGAACAAATATGTATAGAGCCTCTTAGCTTTATATATAATTTATTATTAAAATGTAAAAAAGTTTCCTACATTCATGCATGTCCTAAAGTAGAAAACATAAGTACATATAAATGTTTTAAGAGAGGATACAGGAGGAAATATAAAAATTAAATGCAAACAAAAAAAAAGAAAGAAAAAAAAAGATGAAGATGCATATCATACCGATATGAAAATAAAATTGATGTAATTGTGTTAAGTCTTTAACTCCTTCTTTCAAATACTTACTTGATTAAGGTATATATAACATTGTCTTTATTACATTTCTAGATTATGCTGCAAAGAGTAACTGTCAAAAATAAAAAAGAAAGTCAGAATTATCATCTGGTAATAATTAACAGAGACAACTTTTTACTTTTACAATTAACCCAATAAATAGAGTTTTACAGATCAAGGTGTTGTAGTACAAATATATATAATGAGACAGAGATTGGAGTAGAGAAACAGATTTTATATTTGATTTAATTGATTCATATGTATACAGAAACATTTGGAGTAAAATAAACAACACAAACAATAACAAAAGCAAAAAAAATTGTATGTTGTAAGATTAACTGTCCTTTTTAACAGTTAGTTTGTATGTAAAATAGTCAAAAAATTATATTGAAAAAATACGAATAAAAAAGAGTATTTTGAGAACTAAATAACAGAGGAGAAAATGGCAAATCTTATTTATTGTACGGTCCTTTCCCCCCAAAGAAATAGTGTGTTTGTATACCTTCCGTTAGAAAAGAGATTGAGGTGGAGAACATAAAGCAGCAGGACAATGAGACAGAATTCCGTGGCACACTGTTAGCAAAATAACAATCAATGCAACTTATCAATCTATACCATTGGGGGAGGGGAGGAGGTGTGGAGGGGGAGGGGAGAAAATAAGTAAAATGCCTAGGGGAACTTCTGGGAAAAAGTTTCAGTGTTATTTGCGATCAGTTCAATTGTACTGCAGAACAATACTTATTAAAACTAATTCATACATTAATCCTTGCGTCGAACTGAAAAACTCTTGAAGGAAAAAGAAATGGCAATAGAAGAAAGCAATGCAAGTTTCGAACAAAAACCTGTAGAGGGTACTACTATTTTTGCAAAATTAACTGACAACATATCGAAATTGGGAAAACTTATCTTTTTCTTTTTTGGCGGCGTTTTTTAATTCCCTGGTTATAGGGATTTCTGTGTGACGAATGGTTTCATCCGTTGGTATTTTATTATTTTTTCAAAAATTTTTTTTTTTAGCAGAGAAAGGACAATTACGGTTACTTGGCGTAGGAGCTTCTCCATTCAAAGAGTATTCAGATTCCTAAATAAAGTTGTGATTGTCCTTTTAAAATGTTGGAGAATAAAATTATTTTAGATTATTTTTTTTTTGTTCAAAAAGGAAGTTTCTCTCCTGGATTATAGTTGGTTGCCAAAGGTTTTCACATTTTTCGACCAATAGAAGAACGTTCAATTTCCTGTCTACTGTACATATATGTACGTTCTTTTTTCTCTAGATAAAAAAGGAATTGAGGTTATGGCTCATTTCCAACATTGCCATTCCGTTCCCCTAAAATCTGGCTAGGTACGACGTTACTCAACCGAATTTCTTTTTGTTTTGTTTGCTTTTTTTATTTCTTTTGTTTTCATGTTCTTAAGGTTAGTATAGTGTGCTTTTTGGTTCTCTACTTCTTAGTTAGAGGAATGGTGCTAAGAAAATTGGAGAAGTAAAAGATCAGTGAAATTTTCTCTTTAAGGGATATGTACCTGTTCTCCTTAATTTTGTTTGTATCATTTAAGCCAGATTATTATTATTGATTTTATTTTGGCTGCAAATAATTAATATTTAAATGTTTATTTTTTTGCCTCTCTGGCTCTTTTACGGTGGTAAGATGCAAGTTTCGCCGTAGAAGGACTTCTCAATTACTTTTGTATTCATGTGCAGTTTTGCTTCTAGTTTTTAAGTGTGTAAACAGAGATAGCGTTAGGAAAAAGGTGAAATTTATCAAAATTACTCTATCTTTAGCCTTGTGCGGCAAAAAATATTAAAGAAAACGAATATTGAGTTTTCTCTTTCATTTCTCAATTTGCAGATGACATCAACAATATATCAACATTATCTACATTTACTTTCGTTTGGAATTTTTATTGTGAACGAGCAGAACAATAAAAGAATGAAAATAAGCAATATAAAGATTGTTTTGCCTTAAGAAAGACAAGAGAACTTTAAGTATAATATTAATTATTATTTTCCTCGTTTGGTTAATAAATACCTCAAATCAGATTTTACTTTAAATGTTGTTCTAGATCTCATCTTGATGACTTCACACTTTATCATTCTCTGTCTTTCTTTTGTTATATATATAAATCCAATAGGATAAAAGAGTCTAATTAGCATTAAAGTGGATTATGTGTCGGCATATAATACAAATACCTAACATTAATGTTTTGAATAATCTGATTAAAGAAAGAAAAACCTGTGTACAAAGTTTCATGTAAATGTTGTAAATTAAGATCTAAAGATATATCAGTAGCTCTTAGTAACTACATAAGAATGTAATGAGGGGCGAGAAATCTTCTAATAAGGAATGTGCCGATCAAAATGTTTTAAAATGTTTAGGAAACGATATATCCCACTTAATTTTCCCTTATCATTATTTGTTGTTATTGCTTGAAGATAAACTATTCATGGAATGATGGAATTTCTAAATATATACAACTATCTGATATTTATCAACTATTGAATTGTTAATTTATCCGATCGATACAATTAAACTTTTGTTAATATTATTGTGTAGTCTATTATTATCAAAATTACAGTTATTGTTTAGTAAATTGTACGTACAAATAAAAGATCAACATAGAGTGCTGTCATTCTTTGTTTAATTTTTCCATTTTTAATTTTGCCACTCTATTTTTGTTTTTTCAAACTCAAATATATTATATATATATATGATTATCTACCTTTCTGTTTATTGGTTGCAAAATTTCCTAAATAGGTTGAAATATAGTACGAATGGGATTTACTATATTCAGAATAAATATAATCATATAAATTAAAGACTAGGATTTGGTGGTAGTCATTATAAACGGTATGTCACAATTATAATAATGATGCAAGATTAAACTACTGTTATATATTTAAATCTTAATTATATTTTTTATATCATATTAAGTTGAGCAAGAAGCTGGAGACGGAGTTAGAAAAATTTCATTTAACTTCTTCCTCAGTTTTGAGGACCTTCTGCTATTTTTTCTTTTGGTAAGCTTTCTTAAACTCTACAGGTTTATTGAAGAAAGATATATGCTTTTGTGATTCAGAATACATTATAATTCTTCTTTATGAAGTATATTGTAGTTATTAATATATAGGACAGTTATTAAAGGGTTTTAATTCATTTTTATGAAATTTAAAGCTCTCCAATTTTTTGGCATCGTCACTAATCTTAAAAATGTTTTTTGTTGGTTACTTAAAATATCTTTTTTTCTGACAAAGATTAAATATCCATTAAAATAAACATCCTATATGTTTAAACACAATCAGACACATAGTTGAAATATCTTAGACTGTATTTGGTCTATTCCTTACAAACATCTTCTTTAAACCTCATTTATCAAGACAATAGACATGTGTGACAAGGGGCCACTTCACGGCTGTAAGTTTCATAAGTTTGTTGAAAGAAAGAGAAAGTTGTTCTTCATTGTTTATAGACACCAATTGCATAAATTTTCCTTGTTATCAATGACTAAATTGAATGAAATGTAAACTGACTTGTCCTAGCCACGAGGTCTACATAATCACCTAAAATGTGCTGCTTATCACCAATAAAATATTAATTATAGGACGCTACGATACTTTCTCTCCGACATCGCCTTACTTGCGGGTAACAAAAAATTTATTATAAGGACTACCAAAATGACGGCCAAACACCCTCGTAATAATTGCAAATTTTTTTATTTTGCACCTGCAGCTGCCCATCGGGAAAATTTTTCACTTTTGCCATATAATCTTGTAGTAATAATACTTACAGTTACCCAATATATACTATAAATTAAACACTATTATTAATAAAACATATTCTGAATACTATAGATTTTATAAGTTTTTCTTCACATTCATTTATATTCAGAAAGGTTGCCAAATATACAAAGTTGAATAGACAATAATGCCTCCAAAGAAGTTTCAAACTCTGGATGATTTTATCGATCAGCAACCAGCTGATCCAAGCATGGTCAAATCACCATTCGGTGGTTATTTTAAGAAAAATAACAACAATTATCAACAACAACGTAATTTGAACCAAGGGAGTAACTACCAAAACAACTATAATCAAGGTGGTAACTACCAAAACAACTACAATCAAGGTGGTAACTACCAAAACAACTACAACCAAGGTGGTAACTACCAAAATAACTATAACCAAGGTGGTAACTACCAAAACTACAATCAAGGTAGCACCTATCAAAACTATAAGCAAAATAATTACGTTCCTGCTACTACTACACCAAATACTAGTAACACCCCAACACCATCAGCCTCTACTGCCTCTTTGACATCATTGAACACTTCAATCTCTAATCTAAATTTAAATGTTACTCCAGTCACCAATTACCTATTAAAGATGACTGAAGCCTCAAACATCACTGAATGTAAGACACTAATAAAATCCATTGTTGATGAATTCAATAGTGAAAATTCTTCTATGAAGAATGTCGAAGATTGGGGTATCCATGATGTAATCAATAAATTAATTAAGCCAAAGAACCCAGCTTTAATCAAAGAGTCTGCATACTTACTTGTTTCCAATTTGGCCCAAAACTGTATTAACAAATCTCCTCAAGAGGCATACTTGCTACCATTTTTCAGTTTAGCTCTGGATGGTACCGCTGAAAAAGATAACACTGTAAAGCGTGCCGCTCAACATGCCATTGATGCATTATTAAACACTTTCCCGGTTGAATCATTAGCTACAAACGTCCTTCCTGTTATCCTAGAATACTTATCTTCTGGTGCTAAGTGGCAATCAAAAATTGCTGCCCTAGCTATTGTTGATAGAATTAGAGAAGACTCTCCAAACGATTTGTTAGAATTGACGTTTAGACAAACTGTACCAATCCTTACTGATGTCTCCACAGATTTCAAACCAGAACTTGCTAAGCAAGGTCACCAAACATTATTGGATTTTGTCTCTATTTTGGATAACTTAGATCTTTCTCCACGTTTTAAATTAATTGTTGATACATTACAAAACCCTCAAAAAGTTCCAGAATCTGTCAAGGCGCTGTCCAGTGTTACCTTTGTTGCTGAAGTTACTGAATCATCTTTGTCATTATTAGTTCCAATTTTGAACAGATCCTTAAACCTATCATCTTCATCTCAGGAACAATTGAGACAAACAGTTATCGTCATTGAAAATTTGACCAGATTAGTTAACAACAGAGTTGAAATTGAAAGTTTTGTCCCATTATTGTTGCCTGGTATCGAGAAAGTTGTCAACACTGCTTCTCTTCCAGAAGTTAGAGAATTAGCCCAAAAGGCACTAGTTGTCCTAAAGGGTGACGATGGGGAAACATCCGGAAAGTCTAACAATGGTCCTGTAAGATTAACAAGCGATGATGCTAAGAAGTTCCTATTGGATAACTTGACAAAGGTGTCTGCCGAAGGGGACTTCCTATTGAGACCATTCCTAGAAGATATTAAAAGCAACAAGGAAACAGTTATCACTGAATACTTAACCAATTTTATTACCGGTGTTGCTAACGTTAATGACTGGAAGAGACTAGAAGAATACTTCAACTCTATCCTTGGTGATGCTAATAAGGATGTTGTTGCTAACGACTTTATTGCTTCAATCAGAGGTATTTTCCATCAAGAAAAGGTCAAACACGACGAAAATGAGGGTATTGAAATCGTCAACACTGATTTCTCCTTAGCTTACGGTTCTCGTATGTTATTAAATAAGACCAATCTACGTCTATTGAAGGGTCACAGATACGGTCTTTGTGGTAGAAACGGTGCTGGTAAATCAACGTTAATGAGAGCCATTGCCAATGGTCAATTGGATGGTTTCCCAGATAAGGATACCTTACGTACCTGTTTTGTCGAACACAAACTGCAAGGTGAGGAAGGTAACTTAGATTTGGTTTCTTTCATTGCTTTAGATGAAGAATTACAAGCTACTTCTCGTGAAGAAATATCTGCAGCTTTGGAATCTGTCGGTTTTGACGATGAAAGGAGAGCTCAAACTGTTGGTTCTCTGTCTGGTGGTTGGAAGATGAAATTGGAATTAGCTAGAGCAATGCTGCAAAAAGCTGATATTTTACTATTAGATGAACCTACCAATCATTTGGATGTATCCAACGTTAAATGGTTAGAAGAATACTTGTTAGAACATACCAATATTACTTCTTTAATTGTTTCTCACGACTCAGGATTTTTGGATACCGTATGTACAGACATTATTCATTATGAAAACAAAAAACTAGCTTATTACAAGGGTAACTTGGCTGCATTTGTTGAACAAAAGCCAGAAGCTAAGGCTTACTACACCTTGACTGACTCAAATGCCCAAATGCACTTCCCACCACCTGGTATCTTGACTGGTATCAAGTCCAGAACAAAGGCTGTTGCAAAGCTGACTGATGTCACCTTCACCTATCCAGGTGGTACTAAGACATCATTAGCTCATGTCTCATGTGCTCTATCTTTGTCCTCCCGTGTTGCTGTTCTTGGTCCAAATGGTGCTGGTAAATCTACTTTAATCAAACTTTTGACCGGTGAATTAGTTCCTCAAGAAGGTAAAGTTGAAAAGCATCCAAACTTGCGTATTGGTTACATTGCCCAACATGCTCTACAACACGTTAACGAGCACAAGGAGAAAACTGCTAACCAGTACTTACAATGGCGTTACCAATTTGGTGATGATCGTGAAGTTTTATTGAAAGAATCCAGAAAGATTTCTGAAGAAGAAAAGGAAATGATGACCAAGGAGATTGATGTTGATGATGGTAGAGGTGCTAGAGCTATCGAAGCCATTGTCGGTAGACAAAAATTAAAGAAATCCTTCCAATACGAAGTTAAATGGAAATGGTGGAAACCAAAATACAATTCTTGGGTTCCAAGAGACGTCTTAATCGGCCACGGTTTCGAAAAATTGGTACAAAAATTTGATGATCACGAAGCCTCAAGAGAAGGTTTAGGTTATCGTGAATTAATTCCATCCGTTATTACTAAGCATTTTGAAGATGTCGGTCTAGACTCTGAAATTGCCAACCATACCCCATTAGGTTCCTTATCTGGTGGTCAATTAGTTAAGGTTGTTATTGCAGGTGCTATGTGGAACAATCCACATCTGTTGGTTCTTGATGAACCTACCAATTATCTAGACAGAGATTCATTGGGTGCTTTGGCCGTTGCTATCCGTGATTGGACTGGTGGTGTTGTCATGATTTCACATAACAATGAGTTCGTTGGTGCTTTATGCCCAGAACAATGGATTGTGGAGAATGGTACTATGGTTCAAAAGGGTATTAACCAAATTGACCAAAGTAGATTTGAGGATGGTGGTAATACCAACGCTGTTGGTATTAAGGCTGACCAAATGATTAGTCCATCTGTCGATGATGATGATTCTCCTGCTAATATCAAGGTTAGACAAAGAAAGAAGAAGATGACTAGAAACGAAAAGAAATTACAAGCCGAACGTCGTCGTCTACGTTACATCGAATGGTTATCCTCTCCAAAGGGTACTCCAAAACCAGTTGATACTGACGACGAAGATGAGGATTAGAAGAAATTTTGATAGAAATGTAATACATATTAACAGTTAATTGGTTCTACACCAACGTGGTTTACTATATAATAGTATAAGGTTTTGTAAAATAAAATAAAATATCTATATACGTATTTTGAAAAGGTATAAAAATTAAATAATTCGTACTTAAAGGAACATCAGTTTAATTTTATTTGTTTCACCTCAAGTTCGATACTTCGTCTTCTTCTTCCGTAGAAATTTGTTGTCCATCAAATTCTTTTATTGCACGATTCATCAACTCAACAAGATACTGTGCGTCCTTATTTTCACCAAGTATGCTGATCGTATTAAAACCTTTTCCAAAATGAGGGTATGATCCAATTTTTATCTCAGATGATACTTTCGAAGCGTCCTCTTGTAACAATTTTAAATTATGCGAAAGTTGAGATTCAGTCATCCTTGTCTTAACAAAATATCTGACATATTCAATATCCTTCTCCCCTAAATTATATAAAGATTTAACAATTGGTGTCAAACCATTTAATAACCTTTCAAATAATTGTGGGATACCAGGGAAAATGAAAACTTGTTTATTAATACTACATATAGGAACCCATAAGTCATCATATAAATAATAATTTTGAACTGTTGGACCTGCGGGTAAAGTAGCCATCTTATAATAATCACTTAATGCTTGTGGTGCCAATCTTCCTTCTGGGTTTGATTTTTCTTGCATTCTTAACTTACATTGTTCATTTAAAAGACAACGTAAGTTAAATGATTTTGCTATACATTCATAAGTAATATCATCGTGAGTACTTCCAATACCACCAGTAGTAATTATAAATCTATATTTATCCTTTAAATGTCTTAAGGTCGTTATAATTTGTTGTTCATCATCCCCAATAGTGATGATTTCTTGTAATTTGATTCCAAGTCTAAAACAAAATTTTGCAAAATATCTAGAATTTGTGTCGTTAATCTTCCCATTCAATACCTCATCTCCAATAATCACACATGCTGCACTAATTTTATTCATATTATGGGATTTACGAAATTAATTGCGCTTCTTGTTGATATGTAGTGAAACACGAATACAACACTTATAAACTGGGTAATTATAACTAGAGTTTAAAGTATATAAACTTCAATGAAGGTATAATACAGTTTCCGTCGAAAGGTAAACATAATTGCAAATCAATGATCCTCTAATTCTCGAAAGACGTTGTTATTACTTTAATACATCCCATAACTAAAGAGAGAGCGTTCAATTCAGTAACTTAAACTAGGGTTTGTTCCTTACCTAATTCAGGGCTACAAAAAATAAGTTAAAACGGTCACATGATCTGCAAATTAAAATCACTCCGAACGATGTGATCCGAAACCTGTCTGCACGGGAAGAAAAAGAAACGCACTGAAAAATTAAAAAAAAACATAAAAATTTGGTAAGAAGAGGGAAATTTTCGCTTTGACTGACGAAACAGAGGAAAGGCGTCCCCGATGAGGTAACAATAGGGAACTTTCCAGCACATTCTAGCAATTACGGTAAAAGTTGAAGAAGACCTTCACGGGTTTAAGTTTTAAATATAAAAATGTTTTATATTTGTTTATTTTGTGGAAAGTATATTTCTGTTATTCTGTTCATCTTCTTTTTTTTTATATAAACAAACGATACAACTATTAACTAATAGCTATCAAACAGTACTATTCAAGAAATAAACCAACAAACATGTCAATGAGCACTTTTAACGCCGAAGAAGCTGATAACTTAGAAGATATCGAGAGACAATTTGCTGTCGTTGCCGTTGAACAAGCAGAAACCTACTGGAACCTATTAACTAAAATTAAAGGTTCTAAATTACGTTTAACTAAATTTGATGATGACATATATAATACATTTATTCAACATTTCCCAGAATATCAAGATATTGAAAGAGTGAAAAATTTCAAAGAAGAAGAATTAAAGTCAAAGGAGCAAAAAGTTAAATGGAGAAAGTTCTGTGGAGAATTTGAAGAAAATGTTGAAGATTACAATTTTGGTACTCTATTAAGAACTAGTGCCAACGACGAATATGGTCAAGAAGGTACTATCTTCGTTGTCAGAATTCAATTTTATGCTTTTGAAATTGCTAGAAATAGAGCAGGTTTGAATGACTGGATCTGTGGTAAATAGATAACAACCTCAGTTGTTAACATTATCAAACAATACCTTCCTCGATACACATATGTTTAATTATCTATAAATACATAACATACACATACACATCCTACACATAATTCTTTTCGAAAAAAAAAATTTAAAAAATAAATAAACATGTTAAACACTATGAAACTGTACAAGAATCTGGTATATTTCCAATTATCATGTGGTTTCTATATGAATAAATAAATAAATATATAATTGGGTCAATATTTATAATATCAAATTAATGGTTAGAGACGGTACCTGTGTCTTATAGGCTTTCATTAATAGTTTTATGCTAGAGGGTGAGTAAAATTTCTTCTTTTTTTTCATTCTAATGTAAGTGTGTGTGTGGAGTTGATGTAGTGTGACTATGACTATGCGTTGTTGTATGCTCTACCGATACTAAATTTGCATTGTATGGAGTGAACTTCAATTCAGGGTTGTTATTTTCCTCCACATATTCAATCTTAATTTCTTTGAAATTATCGACATTTTTTTCTAGTGTTGAACGTATATTATTCGAGACTCTAGATAATTCACTAATAGTGAAAATATGAGATTTACTTGAAGGAACAATAATCTTTGCATGTGCCATTAAATTTGGTCCGGATGCCAAAACTATTAATTCATCCAATTGTAATGGTGATGAGTTTAAGCTATGAGCAAGCTCATGCAATGAATCAATTAAAGTATGCTCTATCTCTTCATACATTTCATCATCTTTCTCCAGGGATTGATCGATTAATTCCCTTATTGAGGTATTCATACCTTCTGTACCAGCCTTCACAATTAAACCAGAAACGATAAGACCACCAATGGTGTCCAGCGATTGAATGTTAAACAAATATCCTGATGAAATAGTGACTAACGCAACCAAAGAGGTTAATGAGTCCACACGGTGATGCCAGGCGTTGGCCATAAGAACATTAGATTTGGTTTCGATGGCTACTTTCTTTGTTACTCGGAAGATCCATTCTTTAGCAACAATAGATAATGCTGCAATCCATGCAGCATTAACATTTGTGACCTCTTGTATTGCTGTTGCATCTGATACTGTCGATTGTACTGAGTCATGAGACCCAGAGCCGAACATTACTAATGTTTCAATAATTGTATGTGGAATAATAGGACCTACAATTGTACACAATGAGGACCATCCAATAGAAATACCTGCTGTCATTAGGATAGTAGATACAGCTAATGAACCTACTGTTTCAATCTTACCGTAACCAAATGGATAATCTACTGTAGGTTTATTGGCAGCTAAACGAACAGAAAATAATGTTAAGAAATCTGATACCATATCGCTTAATGCATGAATGGAATCGGCAAACAAAGCTTGCGAATGAAACACTATACCACCAATAAATTTCCCAACAGCTATGGCAACATTAATCCCTAGACCTATCCAGGTGACTCTCACGCCTGCATTTTTTCTTATCTCTTCAGCATCTAGAACCAACATAGGATTCGAATGTGAATGACTATGTGAATGGCCATGTGAATGTCCATGAGAATGTGATGCAATGTTATTGGTTTGATGACTATGAGTATGGGAATAGAAACCTTGAGCTAAGGATTTTAGAAAAGATATATCTTGAGAAGTTTCACTTTGCGAAATCTTTATATCTTTAATTTTATATTCTTGTTCTGGTTTATTTAAAAGGTTAGAATTATGAAAACCTCGTTTGCTTATTTGAAGGTTAATTGTATTCGTTTTAAATAATTGATTTCTTAAAGGTGAAATTTTAACCCTAACTTTTAACATATTTGGATTAAAATTGTACATTAGCCCAACAAAATATGTTCTGTGCATTTTTCTATATTTTTGGTGTTATCTAATCAACAAATAGATTTATATATAACAATGAATGTTTATCAATTGTAAAGTTTCTTTTTTTATGTAATGTTTTTTTAAATTTTGCTATAAAATTCCCCTAGGTATACATCCCTATGAAACACTATGAGTTAGTCGATAAATATATTATATCTGCACACTTTAGAGCAGTAAATTGTATAACTATATAAAATAATTCGTATAGTTATCAGTTTAGTTGATTTACTAATAGCAAAAATCTTTATTTTTTACCTACTCCTTCTGTATAAATATATGAACCATTGAGAACTGTAGATGTTAATTGAAAATTTCAAAGTATTTAATGTCAAAGATATTTTGCTTCCATCATTGCCCATCGAGGTTTTCAAAGTCAACAATTTACAACTTTCGCCCACTCAGATAACCGGAGAACGGAAAAAAATAACATAAAAATTCGCGTATCGTTCGTCATCAATCACAACGCATTGTACGTGGTCGCCATGGCAAAAAAAAATACAAACAAAACAAAATAGAACCAACATTAGTTATATTTTTGACAACTCGACTTTGTTTGTCTCCTCAATGAAATTGTAAGAGTACGCACAGCGTTGTTGCAACAACCAAAAAAGAAAAGAGAGACAGAGAAAAAAACATCACCTTGCTGTTATGACCTTTTTATTTTCATTATTTACTATTTACCGTTGAGGTAATCTATAAAAAAGGTTATATTTAGGGTATTAATTATATACCTGTGAGACTTTGTTGAAGCCATCCGATGGTTCTTCTTTTGATCTCACCATTTTCATCTTTATAAAGACGTTTCTCTTCTAAAGTTTTCATCATTTCATCTGCAGTTTTACCTTTATCTATACCATTCAGAATGAACTTATATAACCTTTTTCTACGAGAGAAAGTTTTACGATTTTTAGTAAGTCTCCATTTGTTACCATATTTTTCTTCTAGACCACGAATTGATGGATTACCATTTATCCCATAGACATATTCTTCCCATATAGTTCTAACATTATTTGGAGCTTTGATAAGAGTATAATTAATTTCATTGTTAACATCTGTATCTTTTTCAGGCTCTGTTCGCTTTATATTACCCTTTGTTGGAGACCCCTTTGGACCATCAATTATTTTTTTGATTATGCGTTTCTTCTTGGCTGTAACAACCTTCTTGACAATTTTCTTCTTCTTATTTTTACTCTTTGTACCATTTATATCTTCATCCACTTCATCCTCTTCAAAGTTTTCGTCATCCATATCATCGTCTTCATCATCTTCTTTGTTTGCAACATTTCCATCATCGTCGTCATAGTTGGATGCTTGAGTGTCAGTTTTACCTAATGGTATTTCTTCATCATCTTCTTCATCATACTCTTCATTATCATCGTCGTCCTCATCTTCATCATCATTAGGAATACCTCTAGAAGTATTGCCCACTACTGTATCGTCCTTTGAAAATTCTGTGGAACCAATTTTATTACTATTTCCATTAATATTATCACTTTCGTCATCTTCTTGGTATCCATCATCATCATCGTCGTCTTCATGATTATTCTTATTTTTTGATTCTTTTTGCACTGACGTTGGATTTGAAACTGGAATTTGAGGCTGTCCATGTGATGGATTTGGTAGTTGCATTGATATTGGTAAACCCATTGGTGTTGCAATATTTGGCTGGCTTTGTTGTTGTTGTTGTGTATTATTCCCATTACCATTGTTATCATTATTACCGGCAACATAATTATTCCTGTTCTTTACATTGCCATTTGTATTAGTATGAGATAAAGTTAGAGGAACTTGTAAATTATGCGGCAAAGTTGGTATACCGTTTGAGTTATTAACCCTAGGGTTACTATTTATCATATTAGATGGTACAGGTACCACAGGGTTAACAGTTGGATTTTGAACTAGTGGAGCCAAACCTGTAAATGGATCTGTCGGCATAATAATCGGCATATTTAATATATCAGTGGAAGGTGCATTGTTTGGGAAATTAGAATTGGTCTTGTTTAATTTGTTTGGATGTAATTGCCCATTATGATGGTGGTGATTACCGTTATTATTAGACTGATGTTGTCTTTTCCTCTTTTTGATCCCATTAGGATTCAAAGTAAATGTTTTGTTTCTATTTGTGAATAAAGGTAATTGATACAACGGTGAAGTATTATTACTACTAGAAGTATTATCTTTAAGATTTGTACCACTATGTGAAGAATGTAAATTTGTTCTAGAATTTGAATTTGTATTAGATTTATTAAGTAATGAAGATTGCCCAGTCTGATCATTCATTGAAATATTATTACTATCAATAAAACATTGTTGACGTTGTGATAAATAATTAGAACTTATATTTGATATGGAATTAAGTAAATCTAAGGCAAACTTAGATTCATCGTCTTGTTGAGATTTCATAGATTGTTGTGATGTAATCATTCTATGAAAATGATTATTAAACATTGTTTCATTTTGCTTTTGTAATGTTTTAAATTGTTCATTTATTGTTGATTGAAGAACTTGATTCATTGATAATTTTAAATTTGATAACATTGATGTCTGTTGTTCTATTTTTCCTGTTAAATTTTGAAATTGTTCTTCCATGGCAATTAATCGAGCTGATAATTCTTCCATTCTTTGAAATAGCCTCAATTGATTAGAAGTAGATTCTGTATTTGTAGAAGATATAGATAATGAAGGTGTAATATTTGCATTTCTAGTAAATTGCCGTATATTTAAATTAGGTAAACTATTCACACTAGCAATATCATTCCCAACAACATTTGTAGGAGAATTATTCATATTAGTTACATTGACATCAGTGTTAGCATTACTATGACTACGAATTGTTGGATTACTATTATAATTTATTGCAAGTGGTGATCTTGTCCGTGGATTTTCAATCATACTAGTATCCTGTTGTTTCTGTTTATCCAATTCTAATATATCTAATGGCTGGATTTCTGTAAGTGGTACTGGTATCGGTTCCACTACAACATCAACATTATTTGTACTCTGTTGCTCAGACGGGTTACTTGTCACTGTATTAGATTGTTTCTCATCCATTTTTTAAGTATGTTCTATTCTAAATAATTATCAAAAACACGCAGACCTTTATATACTCTCTCACTTATTCAAAATGAGTCTTACGATCCACAGGACATCAACCTAATTAACCCTATAAGCAATTTAAATTAATTGTTATAAATTATATTATGCCTTTAACTAGTGTCCTTTGCAAATGATAACTTAGTTACAATGTAGGTATAAGATATTAGTATTAAAAAGAAAAGTATACATTATTTTATCATGAAATTGGCAACATACGGCAACAACCTCATCATCACTATATTTCGCGGAACAACTTCTCAAGCACGTACATATTTTTTTTTTTCATTTTTAATTATTTTTCACCTGATAGCGGTCCTTGGCGGGCTTATAATGTCTAGTGTATGAAAGGAATGTGACAAAGATAATGGTCGTTATTGCTATAAATGGACAGTAATAACATATATCGATCCGAATGGATTCATAGTGTTCAATTGTGGATTTGTTCATGATGGGATATTTAACTGTTCTATTTATTGCCATAAATTTAGAATTTCAATCATGATTTACACTAATAGCGATGACACATATCTGTAATTATTTCTGTAGTTTTTCGCAATAACAATTCTATATGTAAATGAACAATTACTAACAAAATGTCTACAGACACAAGTAGAAAATGGTAAGCGTTAAAATGATGTATTGCAATCTAATAATAAGCAATTGAAAGTATTAATTCTAATGCTCTCTATTAGGAGTGACACCACCATTTTACAAACATCAAACTATAAAAACCAAACAGACGTTCTTTTCTTCAACCTGTCAGTCACCCTCTCAAGTGCCTAATATCATATTAAAGAGCTAATGGAATTAATGACACATAATTTTATTTTAAAAGTGTCATATTTCTTCTACGCAATTGAAATAGAAACCTAATTTAGATCACCATTCACGAGCCGCAGCAGGGGTTCTCTCTCTGTTTCTCCTTCCACTCCAATTTCGGTCTGCCGGCAGAATTTACGTTAAGAAGAATATATCAACATCTATGTACATATACACACCGTACACCATGATATTTCCTTGTGAGGAGAAATAACGTGAGTAGAAAAAGTGCATCATTGCATGTGTCTCGATGAAAAAGATACAGTAAAATCAAGCAGAAAGAAAATAAGTCATCGGCGCAGTTAAAATAAACACAGCCGAAATCAAATCACTCACAGAGAGAGAAAGAATGTAAAACAAGGCAACAGCGAATAACAACAACAAATAATAATAATAATAACAACAACAACAACAACAGAAGGCTTTACAACCATTACTAGGTAGTCCCGTTATACAAACTCATAGTTTAATATATGCTGTTTACTAGCAGGTATATGATTGAACGATTGATTGTTTTTGATGTAATATTATTTTCCATGAAATCAAGGATAGTTCGATTCTTATAATTTACATTTCTATTTTTATAATTATCTTTTTATACTACTTTATTTGTTATATATCTTGTAAATTTATCCGTATTTGTATACTATCATTTAGTCTTAGTTAAAGTGTTTGTTTATAATTTCGTGGAATAAATAAAGTCATTTAAAGATATCAAATACCCAAAAGACTTTATTTTTATTTTCTTTCTCTCTAGTAAATAGTGGATCGTCTTTTTCATATACGAAGAAAAAAAAGAAAAAACAAACAAACAACCAATAAGCTAAGAGAAGAGCAAGTTGTTTAATAACAAACCTAACACAAAAGAAAAGAAAATTAAAATATTAAAATTTTATTTCGTATTAGGACTAGTTTACCATCATTCTTCTTCTAAAGTTAGTTGCTCCCAAAAATACTATATTGCTTCTCCATTCTATTCTATTTTTATCACTCTCATACACTACAAATCACATATTGATTTCTAATTTTACAAGGATGCAACCTTTATTAAAATATATAATACAGTTGCTCCTGTTATCACAATATGTATTCGCAAAGAGAAACTTAGTAGCGACATCCTTAGTGACATGTATGGAAGGATCACAAATTTCTTCAAATAGTTTCGACGTTGTATTTCAACCTGATGATAGATCATTACATTATACTTTAGATTTAACTACACAAATTGATTCATATATTTTGGCTTATATTGACGTTTATGCTTATGGGTTTAAAATTATTACTAAAAATTTTGATGTTTGTTCAGAAAATTGGAAACAATTTTGTCCAGTTCATCCAGGTAACATCGAAATTGATTCTATTGAATATATTTCAAAAGATTTAACAGATGAAATTCCAGGGATCGCTTATAACGTCCCTGATATTGATGCTTATGCTATTGTTAAAGTATATTCTGCTAATAGTACAGAATATTTAGCTTGTATTCAAGTATTTTTCTCAAATGGTAAGACAGTATCTCAAACAGGTGTAAAATGGGCTACTGCTGTTGTCGCAGGTATTGGTTTATTATTATCTGCTATCCTTTCAACTTTTGGGAATTCTACTGCTGCATCTCATATCTCAGCAAATACTATGTCTTTATTTCTTTATTTCCAATCTGTTGCTGTTATAGCAATGGAACATGTTCATAGAGTTCCACCTATTGCAGCTGCTTGGGCAGAAAATTTGGCTTGGTCTATGGGTCTAATTAGAATTACGTTTATGCAAAAGATCTTTAGATGGTATGTTCAATCTACTGGTGGTACACCATCATTATATTTAACAGCCACAACAATGTCTGTATTAACTCAAAGAGCCATTGATTTTACCAGTCCATTATGGAAACGTGCTGAAAATATATTGTATGGGAATCAAAATACATTAATCTTTAGAGGTATCAGAAGACTTGGTTATAGAATGAATATAGAAAATACTGCAATCGTTTGCACAGGTTTCACTTTCTTTGTACTTTGTGGATATGTTCTTGCAGGGTTTATTATGGTTTGCAAGTATTCCTTTGAATTAGGTATTCGTGCTGGGTGGATCAATCCAAATAGATTCCATGAATTTAGAACAAATTGGAGAATAATTTTGAAAGGTGCTTTATTAAGATATATATATATTGGTTTCACACAATTGACCATCTTAAGTTTCTGGGAATTTACTGAGAGGGATTCCGGTGCGGTGATTACTATTGCTTGTTTATTCATAGTATTATCTGTTGGTTTAATGGGTTGGGCTATGTTTAGAACCCATTATTTTGCTCAAATTTCTATCAAACAATATAATAACCCAGCAGCAATCTTATATGGTGATCAAAGAATTTTACACAAATATGGGTTTTTCTATACCATGTTTAATGCTGCTCATTATTGGTGGAATGCCGTATTATTGACTTATATCTTTGTCAAATCATTATTTATTGGATTTGCTCAAGCTTCAGGTAAAACTCAAGCTTTGGCTATTTTTATCCTTGATTTATTCTACTTTATTGCTATCATCTATTATAAGCCATATTTGGATAAACCTACAAATATTATGAATATCCTAATATGTACTGTGACATTAGTGAATTCTTTCCTTTTCATGTTCTTTTCTGATCTCTTCCATCAGAACTATACTGTCTCTGCTGTGATGGGTTGGGTATTCTTTATCATGAATGCCGCATTTTCATTTATTCTACTGATGATGATTCTAGCATTCACTTTGATGATTGTTTGTTCAAAGAATCCAGATTTAAGATTCAAACCAGCTAATGACGATAGAACTTCTTTCCAAAGAAATACAGCTCAATTAACAGACGGTATGACAAATGGTACACCTGCTGCCAAGGAATTACTAGAGTTAGGTAATGTTGCTAAAGAACATAATGCCAATTGGGAAAGTGATTTGTTTCATAATAATGACGAAGAAAATAAAGTTTATAGAAATAAATCGTTCTCAACCTCTGCAAATTTCATTAAGAGACTCTCATCTTTTAAACTAGGAAGAAACGCTAGTAGAACTAGCGTACCATCAAATCCATTTGCTGATAGACTAGCAGTTGCAGACCCAAGCAGTAACACATTATCCAATATTAATACGGTATCAAACTTAGATTATCGTGAAGTGACACCATCAGATAATCGTCTGGAGTCAGAATTAAACCTTGAATCTAGCACAGGTTCAGAATCAAAGATCCAACTCAACCCTAACCTAAATACCAATTCTAGTGTTGCTATGAATACTACATCTGATTTTAGCGATCCATTCAGAGATGCTAACGGTGAAAAGGCTACATAGCTTAAAAAACAGTTTCTACGTTCATTTTCTTTCTGTTTAAGTTCTTTGTTGGTCATTGAAATAAACTATAATTGCTCTTTTCTTCCATTTACCATCCCCTTTTCTTTTGCATTTATGAATATTTTAAATTCATAAACTTTATAACAATACATTTTTATATATTTGCGTATCATATATAATTACCATTCCTTCATAAATAATAAAAATTAATATTTTTCATCTATATTGATCGACGTACACCATTTATCGAAACAACTAACCGAAATATTATCTTCTCGAAGGTGTCCCTTTCCAAACGCTTCCCGAATAAATCTTCTTGGTGTTCTATGTCTTTTTTTATTCGAAAGTATTTGTTTTAATAATTGTTTAGAGCTTATATTGTCATTTGATGTCGACACTAAAGGAATATACTTATCAATTGTCCAATTAGTAAAAGAATTTCCTCTAGTGGATTCTGTCCACATCTTTTTATGCGTATAAGAATAAACAGGCAACAATGGTCTTGAATTTGCTGAGGAACAATTTAAATCAAAACATTGAAATAGTCCGCCAATAATGGACCCTGGGAGGACATATGTCTTATCATGATTGATATAGCCATCTCTTCTAGACATTTTAAATATAGGTTCCTTCTCGGCAGACTTAATTGGAAATGGCTCCTTCCAATAGATATCACTCTTATTCTTTTCTTCCTGAATAACTATCTTCTGATATTGTTTCTTGCCATCTTCACAATATACAAATCGTATAGATTCCTGTATTGCAAATGGTTGTGAGGTCACTGTATATACTTTGAATACACGGACACCAGTAAATTTAGTTATTCCATAACTATTAACCATTTGACCCTTGAAATATTTGTCCGTTTCACATACCTGGTCTGCTGATTCAAGAACATCTACAATTTCGGGAAATAAAAGGTACGAATTAGTAGTTGTGATTACAGCCAATAGCACCACTAAATACACTATCAATTTATTGGAAATAAACTTAAGCATTTTGGTGTTAATATTTAAAAGAGTAAATAAGGTAATGACTTCAATTTTTGCATAAATATCATAACATATATTTATAATATGTCACCTTCCAAATTTATTATAATGAAAGCTGATATATGTTCATTTACTGACACAATAGTTTCTTTATTAGATAGAATCGAAAAGCTACTATTGGTTACCCTCACAAATTTCTTACATTTTTTTGAATTTTGTATGTTACCCTCTTGGTTCAACTAAAAAAAATTTAAAATAGAAAAAACAGGAGGAACCGCGAAGGGAGAAACAGAAAGTCGAGAGTGCAGGCGATTGAACAACTAAGCGACTTGATGGAAAATATCCAGCAAAATGCATAGAAGTAATATTTTGATGGATATTTACGTGTTGTCAAGGTTTCGATCCATATAAAGATAAATAAATTTATACCATAAAACAACCTAGATAGATTGATTCAATTTGTATTTGTGATCCTTTAATCAATTGCAAGTCAATTTTCCAACAATGAAATTGGATATTACAGTATGTTTACTGATAGAATTCTATATTCTTTATTCTCGTTCCCTATCAATCCTTATTTTAGAAAAATATATCGACTGATGCTTCGTTATTTTTAATGAATTTGTACTAACAGAATCTAATTGTGAATGAATTGTTTACATTTTTTATTTTATTTAGAAAACATTTACCAATCGTACTAATAGAGTCAAGGGGATTGATTTCCATCCTAAGGAACCATGGGTTCTAACCACTTTATACACTGGTCAAGTAGAAATATGGAATTATGAGACTAAACAAGAAGTTAGATCAATTCAAGTAACGGAAACTCCTGTCAGAGCGGGTAAGTTTATTGCCAGAAAGAACTGGATCGTGGTTGGTTGTGATGATTTTAGAATCAAAGTATTCAATTACAATACAGGTGAAAAAGTAGCCGATTTTGAAGCACACCCAGATTATATCCGTTCCATTGCTGTTCATCCAACTAAACCATACATCTTATCTGGTAGTGATGACTTAACTATCAAATTATGGAATTGGGAGAAGAATTGGGCACTTGAACAAACTTTTGAAGGCCATGAACATTTTGTCATGTGTGTAACTTTCAATCCAAAGGATCCAAATACTTTTGCCTCTGCTTGTCTTGATAGAACCGTTAAAGTTTGGTCTCTTGGCCAATCTACTCCTAATTTTACATTGGAGACAAAACAAGAAAAGGGTGTAAACTACGTCGATTACTACCCTTCTCCAGATAAGCCATATTTGATCACATCTTCTGATGATATGACCATTAAGGTTTGGGACTATCAAACAAAATCATGTGTGGCTACTCTAGAAGGTCATATGTCCAATGTTTCGTATGCTGTTTTCCATCCATCTTTACCTGTTATCATATCTGGTTCTGAAGATGGTACTGTTAAGGTCTGGAATTCTGCAACTTACAAAGCTGAAAAGACTTTGAACGTAGGCTTAGAGAGAAGTTGGTGTATTGCAGTTCATCCAGCAGGCAAAAAGAATTATATTGCTTCTGGTTTTGATGGTGGTTTCACTGTCTTATCTTTAGGTAATGATGAGCCTGCTTTATCTCTGGACCCTGTTGGTAAACTTGTATGGTCTGGTGGTAAAACTGGTAGTGCCAATGATATCTTCACCACTGCAATTAGGGGTAATGAAGAGGCCGAAGAAGGTGAACCTTTACCACTACAATCCAAGGAATTAGGTAGTGTTGATATCTTCCCACAAAGTTTGTCACATTCTCCAAATGGTAGATTTGTGGCTGTCGTTGGTGATGGTGAATATGTCATATATACTGCTCTTGCTTGGAGAAATAAAGATTTCGGTAAATGTATAGACTTCGTATGGGGTCCTGATTCTAACAGTTATGCTATAATCGACCTTGATGGTAACATCCAACTTTACAAAAACTTCAAGTTGGTAAGTAACTGGTCTGTCAGACAAGATAATGGTCGCGCTGAAAAATTATATGGTGGTGCTTTACTTGGTGTTAACATGTATAAAATGGCATATTTCTATGACTGGGAAACTGGTAGAATGGTAAGAAGATTGGATATAAATCCTGGAAATGTCTACTGGTCTGATGCTGGTGAATTATTAATGGTAACAAATGGCAATCTAGATCCGGCTGCAGATGAAGCTAAGGCACAGGCATTATTCTTTGACAAGGAAAAATACTTGGAAGCTGTTGAAGCTGCTAAAGATGATTGGAAAGGTGACGATATTGCTGAAACAATGGAGGTACTTTATGAAGTTAATGAAAGCATTACATCAGGTAAATGGGTTGGTGATGTCTTTATTTTTACTACATTAAGTAACAGATTGAATTATTTTGTTGGTGGTAAAACATACAATTTAGCACATTATACCAAAGACATATATCTATTGGGATACATAGCACGTGATAACAAGGTATATCTTGCTGATAGACAAGTACATGTTTATGCAGAAGAAATTGCACTTGAAGTTCTTGAATTCCAAACTTTGACATTAAGAGGTGAATTAGAGGACGCTATAGAGACTGTCCTACCTAACATCGACAGTAAGCGTTCATTATTAAAATTATCCAGATTTTTGGAAGGCCAAGAGTACTATGAAGAAGCATTAAAGATTTCACCAGATAATGAACAAAAATTTGATTTAGCTTTAAAGACTAAGAAACTTCAAATGGCTCGTGATTTATTGAAAGAGAATGATCCTGAAAGTAAATGGATAGCATTAGGTGATATGTCTTTACAATTATTTAACTTCAAATTAGCCATTGAAGCATATACCATTGCACATGATCTAGAATCATTATTTTTGTTATATTCTTCATTCAACAACAGAGATGCATTAATTAAAATCGGTGAAGATGCCGAGGCTCTCGGTAAATTCAACTTGGCCTTTAACAGTTATTGGACTGCTGGTTCTGTTGAAAAAGCTAAAGATTTACTAGTTAAAGTTAATAGATTTTCTGAAGCTGCTATTTTAAGTTCTACTTACGGTTTGGGTGAAGAACAAATCAATGAAGTTGTGGATTTATGGAAAAATCAATTAGACCTTGATGGTAAAGGTGCTATTGCTGAAAGAATCATTAAACCAAGCGAAACTAAAACTACGTCAGGTTCCAAAGCCGAAGAACAACCTTTGATTGATCTAGATAATAAACCGATCGCTGAACCTGTTGCTACCGAAGAAATTCCAGAAAAGGAAGAACAACCAGTAGAAAAACAAGAAGAAGAAGAAGAAGAAGAAGAGGAGGAAGAACCCAAAACAGTAGCTGACGATGGCGAGGATGCCAACGAAGAAGAAGAGGAAACAGCAGATGCCAAAGACCTATAGACTAGTTTAGAATGATTGAAGAGTACATGGATTTCATAATTGCCTAAATTCGTGACGCATTCCCGTTTCCCTTTTAGATGTACAATATTTACCCGATACGTATAGACTATGTCACATAGACGTATCAAAACATACAATTTCGAGCGTATGCAGGAATACAATAAAGATATATATCTCATATATAAAAGATGTATTGAACCAACAAATTAAATAAATAGTTAAAAAATCAAAAAAACTTGAAAAACGGAGGAACCTAAGCTATGCTATGAATATATTTAAGTGTTCGTTTATGTATATATATATATATATCTATACGTAAAGTGTTATGTAGCGAACACATCAATCTTATCAATTGAGATCTTCTTCTCCAGCCCCACGTAATATACTTCCTTTGACATCGATCTAGAAGAATCTGGTTTAAATTTATAAACCTTTTTAAACACTTTGTGCAATCTTTTCTTAAAAAGATGTTCTTCACGTCCCGTGTATAATTTACAAACGAAACTTCCATTTGGTCTTAAGAGATCAATTGCAGTGATCAAAGCTGCATCACATAAATCCACTGAACGCAAATGATCTCTTATTGCAACACCTGATGTGTTCATCAGCCTATAATATGGCATATTAGTAAGATTAGACGAATTATTAGAATTTTCAAAATCTTTAGGGTAAGGTACATACATGTCGCTAATAATTATATTAACAGGATAAATTTTTTCTAAATCATCAGATTTTCCATTCATATAAGGTTTATCAAGGTAACCAAGTTTTTCATTCAGTTTATCTTCTTCATTTAAATTAAATTTTTCATTGAAAAATAATCTAATCATATTGTGTGTTGTCTTTGACAAGATATTTGCTTGTAATGCATGTACACCATCAATTGGTTTACAAGGTAAGATATCTACACCCATGATAATAGATTTCGAATTAGTGCGTTTACGAGCCACTTGAGACCAAGAGCCAGGTGCAAATCCTAAATCTAAAACATTTTGTTTAATATCTTTATTAAATAATTTAAATTTATCATCAATTTCCATTAACTTAAATGCAGCACGAGACCTCCAATTTTTCAATTTAGCTTCTCTAGTATAAACGTCATTTTTACTTCTTTGAACCCATCTACTTTGAGAATTTGAATTGAATCGAATCGTTGTCGTATGAGTTACATTATGTAATAATGAAGATAATCGACTCGGAGTTAACCTCCAAGAATTAGTAATATATAATGACCTTGAAGTTATGAACATTGTTATGAATTAATATAATTAGTAACTAAACGTTTGAATGGATGCTCAGTCTCTCTTAATAAAACCTTTATCTCATATATCCAGATGACTTTAAACCACTATCAAATTAATTGTCTTTTTTGATGAAACAGACTGTTTATGTTAATACGTAATTATGGAAAATAAAAAGAAGAAAATTACAAGTTCTACGATACGGATTACACTCGACCGTAGTCATACGTTCCAAACAAATAAGATGATTACTATTAAATGGTATTAACGAAACTAAAACAAGGAGATGACCATTCTCCCTTCCGAAACCAAGATGATTATTATTATTATTATTATTATTATTACTGTTGTTCTGTTGACATCTATTTTGCAAAAGAACTAGAAGGGAGTTCGATTCCTCTCAGCAACGTGCGATGACCTAATTCACTAACCTCACCCAAAAAGAAGAAAAGAAACCGGTTGGCTCGCTTAATTAATAACCGACGGCAATCCCAATAATTAAGAGAAAACGAAAAAAAACACGCAAACAAAGAAGAAAATAATATGAAAATGTGTCGCGGGCTGCCCGGAACAGTACGTACCGAAGTGTGATCACTTGTTACGAGTAGAGCGGAGTTAAATTACTACGGTAAAAGTAGTAACAATAATATATATCCAATAGTGTGTGTGTTCGTAGCGTTGTAATGCAATTTTTGCACCAGCCTACCGATGATCTACCTCCTCATATTATAAGAAAGTATAACGTTATTTTCTGTAAACAATGTGGGGTAGCTGATATCATCAGCATAATCAGGATGATATAATATATATATATATAAATAGTGAAGCATCTTGCATACTTTAGTTAAATTATATATTATATTAATTTTTTTACTTCGCTCTGTGTAGAATTTTATTAGATTGAAAATAATTATCATCACCTTTAAGTACCGTGCCGGGCTGACATTCCTATATTTATATATATATTTATATATTAGCGAAGCGACAGTAAGATATAAGCACAACAATAAAAATTTTCTTTTCTTTTTATAAGAGAAACACTATCATTACCAAAAATCTTTTATTTTAAATAGACAATTGAAGTAATCATGAGTAGGTCAAACAGCAATTACAGTTATACCCTTGATAATGAAATATTAGGAGTTCCATTTACAGGCGTTGAAGATATAGACTTATCAGATCCAAGATTAGATAAGATATCGATGCATTTACCATTAAAAGCAAATATGGTTGATGTCTCAGACGATTGGGATTCTTCATTTCCGGAGACACCTAGTACTGGGTTTGGTTCATCTGCAGGTGATTCTTTAACAGCATCGATGACTAATTTGAATTTAAATTTAAATATGGTATCAGCTAAAAAAGTAAGATTTGATGAAAATTCAACATTGTTATTAAATGAAGAAGAAAATCATTATAATTATCAATTGCATAAACCTATGGCGTTCTCAACTAATAATACTAAAAAGACTAGAGATGTTGAGGATTTGATACAATCTGCTAGTTCAATGAATCATTTTGTTGAAGAAAACATTGGTAAAATTAATGATTTTAGAAATCATTTGTATAATAATGGATTATACAATAATAATTCAAATACTAAAAAAAATGATATATATCTAAGGTCACATATTGGATCAATATCTAATTTCGAATTAAGCGATTCAGAAACTATTCCAACTGAAGATACTTTACATTATGATATTCAAGATAATATTGATTTTAATTCTACTTTTAATAGTAATGATGAAGAAAATAAAAATGATAATATAAATTCTATTCAAGAGGAAATGAATAGAAATATAAAAAAATATGCAGAATTGAAACAAGTCCCTAAAGATGATGGATTATATGAGTCTCATTTGGAGAATCAACCTTACAAATTCGATCCATCAAATCTAACTCAAATTAATAAAGTAACCATTGATGAAGCTATAAAATATTTTACAATTACCATTGAAACACTTTTACAATTATCACAGAATCTTAATAATGAATCACTAAATAAAATCAACCTGGAAAATATGCATTCTGATTTATCTAGTTTCAAGATGAAAAGTATACCTTCTGTTTCTTATAAAGATTTAATCACTAGAATTCAAAAAAAATGTGAATTCGAACCTATCATTTTCTTACAAAGCACTTACTTATTACAAACATTATTAATTAACAGACCAGAGGTAGGAACTAAAGAAATTCATTTAAAGAATAAATTAGAATTACATCATATTCATCGACTAATAATTGCAGTAGTAAGAATTAGTTGTAAGTTATTACAAGATAAACAATATTCTCATGAATACTTCAGTAAAGTCTGTGGTATTACAAAACGACTACTGACAAAACTAGAAGTATCATTGATGATCGCAGTGAGAGATAACGAATTGATGTGTCGTAACAGAGACATACTAGCTGCATTATCTACTGTTACAATGTTAGAGAATACCTGCAATAAGTAATTCTCTTCTCCTTTCATGAAACACTACCATTTTAATGACACTAATTTAACGACTTTTCCTTTTATAGACTATTTATAGACACATTCAAAAATAAAATATTCGACAACTCTTTTTTTTCACAACTCTTTATTTTTTATATCGAATGATTAAATAATATGAATCTGAAATCAATTTCAGATTTTTTTAACAAAAAATATTCTTAAACAAACGCGCTGCTTCGCTTCTCATCCTTCTGTATCTTTCTTTACTTTTTTCACGCATTTTGGCGTTGTTTGTTAAAAAATAAACAACTGTTCCCTTCAAGCAAAGCAGAACCAAAAAAAAAATAAAAAATAAAAATAAAAAATAATACCAATAATTTTCAAATTTATGTAATTAATTGAAAAGGAACATAAATATATATACTTTTTTTTTCTACTCAAGATAACAAGGAAACAATTGTAATTTAAAAGGGTTTAAGTGTTTCAATAGTTATAAAAGTAAATAAATTAACTATTATACCCAATATAGCCGCCCTGTCACCCTTAGATCACGTTTTTTTACCGTCACATATACAGGTGTAAATCAAAAATAACAAATTGTGAATTTATTTTCACATAATTAAAGCAATAAAGAGAAATCATAAGCAATATTGTTAAGCATTGAATTATAAAAGTATAAAATGGTTTTGTACAAGAGAAAGCCGATAATTCTTCCTGATCCATTACCTTTACCTGATGATCTTAATATCTACGTATGGCATATCGACGAAACTGGGGAATGGTTTTTCTCATACGAAGAATATTTGAAAAGATTAGATTTTTATATGAGACATCATTTCACATGTGAAATTACAGGTACTTCATGTCTAACCTTTTTCCAAGCATTAGATAGTGAAGAAGCCCAATTTAAATATGTTGAAGAAAAATTCCCATTGAAACTTAGAGAACCTGTGGCAAGATTTTTGCATTTTAACGTAATTAAAAGATTAGACTCTTTAGTAGAACAGGTATACGCTAAATTTAAAAATGATTACTTTCCTGGTGAAGTAGTATATTTACGTAGACCTAAAGAACCTAATCAACCAACAGGTGCAGCTGCCACTTCTAATGGTACACCTTCCTCATCATCATCACATATACCTACTTCAAAAGGATCCGATAATCCAACTACATCAAATCAACCACAGTACCAAAGTCCGTATATTGTAAAAGAAAAGGCACAATTTAACGCAACGATTGATCCAAAGACTGGTTCTGTTTCTGTACCAGGACACTGTAAATATATGCTAATTGAAGATGATTCTCATCTATATGAAAATGGACAACGTTTGCAGCCTGGTCGTGAACCAACCGGGAAATCTATAATTGTAGATCAATCACAGATATACAGAGATAGATCATCTTTTACTAAACATCTAATTAAATGTTTTTTTAAGATTACTCTGCATAAAGCATCTTCGAAATCAGGAGCTCCTTGGTCTGTAAAACCAGAGTATTTAAGTATGTATGGTTTAACCATGAATTGGCCACCTGAGTTGATCCAATTTAAGGATGATGAACCTAATATCGAACCAACCCCTGTCTCAGAAACTCCAGTTGACCTATCTGGCGAAAGCAGTGCAAAAATAAAGGGCAAGAACAAGAGAAAGAACGATTCTGAAACTAATGAAAGTGGAATCGATGAAGAAACGAATAAGAAGAAGAAACTAAATAGTAATGACGCTAAAGATATTGAAAAAGAAGATATTAAGGTTGAACAATCTACCGAACCAGCAATTGTTATAAATACAATTGTTGATGATCTAGAAATACCCTTCAAGCAAGACGATGAATCGTTCATTGGTAATCTTCAATATTATAATGATAATCTAGAAAGTGTTCGTTTATCGGATATGCGCTCATCATCCCTTCACAATCTCCCTCATTTTGAGAGGGTATTACAAATATATCAATTTTTAATCAGTTTCAGTGATACCTTATTATTATCAAGATTTAATTTTGATCAATTTATTACATCTATTAAGTGCACAGATGAATATGAATTAATTGGAGAGGTAGTGGAGGTTTCCCTTCGAAATGATGAAGACAAAAAAAATAAGACTAATGAAGACGTTAATAACGGCTCTGACTCTGATAATTCCGAAGAAGAGAACAATAGTGATATGGAGTCTAAACCAGTAAGTGACTGGAAAAGAAACTCCAAAATTCGTGCAATGATTGAATCAAAAGCATTAAACGCAAACGAACCTTTGAAATATAAAATCTTAAAAAATGACCCAGCATCAGATGATGTAATTGACAATGTTAATAGTAATGGTACAGCTATTCTAGTAGAATCATTCATAGCTCTACTGTCGCTTTTCATCAACGAAAAAGGAGAATGGGTTACAATTGTTTCCGAAGATTGGTATGATATGCCGAATGACCTGGCCAAACCAGAGACTAAAGAAGAAAAGGAAACAGATATGGAAGTCAACAGTGATGTGAAGACTGAAACTGACAATATTACAAATGACAATGAAAAAGATATAGAGAAAGATATCAAAAATGAATCCGATTCAGATGATGAATTATCTGAAGAAGAAGAACGTATAGAAAAATGTTTAAACTTTCGTAACGTTCATTGGAGTGAAAGATTAATAAAAAGACAATTCAGTAACCATTTTTGGTTAATTATTTTATTAGGTATTTTCCAAGATAGTTTAGCAATGCCTAAATACACCAACTTTGCAAAAATTTTCAGCAGTAAATTAGTGCCTAAACAGGTATCCGCCACTCATCTTCCAAAGCAATTATGGAGAAACTTCTGCCGTGAATTTACCTTTTCAGAAAAAATTGAAGCATTATGGATGTTGGTAGACATGGTTACTCACTATTCTCAAGATATCAAGCAAGCTGTTGATGATTCTCTGGAACTATCAAACCAAATCAGATCAGAAAAATTTAAAATCGCAAGAGAAATAAAAAGTTTAATCTCTGATTTATGTAAAATTAATGCAGATACCGATGTTCAACATTACAAGGATGTTCAGGCAAAAATCGATAGTCTTCAAAAAGATAAGACATTCTTAGAAAGGCAGATTTTAGAAGCTGAGTTACAAAGACTGAAACCTCTAGGGATGGACCGGTATGGTAACCGTTTCTTTTGGTTTGGACTTTCGGGTGTACCTGTACATGTATATTCAGAGGAAGAACTAAATGAAAACAATGTTGAACTCAATTATTCTACTGGTAGACTATTTATTCAGGGTCCTACTAGACAAATGGCAAAATACCTTTTAAAGATAACAGATGACGAATTAAGTAATTGGAAATTACTATGTGAAAAGGATGGGAAAGCTTCGGCGACAAAGGAAGTTTTTCACGTATATAAACGTGAGGATGGCTCAATATGGTCTATCGGTTCTGAAAATAATGACATTGATATCGAACTCCTTTCTAAAGACGGGAAATTAAACCCATCAGTGACATTATCATTTATACAGAAGATGATATTGGACGAATCGCCTGAATATCTTATGTTAGATGAAGGAATGTGGTACTCGGTTAACACTGTTGACGACTTAGCCTCCATACTGAACAGACTTAATACATGGGGTAGAAAAGAACATGATCTTTTAAGACAATTTAGAAATACCACATTAGACATAGAGAATTCAATGCTGGTACGAAACAAAATTTTAAATCCTCCTGAATTCAGTGATGAAGAAAATAAATTACTCGAAGAACTAAATGAAAATGCGTTAACCGTTAATGAACTACAGGTAGATAATGAAGGACATAGCGAAATATCGAGTTCTAATAATGACAAGACAAAAGAAGAAACCGACGAAGATAGACTTGACATTATAGAAGTAAGGTTGGACGAAATAGCAGATGAGATTATGAATTTAGAGGATTCTTCAAAAACCAGAGCAATATTAACACAAATCAAAACTCTAGAAGATGAACGAGATGAACTTCTGGAAGAGAAAGAGCAGAAAAAGAACTCACAACGACCAGGGGCACGTATTCTTGCCCGTTCCGAAAAGAAGAGAAATGCAATTTCGAGAGATAACAAATTATCTAATCAAACTGAATTACTCACTGACCTGATCAATTATAGGCATTTTAAAGCTATGGAGGATGTTATACAATGGAAGAATAAAATCGCATTAAAACGTTTTGGTACGGAATTAAGAAAATCTACATCCAGTAAGAAGAATCACTCCTTGAAGGAGTTGGTACCTACAATACCTGAGAAAATGAAAAATATTTTAGAGCAATTAGAATCTGCAACAGAAATACCAAAATGATTATGTTGAGTTTAGACCCTCGCTCCTGTATATGTCTATATATAAAGAGATAGATAATATTTAATTTAAATTGAAACAGTGACGACATTCATACGGTCTTAGCACTGAATTAGAATAGATATATACTGGTAATAGACGCAAAATGAAATATTCAAGGAACATTTATTTGGATGATTGATGAGAGGAGGAATTTATTAATCATATTATTTCTGTAAATGAAAAAACTAGAAGCTACTACTTGTGTATTGTCAGATACAGATGGTTCCTGTAAAATGGACATATGTATATACAAATTTCTGTTACTATACAGGTTTAATACCCTTTAAAATCTTATTTATGAAAATATGGTATCTCTCATTAACCCTTTGTATATTCAGTTGGCAACCAACCGATAAGGAATCCTCATAGTAATTAATGGTAACAGTTCAATATTTATAGTTTCACGACAGTTCGAACCGTAATGCGGAACGAATAGGAAAAAAATGAAACAACAAAATATGAAAAAAAAATAATTAAGCTGGGTCATCTACGAATGACAAACATAACCATGATTGTCTTTTGAACAAGAGCACAGATTACTGGAAGAAAGACTGAATTCTATATTAAAACAAGACACTTTCTTATTTGCTGAAATTATTGATTTTGTTGCTAACGATACCATCTTCTCTTTTGTTTTATCAGGGGTTCCTTCACATAATTACGATATATACAAACAATTTAACTTTCAATAATAATAATAATAATAATGGAAAATAGAATTGCGCCAGAAATACCAGGTATTGTTCAACCTGGTAACGTAACACAGGACTTGAAAGGGGTACTATGTAAACTCCTAAACTCTCCTAAGCCTGTCAAAACATTCCCAGGTTCGCAACCAGTTTCATTCCAACATTCAGATATTCAAGATAAACTTCTCACTCAGGACTACTATGTATGCGAAAAGACTGACGGGTTACGTGTTCTAATGTTGATTATAGTGAATAATATGACCGGAGAACAAGGTTGTTTCATGATAGACAGAGAAAATAATTACTTTATGGTATCTGGTTTCAGATTCCCTAAACTACCTGGCAAAAAGAAAGAAGAATTACTAGAAACTTTACAAGATGGAACTCTACTAGACGGTGAATTGGTTATTCAAACTAATCCGGTCACAAAATTACAAGAATTAAGATACCTGATGTTCGACTGTCTCGCTATCAATGGTAGATGTTTAACGTCATCTCCAACCAGTTCTAGATTGGCACATTTAGGAAAAGAATTCTTCAAACCGTATTATGACTTAAGAGCTTTTTATGCAGATCGTTGTTCCACTTTCCCATTTAAATTATCAATGAAGCATATGGATTTTAGTTACCAATTAACAAAAGTGGCAAATAGTTTAGAACATCTCCCTCATATGTCTGATGGTCTGATATTTACACCTGTTAGGACTGCATATTCTATTGGTGGTAAGGATTCTTTACTTCTAAAGTGGAAACCAAAACAGGAAAATACTGTAGATTTCAAATTAATACTGGAAATTCCAATGGCAGAAGATACATCTTTACCTAAAAGGGATTCTAATAGATGGTACTATAATTACGACCAAAAACCTACATTCCATTTATACGTATGGTTAGGTGGTCCGGATGTCAACACAAAGCTAAAGGTTTTTGACAAACCTTTTGATGGTAAGGAACTACAATTACTTGAGAAAACTTATAAAAGGTTTGCTGAATTACAAATTGATGATACAAAATGGGAAGAATTAAAAAATCTACAACAACCTATAAACGGTAGAATTGTAGAATGTGCGAAGAACCAAGAAACTGGTGAGTGGTCAATGTTAAGATTCAGAGATGACAAACTAAACGGTAATCATACTTCTGTTGTACAGAAAGTTCTAGAAAGTATAAATGATGCTGTCTCTATCGACGATTTGAACGAGATTGTTCCTGATATTAAAAATGCTTGGGAAGCCCGTAAAACTAATGGTAAGACTCAATCGGGATCATATGGAGGACCATCTTCTTCAACGGCATCTCAACACACCTCAAATAACGCAGCTCCGCAGCAACCTAAATACGTTGATGATGAGGATGATTGGTTTGATTAAACGCATATTTTTATGTGTATATATATTAAAAGTCAAAAAAGCTTTGGGGTATTATTAAAACTCCATATTGTACTACTAGTAAATAGTAATTTTTATTCACTTTTCTTCAGATGTTGATTTTGAATCAAATATTTACATGATTTTTTAAATTATATACATCATTATGTATCTATACCAATATACTATAATGACTAATATTTGTGTTTTGAATATTTTTATTTAATGATGATAGTTGTTTTTGTTCGTTCCTTTTTACTAATATTATCAACTTCATTTATGAGTAAGTACAATACTCTTTAAAAGCTCTCGAGGATTACCACTTCCACTCATGAAGTATTTCTCGTCCGTCAACTGATCCAAGGTCTTAGATTCAACATCTCTGTTTAGTACGACCTTGGCATCTATGTAGTACTGGATTAACTTCTTTGCTTCTTCTCTTGAAAGTTTTGGAACTTCGAATTCCTCAACCTTTCCATTTTGTAAAATTTCCACAAATTTTGGTTCGTATAAATTCCTCTTCATATATGGGTCGGCAGGAATCTTACCCAATGCTACTGGTAATGTTCTATTTGTTTTATCGACACCAGATGTTGCTAGAATAACACAGCTTTTTTTATTATTTAATTTTTGGTTGTTGGAAACAATATCCATTATAGTCTTTCCCACCTGTAATTCTAATAGATGAATATTTTTATTATTAACATCTTTATAATCAGAAAATGCTCCTGTTAGCATTTTTGAAAAATTATCTACAGTAAAACAAATTGGAACCTTGCTTTGGGAGAATAGTTCACTTATTATACCTTCAAATTGCTCACCGCGAAGATTTGTATTAATAGATATATTCATTAAATCAAATAATGAATTTTTACCCTTGACAAGGTTAATATTAACTGTTCCCTTAAGAGTAGTCTTAACAAAAGTATAATCCTTAGACAATTTAATAGAATTTAATAGATTTTGGTCGTTAGCCTTCATGATCTTTCGTATCAAAGTCTTCAAATACATTGGTTGCACATATGATTTCAAATTTTTGTCAAAGAAAAAATCGTTTCTACCATTTAGAAAGAGTTCAGGGAAGGATATATTCACCACCACAAAGTCAAATTCCACAGCATATGAGTGCATTTGAGCCAATAAAGAAGTCTTACCGATACCAGATTCGCCGGTTATAATGACCCTTTGAGAATCAGTAGTTGAAAGTTTTTTCCATAACTGTTCAGTTGAGTCTTTTCTTACTAATGATATTGGTTTTGTAAACAATTCATTAAATTGACCTTTCTTAAAAGAACCCAAGTAACGTAATGCTTTTGTTTGCTTATCACTAAAGTGTGCAACGTTACCCATGCAAGGGTCCATATTGACCGGGCTAAACGTTGGTATCCCTGAAACCTGTGTTGCATTAGCATTCAGTTTGGAACTATGAACAGTGTTTATCCAATTTTTGTATAACGTCGTAGGTGTTATTCTCTTTGGTGCTGGTCTTTTGCTAGTTGATGCAGCCTTTGAGAATCCTTGAGATTTTGCTTTCCCGGCCACACCAGCATTTCTCACAGCTGTTTGGCATATGTTTCTCGACTGAGCTCTTAACATTTTAAACAATAATATGTTACGACGCTAAACTTATCAATAATAGAATAAAACCAATTTATGATATTTCAATGAATCTCAATAAATAATGTCTACTTTGATGATTTTACTGTTGTTGTTTTTAAGTGTAGTTAATGAGATTCTTTCTTTTTTTTTTGAGTTTCCCTTGGTAAACTCATTTTGTTCGTTCGTTTGGTCCTTCGCTTTCTGATTTTTTTATTTTTTAATGTTTTTCTAACTTTTAGGGTCTTACGCACGAAAAAAGACTTGGTCAAGATTCGAATGGAGGATACTTACTATTATTATTATCATAATAGACCTTTTGATAAGGTCATCGTTGACTGTATACGTGATTACATAAGGTATTTAAGAGAAAAAATTTTAATTTGTAAATAATGGATTTCTTATCTCCAATTTAATACTACCATCTGCAGGATTTTCTACCACGGAAACTTGAGATAAATCTTTAACAACAAAGTTTGCGCCAATTTCTGCTAGTTTTTCAGGTGGATATGATGAGGCAATACCTATCGTTATAGCACCCATACTATTACCAGCTTTAATACCAACTGGAGCATCTTCAAAGACTACTGAACGGCATGGGATATCGAAATTCCAGGTCTTTGATAATTCATCACGAGCTCTCATATAACCCATAGGATGTGGTTTCCCTTCTGAAACATCGTTACCAGTGACGAATACATCAGGTTTTCCAACTTCCTTTAAGATATTAGAGAACCAAGAGAAGGCCAGATATGGGGAACCAGAGGTGACAATGGCCCATCTTCTCTTATTTTGATCTTTATAATTAACAGCAGAATCCTTTGGATTTCTATCCAATGCCAATAATAATTCTTTAGCACCAGAAACAAGTTTCACAGTATCCAGATAATTGTCGGCCATATCTTTTTCTAATAACATTGCCCCTTTATTGTCTGTATTATCATAATCAGGGAAAAATCTTGCTAGCATCTCAGCAGATTTTGAACCATGAGATACTTTAAACAATTCTTCAGGGTCAACGTTATATTGCTTGCATAATTTTCTCCATGTAGATTCAGCAGCAATTGTTGTATCCACGATAGTACCATCCAGATCGAATAAACACACGTCTGTGTCAATAGTATGAGTAGATGATGGAGTAGAGATAGTCATAATATAAATAATAATAATAGATATGTTCTGTCTTAAAGATTAAAAATATTACACTCTTAAATGTGGTTTAAATTTGTTATGATAATAAAACGAATAGTCGATATGAGGAAATTGTCTCTGTAGAACGAAGACTTGATTTATGTTATTAGATAGATAATCACTCACACTAATTTTATAACACTTGTAATTTAAAAATTAAAATATCCTCTCTATATATATATATGCACATTGTTTGCGAACCAAGATTGGTTAATCCTTGATATACCTTTAATCATTTAATGACCGCCACAGAAAGACAATTGGTTAAGGACACCAAAACGTGTCTCTGACGATCTTTCGATCCTCAGTCAATCAATAGCAAAACGAAAAAGAAATTTGTTCAGCTTAATCCTGTTGCTTACCAAAGACACAGACAGAGAAAGCAAAGAATTCCACAAAGGATTCTCCTCCGACCCGCACACACACACACACACACAGCTCCGTGTTTCCGTGTTTCCGTTCTTTCGTCTGTCTCTTCCCCGCGCTTTTCTTCCTCTTTTAAAGATCCGTTTCCCGCACTTTATTTCTATTTATTTCTTTTTTTGATCTATCTTTTGCCTGAGTTGCAATGTGGGGCACACCCGGAAGGCTGCACTCCGGCAGTGGGTTCTGTATAAGTTAATTAAGTTTTATAAATTATTGATTCAAACTCGTTATTACATCATAATCATATATATGTATATATATATAGTGTATGCGGTATACCGTTTAAGCCTTGTGAGCAATTGGGTTCGTAATTTGTAAAGAAATACAACCAGTTTCTGTATTATTAACAACAGTAACATGAGTTAGATCCTCGACCACGTAGTCTGCACCTGCTTCAACTAATTTCTCAGCAGGGTATGAGGATGCGATACCAATAGTGGTAGCACCCATTGCATTACCTGCTTTGATACCTACAGGTGCATCTTCAAACACAACTGAACGGCATTTATCCTTGTCTACATTCAGTATGCTGGAGAGTTGTTCTTTAGCGGTGTTGTAACCCATTGGGTTTGGTTTACCTACAGGAACGTCTTCACCAGTGATGAAAACCTTTGGTTTACCGACTTCTTTTAGAATAGTCTTAAACCAAGAAAAAGCGATATATCTTGTACCAGAAGTAACAATTGCCCATTTTCTTTTTCCTAAAGTATTATGATTAACATTAGGAACCTGTGGGTTACTATCTAATGCAAGTAATAATTCTTTGGCACCAGGGATTAATCTAATTGTCTCCAAATAATTATCGGCAATATCTTTCTCTAATTCATGGACACCTTTACTATCGGTATTATCAACCTCTGGGAAAAATCTTGCTAGCATTTCTTCAGTCCTTGAACCATGTGAAACTTTAAATAGTTCATCCGGATTGACATCGTATTGTTTGCAAAGTTTTCTCCATGCTGATTCTGCAGCAACGGTTGTGTTTACAATTGTACCGTCTAAATCAAATAGACAAACGTCGGTATTAACTGTATATGACATGATGATGATTATGGTTCTTATTTAATTTTCTTTTTCGTCACAGTTATAAGTAAAAATGAAACATATATATTCAATATAATGAGATCTGTTTTTATGGAAACAATATTGTATAAATTATTACCCCGATAACTCGTTATATATAACAAGATTCAACATTTATCCATTGTATTTTCTGTCAAGCTTCCATCTCGAACTATATGCTAAAGATCCTATTCTTAATTGATAATCTTAATGCTTTGACAAATACACGTTGCCCATTACTACTCTCGGAAACTAACAGAAAATGTAAATAGAGGAAGCTGTTTACCAAAAAAACATATTATAGTATGCGTTGTAGGCTCATTGCCCTAATTGAGAGAAGAAAGCAAATTGATATACTAACTTCTAGCCCAGTACTGCATTCAGAAGTTTTGAGTAATAATGGGAATAAGGAAGGGAAAATTAATGATATTCCTTGTCCAAATTATCATGTTCTTCTTAGAAACAGCAGTAGCTTCTCCCTTGGCGCGGTGTTAAGAGCGGAGATAACTATGTTCAAACTAACACTAAGGTAAGAAAACACGCAGGAGCCAAGGTATAATATTTAAAACAAATTGAATGTGGGGTTCAGATATCGCTAGAGACTGGTCATGTGTTACAAATAGCTAATGTAAGATGGTGGAGTTACTTCACTGAAACATTCTGATAGCAGTATGAACTTTTTTTCGTTTTGCTTAGAAAGAAGCATACAATCGTTTGGCACGAATCTGTCCTCATTGAGACAAAAAAATGGAAAACAAGATCATTTACTATGCACATATTTACATCTAATAATAAATTAAAATACAGCATCACATGAGTGTTTCAATCCCCATTCTTTTGCTTTAACTCACAAGTAGATAAACTAAGGTTATCTATTTTTAACTGAAAGGAAGTTCATAGAAGAACGTTTTCACGCAACTTACTTGTTTTTAATAATCCTTAGTAAGAGTATAACAGAATAATACAGGATGTTGTTGACTAAGTTTTTACAATGTGGCTTAGTACGTACAGCAAATGTAATTGTTCGACCTACAATAGTTGGATCAGGTATTACAACAAGGTCTTATGCTTCTGGACCCCGAACAGGTGCAAGAGGTGCGGTCTCGAGAAATCAATTAAATTTGACATCTAGTATGAAAAAAAATGAAAGATCGACTAATCATAAGAAGAAACAAAGATTGAGAAAGCAATCGGGACAAAAATCGAATTCATCCTCTAAACCATTTCATTATGGTGAATTTGGTGGCCTTAAAGAAAATAAAACTGTTAATAGGGACCTTGATTTGGTCACTGCATTAGTGAATAAAATATCAAGTTTTGATGATTTAAAACTTTTACCTGAAGTAAGAGAAGCAATTAAAACAATTGTTGCTAAGGATACTACAGTTTTAGGTATTAAGCAAGATGACATCTCACCATCTCCAATTCAAATCCTGACTGTAAAACGTATGTCCAAGTCATTGATGGATCCTAAACTTCAAACACATGCAATTGCTGCTGATACCGGTTCTGGGAAAACTATTGCGTATTTGTTACCACTGATTGATTACATGATGAGAGAACATTTAGAAACACCGGAACTTTGGGATAACATTCATGATAAAGCTTCCATTCGATCCATTATATTGGTACCCACACATGAATTGGTAGATCAGGTCTACAGTACAATTGAAAAGACAGAAGAGACGCTGGGCCTACATACATTTAAATGGGATATATACACAAAGTATCCAGATCTAATTGGTGCAATTAAAAATCGTGTTGATATACTTGTAACAACTCCATCAAAATTGTTAACATTATTCAATATTAAAATGATTAGCAACCCTGAACGTCTTTTATATAATGTTAAAAATTTAGTGATCGATGAAGCTGATACGTTAATGGATCCATCTTGGGTTAATGATACCCACTCAGTAATACGAAGAATGAAAAACTTAAACCATTTAATATTTTGTTCGGCTACAATTCCAAATGAATTTAACAAAACAATTACAAGGTTGTTCCCATCATACGTTCCGATCACGACAGCAAGACTTCATAAATTACCAAGAAAGCTTGACTTTAAGATCATTGACTCAAGTTTAAATCCGTTTAAGGGTTCAAAATTGAAGGCATTAGCACAAATCTTATATGCTGTAAATAAAGATAATTCTGAAGAAGGTTATCAAAAGAGATGTGTTGTGTTCGTTAATGAGAAAGATGATGTTATAAAAATAGCAGAAAATATGCGTAATAAGTATGGTCTCAATGTAATGGGGTTGACTGGTAATAATAAAGTTGAGGATCGTCTTCAAACCATCAAGTTGTTTACATCCCCACCTAGATTGATGTCAGAGATAAATACAGAAGTAAAGGCAGTAAAAGATGATTTAAAAAGTGCTGAGAGTCTACCTCTCACCATTCCAGGATCTAATATTACTATTGGACCTACAAAGAATACCGAAATTCACAAAAATAATAAATCCATAATCCTTATCACTACCGATTTAATGGCAAGAGGTTTAAATTTTCAAGGTCTAGGAAACGTCATTCTATATGATGTTCCAAAAACATCAATTGACTTAGTTCATAGAGCTGGTAGAACAGCTAGGATGAGGCAAGGTGGTAGATTATTCATGATTACGGATAAAAAGACCAAAGCGTGGGCCAAAGCATTACCAAAAATTGTTAAAAACAATTTGGCATTGACTTAATGATACCTTTCCTACATGTACGTACTTGCTCAAGGTTTTTACCTATCCTTACTGTAAATATACTGAGCATTTTTTTAATATTTTAAATTTTATATTCTTACATTTATTTTTAAATATTTTAAGTTTGGCAATTTTCATTGTCTGTTACATTCAAAGTTTCTGCAACAAAAATCATTAGTGGAATGCTGTTATCCGCTTTGCCTCCTCAGTTTTATAAAGTGAAAAAAAAATAATAAATTCATTAATTATAAAAGAACAGCGATCACGGTAAGACAATTATTCTTCAAGTATAATATGTATTGAGTTAAACTTCATTTCAGATGAATGACTTAATACCCAAATAATTAAAATAACTTGATTTACAATGAGTGATCAAAAAACAAATAAACCCATTAGGGTAGCATTTATCCATCCAGATCTGGGTATTGGTGGCGCTGAAAGATTGATAGTTGATGCAGCACTTGGTTTACAAGAAAAAGGTTATGAGGTGAAAATGTTCACCTCTCATTGTGATAAAAACCATTGTTTCGAAGAAGTTAAGGATGGTACATTGGAAGTGGAAGTTTTTGGAGACGACCTTCCAACCAATTACCAAAAGAGATTTTTTATTGTTTTTGCTACTTTGAGGCAACTATTTTTAATTTGGAAACTGTACTCAACAGACCAGCTAAACAATTACGATCTTTATATTGTCGATCAATTATCAACATGCCTTCCATTTTTACATTTATTCTCTAACGCTAAATTATTTTTTTACTGTCATTTCCCTGATAAATTTTTAAGTTACAGAAGCTCTTTACTGAAAAAATTGTACAGAATCCCATTCGATTTGACAGAACAATTTGCTTTAAGTTGTGCTGACAAAATCGTCGTCAATTCCAAATTTACAGGGTCTATGTATCGTAAGGCATTTAACTTGCTAAGGGATGAGCCGGATGTTATATATCCATGTGTTGATCTTGAACCAATAAAAATTGATGATGTTGATCAAATATTATTCGATCAATTGTTTAATGATGGAGATAAATATTATTTGAGTATAAACAGATATGAAGGGAAAAAAAATGTCAAATTAGCCTTGAGAGCATTTGCCTTGTCAAAAGCTGCGTCGGATGATAAATTGAAGTTGGTAATTTGTGGTGGATATGACCCTAGAGTGATAGAAAATGTAGAGAATTTATTAGAATTAGAGAAAGAGGCTAAAGCATTGAAGTTACCATATTCTACTATTTCTTATACTGATTATAGCCAAGATCATGATTTGGTAAATATAGATACAAAGGATAAGAAAGTAATTTTCTTAACATCTATCTCTACATCGTTGAAGGAATTATTATTAAGCAAAACAGAAATGTTAATGTATACGCCAACAAATGAACATTTTGGTATTGTGCCTTTAGAGGCAATGAAATATGGTAAACCTGTACTGGCTACAAATACTGGGGGTCCATTAGAAACCGTTGTCTCATATATTCCAAACAAGAATGAAGATGAAACTACAGGTTGGTCGAGAGCCCCTATTCCGGGATCTTGGGCCAACGTAATTGATAATATTATGACTCTTCCTGATATTGATTTCAAGAGTAATGGTGAAAAGAGAATTAAAACTCATTTTACACGTGATGTGATGACGTGGGCTTTTGAAGAGAATATCGATAAAATTTTGTGGAAGAAAAAGACTAAACTATTCTGGGAAAATATCCTATTTTCTTTACTTCGTTTGATGCTTCATGTTTTAATTGTAAAGATATACCCTACGGCTTCGATGCCATTCTTATTTTTGGCTGCGGTATCCTTTTTATACTTCAAAGATTTTATGGGTACAGTTTATTGGTCATTCATTTTCGTTTTAACTTCTGATATGTTAGCTAATTACTTGTCTAAGTAAATGGTAAGTCCTAAACTGTTACACATATATAAATATATATATATTTAAAATATTACAATTTTTGACGATGTATGTAGTAAACCAAATGATCATATGATACCTTAATTGACCCTTCCGCCATAATTATTAACTTGATTACCAAGTCCGACATTAACTCTACCACTATTAGGGCTACCAACCTGTGAATTCTGTTTGTTTGAAGAGTTATTGTCGTCATGTTCTGGACTCCCATTATTAACAGCAACTGGGGATCCACCATTACTCGTATTTTGCATCAATTTTGACGCGTTTGCAAGATGAAAAGCTGCTGCCTCGAACTTCTGCTGCTGAAGTTGTTGTTGACGCAATTTTTGTTGCTGTAGTTGAATCTCCTGAGGTGTCAGTCCCTTTTCTTGTGTGCTGTTATCTGGCGGGGGTTTACTAGCACCAGCATTCGATACACTGTTCGGTACTTTACCTGAGTTGACTGCAATTGGAAACGATTGGTTGGAATTCTGTCCCTGATTCTGCTGTTGTTTTGCCAACATCTGTGCCTGTAGCATTCTATGTTGTTGCAATTTTTGTATTTGTTGAGGAGTGAGGTTCGAAGTTCCTGTTATTGGGTTGACGGGTTGAGGTATACGGATGCGGAATTTATAGTCAGTAGTTCTATCTATATCTAAGCATCCAACACGAGAATGTATGGAACCATAACCAGGCGATGTAAATCCAGGCTTTATTGAAAATGCTGAAGCAAACATTTCCCTCATTCGGATATACTTGGTCCTAACTCTGGTTGATGAAAGTACTGTAGTTTCTAGTGGTAATGGGAAAGACCTTGAAACACCATTTAATACTTGGGTCGTCTCTTCCTCTGGTGTTAGAACCGGAATAGAAGTGTTTGTAGTTTTTGTCGCATTCGCTTTGCTATTAGAGGAAGCCTTGGTCCTACTTGTATTTGTATTTTTCTCTTTATTTCTAGTCTGCTTTTGAATTTGCCTTTGTTTCTGTTGTAGTAATTTCTTTTGTTCCTTTTGTTCCTTTAGTTGCGCTTTCTGAATCTTTTGTAATTCCTGTTGTTTGGCACGTTTTTCAGCAGCTGCACCGATCTTGGTTTGGTGTTCTCTATGGTAATTTGCCAGTAATTCATCAAATGTCTTCGTTCTGCCTTCTACGGCTCTCTTGGCACCCATGGAATGTGATTTACAGGTTAAGGACCTGGCACAGTATCCACCTTCTGGTAAATCTACACCACATTGTTTGTCAAAATCTATCAGATGTTTGTCTGTGGGGTTCCTTTGCTTAATATTCCTTTGTTTCTTCTTTTTATTATGCATCTTTGTCCTTTTAGTAGAAGATGGTGACTCACCTGATATAGGAGGAGGTCTTTTTTTACCCGACGAAGAACTTCTCATAGATGAGTTTATATCGTCATCGTCATCATCGTCTTCATCATCTTCATCCTCGTCGTCGTCATCATCATCGTCATCTTCGTCATCCTCGTCATCCTCACCGTCGTCATCATCTTCATCCTCACCGTCGTCATCATCCTCATCATCATCTTCTTCCCTTCTAGTACTATTCTTCGTCGAACCTGTTCTGTTTGAGTCATTATCATTAACATTCGATTGTGATATATTATTTTTCAAAGAGCCTTCTGAATTTCCACTATTACCATTACCAGCAACAGAAAACCCATTTAAAGGTCTACCACTGTTTTCTTTATAGGTACCAGGTAGTGTCTTTGATGCGCTCTCCCTATCAGCCAGTAGATTGGGGCTACTACTTGAGGTAGAACCTCCAGTAGATCCGGGGCAATGGTTCTGTATATGATCAATAATTGAGTTTAGTAAAATGGGTTTCCCACAACTTTTACATATCCTATAACCTGCAAATGCATTTTCGGTTGGTATTATGTTTGCATTTGGATTAAAATGTTCTTTTAATAGATCATTATCGATATTTGAATATTGAATTTTATTAGTTTTTGCTGTCTTTAGAAGACTTTTCCAGTTCTTGTTATCAGTTTCCGGTGTACTAGAAATGAGTATATCATTCTTTAAGCCTATGATTCTTGACATGTTACAACAATTGATTCGTTATAATTAAGTTAATTTAATAAATATTTGACGCAGAGATCACTGAACTCTGTTGATAAAAGCCTTGATCTGATTACTTGAGTTTATGTGATCGTCAATGTTTTCTATATTCCGTTCGGTTATTAGGCTTCGTGCCGATACAATGTTTGTCTTCAGATAATATTATTTTATGCGTTATAAAATACCCAATAGTAAAATAGGATTCGAAGTTTCGTAAGTATTGTTAGGTCTATAGATACCTTTTTTATCACCTGGGCTATAGAACGTGTTTCCTTTTTCTATCATGAAAGTATTCAAATCCTTGCAATCTTGTTTTTGTTTAACTCTAACGGTACATTTAAATTTCGCATCTAACTTTTGTTATTTTTTTATTTTTTCTAAACCTGTCAATTTTTTTGAAATTGTCAAGTAAAAACAGTATCACTCATTTAAAAGCTCATCGATAGCGTGGAATAAATAGAATAAGCTCAAACATATATTATACGTTGTATCTATCAAATATATATATGTATATATATGGCTAATAATTGTGTGTAATTATATAAATAAGAAAGTATTATTTATGTTGCTTAGTGTATTGCTGAGCGACATATTCAAGCATATTGTAAGCGACTGCTTGGTTACCTGGTAAATAGTAGTTTTTAACAAAAGGCATAAAAAATCCGCCTTTATGAGTATTCACAGCGGTAACAAGGTCAGAAACTTGAAACCATTGAGCATCTAATAGTTCAGGATCGTGGTTAAGGTTTACCTTTTCGTTAGAGCCATTGAATTTTACCTTTGCAACACATCCAATCATTAAGTTTACAGGGTATGGCCATGGTTGAGATGCTAGAATTTCAATATCATTCGGTTCACAATTTATACCAGTTTCTTCCCATATTTCTCTGACGCATGCATTTTCGACAGTTTCACCAGGTTCCATGAAACCAGCAACATTAGAGTAAAAAGCATGTTTATCATCGATCTTACGCTTTGTTCTAACAAGACATATCTTTTCATATGCATCATCAACGATTGCAACTATAGCAATCGGATCAGTGCGAGGAAAACAAAAGTTGTTGACACGTGCATCTCTCACATGGCATTTGATTGTCACATCTTTATTACCACAGCTAACTTTTGTGCCTGCTTCGATTGGGTATGTGTAATAACCGCAACCTGTACAGAATCTAGTATTTCTTAACCAATCTATATACATTTTAGCATGAGAAAATAGGGAAGCGTGGAAGTTGTCCATTAAGCAACTATCTATGAATTCTAATTTTGTATTGTCACCAGGAAATAGGGTCTTTAAATCACTCGGAGGTTCATCAAAATCAATAGCATAGTATGGGATTCCTCTGTAAGTAATATCATTACGTCCATATGTCAAAACATGTTCATTTGAAATTTTATCATCCTGTTTCAAACCTAGAAAAGAAAGAGAGATGTGACTCTCCGATATTCTTGATTCAGGTTTATTGAGAACAGTACAGTAATTGTCGATAACTTTTTGAAAAGCAGACGTAGCAGTACCATACGTTATCGTCAATAAAGAATTTGAAGTTTTAGCACCATCTTTACGGCAAAGAGCACTACCTTTTACGAACGGTACGTAAACGGAATGTTCACATGCTAATGTACGTCTGATAAACTCTTCTTCTGTTCTGAGAAAAGACACTCTGTTTAAATCATTCTCACCAAAATATGTAGTTACCATTGTTGCTGTGATGTACTGTTATTAGTTTTTTAGTATATGTCGTTATCAATTGTTTGGTTTATTCATTTTGAAATTTCAATAACTCACTATATATAGTGTCCTGTTCTTATGGAAATATTTGGTCTGTCTTTTGTTTGATATTTGCTCGATGGACTCTCTTAGTCAGCGTTGAGCGGAAAAAAGAAAAAGAGAAAAGATATTTTGTGTAGAGGAAGCGCTGCACCTATTTTTATGGTGGTACTGGTTACTGAGACACAATATCAATATATTCGCAGATGAGTTGTATGTAGACCCTTGAAACCTTGAAAATACGAAGTTAGTAAATAATTAAATAATTACCGGTGAGGGATGACGAAGTGGTTTTGTTGTTGTTATATTTATTAACTTTTAGTTAGGTCTCGTTTTGTAAATAATGAGATATGATATATATATATATAAATATAAACTTTGTCAGTACACAGGTATATTGACACAGACCCCCTTGTAAGTATAGGAGAAAGAAAACTTAATATGCGTTAAGTGTAAAATCTTGTTCCACTGTTAAGGTAATTTTTGAATATTTATAGATAGATATGATATTCAAAATTAAACCTGGAATATAGCCCAATAAAGTTGTTATCGCACCTTAATTCACCTTTATTAGACCATAGTAGGTTGGTTATCTATATCTTATAGGGTCTAATTACAGATAGTTAACTTACTACTACACCCACCTTCAAATTTAATGCCCACATCTCGTTGAACCGGTGAAGTTCTTGTATTTAATCTAATTAACTGGGAAAATGTCAGAAATTCCCCCAACACAGGATGTCTACGTGACAATAACTGGCAAAAGAATAGAATGTTTGGTGACACCACGTACGAGGCATTCAAAAATTCAGCAAAAAATGATTTCGCCCAGGATCGAACTGGGGACGTTCTGCGTGTTAAGCAGATGCCATAACCAACTAGACCACGAAACCATATATTAATGATGAATAACAATCCAATTATTGTCTAAGTAGTCGTAGTACTATCCGGGTAACAACTCTACAGGACTAAGAATAAAGCAGTTATTATTTGAATTATAGCACTTAAATCATAAATAAGTCACAAGTACTTACTTGTACTAGAATAGGACTGTGTTAGAAAAAGAATTAGTTATCCACAAGAGGTTATAACCTTGTTCCTCGTCTTTTCTTTCTTTTTATGATTATTTAACATTATTCATAGTTTAAGTTCAAAGGGTGTAGTTATTGTCATTGTAAATTATGATATTAGTATAATTTTTACAAACCATGAAATTACAGTTTCAGTAGGATGATGGACATATAATTGTGGATGTATATATTGTTTATCAGATGATTCGGTTGAAAATTGTTAGAAATGCAATTATGAACAAATTCGGTAGTCTAAATACGACTATCTCTGTATTGTAATTACAAAAGAAGAAGAATGTGTAACTGAAATAAATATTTGATAAAAAATTACTGAGACAAATCTGTTATCAAAGTGCAAATCGGTTTATAAAAAGAACAGATGTGGTTTAAAAATTGATAAATTTTATCTTCTATCGTTCACACTCATTACGAAACTTTAAGAGAGTATGAAAGTAACAATCTCTGGATATATTAGATAGTTTTTTTTTTTACTTTTAAATATTTTACTCAAAAGAAATATGTTATTCATGGAACTCTTTATATTTCGATAAACAGAATTGTCAGTAATCCAAATTAAGTAACAGAGGTACTCGTATGTATATGATACGGCTTAAGAAATATTAGGTACTGTCTATAGATATATATATAGTTAGGTGTATATACTTCCTGCTAATGTTCTTGTATAAGGAAATGTTGCAACATAGTTGTATCTGTGACGGAGTTTTCATTGAAAGAAGAATGAATGTAGAATGAAATAGGATCAAAAGAATGTTACATATAGTTGTTGGTAATATATATATATATATATATATATATATATAAATGCGTATGTATATTGATTACAACTTTATACTTTCCCTCTGTGAACAAGATTACTACGATCAGATGACATCAAAGAGCTCAGAATCTAGACAAAATGGCATTCTCTTCTTTTCATTCCAAATGATGAAAACTCAAGCGAGCCTTAACCTTGCCTATCCCAAAGTTGACCAAGTGACACAATCACCTCTACAACTCCATAAATATGTCCTAACACTTGCGGCAATGTCCCAAACATATATAGAAATAAATAATAGCAATAGTAGCAATAGTAACTAACAATAATAACATTCAACCGATCTGAAAAGAAGAAAAGAGCCAAAAAATGAGAAAATTTTTCAGTTAGAAAATCGAAAAAAGAAACGTTGACGCTGCGGCCATTTCTTTGCGCCGCGACAAACCACTGCCAAGTTTTTGTGATCTGCGACTGAGAGAAAGCTTTACCTGTTAGTAAGAGAGATGATGGTTATTCTTGTCAGCCTTCAGGTGTCTTTGATTGATTGAAATTAACCATCAAATAACCTTTTTTTTTGCTCTGTTTTGAATTTGATGGTAAAGTGTGTTGTTGTTTGATTAACCATAAAAACAGAACTAATCTCTTTCTATTGGAAGGTTTACTTTGATCTTCCTTTCGATAAGTTGGCGATTATATGGTTACCGCTTCATAAGAGAGGTGAGTTACACTAGTACAAAATTTGAACTATACTTTTATATTTTATCTAGCATTAAGATTGTAAGCAATACTAAACATGGATTTGAGAGTAGGGAGGAAATTCAGAATAGGTAGAAAGATCGGCAGTGGGTCCTTTGGTGATATTTATCACGGTACAAATCTTATCAGTGGTGAAGAGGTTGCTATCAAGCTAGAGTCTATTCGTTCGAGACATCCGCAACTGGACTACGAGTCACGGGTGTACAAGTACCTCAGCGGTGGAGTCGGGATTCCATTCATTAGATGGTTTGGTCGTGAAGGTGAATATAATGCATTAGTAATTGATTTATTGGGTCCATCCTTGGAAGATCTTTTCAACTACTGTCATAGACAATTCTCTTATAAGACTGTGATAATGCTTGCGTTACAAATGATATGCAGAATACAATATATGCACGGAAGGTCATTTATTCATCGTGATATTAAACCAGATAATTTCTTAATGGGAACTGGAAGACGTGGTAGTACTGTGCATGCTATTGATTTTGGTTTATCCAAAAAATATAGAGATTTTAATACTCATCGTCATATCCCATATAGAGAGAATAAATCATTGACAGGTACTGCTCGTTATGCAAGTCTTAACACGCATTTAGGTATCGAACAAAGTAGAAGAGATGATTTGGAATCTTTGGGTTATATGTTGATCTATTTTTGTAAGAGTTCTCTACCATGGCAAGGTTTGAAAGCAACGACAAAGAAACAGAAATACGATAGAATCTTAGAGAAGAAATTATGTATCAGTATCGATACTTTATGTCAAGGTTTGCCAATAGAATTTTCTCAATATATGAGTTATTGTAGAAACTTGGTTTTCGATGAAAAACCTGATTATTTATATTTGGCTAGATTATTCAAGGATCTAAGCATTAGATTAGATTATCACAACGATCATTTATTTGATTGGACTATGTTACGTTACACTAAGGCAATGTTTGAAAAACAAAAAGATTTATTAAAGGACTCTGGATCTGGTGTAGATATCACTGGTACTGATAAAGATGGTTCTACAGTAAACTCTAAAACTGCTAAAGCTGAACAATTTAATAAGATTAAAACCCTTGCAATGAAAAAATTTGCTGCTCATTTTCATTACTATGTTAGTGAGGATATACATAATCCAACCGCGGAAGATATTAAGAAGCAATCAATAGAAAATGGGTTAGCTATGGTTAATATGCCTCCAGATTTATTAAAAGCCATAGATAATGGGATGGAACATTTAAAAAATAAGCAGCAGGCACCAGCTCAAGAGATAGTAGAGGAACCACTTTTGCAAAAACAACAACAAAATCCTCAGTCTCAACAAGAACAATTAGCATTTACAACACCTGTACCACAGGCGAACAATCATCAATTTACAAAGGGCAAGTCATATTATCCACCACAGCAGTATCAACAACCTCTCCAGGTAAACCCTGTAACGGTTACTGCTACAGTTATGGGGAATCATTCAGGTAATGACAACATCCGCACTAGTAGTAATAATATTAATAACAGCAACAATAGTCAAGCACAACCTAAACCATCAGGTTCTCATAACATATGGTTATGAAGAAATAAAAGATTTAACGATATTTTTCTTTCTGTCGGTTTATATCTTTTATATCTTTCAATATAGATATTTCTCATATATGTATACATGTATAACCATAGTTTAAAATATAACAGCATAAATATAACTGTACTCAGATAGGTATTATCTAAAGAATAAATATATCAGTTGATTAAAAATAGATTATTTACAGAATGTGGTCTACTAATTAATATATATACTATAGCGTGAATTATCATGGGTTATTCGTTATTACGAGTTAAAGTTTAATTCTAATATGCTATTACCAGATGTTATGAAAGAGGAAGAAACAAAACGGGAGTTCTTAAAAAGGGGGCTAGAGAGATGGAGAATTTATATTCTGTAATCATTCCATACTGATCTTTGCACCTAATTTCTCTAGAGTATCCTTCATTGCGTCAGCATCAGCCTTGGAGACATTATCCTTAATAATTTTGGGAGCGGCTTCAACAAATTTTTTGGCTTCTACAAGAGAAAGACCAAGAACAGATTTGATCTCCTTAATAATCTTAGCTTTACTCTTAGCATCAAAGCTTTCTAGTTTCACGGCAAATGTAGATTTTTCTTCTTCCTTTGGAGCTTCTTCTGCGGCACTGGCACCTGCATCACCAGCAGCTAAACCTGCACCACCAAAAGCACCCATTGGGGCCATTGGTGCGATATCTGGAATATTAAGTTTAGTTTTCAACTCGGTTATAAGTTGTGAAGTCTCAAGGATAGTAAGTTTCGAAATAGAGTCTACAATGGTAGAAATCTTTGGATCCACAGGAGTAGCAGTTGGAGCAGGTGTAGCAGTTGTTGTATCAGTAGCATTACCGGCAACTGCAGAGTTGAAACGGTAAAATTGCATCAAGGGACGTGTAATCCTTGGTGTAGAACGTCTGGCAACAGAAAGCATTGTTATTATTATTGTTATGATAGTAATGTAGTACTTTAGATAAAATCACCCTTTAAAATGTACAAAAAATTTTTAAATATCTTAGATAACTTCTTTTATCTTGATTCTTATTCATCATATATATGTTTGTATATCTACTTCGAGGCAGGGGAGACTAAAAAAATATGAAAGAATCGTTAACCGAGCTTCCATTTCGCCAATTAATCTCAAAACTAAAAAAAATAAAGAAAAACAGAGCCAAAACTGTATCGTGTTGCACGAGGAGGTGGCCGTTGAAAAATTCCAAATTTCTTAAGGACAAAATAAAATATTGGAACAAGTACATATATAAGGAAAAACGTGTAATAAGAACTTTATCAAGGTGGCAAGGGCTTACAAGTGTATAAAAGACAAGTGTGAGTGAGTGAGTGAGTTACTATCAGTAGATTGTGATTGTTTTGTACTGTGCAGTATAACTGATATTTGTTTGGAGAGAAGATGACTACATTTAGGTTTTGCCGTGATTGCAACAATATGTTGTATCCTAGAGAGGACAAAGAAAGCAGGAGATTACTATTTGAATGTAGAACGTGTTCATACGTGGAAGAAGCTGGTAGTCCCCTTGTTTACAGACATGAGCTTATTACAAATATTGGTGAGACGGCAGGTGTTGTGCAGGATATTGGGTCAGATCCAACACTACCGAGATCTGATAGAGAGTGTCCTAAATGTCATGCTCATGAGAATGTCTTTTTCCAATCACAACAGAGAAGAGGTGATACTTCCATGGTTCTTTTCTTTGTGTGCCTAAACTGTTCGCATATATTTACATCAGATCAAAAAAATACAAGAACACAATTCGAATAAAGAGGTATTTTTCACCAAATAAACTTACAAGGATGATACCTATTGCTAAAAGGTAGTCATATATATACATGTACAATACTATGTAATATTAAATTTACTAATAGATGAAAGAGTATTTTTTTTTTAATTTAAAAAAACATATATTGTCATTGATGAATATGTAGTACATAGGAATATTGTGTATATGTGTCACTTTTTCTTTCTTTGCATTCACTGTGATGAGTTATGTACATGTATAACAAAAAAAGGAATTTGTTATTATCTATTGTGATGAATATCACAATGAAACATTTAAAAAAAAAAAGTTTAGAATTCCAATATGTATGTATGCAGAGTGTGATAATGAGTGGTAGTGGTCTTTTTTCTGTTTACTTATAATTAGAGTCTTTTTTGCAGATTTTAAAAAAAAAAAAAGCTCTGGATTAATTTTGTGAATGGGATTGGGTCAATGATGATAACCATGTGTTTATCTGATCGTCAGATTCATGAATCTTGATTAATGAATCATTATTGCTGTTGATATGACTTTGGATATTTGTGTCAGAAAGTGTGTGTTGTTGTGGTTCATTCTTGATTTGATATTTTTCCATATCAAACACATCTCTCGATATGGTACTTGGTGAGTGTGGATTCGTTGGACGTAACATATCTAGTTCTTTATTTAAATATAAGGGACTGTCTTTATGGAGGACAGTAGCATGATTTTGTGGGGTTGTTATTGTTGTAGGTTGCATTTGTGAGTCGTTCATACTATGTATTCCAATGTTTCTTGTAATATTATGTGGACTTGAATAATTCATTGTTGGAGTATGACTAGAACCTAATCTACTTCGTGGTTCCTGTAATAATGATTCAGTATGATTCGTGAAATCGTTGTGGAACATAGATAATGAAGAATCTGGTGTTAAATGATCGATTAATTCTAACTCGCCTCTAGTTAATCCATTATGATTTGTGTCATTTGTTACCATTCCGTTAGATGTATCGTTTTCCAGTGTGGTTGGTGTTGCCGTTGATTGAACATTCATAGAACCATTAAACGATTTTGTAAAAATATTTGTAAAATCTATCTCATTCAAATCCATTATATCTTGAGATTCTGTTAATGTCATTGGGAGAAGACTTGCATTATTTGTATATAGGATATTATCTGTTGGTTCATAATTTTTAATTTGATCGAATTGGTCATCAATAAAATCTGGAATATTTGGTATCATTGGTAATTGATTTGTTTGTTTTATATCAGAATTTGGATTTGAAAATTTATTAAGTTCATTTTGTGATGAATTTGATTTATTTTCATTATTATACTGAACTGCAATAAATTTTTTCTTAGCGGTTTGTTGTAATAAAGTATCAGTATTTTTTTTCTTTAATTGTGGTTTATGAATTAAATTATTTTTTGAAGTTGTTGTTGAAGATGTTGTATTTGGTAAAACAATATTGAAACTTTGAATTTCACTTGTCATACCACAATCACAAGGAATCATTGTATTTTGAATAGGTAAATGAACTCTAATTCTATATTCTAATTCATCAAATTTTTTAATTGCTTCAATATCATTATCAGATTTTAATTTATCTTTAAATTTTTTATATTCTTCCGAATTTGGATTAAATTCTAAATCATGAGAATGTGAATTATTTAATACAACAATCCCCCATTTTTTCCTTTTTAATGAATATGTTGCTCTTATTCTAAATGGACAAACATTAAATCTTGAGACAGACCTTTTCTTTTTTTTCTTAATATTTTTTTTCTTATTCGTTGAATCATTATTTATTAAATCATCTGGTGAATCATCATCAGAAGTATCATTTCTATTACTTAATTTTTCTTGATGATCTTTTGAAATCATTGGTTCCTTTGCATTTTTACCTCTCTTTGAAGCTTTACATTTAAAGACAACTTTTGTATTATCTGATCTTTCAATAACTAACTCAATACCTTGTGGGTAAAAAATTTTTTGTAACCAAGGTTTAATATCTGATTTATCAATAAAATTCGGTACAGGATCTAAATGAATTAATTTATTATCTTCATTTTTATTATTTAACAAAGCTAAATGAATATTTTCTGGATTTGTTACAGTACCTAAAGTTCCTTCGATACTAATAGCATGACCTTGAATCATTGTATTATTTTCATTATTATTATTATTATTTGTTGTTAATATATTATAATTATATTCTAAGAAAGCATGAGAATGACTATGTGATGTATCATGTGGATGAGAATGTGTATGAGGTTGTGGATATGAATGCGAATGTAAATAAGGATCCTTTAAAGATTGTGATGTATTTATTGATTTATTATCACATTGATTCCAATCAATATTGGCCATGAATGGAGGTGTTACCATTTGTATTAAAAAGAAATGTATAAATTAATCTTTAATTTCTGTCTCTTTTGTTAAAATAAATGTCTTAATTTATGGATCATTCCATATAATGAAATATTATACTCTATGTGATACACTCTTAATAATAACAATAATAATACTAATTAAAAAAAAAAAACACTCAAAATATCAAGTATAATTTACTTCTTTTTACCTTTTAGTTAGATGTCAATGTCTTATATTCTAATTTGAATAAGAGAGGAAATAAAAAGAAAAAGAGTAATATTGATCAATTTTGGTTGCTATAGTAAAACCCTATATGAATAAAACAGAAATATTTCGTTGTGCTCCCTTTCTGTTGGTAATTTAATGTTTTTTTTAATTTCCTTCTCTAATATATTTGTATTTTCTTTGTTTAAAATACGATATATTTCAAAAATGTGTATAAAAAAAAATATAGACAATGATAAAATACGAGATTAAAACGGTTCTTGAACGGTTGTATATTCTCAACCATTAAGTTTAATTCACTTTACCTCGATAAAATTGTTACAATGATTATTGTGAACAAAAGATAAAGAACTAAAGAATGTCTCTTTCTTATGGTTTTTCATTCATCTAGCGAAAAAAGCAAGTTAAGTACAATAGTAACAGTAACGTATTAAGGGTACTACTAGTTAATGCCTTCTAGCTTGTAAAAAAAATATCAATTTTTCCAAGTTAACAGACAGCAACTGTAGTCTTACCGCCTTCTGAAATGTCTATATAAGAGATGCTAACAGAAATTGCATGCAATGTTAAAAGTTATGTGCACCCCCAAAAAAAAAACCGTAACAACAAATAGACAGTATACAATTGCTGTTAGCATATGTATAATAATCTGCCATCCATCGAAAGAGAAGAAGGCGACACCCGTTTTTACACTTATGTATGAACATATATTTGATGCTCTTCGCAGTTTCTCTTGGCGGACGGCGATATGTTTTGTATGAGCCGTGCGTTGTTCCGCTTTAAAATGATTTTTTTACAAAAAATTGTGTGGATTTTCGGGGTGCAGTTCTTAAATGAAGTGTATATACATTAGATAGACATATGTAGTCGTTAGATACGAGGTGCTTGGATCAGATATACTGTCTCATATCTGCAATGTGGAAATCTCTGTTTGTTTTAAAATGTTTTTGAAATCCTGATTCCTGTAATCTGTCACAAGCAATATGATTACGATGAAACTCTGTAAATTGTAATTTTTGTTCATAATATGGAACTAAATTATGTTCAACAATAACACGTACAATTAATTCATTACAATTTGGGAATCTTTTAATAAAATTAGTCTTTGTACCATTAAATATATCGATACCACCACGTTTAACAAATGAACAAAAGGCTGTCACTTCATAAGCATTTTCATTTTGATCGTATGGTAATGGTCTATATGCTACTGTAGCCATAATATTATCCATTGGAAATCTATATTTTTCAATATAATTTTCATTGATTTCATATAATTTAAAATCTTCTGTTTCATTAATAATATTGATTGGTCCACCAATTTTATTAATATCTTTAATCATAATATAAACTAAACAGGTATTTGGTTTTAATGATAAATCAATGAAAAAGGATTCATTATCATGAATACGTGGATTAACTACAATACCATACTTGATTATTTGTTTTTTATAACCTTCATTAACAATATATGTTAAATCTGTAATTGCATCTTGTGAAAATTTTGTTAATTGTTCGATTGGTAAAACTATAATATTATGTGTCATTATGCGTGTGTGTGTTTGATTATTATTATTATTATTATTATTTGATGTCAAGTAGTTGAAATGTTTTATAACTTTATAACCTTTTTGTGATTACTTCATTGCATCCTTTATATACGTTTTATATTTTTGTTTACTTTATTACTCATCGATAAACAGAGTTTTGTTTGTATTTAATTACCTTGGTTATATAAAATTTATCTCTATATGACTGATTTTTTCTTTTTTCCCAAGGCATCGAGCCTTTTGTTTCTTTGAAATGAAAAATAAGAAAATCGGATTGCCGTGTTTTGTTTTTATCCAGCGCCGTTCTTTTTTTGTTTTTTTAATAAGATGTCATTAATCCACGTGAATTTACGTGAATTTACGTGAATTTACGTGAATTTACGTGAATTTGGGACGTTTAAGGTCAGGTTCAGGTGATAATTCTTCAATTTTAACATCATTAGATTTATTATTATCTATTGATTTACGTTTGTGATTGTTCGATCTAAAATTATCTGTTGCCGTTTGTAATGGTGGATCTGTAACATGTAATAATGTGTTATCATCATAAAATAATGGGGTTAATCCTTCACCATGTTCTTGTTGTGTTTGAGTTTGTGTTTGTGTTTGTGGATTAGATGTTGTACTATTACTATTATTTTGTGTATCTGGAAGTACATCACTAGTAAAATAATCCTGTAAACTAAATGCATTACCGTTATGGCTATCATTCTTATCCTTCATTGGAGATAATCCTTTTACCATATCTTCTAAATGTTGAATACGTAAATCTTGTTCATCTATATTAGATTGTATATTTCCTAAAAATTTTGACGATACAATATTTGGATCATTTCTTTCATCATCTTTTTTTGATGTGGTGGAATTTACTGTAGGTGGATTGGTCTCTAATTCTTCATCATCCAATGGAAGTTCCAATATTTTACTGTCTTTATTTAAACTATTCGGTGAAATGGTTGGAATATTACTTGAAGAACTGGAATTCGATCTATTTTTTAATAATAATCTTGTCTTTTGAGTAGGATGGCGTGGCATGTAATCATATGGATTGTAGGAATTATAAGATTGAATATTGGGGTGTGAATTATCTTGTACTCCATCATTATTATTAAATTCATTGTAAAATTGGGTTGAAGGAGAATCAAATGTTGAAGTACGTATATTTGAATTCCCCACATAATATCCATTATGGTCGTTCATATTGATATTATTATTATGATTAGTACTACTATTAGTATTGATACCGGAATTATTATTGTTGCTGTTGTTGTTAGTATTACCATCTTTAACATTATTTTTCCTTGTATTATCTATTACTTCATCAAACACATCTTCATGAAATCTTGAATTGCCATCATTGAAATCTTTATGATCATTTGAGAAATTATTATTACTATTATTATCAAATGTTGAATTTTTATCTATTGGATTGCCATTGTTTCCATTGTTATTGGTATTATTGTTGTTGTTATTATTATTATTATTATTATTATTACCATTATTCCCATTATTACTATTATCTGTAAAATTCATTATCCCATCCATTAACATCTTTTGATCCATATGAGGTACCATAGATGTTAAAAATCTAAATATTTTTTCAAGAGTTTGCTGTTGAGTTCTGTGACGTTCACGTGCAACCATATTTTCTTTCCAAAGTAATTCATTATCTTTATTTATCCTTAATAAATCTTTCGATATCGCAATTTGATTATATTTAATTGTCTCTAATTCGTTTAATACAGTTGATACATCCTTTCTAACATCCATACCACTATATGTACTTGGTTCATTCATTAAATGTAACATCGGTTTATTATCAATTCCTGCCATTAATCCATTAAATTCATTTTCATTGTGTAAATTATTGTTATTATGATGTTGATTTGTACTAGTATTATTACCCTTTTGTCTTACAATATTAATTAATAAATCTTCTCTACCTCTAATAAAATTTGGATTTTCAAATTGCCATCTATCATCGGAACTATTTTGAATTGACCCAGCTTTAACATCTTGTACTTTATGCCAACCATACATATTTAATTGTCTAACAAAACTTGCAAAATTTGAATGTTTAAAATATCTTGGTAATACTTCATGTACAAATTGTTCTCTACGAGTCACAATAAAGGATTGACCATCGTAAGACCATTGAATTAAATGTTCATTTGTCTCATCATTTAACATACTCCATAATTTATTTACAAATGCTGGTCTAGTCTTATGTGGTTGTGATTGTGATTGTTTTGTAAGTCGCTGTTGATTAGAGATGCCTCCATATATTGTTTCTGTCATAGATGGCATTCTCGTTGCTTGATGAATGGCTTGTTCCATTCTACTATGATTTGCAGCTGTTGTAGGTTGTTGGAAATCATTAGATGATCCACTATTAATTATATTCATTGAATGTAATTCTTGTCGTGGTGGTAATGATTGTGAATCTGATTGTTGTTGATTATACATTCCAAGTATTCTATTATTGCTTCTTACTATATCAGTTGTTGGTTCATTTCTTAGGGCAATAGATTTATTATATAAGGATTCATTTTCAATAGTATTGTTATTGTTATTAATTGTTCCGTCTATCGTTTCAATATTTGATGGCGTATTTGAATCATTATTACTTGGAGTAATTATTTCATCTGGGAATAATTCTGTTGGTTGGAGGATTTTCTCTATCTCTTCATCATTTAGCATTGGCATATCTGTTGTTTGTCCATGACTATCATCAGGTCTATTTTCCTTTATAGTTTCCTTCATTATTATTATAATTATTATTACTATATGGTAAAATGGATTGAAGCGTAGTTAGAGTAAAGACTTTGAATGAAACCTTTCAATAAATTAGTTATGTTTGCATATATTCTTATAATATGGGGCACTAAACTCTGTATGGTTGTCTGTCTCTCTGGTAGTGCTGAAAAAGATTACATGTGTTATGTAACAACTTTCTTCCCTTTGTAGTTGACGTATTCTATGTATCCCATTGGGAAGAGCCCTCGCTATGTTTTTCCGTAAATAACAGCGAAGATTTTTTTTTTTTGATTTTTTGAAATTAATTGGAAAGTGCCCGGGAACCCTACTTTGGCAACCCTAATAGGGATACTTCATGAAAATTGGCGATGGGCGGCAAAAGGCCCGTTTTGGCAAGGAGGTGTGGGTCTATAGGTACATCTTTACAGTTTCTATATAGTTGTGGGGTTCTTTACTGGGATTGGAAGTGGATTGTTTGCAGAGTATACTTCAGTTATGAGAGAGTTAACAGATAGATCGGTATAATTTTTTGTATTCAATGCAAGAATGAACAAGTTGATGTGAAGTAGTGTTTGTTGGGTGATACATAACGTTAGAAGAGATTACACGTTGGCATATGGGGCTTTTTCTAAAAAATGTGAAAAGCTGGTTTGAGGCATCTTGTGTGTGTGTGTGTGTGTCATTTGCGGTTTTCTCACTAATAAAAAAACAGTGTTCTATTCCATTAATTAACCTTCAAAATAATATCTACAGTTAATACTCTATGTCTTACTTGTCTCTCTTTTATATGCTCTTGATTGACAAATTACATTAAAATAAGTGCATTATTCTCTTTTCTTTGGACAGTAGCCAGTGTAACGCGCGCCTTTGAAACGCGAGCTACTTTTTCCTCATCTTATATAATATATAATTCATATAATAAAAACAAATATATAGATATAAGGGACAACAAAAGAGAGAACTACGTGTGTGTGTGTATGTGTTTTGGTTTCTTATTAGCAATAAAAAATATCGAAGAAGAACAGAAATATAGTTTCATTCTACATTACAATGTCGACAAAGGATGAATTATTTAAAAATATATGGTTGGAATTAGATGGAGCCAAAAGAGGTTTTATTTATGGGAAAGATCTTCCAAATCTTGTCACTAAGATATTAAATGCATCTAACGATAGTATTGAAAGTATTGATAAAGATAAACGAGAATTATTGGAGACGTTTGCTAAAGAACAACCTTTTACTAAGATATATAAAGTTGTAGTGGATGATACTTTAAAGAAATTAATTGGAGTAACATATGCTGATCTCGTGTCTAATAATGATAATAATATTGATAAGTCATCAATACCCAAGAGAAAAATATCAATTGATAAAGATAACGAATTAGAGATTTTAAAACAGCAATTGCGAGAAAAAGATATCCTTATTAAATCAAAAGATGACAAACTAGATGCTTTACAAGAAAATGTTGAATTATTTAAAAAAAAATATGATCATTTGGTTGATGAATTCAAATATTATAAAAAGACAATTGGGAAGCAGAAACAATTGTCTCAAGAGATGAATACTAACTCAGAAGATTCCATATCCAATGAAGAGAACGTTGAAAATAGAAACTTCGATGTTAGAAATGAATTTTTCATTGAAGAATTTAGAAGACAAATTAATGAACAATCTAGGGTCATTAATAAATTAAAAGATCAAATACAAAATAATCCTGCAATATCTGGGTATAACAGTTCTAAGGATAAACAAAAGAAAACATTTTTGTGGAATAATATCCCTGTTTTTATATCAAAACAATTCACTTCATTTTTAATGATAATATCAATATTAGGATTCATCTCATCCTTATATTTTAGATTTACAGCATCAGATGATTCACTTCTCCTCGGTATAAATAGCAACAATAGCGAAGAAAGTTGGTTTAGTAATAACCCTTTAATAAGTAGTATTGATTGGCTAGTAGGGGAGAAAGCTTCGGAAAATAGAGATACTGAATTGGGTTCATATAGGGAAATGACAGAACAAGACATTGAAGCATACAACAAAATATTTTCAAGGTCTTAAAAAGAGGGTGTGTTTTTGGAAAGAATTGCCGGGATCAGTAATTCTGTGGTGATTATATAAGTATATTTGATATTTAGAGCAGGATACATTGAAATTCCATATGTAGAATTATTTTCATTTTTAGCTTATATATAATGAAAGTTTAATTGTAAGAAATATTATTTAAGAACCAATAATTAAATGGTAAATAATTTATTTTTATATCCAGATTCTTGTTTGCACTATTTTTATATTTTTTTTACGCTGCTTGAAAAGATTATTAATTAATCTTACCATTTATCGTATCGTATATCAACCATCATTAAATCTACTTTCAGTGTACCCACTTCCAATCTTTTCGGTGAACAAGTTATGTACCAAAATAGTTTTTTACAGATCTGGTAATAAAAATTTTGACAGTTTGCCTTTATTTACACTTTTTATTTATATTTATGCAGCCTTGAATTTTACTTTTTTTGAATATATATAATTTCCAAAAAAATATAAATTTTTGTAAAACCAGTCTCTAAAACTGGTCAATTAAAATACATTTTGATAGAACCAATCGATTTCTATAATATGAAAGATATTTATAAATATACTATTACAAATTGTAGTTGTCCATTTTCAACTGAAAAGCTACCAATGAAATATTTAATTTTTATCGATCATGTACAGATCAGAAACACCACCTATACCAGGATTTAAAATCTAAAAAACCTATCATACTACAAATATAAAAAATTTAAATAATATTAAAAACAGAATAATGTTTTATAATCAAGAATTAGTCTACTTTCTTTTCTTTTAATATATATATTTAAAAGTTGATTCTGAATGACAATGACCTAATCGACATAGAAAACCCTGTCGTTATTTTAAAAATCGTATTGTACGGTTACTATAATTTTTACCGTCACTCGCTAAATTTTTGATAATTTTTTTTTTCGTTTTTCACGCTTTCAAAACTATCTGAAATAAATTTCAATTACTATATAAATCAACACAAAGAACAAACTTTCTAGCATTAACTTTTTGTTTAATTTGCTTCACTCTCATTAGACAGTCTAAAAGTTCTTATTTATAATTATCTCTCAAGCTCAAGAAAAAAGATAGAAAAGAATAGTTTCAAGTATAACTCTAAGTGATAGAGTTATGTCATGCAACTATAGAATGAGATGTGAAAATGTCGACAGTTATGTGAGGACACGCAACTTAGCATTTCCATATCTGATTGACTGTATAAAACGATCTTTTACTATAAAATAAACATTATAATTTAGTGATGATATATGTCATTGAGACATACTAAAAAGTGACTAGCAAACTTTTGTTTGCAATGCTGTTTACTTAAATTACACCATCTTTCGGGACTGATTTATCTTATAATTGTTTATTTATTTTTTCTTGTCGATTTAAAATAAAAGTATCTTGTGGTTATTTATATGCTCCAATAGGATACAATCAAGTAGATATAACTGAACTGTGTAATAATTGATACTATATTGTAAAGGACATCTAGATTAATATTTGAAAAATCAAAAATTTTATTTGACTGTCTATACTTGAGACACCCATACATACCAACTACACCTGTACATTTCAATGTGTTATTTTCTTGAAAATAACAAATATTTTTCTCTCACATTTAAAAAAAACAAACTTCGCATCGTCGGTAACTTGAAAAAACAACATATTCTCAAGCCCTAAGAAAATTTCCCTCACTCTGCGAAGTACGCAAAAAATATTATTTTTTTTCATTTTCCTAATGCTGTTGCAATTTTTTTCATTTGGATTACGATGGTAATGGAATTTTGTAAAATTTTCTCAAAGGCGAAAGATATATAAATATCACTTAATTGATATTTCAATCTCAATCTTTATCACGATATATGTTTCTTAATAATACTTCTTGCTTTACTTACAAAAATCATCCAACCAAGCAAATAATTATTACAATGGCTGCTCAGTATGTTATAAGATTTTATTTTTGATTAAGTTACATTGAATGTTTGGATTCGCATTTAAATATTTCAATTGTTTTTTGTGTCTCATACCTCTTCTTTAATTGAAAGATATGAGATACACAGTAGGGGATTACCAATTTATTTTGGTCATAAACTTCTCACGTTAGTTTTTTAGTATTTTGGACACTCATCTTAACTTCTTAACACCGTTAAATTTGTTCAATTGCTATTAATCTTCCTGGTTGTTTCTGTCATTACTCCCTCTCGTCGAATGAAATGTGGTGTTTTCAGTTCGATGTAACTTTGTATCTTTAAATTATTTCATTGAATTTTTTTCTAACAATATATGTATTTTTTACTTATTTAAACAGAAAGATCCTAACCCCAGAATCCCAAGTCAAGAAGACTAAGGCTAACCAAAAGACTGCTGAACAAGTCGCTGCCGAAAGAGTTGCCCGTAAGGCCGTATGTTTAAAGAATATTTTTTCACTTTGGAACTTTTTTTAATGCTAAAGTAATAGTTCATTGATTCTATCCGTGAGTTCACAGATAGGTGCTAAGCGATATCCTTTTAATTATCACAATGTATTATTCCTCGCATTTGTTACTGTTTTATTTCTCATTCGATATTTTTTGTAAGTGATGAAGAACCTCTGTATCCCATATACACTATCGACTAGCCTTCGTGGCAATGCTGTCGTAAATTACACCATCTTTCGACTGATATTAATTATTTCGAATGAAAATGATTAACAACTGTAACATTTTGGAGAGGTAAATATTTTGCTGGTTCACTGGAGTATCTACTTCTGTACAATTATTATTGAAACTATAATGATAAATTTTAGCAAAATATAATTCTACCCATTTCGAAATCAAATTACTAACAATATGTATTTCTTCTTTTATTCGTCTTTAAAAGAAAAATTCCATAGTATTATTAGGCTAACAAGGAAAAGAGAGCTATCATTCTGCAAAGAAATGCTGCTTACCAAAAGGAGTACGAAACTGCTGAAAGAGCTATCATCCAAGCCAAGCGTGATGCTAAGGCTGCTGGTTCCTTCTACGTTGAAGCTCAACAAAAGTTGGTCTTCGTCGTCAGAATCAAGGGTATCAACAAGATCCCACCTAAGCCAAGAAAGGTTCTACAACTTCTAAGATTGAACCAAATCAACTCTGGTACTTTCGTTAAGGTCACCAAGGCTACCGTTGAATTGCTAAAGTTGATCGAACCATACGTCGCTTACGGTTACCCATCCTACTCTACTGTTAGACAACTTCTATACAAGAGAGGTTACGGTAAGGTCAACAAGCAAAGAATTGCTCTATCTGACAACGCCATCATTGAAGCTAACCTAGGTAAGTACGGTATTCTATCCATCGATGATTTGATCCACGAAATTGTTACCGTTGGTCCACACTTCAAGCAAGCTAACAACTTCCTATGGCCATTTAAGCTATCCAACCCATCCGGTGGTTGGGGTGTTCCAAGAAAGTTCAAGCACTTCATCCAAGGTGGTTCTTTCGGTAACCGTGAAGAATTCATCAACAAGTTGGTTAAGTCCATGAACTAAGCGTATTAAAAATTGAATAATATTATCAATTACCAATTTTATATATGTATAGTTTCTAGTTTAACAAGTTTGAATTTTTTTTAACTATCTTCTCTTTTTTGAGGAGTTCCAAACAAGGAGGTCTATATATTATAGTTTTGCCTATGTAGCATTTCATATTCTGTACAATATTACATTTATCAATCATTAATTTTAACCTTCAAATGCTTTATATTAAATATTTTTATCTAAATTGGTGACTTTTAATTAGATTCATATATATAGAAAAGCAATGCTAATATATATATATATGCCTCATTTACTGCCTTCGTAAGAATATCATGCAGGACTTGAAAATTTTCTATGGCAGTTGAAAAATTTTCGCTTTACAAGATGCTCATCGCGGTTATTATTATGTAAGTAATTGCACTTCTGTACACATGCAATATAGTTAAAGACTTGCTTGATATACCAATAAATGGATTATTAGAGGAGTTGTAGTTACCGTTTAACCATTATAATTCGTTCCTAAAGCGATTCGAAATAAAATTAGCAATAACAATATGAGTAAAGACGAGGTTAAGGACAGAAAGAGAAAGGTTGAAGGTTACGAGGTAGAAGAACACAAGAAGAAGCACCACAAGAAGGAGAAGAAGGAAAAGAAGCACCACAAGAAAGATAAGAAAGATAAGAAAAATAAGAAGGAAAAGAAATCTGAAGATGAGGAATCTATTGCCGAAGCTGTTACAAATTCCAAACCAAGTTTAAGTACTACCGGTTACGTTCAAAATGAAGAATTGACTAACGTTGCACAATCTGAAATCGATGGTTTCTTAAAAGAAAATGAAGTTGCTATTGAAGATCCAGCTAAAATGAACTTGCGTCCATTGTTGTCCTTTTCTCACGTTTCTTTACACAAAGAAATTCAAGATGAGATTGCTAAATTTCCAAAACCAACTCCAATTCAAGCTGCTTCTTGGCCATATTTGTTATCCGGTAGAGATGTCATCGGTGTTGCAGAAACTGGTTCAGGTAAGACTTTTGCATTCGGTGTTCCAGCTGTTAATGCTTTAGTTCAAAACGATGGTAAAAAGAAACAATACGACGGTATTAAGGTTCTTGCTATCTCTCCAACCAGAGAACTGGCTTCCCAAATTTATGACAATTTAATCATTTTAACTGATAAGGTTGGCTTAGAATGTTGTTGTGTCTATGGTGGTGTTCCAAAAGATGATCAAAGAAGACAACTGAAGAAGTCTGATATCGTAGTAGCCACTCCAGGTAGATTATTAGATTTGTTACAAGAAGGTTCTGTTGACCTATCGAACGTTAACTATCTTGTTCTTGATGAAGCTGATAGAATGCTTGAAAAGGGTTTTGAAGAAGATATCAAGAGAATTATTGGTGAAACTAACTCTAAGAAGAGACAAACTCTTATGTTCACAGCTACTTGGCCAAAGGAAGTCCGTGAGTTAGCTTCTACTTTCATGAACCAACCAGTTAAAGTATCTATTGGTAATAGAGACGAATTGACCGCCAACAAGAGAATTACCCAAATCGTTGAAGTTGTTGATCCACGTTCTAAGGAGAGAAAATTATTAGAATTATTGAAGAAATATCAATCTGGTCCAAAGAAGAATGATAAAGTATTAATCTTTGCTCTATATAAGAAAGAAGCAGCTCGTGTCGAAAGAAACCTACAATATAATGGTTATAATGTATCTGCCATTCACGGTGATTTAACACAACAACAAAGAACCCAAGCTCTGAATGAATTCAAGAGTGGGAAATCTAATTTGTTACTAGCTACTGATGTTGCCGCTAGAGGTCTTGATATTCCAAACGTTAAGACTGTGATCAACTTAACATTCCCATTGACTGTTGAAGATTACGTCCATAGAATTGGTAGAACCGGGAGAGCTGGCCAAACAGGTACTTCTCATACTTTGTTTACTGACCAAGAGAAACATTTGGCTGGTGGTCTAGTTAATGTTCTAAACGGTGCCAACCAACCAGTTCCTGAAGATTTGATCAAATTCGGTACCCACACCAAGAAGAAAGAACATGGTGCTTATGGTGCTTTCTACAAGGATGTGGATATGTCCAAGAAACCAAAGAAAATTACATTTGATTAAGAAAACTAAATGTTTTCTGATATATAGGTACTAAATATTAATAACTTTCACCCCTTCCCCATTTTATGTAACATAATCTAAAACACACACACACACACACACACACACACAATAAGAAGGATATGACTTTTATTATAGGTCGAAATTTTTAATAATTGAGATGTCGGATATATACGTATACGTATAATGATGCTGCGGTTGCTCTAAGAGAACAAATTATATTCCTAACCGATCATTGATTTTCTTCAAAATGCCTTTCTAAAATTTTGTCTCTTGCCTGGTTGTACTCTATTGGATATTCTGTACCTAACATACTATTTATTTCATCTATTTTTTTCCTAGAGTAATCCAAATTCTCTTTTAGCTTATTAGACACTACCACACCTGATTCATACCTTTGCCTTAAAGTTAATAACCTTTCTTGTGTCTTATCTATTAAATCTTTTAGTTCCAAACTTTTAAAATTTATTGTACCTGATATTCTAGTTTGTAAGGCTAAAGTTTCTGAAAAGTCTACTTCTTCAATTGCATGGGTTAAAGAATCAAATATATACTTAGAAATATCAATCATTGCAGGAGGACTATCAATGTCATTATCAATGGTGGTTAATTTTTTAGCGATGGGCAAAGTCTCATGCAAAAATTCATCTGTACTGGCTTCATTGAAATCTAATGATGTTGTGCTAGCAGCTGCATCAAATGATTGTGTATCTAACGGTGTAATAGATCGTACGGCACCATTATCACTTGATTCACTTTGAGAATCATTACTACTTGTCGAGTCCTCATCATATTGATGAAGAGAAGAAGCGTCATCTGAATCATCATGAATCATAGGAATTGCATATGTCTGTGAACTTATGCTAGGAGTATGAGATCTTCTAGTCTCATTAATTTCTCTCTCGCTACTCTCATAATCTCCATCACTGCTTACCATTTTATTTTACGCACTATATTGCAATAAAGGAACAGGACTTACTATATCATAGGCTAACCTCGTTCTCTTTGTCTATTTTTCTTTTATATAAAGCTTCACGAAACATGATCTTTCCATTTATTTACTTGGCTTTAACAATAGAATTACATATTTTTTTTAAGTAGTTGCGAAAGGTGGTAATTAACTGTTACTTTCAAAAATGACAGAGATTAATCGTTATACGTATATATATACATACATATATGTAGGTTGCTATTTATATTTAAGTTGAGGAAGCTTCAGGAGCTTGAGAGGCAGCAGCTGCAGCAGCAGCAGCTGCTGCATCATTTGCCTGTTGTTCATATTTAGATGCTATCTTAGCCTTTTCTTCATCCGATGTAAAATATGTATAATTGATATATCTATAACCTTGACTCATTTGTGCAATTTCATTAGTAAAATGACAACCAAATAGTAAGAAATTCTTCGGTGAAACTGCTAATGCATACCTCATAAACACACCAGAGTAAGCGATAAGTGCAAATGTCATTGGACCCGATATTAAAGTAGGATCCTTCTTTAGATCATATATGGCGGCAATAGGAATCCCAAAATTGGAAACGGGACCCCAAAAATGCGTTGTGAATACATATTTTAGAGTTTCTTTATTGATGTATTTTTGAATTAATGAACGTGCAGCGGCACGTTGAACTGGCTGAGACATATTAATATTTAAGTTGGATTTATAGTAATTTCGATATAACTTATTCCTTTGATGCTAATTTTAAAAAAATAAACGTAGTTTGCTATTTTGATTTCTTAAATACAACTTATCAGAACCGTTGTTATTTAAAACTTAATACATCAGAATCTTCAATTCTACTTATAGGATTCCAAGATTACAATACTTTTTTCCAACGAATCATGGACTTGAAGATCACCATCAGAAGGGGTTATAACTTTATCAGAACTTGACCTCTCTGGGTTCAGTATCCCCTCTTCCTCCTCCCTTTCCACTTCTAATTTCCAGCGTTAACGAATTTTATTTTTCCCTTTTTCTTGTTGGGGCGGGGCACACTGCGCCTGTCTCTTTGGGCGAGTCCTGTTGGGCCAACCAGAGGTGACAGCGTTACAGGACCGCGATGAAGACCAAGTTGAAGCTTGAGTCATCACTAGTAGTGGTAATGTTGAAATGTCTATCTTATAGTTCAGTTAGCATTCTGATATATTGTATATTGTACTGTATTAAATCGTATTATATATGTTATGTATTGTGTTACATTGAATTCAGAAAAGGCTGCTGGAGCGATGGGATGAGGGTAAGAATGAAGATTTTATAATATGAATCTGTTTTTTTTTGTTACATAATGATACAACTTTTCTTTTTCTTGTGCTTCTTATTCTCACGAATACCAGGGTTATTGCTACCGTCTGCGGTAGCATTGTTTTCAACGTTAGTATCGTTATTATTGCTTCTATCTTTCTTCCCCCCTAGGAAGAAACTTTTACGTTTAGACTTCTTTTGGTCTGCCTTCTTCTGACGTTGTTGTTGTTGGCTGTTTGCTTGAATCAAAGCGATACCTTGCATACGATCTGCAGCAGCTCTATCTTCTTCTTCTTGCAACATCCTCGCCAGTTCTTCATCGTCTTGAATTTGCCCCGCTTCTGGAACATTTGATTGTGGTAAATTTGACATATTACCATCATTTGCTGCTCCATCATTGGGATGATCTTCATCACCAAATGGATTTGATATTTCGTTGGTTAAAGGTGGTGTAGAGGTGACATTATTGATTGTCGCTGGGATAAATGAACCAGTTTGATATGTATCCTGGCTACCATTTACTGATTTTAAAGATTTCCAAACGACATCATTGTTCAATTTATGAGCATAATCACTTACCAAAGTATATAACTCACCATTATTCTTGTATAAAGTAAAAAAATGTTCGTTTCTGTATAGTACAGCAAATGATCTTTCCACTAACAATTCCTTTAAATGTTCAAGGCCATATTCTGTGAATTGAGAAGCAGATCTAGCCAAAAATGACTTCAAGTATGTAGCGTCCTCAATAATTCCACGTTGTTCTTGGTTTAATGGTCGTTGTTGCTCTAGTTTCTTCAAATCATATGATTGCACAATTGCTCTTTGTGCTTCTTGATAAGAATATTTCGAAACATGTTCAGAAGCCATGGGGTCGGCTCTGCTATCAAATATCCAACCATGAACAATTCCAACACTATATAATCTGAATATGGAGATCTCGACACTATCATCGAAAGAGCCATTAAATTCAGGGTTAACCATCAACCCATTTTGTAATTGAGGTAAGATTTGTAACAATTGGTTAATATTTGTATTGATACCGTTAGGGTTTTGGATACCAATGTTAGCTAGGGTCTCCACAAGCTCATACATACCAACAGAACGCCTACTACCAACTAAATTAATTAGATTGTGTGCGAAATTGGATAGGCTTGGTGATAACAATAACACATTAGTTAGCGCCACTAGTGCACTTGGTTCTTCATCGTTCGTTTGAAGCAGGATATAATGGCGATTGCCATTAACATTAACCTCTTTGGTCTCAAAAGTAACGTTCATATTGACGATATTTATTACAATCAATAATTATATTAAAACCTATACTGTGAGCGTCGTACTTCTTCTGGCCTCTTTGCTCTTATCGCAGCAAGCTCGAGAACAACCAACCCTTATTTATAATCAAATATCTTTCTTAGCAAGCCTATTCCACATAGCAACAAAATTGCTGTGTGAAAATAATCTGAGCGCCCCGTGAACTTTTCTAGTGGTCCGAGGCGAGTTCAGTGATTACTACTACGGGTTTAAGATAAATAAGGTGCGAGCAAGAGAGAACTTTAAGACTTTTTGGTGCTAGGCAACGTTATCTTCTTACTGCTTTGTATATATTTATTTAGATGAATAATGCATTATGATCTATTGTTGTTGTAATCCATTATGAAATCTGCGTTTATGCACCGGAGTTCTTTGTTTACTACTTTACGTCCGATTGTTTCATCATAATGCATTCCGAACGACGTAGAGTTGTCCTCCGGTTGGGCCCAACTCATGGGAGAAGGACCCCAGGATGGAGTGTAGCATATTTCATCCCATTCACATTTACGGTTACATTTGTAATCCAATGCGATCCAATTCAAATTTGAAATCAGTGAAGATATTATTTCGGCCGATTTCTTGATTGCTTCTGTAGCGTCGATTTCATTTTCATCGGTTGATTTGGTACCAAGATCACTGGTGACAATTGGCATTAATAAATCATGAATATCATATATCGAATCTACTACTTCTGTGACAACATTCACTACAGAGGACCAAATCAAGAAATCTGAATCTGTTACTAAATCCGATAGGGGACTTGTGTATTGATAAACGGCGAATTGTCTTCCAAATCCAAATTCTCCGGAATTAATATCATCTATCATTACTGAATTGTCTTTACCTGTAAATCTATTAACAAAATTTATAGTATATCTTGTAGTTTTTACAGCTATTTGACTAATTGTCATTCCAGAGTTGTCTGTGTTAAGAATGTTATCCATGATCTTAATCATAGGAGCAAATTTATCTACTATTTCATCTATTACGTGTTGCCAGTCTGTTGATAAGTAAGGATAAAATCCAGTATTTCTTAGAGAAACCTCTAGATCGTCCACTAGTTGAATCTGTTGGTCAAAATTGAAATGATCGTTCAACAATCTTCTATTATTTGGGTCAATATCCCCAACGGTACGATTTATACCAGTGACTAAATATCTAAAATCTAATTGGATTCTTTTATCACCAGAATCGTGAACAACACCTGCTCTAATTTGATCCATTCCTCTCATTGAAGAATATTCATCTAGGACAGATTGCCAGTAATCTTCTTGATCCATTATTTCCTTTTGTGCATCAGTCAGTTCATCTTCAATCAGTTTCCCTTCATCATCCAAAGGCCAACCAGCAGTTTTACTGACATCAGCAGGGGCAGGCAACCCCAGTACTTCACTTAGATCTGGTATTGTAATATTAGATACTAATTCTGTACTACCATTTAGGAAATCACATAAGACGACTTCAAAACCTACCTCTACTCTAATAAACCCATCAAGACCAAAAGGTTTACCCCATTTACATATCCTTTCCGCATATAATCTTTCTGCCATAACAAATTTCTTCCCTGAATCACCTTCTTCTTGGTTATCATCACCATCATCTTCATTTTTCATTTTATATGCAATAACATCTGATAACAATTTTTGAGTATCCATCTCTCCCGTTTCTGACTTAGCTGCCGAAGCACCATCTAAGTAGATTAGTTTATTCAGATCCCTAGTGGCTCTAAATGTTAAGAAATGCTTTCTATCCCACTCAAGCCCCTTTGGAGGTTCTGGCGGAGCATATGAACCGTCATTGTTATCGCCGGTAGGTTTTTTCTTACCAGCTCCTGGCGGACCATGATGCTTGAAACTACTTGCATTTCTACCATAACGTTGACCATGCATTCCAAAATTATAACTAAATTCATGATCCATTGCTAACCATTCGAGACCTGTAGGAATATCTTTAGCACCAGCATGATACATCAAAGTTCCCTTAGGTATCATTGCAGCGAAATAAGAAAGACCAATAGGATGTATATCGGATCCAGCTTGTCTCAATGCTGCATATATAGAATTAAACAATGTAGTACTATTAGCTAAATCTATTGGTCTTAATAATTCTGAGTATGTCTCCCAAGTAACCCTTTTACCTGCAGTATTACCCTGATTCGTCGAGGAACCGTAGTCGTAAATTTTTCCCAACACAAAGACATCTTTATAACTAATATATGCAGAACTGATTATTGTAATAAATGTAATTAACGTAAGTAGTATCACCACGGATGCACTCCTGTTATTAGACAGCATTTTATTCACTGCAATTAGTATCTAATGTTCAACTTAGGAAGAAAGTAATTATGACTATTTTGAAGCTGAAACTGCGACCGCTAAGATTAAAATCTTATAAACCTTTTATTAAGTATATATAATAAAAAAAATTATATCATCTTCTATATCCATCTATGTAGCAATTTATATAAAAAATGAGAGAAATGACTTTTAACCAATTCGATCTGGCGATGAAAGAAAAAGAAGAAAAAAATGTTCGGAGGTACTACCACTTGTGCGGGTATTTCACTGCAGAAAATGAATTGCACCTTTCAAAAATAAATGATAAAAGTCTTGGCAAAAATTCAGGATGATAGACAATTCGATTTCATAAATTCTGGATGAACTGAAACTTTGACATTTTTCAGGAAAAACACTCAACCTTGGCGAGGAACGGGGAAATGACGGACATGCATGTTAGTAATTTAACTCTTTTCCTGAAAGAGGAAAGTCGAAGATGAGCCTCGTTTTTGTCTTCGAACAACCTAATTTTTTTATATTGTTTTCATTGACCCCATTTCATATCAAGGAATCCGATGTGGCCGTGGAACCATATACTGTAGAAGCAGTCACATCCTTTCTATTAGGTGTCAGCAGCGTAGAGGAGAAGCCTGGAGGAAGGGAACTCCGAGATGTCGTTGTCTGTGCAGGTTTGATAGATGGTTGTGTCGCTGACACAAAACTATCAAAATCGCCATTATCATTATCATTATCATTATCATTATCATTATCATGGTAACTTACTTGCGGAGATGTTTTAGGTGGTTGAATAGGTACTTGAGGTACAGGTTTTACTACTGGAGGATTAATGGAATATCCAGTAGCACCAGGTTTCTCATTAGTATAAGTATTTCTGTCGGTAGAGGAGATTACTTTAGTTGATGATGTTTTATTTAAAGTGATATTAATTTTCTTTTTCGGATTCATTATGGGTGCTGCTATATTCCTACTGGCTAGTAAATCAGGATCCTCATGTTTCTTACTTTCATTTTCTTGAATAATCTTAGTAAAACCTTTGGAACTATCCATATCACGTATTGATGGTAAGTCGGATAATTTTTCCATATGTGCCTTTTGAATATCACTAGATAATTTATTGATAATCTTTACAAATTGCATGTAATCTGTTTTCCCCAGAGTAGATGCCATTGAATAGCTCCAAAGAAGAGGCAATAGTTGGTCAACTAATGTTTCCTCGCCAGTAACCAATTGGGGGATAGTTTCAAATAATTTCAGTGATTTCATTAAGATTCTCGCATCCCTCGTCTTCATGGTCTTAAATAGTGGTAGAATACTATCATTACATGTGAATTTGTCAATCGTTTTTGTAGTGACCATTGTTTCAAAACAATCAACACACGACACCTTGACAGTAAGACTAGTTGTCTTTACGAATAATTTAGACAACAGAGGTAACAAAAAGTTCTTCACATTGGCAAAATCGTAACTTTCAAGAATTAACTTAATTTGATTTAAAATATTCTCTTGAACCGCTATGTAATCATCTCTTACATTATCCTGTAAAGTGTATGTTAACAAAGGATTTAAAATAGTATCTAAAAAATCAGAGGCCTTAATCTTTTCTTTAAGAATTGAAAGATTATCCACTAAAGTGTCTGTAGCATTTTCCAAGAGGACTTGGAAATTAACACTATCTGATAGTACTGGTAAGATTTTTTCGCTAAACGATAATTGGGACAAAGTAGATCCTATCTTAATAATAATTTCAAGGTTTTTAGCCACACATCTACTGTCCACAGGTTTCTCGCTACATAGTAGATTCATTAGTTCTAACAAAACTGGTAAGAATTTTTTTTGTAAAATTGTGCTCGGAAATTGTGGCAACAGCTCAACTAATCCGTCTAAGAATACAAATTTTTCTTCATTGGATTTTGTAGGTAGCCCATCCAGAAAATTTAGAACTTTGATTAATGGATCGTGGAAAAATTCACTATCTGCGAATTCTGCAATATTATCATAACGAGAATAAATATCTCTAGTCATTAACTTCGGTATACATGGTTTTAACTTGGGAGGTAGTTTGTTAAATACGTTATCCCATGACATTGAACTGATCTTTTTTTCAAGTTTTTTATATTCATCTTTATATTGACTACTTGAATTTTCTGTCTTTAGAAGTACATTTTTCCCATTATATAAAAAATTCATTAATAGACCTAGTGAGAAATAATCATTTTTACAAGAGACTGTGTTTTCAAAAACTAGTTCCGGTGCAGTATAATCTAAATTTAATGTCATAAATTTCGGCGTTCTTGGATCATATTGAGGGAAATAATAATCTGCTGTATTTGTACCCTGTGGTAACTTAAATAAATGACCCAGACCAGATACTTTCCAATCAGAATTTTCATTAATAAAAATTGCATTTGGTTTAATATTCAAATGAACAGAACTTGCTCGATTATGAATGAAGTCCAGTCCATTCACTATTTGTAGAATACCTCGCTGTATAACAATGTCTTCCTTAATATGTCCCTTCAAGAAATCTTGCTCTTCAGTATCGTCATTGGAAAACACCGTCTCTAAAGTTCCTGTAACATATTCTGTAACGAACATAAAATTTTTACTATGTTCCTCTAATGGCTCGACCAGCGTCAAAACATTGGGATGCTTCAACTTGGCCAAATTATTCACTTGGTTTCTTAATATTTCGTACCCTTCTTGAATAAATTTTTTATCATGGGACGAAGATCTTGATTTAATTATATTATACCTTAAAAGATAATTCTCAAATTGTTTCTTATCAAAGATAAACACTGAAACCTTACCAGAATTGGATGTGCTTTGCGAATTTTTTAATCTTCCTGTATAGACATCCCACGAACCTGTCCCAAAGGTGGGAGATGAAGAGAATGAGTACTTAGAGCTGATACCACTTTTAGAGGACCAGAACCCCATCATTTCGCTTTTCTATTAATAGTGTCAAAAATTTTCTTCCTTGATGTGTAAAAGTGCAAAAAATGCTCAATACTTTACTGCAGGTATATGAGTTTTACTATATCACTTGAATAAAAGCAATCAAAAGAGAACAGGACAAGGAGCAATACAGAATATATTGACCCTTTAACCTTAACATCATTTATTGACTATTGAAAAACGCAACTAACATGGAAAAAAAATGACGCCTTATGAAAAATCGACTTTATTGTAAATAAACAGCCCGATCTATTGTCTTTGAAATTACGATATGTTTTCTATTTGTACATAAGAATATATTAATAACTATGAAGAATTTAGGAAAGGCTTACCTGAATATCATAGGGAATGTAGAGGATAATTCTCAAGACCTTGTTCTTTTCTTATATTGACCTGGCGTTTCTATTTTCTTTTGAGCCCACAGACCCCTTGACTTGGACTTTGAAATAAATTCATGTAATCTGTAGACACTCTCTCGTCCATCGAATTGAGCTCCTGTTTTAGCCTCATATACTGTAGCCAGTCCTTCTTTCAACATCTGGAGACTGACATCCTTCCAGCCACCATACCAACTCCAATATACTGCCCTTGCGACACATCTATTATATTGATCGATCGATAGCGGTTTAATCCATATCCTCTTCCCCAAAATAACGTACCTTAACCAATTCAATGCTTCATCCCCAAAAGGTTGAGTTTCTCCTCCAAAATGAGCTCTCTCTGGGGCGTCAATTCCAGAGAGTCGTACAGAAATTGTTGGAAGATTTCTTTTACCCTTATAAGGTACATCTAGGTTCATGTAATATTTGGAGATATCTTTTACCTTGTTATTTCTGTGGAAGAATAAACTTTTTAAAAAAAGATTCGATTTAGATTTCCGGGATGGAGCTATAGACTTCGCAGTAGGTACAGTTATATTCTTCTCTAATTTTGGAATGCTTCTGAAAGTTCCCCAACCTCCAAGAATTCCTCCTGGAGTATGAAAAAATCGGAAGTTATCACCATCTCCAACTGCGGTAACTTTCCCAAGCAACCACCTACTCTTAAATGCTGCTTTTGGTATATCTTTAGCCTCTCGGTATTGCTTTAGAAATCTGACGAACCCATGTTTTGTTCCAAATAATAAACTAGTTAAAATTGCACTTCCTACAATAACATCAGTAGTTATGTTCAGTGATCTAGAATGTGTATCATTATTCATAATCAATAGGTCCTAAGACATACCGTAGAAAATCCCAAGCGTATTGTAGTTGTCCTATTGTAATAACTTTAGAAGGAGTGGTTCATATGGTTACTTTTTTCTAATGGGTATAATAAATTTATATTGTTTTGCTTACCCAAAGACCTCAAAAATTTTTGATCCGAAGAAATGTAAACAAAGAAAATATTCATGAGTTTCTTGATATTTTATAGAGTACCCATGACATAAGATGGTAAGAGATGGTAAGAAACATATGCTTGTCTTAACACATACACGAATAGGTTAATGCTTTAATGTAATTATATAATCTCTATATATCGGTACCAATGGCCTGTGATGAGTTGAACAATTGCAATGTTATTGTTGCCAAAAAGCAGGGTATTTGACCCCTTTTTTCAATCCAAGTTTCTAAAAGCTCATCCCAGTTATCAATGGCCATATTTGACTCAAGCGTGTTGTGTTTTAAATCCACTACTAGATAAGTTTTTGGCATATAGCATGAATATATTTTTACTTTATTATCTGGCCTAAATTCTAATTTAAAGCCGAGAATAGAATTTACTACATCAATAAATTCTAAGGATTTTTTATTGTATACTTCCTTTAACCTTGTAAATTTCTTATTTGCTTTGAATATTTCTTGTTCTTGTTGCTTGATATCAAAATTTAATGATTCATAAACAGAAATGGGGATTGTCTTCAGATCTGGATTCGATTGGAGCTGTGCAAGTAAATCGGTATTCTCTTGCTGTAAGAGTTTCATATTTTTTCTTTTAACAAACTGATCTCTTGCCAATGGGTTATCACGAAGCTCAACAATTCTAATTTTTTTCTCTTTCAAACTTAATAATTTTGTGAGCTTAGTCTCTAGTAATCCATTTAAATTTTGATATTTTTGTAGGTCTCTAGATAATTTACCATTTTCAAGTTGTAACTCATTTATTCTTTGTGAATAATAAGTCATGCCGTTTGTGTCTTTCAATTTCCTCTTTTTAACATTTTGAGCCTCTGCTTCTTGGGATGCTAACATCTGTTCGTTTAATTTCTTTAATTCGCCAGTTAACTCACCTGTTCTATTTTTATAATTTTCAATTAAATTATTGGTATCACTGTCGATCTTACGAAGGCTTAGGTTTTCATTTTCATCATTGTTACCAATAGTATTTTCTTTGATACTATTATTTGTGAAATCATCGAGATCTTGCAATTGTTGACGCAATAATTTACATTCTTCAAAGGATAAGATCTTCTGTTGTTCCAATTCATAATTAAGTTTCTTCAGATTAATAATATTATTTTCATAATCTTTATTTAAGTTTAATAATTGAGTTCGTTCGAGTGCAAGTTCTTCATTTAATATTTTCATATTGCTCATATTTATATTTAATTTTGAATTTTCATCGATTACTACCAAATTTTCCTTTTTCAATAAATCCAGCTCATTGATTATATCTTCTGGTTGTATATCAAACGTATCTCTACCTTTCAATTCTTCCGTAAACATATTATATTGCGTCAATTTAGTTTTCAAATCTAATAACTCAATTTGTGTATCTTCGAATTTCTTTTCGATGTACTCTAACTTTTGAACTTTCAATTCCAACCTTTCGCTTTCAGTTTTCCAAAAACTCGAAGATTCTTCTGCATTTCTATATTTTTTCAACTCATTGGCCTGCTTTAAATTAATTTCTTCTAATTCTTTACAATATTGTGCCTGTTCTTTGAAAAGTTTGTTCATTGTTGAAAGATCTTGGAACTCTTCCGTATTGTAATTTGGATGAGAGTTTAATATATTTGAATTTTTCAAGTTTAATATCTCATCATTTTTATTGTTAAGTTCCTTTGAAAGTTTTTTGATATCATTCGCTTGTCTAATAATTTCAGTATTATACTTTTCTACTAATTCATCAGCATTCTCTTTTTCAGTTTGTAAATTTTCTATTTCGTAGTTAAACTTCAAACTTTCAGATTCGTACTGTAATTTTAAATCATCTATTTGTTTATCTTTTTCCAATACATTTACTTCTAAATCATGTATTTGAGAATCCTTATCTGAATCAACATTGTGCAATTCAAATTTAATTTTATCCAATTCAGCTACAATACGTTCATTTTCATCATGTAAAAGTCGTGTATTATCGAGAGCACCTTCCAACTCCTCAACAGTAGCTTTGTGTTTCTTTTCTAAGTCTTTAAATTGTCGTTGTGCTTGTAATTTTTCCAATTCATATTCGTTTTGTAATGTACTTAATTTATACTCCAAATCCAATAACTGTCTGTCCTTTTCACTAGTGGCAGTAGGAACAGAAGGGGGAGTATAAGGCTTAGTAGTGATAACGTCTAACTCTTGGTTTAATTCCGTATCTTGCCTTTCTTGTGGTTGGAAGGCATCTGGAGACTCAAGAAAGGGTGATGACCCACCACTTATTTCACTTTCATCGTCCATTACAAATAATTTTACCGTCAGGTTAATTCTAAAAAGTGCAGAGCTGGCTCAAAATCTGACAAAAGCTTAATCCACTTCAGGTATATAACTTAAAAGAAATCAGAAAAGATGATTGATTTGTATCTTGAACTTTTCTGCCAAAGAAGTCTTTCTCTTTATGATAGAAATATGGGTCGAGATGACTATTTACATAGTAAGAAGACTAACAATATTTCAATATTGTAGATTCCGAGAAAGCGCGACTGAAATGTAACCCTGGCATACAACCCGCTACTAGTAGCAGTATGAACAACAAGAGAGGGAAGTATGCTCCAGTGGATTGTTGACTGTTTGTGATTTCCATACATTAAAGAATTTGTTCAATCATTATAGTAAATATGTAGCTACTCAGGTTCCAAGGGAATATTAAATATGCATATTTCTTATTGCCTACCATGCTATCCTAACTCTTTGTCAAGAAAGGCACAGAAACAATAATGAATGTGGATATTCGATTGATATTAATGATGTATTAAAGTATCTATTCAATTTAATTTTCTTGCGCATAATTTACCAATTGATGTTACATCCTCGCCCCTCCTCTTACCACTAAACTTCAATGAATAGAAGAAAAATCATCACAACAAATTTCAAGGGGTTATATGAAGGATACTTTAAAGCTGTATAGATGGACTGATCGTTATGACAATTTGGGACCTGTTGGTTGAATAATTCGCATTCATGGTATTATTTTGCTGCAACATCACTAACTACGACGAGTGTCGCTCTTCTGACGGTATATATGTATTAATGGGAAGGGCACCATGAATTGACCGATCTAAAAGATTTTTTTTTTTGGTGTAACAAGGGAGTGAAAAGAGTCTTAAAGGTATTGGATAGCAACAACATAAACAAAAGATCACATTTTTGGTAGTTTCTTTTCAACTTTTAATAACATAAAATACTAAAACAAGATTAAGTGTAAAACTACGATATATTAATTAAATTACAGCATAAACACAATGTCCAAAATGTATGTATAACTTGATGCAATCGATGAAAATGTTGAAAAAATACCCTTTCTACGTGTCCAAAGATAGATCAAAACATTGCTCAATTTCATTACAATGGACATTTTTCATGTATTATTGTAAAACTTTTGATAGAATGATATATTTTGTTTTTTATGTCCCTGCTTACTAACACATATTTTTAATTTCTTAACTCGGGGATTCTTTCCTACTATTGCTTTATTTATCATTTTATACTTAAAGGATTTGTAGCAAACATATTACCAAATTAAGAACTAAGCACTTTACATATATTACAGCCCAAGGAGTTTTAGATTATTAGAAGAATTAGAGAATGGTGAGAAAGGTCTTGGCCCTGAATCATGTAGTTACGGTCTAGCAGATGCAGATGATAACACAATGACAAACTGGAATGGTACAATATTGGGTCCACCTCATAGTAACCATGAGAATAGAATATATTCATTGGCCATCGAATGTGGACCAGAATATCCTGATCAACCACCAAAAGTGAAATTCATCTCCAAAGTGAATTTACCTTGTGTAGATCAAAATACCGGCGATGTCATAGTTAAGGATTTCCATACATTGAGTGGGTGGAAGAGATCATATTCTATGCAAACTGTACTTTTGGATTTAAGAAAAGAAATGGCAACCCCTTCAAATAAAAAATTACCTCAACCAAAGGAAGGTTCAACGTTTTAAAGAAATAGAAGAAAATAATTTAGAAATGTACTATTAAAGATTAATAATACAAGATTCAAATAAGTTCATTTATCACTTCTTCTAATGTTACGGACAGAACGACCATTACTACTGATTTGTTCTAAATCAAATGTTTCCTTACTAAAATTTACATACTTAGAAATTTAAGAAATAAAAAATGCATGATATATATTTAGTAGGAGACCAAAACTCAAGTAATTATTTATGTAAAACGATAACCATAGAACACCATATCATTTATTGAGCATTGCTTCATCAATATGATTTTTACCAATCTATCTCTTATAATTTTCTTGTTTTTGGTACAGTGAAATTGCAAGTAAAAAGAAACGATTACACGTACAACCGTTTCTTTTTATTAATTACAATTTCAGCTTGTTGTGATTTTAGATTCAATAATGAAAAGTTGCCTTCTGAGTTGTTATTATGTTTACGTATTAGTATTCGATTACTTTGTAACCAAATTAGTAATATATGAAATTTATGCTCTATCAATTACCTGCAATATTTCCTTAAAGAGTATGGAAAGTTTTTTTCAAACGATAGACTGCATACTGTGCAATACTGATATTGTCACATTTTCTCCCATTGTAATACCTCAATATCTTCATTAAAAGTTTTACATTTTTAAATTCGGTGTGTTTTTGTATGACAGACTTTCCTATTTGGGCATTCAATGACTGTTTGATGTTGAAAAAAAAAAGGTCGATGTAATTAAATACATTAACCCAAAATTAAATGCAAAAGAACGGACTTCTTAGCTTAGCAAAGGTTGAGGTTTTATCTTTGTTGATGTAACTTGAAACAAGCTAACATCGTTTATTAAAAATACCTATGAAATGTTGCAAAAGTATGCTTGAATCATAACTTTATACCAAAATAGTAGTATTTAATTTTATTAAGAAATGAAAAAATATTTAATATAAAAGGACAACTACTTTTAACATATATCCACATTGATCAATTAATTGTATTTGATAATGTCGTAGATATAAACATCATCAAAAAGTAACAACCATAAGGAACATTTTAGCCATAAAAAGTAAGATGAAATTTGTTAATACCCTATCATTACTAGCTACTGTAGCAGTTACTTTGGCTGCCCCAGTTAACATAACTGAAACCTCTGAAACTTCTAAAGCTACAATTCCAGCCGAAGCTATTATTGGTTACCTAGATTTAGAAGGTAATAAGGATGTTGCTTTGCTCCCATTCCACAACGAAACTTCTAATGGTCTAATGTTTGTCAACACTACTATTATTAACAGTGCCCTTGCAGAAACCGAAGATGAAGATTTGGTGAAAAGAGAAGCTGAGGCTTGGCACTGGTTGGAACTAGACTGGGGTCAACCATTATACAAGAGAGATGCCAATGCTGATGCTGATGCCTCTGCTTGGCACTGGCTTGAATTGGACTGGGGTCAACCTCTATATAAGAGAGAAGCTGAAGCTGATGCTGATGCCTCTGCTTGGCACTGGTTGGAATTAGATTGGGGTCAACCTCTATATAAGAGAGACGCCAATGCTGATGCTGATGCCTCTGCTTGGCACTGGCTTGAATTGGACTGGGGTCAACCTCTATACTAGTTATAGAAACATAAATTAACCTCAGGGTCTCCACAAACTTTATAATTATTCGCTTTACCTTCAATACGTTCATGTTTATGATATTTACTTATCTTTCTATACTTTAAATATCGTTCTTAAAACACAAATAATAAAACCAATTCAATAGATTAAGATTTAACTATTAAAAAATTTTATTTACTGAAACAGAAGAACTTTATCACAAGTCAACCTAAAAATCACTCGTTTCGGTTTCAATTTCACTGTCAGATGTTGAAATATTTCCTTTATTATGCACGCTTGTTTTGTCGGTTTCATTGATAGGATTTTTATCTGTACCGCTTGGATCGGGGTCTTTGGCCTCGGTATATGTGTCGGTATTAACATCAGACTCAAAATCCGACATGTCAGTTGAATTTATTAAATTATTCATAGCATATTTTATGTCGGTTGTATCTTCAAGAGGTTCCCCACCTGGTTCAACCTTTACTAGAGGTTCTACGTTTTCTCGAAGGTAAATGTTTGGATCTTCAATAGGTGTTTTTGATATCCCATAAAAATTAAATTCCGGCGAAAATTCAGGAAGCCCGGTCATCGGTTTTGTATCATTTATATTTTCACGATCTTCTTCATATTTTAATTTTCTTTTGACATCCTTATAATTCTTTCTTCTACTTCCAGTTCTCCTTCTCTTTCCAGGAGAATTTAGTTCGTTCACGGCATCAACTATATGGGTATTTATAACCTCTGAATCAGATTTGCTCTCTGGTAAAAGGGTTTCAAGGCCATTATTTTCAATAATCTGCTCTAGTTGAAAGATTTTTTTCTTTTTCTCATTCAATAACTCAACCACTATTGTTCTAGTCTTTTTATCCCGTTCCTCTAAAATTCTCTCTAGAATAGCCCGTTCAGAAGATAAAGTTGACAATTCAGTTTTCAATGTGATAGATTGCTTCATTAGTTTTTGGTACGCCTCATTCAATTTATTCAATCTTTGAAATAAACGATTTGTCAAATCAAATAAATCTACCTCGGCGTTCTCTACTGGTGTAAATGATATCTCGGCTAATTTTTTGACTATATATTCGGATTCTACCTGGAATACTAAAGAACATCGACTGGAATCTTGAATATCGAATTGCCAATACCCATAATCCATCTTAGCTTCCATCGATTCAACAAATACGTTGCTACCTGTAAGTAATTTAATCAGACTGTACCAAATATTGATTTTTTTAATTCCAGGAATGTTATAGGGTTCAAAAGTCTGAAGTTTACTATATGTTAAGGACATATTCCTAGATATCATCGAGCCTTCGCTCATTAATATTTCAGTAAATACGAAATTTTCAAGCCCTTGAACAGTTGTATCATTTTTAATTGGTTCTTTAAGTAAAACTTTACATATACATATATCTTTTTCTCCAGTGGGTTCTTTTTTATCCTTTGCGAGTCCTGAATTATGGAATGGAATGCAACATATATATTCCTGTTCTTTCCCTTTGTTCATGTTGACTCTATATCATTAGTGCAGTCATGGATGTATTGTATTATTACTAGTTAGAATCTACTTTAACGAAATGTGCTAAATCACAACTTCGATCCCTGAATATTTTTCGATATATAATACTTGTTATATTGACCTCACTAATGCTTTTCTAATATCGATATTCTAAACGCTTTCACTTAGCATCCTCTGGTCAGCCTTTATTCAATAATTTCAAAAGATTGTCTTTCCCTTTATTACTCAGACTTCACGTGAAATTTTTGATTTTATTGCACGTACCAAATTTTTCATAATGTCACTATAAATGTCCGAGAAGGTTCCTAACAAAAAAAAAATAGAGTGATTACTAATTAGGCATCGCATTTTGGAAGGTGTTTTATAGAAGATTCTGTATATATCTTATATTTATTTCCAATACAGTGAAGCACACTATTATTATCCTCTCTACGGTTTGAGAAGTTTATACAAAGGCTAAATTCAGTGAAATAAATATATATTAAGAATAAGCAAATAGGGAAATGACAGCAGAAGTTCTTACACCAGTGACCAACAGCGATGACAGAGTCCTACCTCCAGAATATGAGTTGAACGAACCTGAACCCGAACATTGTCCAGGTCCAGAATCGGAGATGGCTGGTAAAGCTGATGCATGTGATGGTTGTGCTAATAAGGAAATTTGTGAGAGTTTACCAAAGGGACCAGATCAGGATATTCCATTAATTACCGAAAATTTGGCTGGCATCAAACATAAAATCTTGGTTTTATCTGGTAAAGGTGGTGTCGGTAAGTCTACTTTCTCTACTATGTTGAGCTGGGCTTTATCCGCTGATGAAGATCTTCAAGTGGGTGCGATGGATCTTGATATATGTGGTCCATCCCTTCCAAGAATGTTGGGATGTTCAGACGAACTGGTTCATGAATCTAATTCCGGTTGGACACCAGTTTATGTTGCTGATAATTTGGCTGCTATGTCAATCCAGTTTATGTTACCTGAGGATGACTCAGCAGTTATATGGAGAGGCTCTAAAAAGAACCAGCTAATTAAGAAATTTTTAAAGGATGTTGACTGGGATGAACTTGACTATTTAATTGTGGATACACCTCCCGGAACTTCAGATGAGCATATTTCTATCAATAAGTTTATGGGAGAGTCTGGTATCGATGGTGCTCTAATTGTTACTACTCCACAAGAAGTTGCATTATTGGATGTTAGAAAGGAAATTGATTTCTGTAAGAAGGCCGGAATTAATATCCTTGGCCTTGTTGAAAATATGAGCGGATTTGTTTGTCCAGGTTGTAAAGGTGAATCACAAATTTTTAAAGCTACAACAGGTGGTGGTAAAGCCTTATGTGAAGAGCTAGGCATTAGATTCCTTGGTTCAGTACCATTAGATCCAAGAATAGGTAAATGTTCTGACCAGGGAGAAAGTTTTCTAGATGCATACCCGGATTCACCTGCTTCTACGGCTGTTCTGAATGTTGTAGAGAGTCTTAGAGATGCAGTTGGAGATATCTAATAAGACTACACCCGAGTTATTGACGGAAAGATTGTTTTGAAGTCTCAGAAACGAATTAGAGCCTCATTAGACAGCTAAATTATTCGACAGGAATACAATTCTTCAAATTTTCAAATTTGGACAAATATTTTGGCTGTTAGGGTTGGCCTGTTATTCTATCTTTTAACATTGACATGTCCAACAAAGTTGATATTTTTAATTGCATTTTAATGTTTAAGGAGATCGGTTAACCTTACACATATATATATATTTACCATAATTTAGACACTGTATATACCAAATTAGATATATGTGATATTACAAATAAAAATGAGCTATACTAACTATCAATGATATACAAATTTAAAACTGCATAGCTTTTAATTTCTTTTCTATTATGTTGCAGCATGCAGGAACCAGTTTGTGTTTGTGATATCTCATTAATAGCTTCAAACTGTCCTCTATGCTCTTGGTTTTATTATTATTTTGGTTGTTTTTCAGTATGATGTCTACAAACTCTTCGTAAACTTGTAATGTGTTTCTCCAGTTATCCATTTTATCTTTTGGAAATTTCTTAAGGAATGTACTTAGCGTCTCAAGCACTTCAGTATTATGTTGTGCATTGTATTTTAATACCAACTTTGGGCCTACGATTAGCATCATTTCAGTTTCTGCTTCCTTAAAGGAACCAGCTTCTAAAAGATTTTCAAGTTGGGATAAATAATTTCCATTGTATTTATCTAAAACAGCAGCTGCAGAATATACGACGCTTTCTGGAATTTGTAATCTCTCAAGGAGTATTTTGTTTTGAATGAATGTAACTATATTTCTTGAAACAAGGTCAGATATCTGTTGTGACGCTACTCTATCGTTTTTTAGGAAGCATGACACAAATAATGCTTGCTCAGTAAGTTCTTCTATTCTTAAGTCTTCCATCAGATCTAATGTCAAGAGATCACAGTAATCATTGGAAAATGTTTTTGCATCCCTAAATTTCAAAATCTGGACATAATACCAAGCAAACTGAGTTCCTAATTGTTGGTTTTGATACTTCAATGTTTTGAATAATTGTTCTGTGTTTTTTTCACAACTGAATAGTTGCAATGTGACGTAACGAAGGTCTTCACTTGGATGAGGGATCTTCTCTAGCAATGAAAGTGTAAGATTCTCCAAGGAGTTTTCATCGATTCTACCATAAAATAGACCAAGACCAAAAACAGCTAACCACGAGAAATCCTCCAGTAATTTTAGTATCGATGTTTTAGAATTGAAGAATGTTTCTCCAAGAATTTCATATATTCTTCTAACTTTTGGTTCAACTTGATGCCCTGAAATTTCCCAAGCTTCTAATTGATTTGATGCAAACTCTGCAACACGTGGATCATTGGATCCTAAAAATGACAGGATAACTGAAAGATATGCGTTGTTCGAACTAATAGCCACTTTAGACGCATTAATATTGTCGTTCAAAAAAAGGAAATAGAAAATCATGTCTAAAGGATCCGATGCACCTTTAATTTTAAAATTCACCTCTTCCTTAATTTGATCTAATACCCAATTACATAATGACTTGTATCTTGATTCTTTGCATAAAGTACCTCTTACGGCGTCATTTTTAATTTCTTGGGGTAGTACAATTTCGTCATGTAAAATAGAACATAATCTCCATACTTCATAATCAGGGGACGATTGATGAATTAATGGCAAAATTGCTGTGAAATGTAGCGTATGGCTTTTAATTGTTGGGTAACGGTTAGTTTCTCTTTGTTCGATTTCAACTGATTTTAAGTGAAGATCAAGTAGTGACGATTTCATGATTAATTCATCTTCATTAAGAGATGATTTCAAGGATAAAAATTGAGTTCCAGAAGTTTTATTGATATTTTTAGTCAATAACCTTGAATGCGAATCAAATTTTGCAAAAGTGTAATTTGTGGTCATTCTTCTCTCCTTAACTATTTTCTTCATCGTTTCAAAATTTTGGTTAAAATCTGAGAAGAGTAGTGTCATTGGATTCTCCTCTATCTTCGATTGAGAAAAACGCTTCACAAAAACAGAATTATTGGAGGCACTAGCAATTCTTAACTGTTCGACCCAATCATCTGTGATTTCAAGAGACGGTTCGGCCTCCATCAATTCGATATCTTCTTCATCCACTTCCGGTTCGTAAGCTTTTTCTTCGACAAGGTCGTTATCCCCTGTATTATCAAGTTCATAATCTTGGTCACCAAAACTTCTGTCCTGTAATACCAATAGGTTAGCTTGGGTATCATTCTCAGATGATTGTTTTACATTGGACGAATTGGATTGCGCAAGAGTCCTTGTCTGTATCATCCTATCATCCTGTATCTTTTCTTCTGTTTTTTCTTCTTGTTTTAGATCAGCTTCGTCTATTTCTACATCCTCCGAATCAATTAAACCCCAAATACTAAAATGATTAACTCGGAAAGTCCAAATACCTCCAAATGGGTTATATGAAATAAATTCCATCCCTTTCATGTTTTTTAATCTTCTGATTAATAGCTGGATTTCGGAAGATTTCTGGGAATTTACATGTGGTTTTTTGGTTTTCTTATCAATTGGATATACACCCTCGATGGAGATAGTAGCGGGTATATTGAGACCGTACCCAACAGTTGGTTTAGTGTTATGGTCAGGATAAACCTCTACAGTTTTAGAGGAATTGAAGTTTACAATTTTCCCAAACAACTGAGTTTCGATATTTCTAGCCACTGAAGTCAAATCGACATCAAAATTGAAAGATATTGTACCATAGCCTTTTCTGCCAATAATAAAGTTAGAGACAGAAGCTAACTGTTCTGAAGACAATTTCCTCAACTCATCTGGAGATGGGGAGCACCAATAATCACTAGGTATCTGGTCAATATCTTTGAAAGAGTTCTCTACGTTTTCTACGCTTGATTTGCTTTCTCTGGATAGTGGCACATTAGTGGTAGCTAATTCAATATTCTCATTATTATCGATTGAATTGTTTTCCTTAGGCTGTGTAGTGACCACATGTTTCAAATTATCAACTGATTGAACTACTTGTTGTGTAGGTACAGCAATATTCGGTAGTAATTTTAGTTTCTTAGCTGCACTTCTGTTAGGATCGATTTTTAGAACACGTAAGTTTTTAATGTCTTGACCTTCTAGTGAGTTAATTGACATTATATTCATATGCATGTCCTTAGTCTTGTTCAACGATAGGGTCTTATCGTCAGCTATTCTGTTACCATTGTAGGGTAAATGTGACCAACCTTTAGAGGAGGTAGAAAATATACCTTTAGTGGAACTCTCTTTGATATATTTCAATCTTGTATTCAATTTACCAAATATATTAGATGGTAACACTTGATGTTCAGAACGGCTCTTCGATGGCAGAGAGAAAGACGTACGGGTACTAGGAGTTTGCATTGTTGAAGGTTCTTGTTTTTGTACCGATGGTGTGATAGACTTAGGCATGTTTGACATATCGAATTTGACCGTATTGGATGGAATCGAAGACACATTATTAGTTCCTTGTATGGAATTACCAAATAGTCCGTTTCCAGCCTGTGGTTTATTGCCGAACAGGCTTTGGCCACCCATTAAATTGGCTGTAGCTGGTTTACCGCCGAACAACGTACCATTAGTTGTAGTGGTCGTTGGATTACCTAATTGGCCTGTGGCAGTAGGTTGCACATTAGTGGTGGAGGAGTTTCCAAATAGACTAGCTCCAGCTGGTTTTGTATTCGTATTTGAATTTCCAAAGAGAGATCCAGTCTGAGTCCCAACCTGTGGTGCTGCATTATTACTACCAAATAGACCACCTGTTACTGGTGGCTTATTTGTATTTCCGAATAGACCTCCGGTTGAACCCAATCCACCTGCAGTATTTGAATTTCCAAATAGTCCTGTGTTAGTTGTGGTTGCTGGGGCTGTAGCTCCAAATAAAGATCCAGTGGTGTTTCCCTGAGGGGCCTTGGCAGTATTTGAATTGCCAAACAGATTGTTGGAAGGTTGACTACTAGTTTGCGCGGTATTACCAAATAATCCTCCATTTGGAGGTTTATTTTGACTGGCCGCACTACCGAATGTTCCTGACGGACTTGGAGTTGATGTTCCAAAATTTGTAGTAGCATTACCAAACAGACCATTAGTCTTTTGTGGTAATTGGTTATTCATTGCTGGGGCTGGCGTTGATGTTGGTGTAGATGCACTCGGAATTCCTAAGGTCGATTGACCCCCTAAGGTTTTTCCAAACATAAGATTGCGTGGCAGTTAGGTATTGGTGGTGTTTAATATTATTGGTTAAATAATGCTTAGTCGTCACCACGAAACGGAATAACCTTTGCTCATCTCAGCTTCTTGTTCATGAAATTTACAAATATATTTTCGAACTTTTGATTTTCAAATTCCAAACTTTGTTGATTTAGGCGGAAGAAAGAAAAAAATATCCCGACGCACGACGCCAGAAAAGAAAAACTCAAGGTTGGTCTATATTTCTATAAAATTAAGAATGATTTTAGAAAGGTCCATTTGGTATTTCCAAATATATAAGTATGTATGAATAAATATGTGCTGCCTATTTTACAATGATATTTATGCGATCTTCATTGAACCAAGGCAATATCTTGTTTGTTTTGGAGGTAAGACGAGCCATAATATCCGGTACTTCTAGTCCGTCTCCCTTGACTGTATGTGCGGTAAGTGTAACTTTACTATTATTAGACATCACAACTTCCACAAATGCACCTACATGAATTTCGAACTTTATTTCATCATTGAATGAAGTATTATAGTCAAAGAACTGAATTATACCGTCCTTGGTGATTTTCGTAAGGAATAACGAGTCAAGATATTCAAATTCTTGGAATACTTTTGTCATCTTCCTTAAATTTATTATTATGTGGCAAATTTTATCAAGGGTTTTCAAGTTAGTTGTAGATTCATTTTCTTTTAATAGTAAATCAGTAACAAAAGGAAGTAACTTATTTGATCTAACTTTTGAATCTATAACGAAGACGTTTTTTTCTTTTGCATCTAAGTTTACAGTTATCATCCCGTTTGGAATATCTTGGAATTTCAAGGATAGCGTAGAATTTTTGAAACTTGCAACTTTTATTCCAGTTAAATTTTCCAACGCGTAAAGCATATTTTGGGATTCATTGAGTTGTGGTTCGATTTCCTTTCCATCTATTATTCCATCTGTTTTCGAAGTAATCTGAGCTTTCAGGTTTTTTAATTTAGTTTGATTTTCAATAATTAAATTAGCTAAGGTCTTTTCCTGTTCACATAATTTCGGATATTGTTCAATCGATAATTTATTCTTCTGAAGTTCTTGCTTCAACCAAGTTAATCGTATCTTTTGCGATAAACTATATTCACCTATTTGGTCTGTTTTTGAAGATGTTTCAATAGCCTGTAATTCTGCCTTTAGTAATTTTTTTATATTTCCAACATTTACATGAATCAATTTAATGTCTTCGAGTGAACTTTTAATTTTTTGATATTCTTGCTCTAAAAATGTTTCATTTTCAATAAGTACACTCTTCAGATTTTTTAATTGTGATAAATACCATTCATTGAATGATTTCTTAGCATGCAATTTTGCAAAATATTTAATTAATTGAAGTTGTTCTTTCATCTTTTCCTTTGTTTTGTCGTCGGAATTAAAATAATCAAGTAACAATAAAGGAGGATTGGAAGAGTCCATGATTTGTTTATCAAGATTTTCGAAAGATTTTGATGATTGAGAACTAATGGACAGTAGCTCTTTTATGATAAAAGTGTTCATTTGGACCATGGGTATATCATTGTATAGAGCATTGTATAAGCTCTGGGCCTTGAATATCGAATCTTCCGTTTGGGTAATTAATGGAAATGCTATTGATTTTACATCCTGTCTTAGAATGTTTATATCTGTTAGAAATCCTACATCGGTATCCTTAATAAATTCTTTTAGAGAATAATCCGATATCTTATTTGTGGTCTGTTTTTCTGTTTCATTAAATTCTGGTATCTTTATTGGTGACATTTTTTCCATTTCTTCAATGTTTGATTCAGTGTTTTCTGTGTGAGGTCTTTTCTTGGCAGATACGTCTTGAACATTAATTACAGGAGTTATTGGATCTTCTAGATTTTTTCTTTTTCTAATTATTCTTGGAATACTACTTGGAGGAGGTATCCTAGATTCAGAGGTCTGTTGACTAACATGACTTTCTTTAGCTATGTCTATATTGTCATCCACATTACTATAAGGTGTAGTATGTAGAGGTGTGGTGATTTGACCCCCTTGAAGATTTTTTTCATTCGACGAGTTCAGATCACCGTCCAACGTGCTTGGCAGTTTTGAAAGAGCAGATGGCATTGTTTTCCTATTGGTGTTTATTTCAGGTTGTTTTGTATTTGCCTTGGTAATTTGTGTGAATTCCATCTGTTGTGATTCTATATTTTCATTATTTTTACTATTTTGTATCTGAGTGAAATCCATTGGTTGTGATTCTGTAACTTTACTGGAAGTGCCAGATGAAATTTGGGTTAAGTCCATCGGTTGTGAACCTTGAGTACCGGTGTAATTAGCGATGCTATCATCTTCGGTTGTAGATTTATCCAATTGGCTTAAATCAGTATGATCATTAAAATTGACGACTTCAGTTAATTCCATTGGTTCCTCACCAATTTCACTATTATCTTCAGAGTCTTGGGTTTGGGAATTTTTCCTCGTGTTAAGATTCACTTTAGGAATATCATCCTTGACAGGATCCATTGCAACCATAATGGGTGTTAATTGTTCCTGTCTCATTGTAAGTTCCATGGATTCTTCAGCCTCATTCATTGAATCATCTTTATTGTGTATTTCTGTCATGTCTAACGATTCATCCATCTCATTTGATAAGTCGGTGTCTTTATTCAAATTATGAATTGGGATTGGTTGAGTAAATTCCATTATGGAAGTATCATTTGTAATAGCATCATATTTGTTGAGATCTCGTTGTGGAACGGATTCAAATCTATGTAAGGTTACATCTGGAGCAAAAGAAACCCTCCGATTCACTTTAGCAGAATGGGGACCAGCGACACTTAATTTCGATGTTGTGTTGTTAGAATGAGATAATATTTCGGGCTGTGAGAATGTCTGTGCAATAGGTTCTGTCTGGTCATGATTCCATGCACTCGCATTCCCAGGTAAAATAGGTTGACTAAATCCCATCTTCAATATACTTCTCTTTCCCTTAGAATCATCATTCTCCTGGGACATACCTATCTCTAGATTATCCTTATCATTCATTGATTCCTAATAAATATTGTTTCAGTTTCGATTACTATTGTTTCAACCTTTTTTTTGTTCTAAAACTCCTTTATTTATGGGCTAATAAAAATGTTCAAAATAATGTAAACAAAGAAATATTTAATATACCGTCGCGTATGTACTGTTTTTGTATGCGAAACATGATAAAAGTCTAAACAGAGAGCATGAATAAGGAAGGATATATGTATACAAGAATGATTCTGCATTTCTTAATATTAATATATTTTAATTGTTAGAGAAGGAGGTAAGAAAGTGGCGTAACTGTAATCAAATCACTAAGTTAAATATTTATTTATTTTTAAAATTTTTCATTTTCTTCAGAAATATTAAAAATCATTTCCTGACAAGTCTTTTGTAACTTGTCTAAACACTGAAGATTTGTTTACTAAACAAATTTATGTCACTACTATTTATCGCAATTACTCGACATTAAAAACATAATGTCAACCTGACTATGCTACACATTATAGATCACCACCAAATTGAATCTAACCTTGATCAATTTACAATCCCCTTGTATATACATAGGAAAATACTACTTTCCCTATAAATTTCAACTTGTAGCGCTTTGAAAATTAACTACGTGAAATAAAATACAGCGTATACATATATACAACTTGACGATAAAGAGTGATAGAGGTCTTGAAAGGGGAAAAGGTTTCAAAAAGAAACAATCACAGGAAAATCATCCTTTCAGGAATATACTGATCTGATACTGTATCGAGGTAGTTATATTATCGTACTAAGAACAACAGTTTCCTTTTGTTCAAGCTTTTTTTTATTATTAGTCTGTGTGTGGGTAAGAACGAAACACTGATTATTGTTCCCACATTCAAGAAGAGTATACAACCATTAAAATATTCCTGCTTATAATAATCCAATTATGAATAATTGGCAACATTTGTTTAACAATACAGCTGATCTTTCAGTGCATTTAAAGAAACCATACTTTCGATATGACAACAAAGAAAAAGAAGTTACAAACCTGGTGTTTGACGATAGAGCAAATCTGATTTGGGCTGGTGATACATATGGTTGTATGACGGCCTACAATCCAAATTTCCAAATGTACAGTCGTTATAAAGCCCATATTGGAAACGTTAAAGTCAATGACATTCTGACTACAAGGGAAGGTGTATTATCACTTAGCGATGATTCTTTACATATGAGTAATAGAAGAGGTGTCACATTATTTAATCTTACTTGCGCTGATGTCTCCACTTTTAGTGGATTAAGGACTATGTGTACAATTTCACCAGAGAACGAAACCCAAATTTATTGCGCTGGTGATGTTACCAGTTCTGGGATTACGGGAGTCGATTTAAATAAAGCTGCGGTATCAAACCTAATCCACTATCCTAATAGAGTAAAATTCATGAAATCTAATAGTAAACTTATCACCATTGGACAACAGTCTGGTAAAATAGATTTACTTGATCATAATTCCAATCAAATAATCAAATCATTTAATGGACACTCAGAGACTATCTCATCTATCGATGTTCGTGGACATACTTTAATTACAACTGGAACTTCTAGAAGATTTACAAGTTCGTTTGCCGATCCATTTGTTAATGTTTATGATTTAAGAATAATGAGACAATTGACGCCAATATCTTTTTCGAAAGGCACTACAATGGGTTCTGGAGGTGCAGATTTCGCAGAATTACATCCTGTCCTACCTACCGTCATGATTGTTGGATCATATACTGGCTCTTTTGATTTTATAGATCTTTCAAATCCTGCCTTAAGAACACAATACGTTCATCCTGGTCAGGAAATACGAAGTTTAAAGATATCACCAAATGGTAATTATATGAGTGTCCTAGAGGTGGATAATCACGCCAGTTTATGGAGTAGAACTATGAATACTCCAACCATATTTACAAACACACAAGAATTACTGGAATATCCTGATTTCGCTGATGATAAAATTTACCCGATACCCGTACCTATTGATGACGAAGAGTTCCCATTAAGTAGTATAGGCCTTCCATATTATCATGAAAGATTATTATCCGCCTGGTCACCTGTTGTGTTTGATAGTGATGGAACAATTCCTAAACATATTGAGCAAGAATCCCTACCTTTATCGTCTGGAAAACAAGTAGCTAACAAAACTCATCTTGTTTTACAAGGTTTAAATCTGTCATCCAAAGAATTCCCCTTTCATAAATACAATAAAGATCAACTTGGTGCCAGGAATGAAGTCCCCAAATATGTAAGTTTAAAAGATGAAAGAAGGTTATTATCATTACCAATAAACAAGGATACAATATTAGAGTATAAAACAACCGACGAAACCCGAATTCCAAACGCATATTCAAAATTACCATTTACATCTGGTAAATTTGGTTCAGATAACTTTGATTTTGATGCGTTTAATAAAACTGAACATGCAGGATTAGACACAGATATCGATAATTTGTATACAAACGCCATTTTACAAGTATACAGGTTTGTTCCTGAAATTTACAATTTCGTAGTAGGCTGCCTAAAGGATGAAAACTTCGAAGTATCGTTATTATTACAACTTGGTTACCTCTATGACATGATGGGTCGTTCAAAGAATAGAGTATGTAGGTCAACTAATTTTCAAGTAGCTTTGAATGCTCTTCCAGAAGCAGAAGAAGCTGGCGTTATTGAAAGTTCGCCAAAGAGTATAATGTTCGATGGTCCCAACAGTACCCGCTTTTATGACACAATATCGAGAAGCTTAGCTCAGAAATTCAATAAGTTTTTACTGAGCAGATTACAAAATGAAGAATTCCAAAACAATCAACATAATATTACATTACAACAGTGCATTGGATTAGACTTGAATGTCCAACTAAAAAGAAAGTGCAGACATGATGAAAATCGTAACGAGATTCTATCCAGCTTAACCTTAATGTCCCCGGCAAGGAACGGTATGAAAACCAATGGTAGAAAATCTCCAATCAACACTATCTTATCTTACATCGAATCATCAATGAAAAGGGTTTACCACGTTGAAAACATATGTGATAAATGTAGTAAGAAAGATATAGCAGAGGTAGGAAAAATTGCAACAAATTTACCACCAGTATTATCTTTCGAACTTCTATTAACAGACTCTGAATGGCAGGTTGCAAAGAAAACTCCAAATTGGCTGTCGAAATCATTCTTTGCCACAATGACACCACAAGGTGCGTTCTTGAGAAATACTTCTACAGAACTGAAACAATTCGCACCAATTTTCAAATATGATCTGAGTGGTTACGTTGCCAGAATTACAGATCCAAGTGGATCAAGTAGGTTGGTCACGTACTCCAAAATATATGACAGTAACACTAACACATTCAAATGGTATCTCTTTAATAATTATTTAGTGGTAGAGATAGATGAGGAAGAAGCGTTAAATGCGTCACAACCTTGGAAGTGCATAGAAATCGTGGTGTATTGCGATTCAGAGGAGATCAGAAAACCATTCTTTTCAGTAGACACATATCAAATTGATAGAAGTATTTTATTTAGAGACCACTTTGCGGCAGGCATCAGAGAGACAAAAAAGAAAGAATACACTTTGTTAACTCAAAAAGAGGCACCAAAGGCTGGCACCCTAATAGCGATTGATGCTGAATTTGTTACATTAAACAATGAACTAAATGAAATCGATTGTAAAGGAATGAAAACAGTGATAAAATCAAAAAAAACGGCGCTTGCTAGACTTTCTATTGTGAGAGGTGAAGAGGGTGAAGAATTTGGGAAACCGTTTATTGATGATTACGTTGTTAATACTAATCGTATTGAAGATTATTTAACTAAATTTAGTGGTATTGAACCTGGAGATTTAGACCCAGTCAAGAGTGACAAGACGTTAGTCACCTTGGAAGTAATATATAGAAAAGTGTGGCTATTAATGCAACTTGGATGTGTGTTTGTTGGACATGGTTTGAGTAACGATTTCAAACATATTAATATCAATGTTCCTAAAGAACAAATAAGAGACACTGCAGTATATTTCTTGCAAGGGAAAAGATTTTTATCATTACGATATCTAGCGTTTGTATTACTTGGACAAAACATTCAAGAAGGTAATCATGACTCAATAGAAGATGCATACACGGCATTGATCCTTTATAAGAGATATTTGGTGTTAAAGGAGAATGGGTCTCTAAAAGCTGTTATAGATTCACTTTACGAAGAAGGAAGAGCAACTAATTACAGAGTTCCGGAATCAAACAACAAAATTACCAAATAATGAAGTAACAAAAATATTTATAGATAAACATGTATAAATATAAATTCTTTTCTAAACTGATATTTTTTCAGCCATTTTATAGGAAATTTTACTAATGAAGAAACTTATTTCATTATATCAATATTATATATGTATTTCTTGAATATAAAAAGGAAATGAACGTTTATGAAATGCACCATATGTACTGTCACTATCTCTCTTTCGAATAATTTTTTTCCCAATTTAATAGTTTTTGAGTTAAATCGTTCATTATGTTCAATGTTTCCTTATTTTGAGAAAATATGGTATCAATCTTCTCAATAAACTGGTCATTTTCAACAAATCGTATTAAATCATCTCTTTCCTGCTGTACATTCTCTAAATCCCACTGTGTCCTAGATATAAATTCTAAAATAGCTGATGTTCTCCTTCTCATTTCATTCATGGTAGTTCTTTGTGTGGGTAATCTGGGTTTTACCGAGTTGCTAGTTGTCACATCTGCCAGTTTATCCTTGGATTTAGAATTAGAATTATTACGTCTCTCAGTGAGGTTTCTTCTGCTATTAGTTCTTCTTGGCTTCTTAGTGATTCTATTAGGCTTCCTTATCACTTTTTGTTTTTCCTTTGTCGGCACTGTGTTTTCATCATCTGTGACTACCTTTGGTGATTGATTTAATTCATCATCGAGAGCATCAGTTTGTGATTCTGCTTCAGTGGTGACGGTATTATCTTCAAGTGGCTTAACAGAACTTGATTCCTTCGCCTCCACAGGTTCCTGCTCAACAAATTCAGACTCTACTTTTGGGGTATTTTCATCAACTTCATCACCAGGCGCATCCATTTGGCTTTCTTTAATAGCTTGTTCTAACATACGTTGATATTGCTGTTCCTCTCTAGAAGAGCGACTTGCTCTCTTACTTAATGCATGCAAATCATTTTCTTCCGAAAATTCTTCCTCATTTTCATTAGTAATAGATTCTGTATTTTGTTCTGGTTCATTGAATTCCGGTTGTTCTTCCTCCTCTACGTCATCATTCTTTACTTCAGGTTGAGTCTCTTCTGGAACTAAATTTTCTTGAGGTTCAACTATTTCATGATCTGATTCTTGTTTTGGAGCTTCTTGAACAGGTAAATAATGTGATCTTTTACGGCCCTCTTCATCAGTATACAAATTATGTAACTCTGGTTTACATTGCTCACACCAGTATTCATCAGGAACGTCTTCAACAATGCCGACGCAAAATCCATGCTGCCATACTGAACATTGTTCACATTGGATATATAGACCTGATTCGTCAGCTGGTTCCTGTTCTCCACAGACACAACGAGTAATTTCTTCTTCCTCTTGATCTGACATTAATGAAAATATAAGTTTTTTGTGTTAGTTCTAAGATAATGTGAAACAACAACAACAGTAACAACTGGATTATAGTAGCTAAATAGTTCTCTTCAATAAAAATTGTCGAAATGTTCTGGGATATTATAGTAATATAAGATCAACACAGTGCAGAAATGGATACCGTTTATATATCTACTTCACTATTGTTTATTTTTTATATTCATTCAAGGGTGAAATTGTAAATATTTGTGAATATTTTCAAATATACAATTTTCAATAATTTAATCATTAACGGTGGAAAGTAAAATTCGGGAAGAAAAGAAAACATAATAAAAAAAAAACTATCATAGCAACCATGACATATATGGAAACAAGAATATCAGCTTATTGGAAATGTGGAAGAAACCCTATATATTGTCATTGTTGATAAACCTTCCTTGTTAAATGGCAATGTCAGTTGCATAATTAGAGAATGCGTAGCTGTTTGGTCGAATTCAACTAACAACAATGCTTATTATTATCCACAGTAGCAAATTCGAAGGAACACTCTGGTGAAAATTATAAAGTTTTACAATATTGATCAAACGGCAAACAATTGCCACTCCTAATAATGCTCTTTTCTCCCGTGATAAACATCCCGATACACAGACACACACACCCATATATATTTACGAATTACTTTATTATGTACGTATATCTTGTAACCTCATCTCTCTTTCTACCACCCAAACCCTTGAAACACTAATATGCATTCTTCTTTTCAATTCAGCCAGCGGTTCAACACTCTGACACGTTAGTAACACTACTCCAACTGTAGCTCATAAGCTAGGCAACTTCTTACAGTAAAGCAACGGTACCATTGATTCATTCAACCGTAAAATCAGCCATATATATTAGGGTTGAAAACTAGGTCTTCGTTTTAGCAATTTAGAGAGCGAAAAATTGAAAAAAAAAAATTCGAATTAATTTTGCTTACTGGAAAATAATTAACTAAACTGAAGTAACACAAAGGATTGTATCCATAGTTGTCCAAAAGGTAGGGTTAACAAAGGGCATATACAGAGAAAGACGGATATACACTTTTGTTAGGTTGACTAGCTTTTACTGCTGTTAAAGAACTTGTTAATATTCAAATAGTTTTGATACTGTTTTTTTAAAGTGTACTTTTTAAGAACCCCAAATAATATAACGACTAACCATGAGTAGTACATTAGCAGAATTTGACGAATTGAAATGGGATCACTCCGTAAAGAGACTAGATAAACCATCTTCATACTTATTACGCAAAGCTAGAAGAAACCCTAATGGTTTACAAGACTTACGTCAATCTTTGGTCTCTGCTACCATATATGTTGGTAATTTATCCTTCTATACAAGTGAAGAACAAATATATGAATTATTTAGTAAATGCGGGATGATTAAAAGAATTATTATGGGTTTAGATAGATTCAAGTTTACACCATGTGGGTTCTGTTTTATTATTTATAATGAACCCAAGGAAGCTTTAAATGCAGTTAAATACTTATCAGACACAAAATTAGATGATAAAAATATCACTATCGATTTAGATCCTGGTTTTGAAGATGGTAGACAATTTGGTCGTGGTAAGAATGGTGGTCAAGTGAGTGATGAATTGAAATTTGAATATGATGCAGCAAGAGGTGGATTTGCTATCCCATTAGCACAACGTATAGCGCCAAGATTCGGTCAACCAAAACACATGCCTCACAGAGGAGGACGTAGAAATAATAATCGTTTCCGTAGTCAGTTTGATAATTATCCAACCAATGAAGAAGCAATGAGTACTGGTAAATCTAGATACTCCGGTAGTAACAATACAGGTAATCCTAATGAACTTGCTAATGGAGAAGAAAATATACCTGAACAATCTGGTATGCAAGAAGATGAAGAAGAAGATAACTACGTTCCGCAATAGATGTAGTAATTTAAGCAAACAAACAAACAAAAAAGATAAAAAGAAAAGTCTTTTTAAGCCTTTATATATATATATATATATTTGCATATATGTTTATAGCTATTAAATTGTAATATATACTAATATGAAAACGTTGTAAAAACCGAAGAACACACTCCTTAATTTTAATAAAAGAGAAAATAATAATATCTTTTTTAAAAAAATAGAATATATAATTTTTAAAATATACATAATGAAGAATACACCTATAATGATATAGTATATTCTAAGGATATACATATAAAGAAAGAATTAGAACTTTATCAGAAAGTACAATAATATGCATCTATTCTGTAAGCAGTTCCCATAGAGACTCCACTATATCGTTGATAAAAATTATCTTTTATTAACGTATTCCAATACATAATTGGCGATTTTCCCTTTGTAATCTCTCGAAATTGACGAACGTACTTATGATAATAAGGTATGTCATCGTCTATGCTTTTTGTAGCTTTTCTTTTGTTTTTGTTTTTTGTTTGTCAGAAAGTATATTAAACTGACTGTGCTGATGGTGAACCTTCATTAGATGAAGACATTTTATTTTGTACTAAATTTTTATCAAAATGATCAGTAAAAACTTTTCTTCTTCTAACGTTAATAAACCAATTAGATAATTGAATCTTAGTTAAACCTGTTTGTTTTAAAAGTTCATTTTTTTCAGCAGGTGTTGGATATGGATTATTTAAATGATTTACTAACCAATGATTTAATATTTTAACAGTCTCTTTTGGTAAATTTGATCTTTTTCCTGTCATTCTATGGCTCTTCTTTTCTTTTTGATGCGATGTTGAAATTGAAGAATGACCTGATAAAGTAATTGGTGCTCCAATATTTGTTGAATGACGCATGTGTGGTGGTAATACCACAGAAATACTTTTTGGACTTGCTGCTCCATTCATATGAATAGAAGGGCCATCACTTCTTGGAATTTCATTATTATTTGAACCAACAATATTAGCAGTATATCTTTGTGATTGATAATGATTTTGATATGGAAGATGAGAATGTACAGATGCATATGAAGAAGGTATTATTGGTTGTCTAATATAATTGTAATAATTTGAATATTCTGAATAATTTAATGGAGAATTTGATGAAGATGAAGTATTGTTATTATTATAATTATTGTTATTGGAACCAAATAATGGTGATAATGATGGCATTTTCATTGTGGGTATATTATTAAATGATGGTTGTATATCATTAAGATGAATATTTTTCATTGGTGGAGTTTTATTTAATTCATCTATATCTAATGCATCAAATAAATTTTTAATTGGTGGTAGTTGAACCTTTGTTTGTTTTGTTTGAAAACTCATTGTGTGTGTGTGTGTCTTTGTATATATGTACGGAATATTAATAATATTTTATTCTTGGTTCGGTTAAGAATTAATATAATAAAATAATAAAATTGTAGTATCGAGAAATCGAAAAAATATATATGTAATAAGAAATGAGTAATGGATAGAATTTTTTTTTTTGATGAACATTTGATATACCTCAAGGTTTATATAAGTTTAAGTTTTTCAAGTTATACTTAAAGCTAAATGATCATTATTCATTTGCCTGTCATTAATAAATTACATCTAACTATTTTTTTTAAAAGAAATGCCCAAAGAAACCAACGATATTAGAAACTCCTCAAGTTAGAAAGTGTATTACTTTTAGATGTGTATATCTTCTAAGTATAAAGGAGGGGTGAGAAGTGAAGCCGAACAAGTACTACAGGAAAAAAAGAAAGGAAGAGAGATGCCTTCCTTATTTTCTCATCTCAGTTTCTTGCTTTTTTGGTTCGGTATTATCTAATATTTATTGACTACAGAAGATGAAGAAGGGAGACAAAGTTTAAGATAAATGTAAATATGTGATATCACTTAATTTGATTCTTTTCCACTTAAAAACTCCCTTACTCCTCATAAAATATGATGAGGTTCTATTTCTATGTTAAGTATGCATATCTGTATTAGTCTAACCTGTCTCCCTTTTTTGATACAATAAGCGAATTATCCATCAAAAAATGTCTGGCTTATTTTTTATTTTTTTGCATATCAATTTATCTTTCGTATCTTAGAGAAAGGCAGTAGTACTATAAAGAATACACACACACCTGTTAAGCGATGAATGTAGATGCCGTGTGTGTATTAAGCGTAACAAAGCTAGAGGGAGCAGGCATGAACTTAAGATAATAATTTGAGAATTTGATTATCCGGAATTTTAACAAAATTTATTATTAAGAAGAGAAAAACATCTACTATTTGATTAAGCTTTACAAAATTTATTTTTGGCATCATTCTTAGTAACAATTAAAAGAAATCACGCACACGATGTCACTTTTATTTTATCCACATAACATGAAGTAGAAACCAAAATAGACTGGATGAAACGTTTCTGACACAGACAACGGAGCTTTTTACTACGACAAATTGTTTGTCGTGCAGATAAATTAAACAGAAGGATTAGACAGGTAAATTAACAAAAAAAATGTATAACGATATCGTCATTTTAAAGTTTTTTCCAATTTTTGTTATTGTTCAGTGAGGGATTGGATGGTGATGGATGAGCTTGGACCAGCTGCACAGAATGTACTGCACAAGGCCCGGATGAAAGGGGAGGGATCGCTCCTGTGGTTACTAGGGGGCGTGGCAGTATCTTTTTTTCTTCTTCCATTTGATATTATCCAGGTTCATTTTCTCCCCACGGAATCGTAACAGAAAAAAAGACAAGTGAGCCAGCCCAGATAAAATTAAACATGTGCCACAACATTTTTTTAGGAATAGAAAATAAAAAGATCGACACTTTTAGTTTTTCTCCTACGCTTTAGGTGACGCGGAGAGAAGAAAGAAAAATTGTTCCCATGGCAAGTCTGTCAAAATGAAATAGAAGCACATGCGTACAGGCGTATTATCAACTTTTTGACATCAGAGAAAAGTATGTAATATCGGAGCATATAATAATATTTATTGTACGGCAAAATATCTTGGCCAAAAGGGCAGTAGAATTGTTTGTTATCGTTAATAAAATTCCACGGCTCGCCCGTCAAATCTGTTTATAGTACCCTTCTCCCTTTTTTTTGTTTTGTTTTTCGTTGAGAAAAGACTGGAGAGAGAAAACCCGGATCAGTCAAAAAAATTTAAAAGTCCATGGAAAAAGTCCAATATCATGTATTATTATTTTTTATAATATCGGGTGAGGAGAAAACGTGCCATATGTGTGTGACTAGTCATGCAATATTTTAACTTGGGGAAGATTGATTGTTTTTGGTGCCCTTCTTTTTCGGAGAGGAGCACAGCGAGAAATAGGCGTAGTATTGAATAATTTTATGCTTAATATTCAAGGTGATATCATTTCTATCGTTTTACTGTTGTCGTTGCTAATTATTATGTAATATATATATTATAATCCACAGAATAGACAGTACAGGAAATGGTTGATGCATAACCTTTTTGACAGCTTATTTAATTGTCATTGTCTAAAAGGACGTGGCGTTGCAAAACAAGCAAATAAAATATTGGAATACCAAGAAATTTATTATGGCACTGGAGCTGGTGGTCATCAATTTTTTATTTTAAAGTGGCAGGTACTTTCGGGTTTAGGAGAGGTTACTTGATTATCACTGTTTGACGATAATAGATGTGCAGATTTCCCAAGCTCTATTTGAGGGTTAAAGAGACTGAAACAGATAGCGATGAGGAGAACGGAGAAAAAATAGAGATACGACGGTTTAGATAATATGCATATTGTTCTATCTGCACACACATTAATATTAATATGCCTATAAAGAATGCACAATATTTGTTAGGCTAGAATGTTTATGTGATGTTGCATAACAAGTATTCTCAGAGATTTATCATTTTACTATGTGATTATATGTTCAATTGATTTGATCATGAAAGAATAATAATAGTACTAATTTACTTTTAATATTGTTTCGACCTAATTAACTACTGTAGCAAAAGTATAAAGATATTCTCGATGAAATTTTTTTTAGGGAAGATCATAAAATATGTAAGTTTGTGAATCCCAAATTTTTTTTTCTAATTTATCCTTTGAGTAAGAGAAAGAAGGGCTTTTCAACAATTTGCGGTTCGAGAAGTTCAAAATACAAAGCTCTGTGTCGTTAAATTATTTTGCACGACCAAAATTCTGTAAAATATTGATCATATCTCCATAAAATAAACAAACATAAGTATATATTTGTATATACAATATGTAAAATACAAATTATGACACTTCTACGGTAAATTTAATTCAAGCATAAATGAAGGACATTAATTTGCGCTTTGCCGGTTAACCCGCAGTTTTCTTGCTATTCCCTTTTTTTGAGAAACAAATGAAACCCGCGGGAAGGCGGCAATTTGACGACCTCGTGGGCTAGTTTGAATTCAATTTTGCACGGACCTGTCTGAGGAGGTGTTCGAAAATAGAAAAGAAAAAGTTCCGCGGCAGAAAGGCTGACATAACAACAACTGTAGCAACACACCGTTTGCCATTCTCCACGTTACTTATTGAGTATAATTATAGTTTTTTGTTCGTCGTTCTGCAGTCAATTTTATAATATTCTCTATGCATTTGTGTCACCGGGACAAGGGGTGTTGCTACCTTTTTCGATAACTACGTACGTAGTTATCATTCACTCTTTTTTCGCATATTTTGACTTCTTCTTCTTCTATCAAACTAAATATCTTATTATTTAATTTTTTTGGGTGCATGCATGATTAAATGATCCCTAATAGTGTCCCTTTTCGGAGATTAGTAGAAGGGTCGATTTTGTTGTTTGTTTTTGAGGATTTTTAAGTACCATAAGGAAAGAGATCCAGACATGATTTTTTTATCAAAAACTGCTTAAGGAGGAGATGGTTTGATATTAAGTTTTTCTCACAGGATAAAAAAGAATTAATTACATTGCAGATAGAGGCACCAGAGGTTAAGGATATTATGAAGTCTATTAGCAAATGTTTTAGGGAAATTAAATAAACGAAAAATAATAGCAAAATGTGCATATTATAGTATCCTCTCATCCTAAAATGATGAGTTGATCATATGGGGTGCAAATAGACAGATTGTATCGGTATATACTAAGTTGTTATTGTATTTAATAATTTACTTCTGTGATAGACTTTCTTTGCACTGATTTACGAAGGAAATTAGAAGGATAAGAAACTAGCAATTTAACGATGGGAAATGAAACTTGAAATTACATTTGTATTTCTACCTCTTTTCTCTTTATGATTGGTGGAATTTATAACTGCATAAAACAACATATTGAATTATTTCATAGATACTCCATATTTTTGTTTGCTTTATTTTGATACGGGTCATCTCTATAGTATTATCAAGAATGAAAAAGAGTATGAAATATAAACCGTAGTGTTTCTGTTTTTAGTTTTTTTCTACGTAAAATACTTAGTATAGTTTATTATTGCCGTTATACCGACACATTCTTCTCCCTAATTCGTTTTTGTGCCTGTTTGAAGATCTTTTTTTCACTTATGAAGTAATCGTTGCTTGTCCAAGGTTTCTTAGGTGCGCTCTTTTTTCTGTTTTGTTTTGTCTTGTCGAGGATTATATTATCCGAGGGAGTTCCGGAAAATTAAAAAAAGAAGGATGTATAGAAAAAGTTCGTGGAAAGTTTATTGTGGCGACACTATTGATGTAATATTAAAGTTTCAATATTAAACTTTTTTTTGCTTCTCATTCTTCTAGTTTGTATTTGTATGACCAAAAACAAACTAATGATCGACAGTTTTATATTTTAATTTTTATTTCCTGTACACAAGAAAATTGATTAGTGTTGTACGTAATTTATTTACATATTAAATAGGGCATCGCAACTGTCAGTTTCCTTTTTAATTGTTTCGAATGGAGTATTTTATTTTTCTATCTCCCCACAAACTTCTATCCGTATCTGTTTTGCCCTCACACGTTTGCTTTAGTTATCAAGTATTGGAATTTATTTCTTAGAAAGTATATATTATACACAACGGACATAATGGTAGTGGTTTTCTGATGCCAACCTTTTTATTTTATTTCTATTGGCTACTTTCTTTTGTATGTTAATTACATAGGTTTCATTATAGAAATGTTATACTATACTACCTTGAATAACTTTTAATATCATATCAGGTATAAAAAATCATTGTTTTTGTTTTTAATGTTATAATTCTAATATCCGTGCACACTCTTTATGATAAAGCGCTTGGTTTTTGTTTTCTTCACTCTTCATCGCCCATTTCTTTACGGCGTTCTTCACTTTCCACGGAACTTAGTGGAATACCACCACTAACACTGAATTGACCACCACAACCAACAAAGACGATTCTATGATCCTTAGTAGCTGTATTCTTAATTCTTGTTGGTATTTCAATATCTTCATCGTCAGGTCCTAACCCGACAGCATAAGTTTCACCAAAACCCCAACTATAAGCAATACCATTTTGTGAAATGGCAACACTATGATGGGAACCAGCTGAAATACCCTTAAATAATGGAACGTTTTCTAATTTAGTGAAAATTGGAACTGATCTTGCTTTACCATGTTCATCCTTGTATGTAGACTCTGGTAATTGATCACGAGCCATACCAATTTCACACATATCTAGACGTCCACAACTCAATAATGATCCATCTTCTAATAACATTAAACTATGATGTTCACCGGCACTAATGGCTCTAATCTTTTGAGAACCTTCACCGACACCAGAAGGTAGAATGACGCTAGTTGGCTTCGTGACAAGAGAACCATCTTCAACAGTAGTAGAAGTACCACATTGTCCAAATTGGTTTAAACCCCAACTGACTAACTTACCCTTATTGGTCAATGCAAAACAATGATTCTCACCACTTGCAATATATTTCACATGTCTTAGACCAAATGGTCTTGGATCCAAAGTCTTCAAACGGAATCTATCCATGATCTTACGACCCAATTGGTTTTGTTGACCATTACCCCAGGCGAAGACAACACCTTCTTCATCAAGGAAAAGAATATGATCCTTACCACTAGCCATTTGAACAATATTGTACTTGGAGAAACTTGGAACATTCCATGGTGTATTTTGAATTTTAATTTGATCTTGGTAAAAACCTAAAATACCTTCGTTACAACGGAATGTACCCCATGCGAAAACGTCACCATTATCCAACAAAGCACAACTTAAATTATCCAAAGCAGCTAATTGAACGATCTTGGCACCTTCAGGGAACACACTCATGTCAATCTTAGTTGGTGTAGACTCCAATTCATTCAAATCTCCATCGTCATCATCACTAGAATCTTCACCATCCATATCCTTCAATTTCTCCTTAGCACCACTAGTGTCTCTTCCAAGTGCACCAACATCATTACAACCCCAGGACCAGATAGTGTTATTTGCATCTAAAGCAATGGTATGCATACCACCTACAGCAAAAGAAACGATCTTAATGTCATTTCTAGGTAAAAAGGGGTTCAATCTTGGTCTCTTAACTTCTTTGTTCTTAGCTAATGGACCTAATCCTAATTCGCACATGGAGCCTGTACCCCAACAAAAAATGTCAAGAGGTTCTGCACTAATATATCTGGCAGAATAATCCTTTTGTTCATTGATAATATGAGCAGCATGAGTCTTGGAAACCTTCTTGGTTGCACTCTCGGCACTTATATGTGATCTTTTACTCATTATGGAATATCAAATTTTAATACGGCTTTCTATGTATACTTTATATCTAAATTGAAATAGAAACAAAAGAAACTTCGAAGTTACAAATGTAGATAAGTATATATTTATATAAAAATGGATATACTTAGTATGCATCAAACTCTTGTGTAAAGTACTGATCGTTTATATTACTAAAGTGGATCACGATGCCTTTACTTTCTTCGAAATAACGAATTGAAGATTCGGTTATTTTTTTCGCTTGACCAAAAATTTTCACCTCCTGCAAAAAATAAATACCCGTAGAAAAACCCAAACAAATATCAAACCATACAAACCTCCTTTTCATCTTGTTTAATAATGACTATGACGGTATATCTTACCGTTTCTTTTATAATGCTGGGAACAGTTTGATGATTATGAATGTCAGGATTAGACCTACAAACATAAATAGAAAAACGGTTATGTAGAACATGTAACCTAGTTTCTTCTTGTCGTATTTGGTCAACTTGCCCGTAACATCCAGGAGACCTCTCGATGCAACTTGAATCCCGATCTCAGCGGCACCAAGAACTTTCTTATCTTCATCCAGTGCATTTTGGAAGGCTACAGCACCTTCTTTCAAGTTATGAACCAATTTACTCATATTATCCACCAGTTCATTCTGCATGTTGTCTTGATCCTCTATCTGTTTATCTACCGATTTGACTATTCCATTTTCATCCAGATCCATCCTACTCTGTCTATTACCCAATAGTCTCTCTCTCAAAGCTTGTACGTTATCATCATTATGGTCATTGCCGGTACTCCTAATTGACTGAGATGTCTCAGTATTTATCATTTCTAAACCAGTTTGTGCATTGTCAAAATCTATACTATAACGTCTAGTTCTTAGTTTCATCTCTTTCTCTTTATACTCTTTACGTAATGTGTTCAGAGAGTCATATTGCGCTCTTTCTGTATCAAATTCCAAATGTCCATATTTTTGTTGATATGATGTTACTTTATCTGTGTTTACAATATCATCGACATTCAATACTCTTTCCCTTACTTTTGATAGATTCACAGCTGCCTTTGTAGAAAGTAAATATGTTAAAAATGGAGTCTCAACCTGTGTCTCATTCATGCTTATTAGTTAGTATTGGATATATATTAGTATTGGTACAATAATCCTTATTTCTTCAAGCAGCTTTTAACCAAATTCAAATAAGTTATGTACCTAATCAATCAACGGTGTTCTTCATGTGTTACTACAATATTACATTACATATTGCTGGTTTTCGTTGTCTCAATTCTACGTTTATTCTCAACGCGTCGTAGTAGAGCCCTTCATAACAAATAACCGTGCCCAATGGAGTGAGAAGGCGACTGAAAAATTTTGTCTGTCTTTAAACTGCTACAATTAAATATTAAACATCAAAATAATCACAGATGGAACTAAGCAAGTTAAGGTATGCAAATAAGATTACATACATCACAAGTAGTTTTGTGACATAGGGTCACTGAGTCATTTCAATGTCCATTTGGGCACGTAGTTATCTTGTGACGGAAAGACCAAATGGTTTATTTTTGATTATTAAATGCTTCAATCGTGTCACAACAATCGTTCACAGATTGAACTAACCAACTATCTGTCATCTACAGAATAACACGATATTTGACTATGTAATATCCTTACCAATAAATTATTATATATTTCTTGTCCACTATATGATTTCCTTGTGTATAAAAAAAAAGTGGCAACTTGTCTACGCACATCGTGAAACACCACTTGGCGGTACGATCAAGTGGAAGAAACGCCAAACCAAATAAATCAAGCAACGAACTTCTTAAAATTTTGAAAACCTTTAAGAAAATATACAAATAATTTTTTTTGTTAGACTTTTTACTCGAGTTCACCGAAGACAGAAATAGAAGAACTAACGTGGTTATCAGTTATCATTAACTATTCTGATATTCGTATTATTTATTGATATTCTTTTCGCAAAAGTTCATAATTTTCATTAGTGATTATCTAGAAAGATTCGATCGGAATTGCTAAAGTTCATAAACAATATCGCTACAAATGACTGAACCAACTGTTGATTATTCTGAAAGGTTAAAACCTTACAGTGACAATGTTTCTCCGTCGTCCATAGAGGAACGTAAATTGAATTATTTAGTGAATAATTTAAATGAGAGTCAAAAGAAAGAATTGAAACAGAAGGATCTGAACAATACTGAGAAGAGACTAAAAGAATTATTGTCCATTAGTCCTTTATTTAGACATTTTATAGAAAACAAAGCTAATGAGGATGCCACTTTTAAATCTATCTTAGATGATTTGGATAAAAAGAATGATGCAGTAACTACCCAGAGGAAGAGAAAGACTGAAAGAGAAGAAGATGCTGAATTGTTAAAGGAAGAAGAGGATGAAGAAAATGATGAAGATAATATTGAATTTGAATTCAGAGATTCTCCAGGTTATATCAATGGTCAGCTGAGACCATATCAAATTCAAGGTCTAAATTGGTTGATTTCCTTACATAACAATGGCCTTTCTGGTATTTTAGCAGATGAAATGGGTCTTGGTAAGACTTTACAAACTATATCCTTCCTAGGCTACTTACGTTATATCAAAAATATTTCCGGTCCATTCTTAGTTATTGCACCAAAATCCACCTTAAACAATTGGTTAAGAGAAATTAATAAATGGACTCCAGAGGTTAACGCTCTTATTTTACAAGGTGACAAGGAAGAAAGAGCTAATTTGATTAAAAATAAAATAATGCAATGTGATTTCGATATAGTTATTGCATCTTATGAAATTATTATCAGAGAAAAGGCTACATTCAGAAAATTTGGCTGGGAATATCTTGTAATCGACGAAGCTCATAGAATAAAAAATGAAGAATCAATGTTATCACAAGTTCTTAGAGAATTCAGATCAAGAAATAGACTATTAATTACAGGTACACCTCTACAAAATAATCTACATGAATTATGGGCTTTGTTGAATTTCTTATTACCTGATATATTTTCTAGTTCTCAAGATTTTGATAGTTGGTTTTCGTCTGAATCAACAAATGATGATAATCAAGATCAAATTGTTAAACAATTACATACCGTTCTGAAACCATTTTTATTGCGTCGTATAAAAAATGATGTTGAAACTTCACTATTACCAAAACAAGAATTGAACGTTTACGTCGGTATGTCTTCTATGCAAAAGAAATGGTATAGACAAATTCTTGAAAAAGATATAGATGCTGTGAATGGTACTAATGCCACTGAATCCAAGACAAGATTGTTGAATATTGTCATGCAATTGAGGAAATGTTGTAACCATCCATATCTATTTGATGGTGCAGAACCAGGCCCTCCTTACACAACTGATGAACATTTGGTTTATAACTCTGCGAAGTTAAAAGTCTTGGATAGACTGTTGAAAAAATTAAAATCGCAAGGTTCTAGAGTCTTAATCTTTAGTCAAATGTCCCGTTTATTGGATATTTTAGAAGATTATTGCTTCTTCAGAGATTACAAGTATTGTAGAATAGATGGTTCAACTGATCATGAAGATAGAATTAAGGCTATTGATGATTATAATGCCCCCGATTCTGATAAATTTCTTTTCTTACTAACTACCCGTGCTGGTGGTTTAGGTATCAATCTGACATCTGCCGATACCGTTGTCTTGTTCGACTCTGATTGGAATCCACAAGCAGATTTGCAAGCAATGGATAGAGCTCATCGTATTGGCCAAAAAAAGCAAGTTAGAGTATTTAGATTCGTCACTAACAACTCTGTAGAAGAGAAAATCATCGAAAGAGCAACCCAAAAACTAAGGTTAGATAAATTAGTCATCCAACAAAATAGAACAGTTTCTAGTAAGAAGAAAGAAAATAAAAATGATTCTAAGGATGCTTTGTTATCTATGATTCAGCATGGTGCTGCTGATGTCTTTACCAGTAATAGCAATACTCCAAGTGTGAGTGGAACACCAGAACCAAATTTAACTTCAAATGGAACTGCAACCGCGGGAAACGTGGATCCTGATCCAGAAGTTGATTTAGATGCAATTCTATCATTATCTGAAAACAAAACTCAATCTTTGAACAAAAAATATGATTCTCTTGGTCTAGATGATTTACAAAAGGTCAACCAAGAATCTGCATATGAATGGGATGGCCAGAATTTCAAAAAACAAAATGTAGAGAAACAAGTCATCGATCCGCTATGGCTAATTACCAACACATCCAGAAAGCGTGAACGTAAAGAAAATTACTCTGTAGATAATTACTATAAGGATATTCTTTATACAAAGAAGGCTCCAACTCCATTACAACCAAGAATGCCTAAACCTCATGTATTTAGTTCTCATCAAATGCAACGTCAAGAATTGAAAAATTTATATGAAAGGGAAAGAATGTACATTGCCAAAAAGACAAAATATGTTCCAACTCTTGATGATGTTAAGGCAACTTATGGTGAAGACTTACCAATAGAGGAACAAAAACTAAAACTTAAAGAATTAAAGAAAACAATAGCCGATGCTGAGCCACTAACCGAAGAAGAGGAAACACAAAAGATAGAATGGGAGAAAGAAGGTTTTAGTAATTGGAATAAGATTGATTTTAGAAAATTCATATCTTTGTCTGGTAAATATGGAAGAAATTCTATACAGGCCATTGCTATGGAAATGGAAGGTAATAAAACTCTAGAAGAAGTACGAGCATACGCCAAAGCATTTTGGGCAAATTATAAGACGATTGAGGGTTATGAAAAATTAATAAAGAACATCGAAGAAGATGAAGCAAAGTTGAGACATTTAAAGTATCAAGAAAAATTACTTACACGTAAACTGGCTGAATGCACACACCCATTTTTTGATTTTAAATTAAAATACCCACCTTCCACTAATAATAAGAGAGTCTTCTCCGAGGAAGAAGATAGATTCTTATTAATAACACTGGCAAAATACGGACTGCAAAGAAATGATATATATGAAGTTATTAGAGATGAAATTCGTGATTGCCCAATGTTTGAATTCAACTTCTTCTTTTCAAGTAGGACACCATTGGAGATTAGTAGAAGAATATATACTCTTTTACAATGTTTAGAAAAGGAAGCCAATCAACCTTCCAAGGACGAAAAGAACGTTGATGGTAAGAAAAAGAACGATAAGGTTTCGAAAACAAAGGTATCTGACACTAAAGAAATCTCATCAGCTGAATCTAAGGAAGTCAAAGCAGAAAATATAAAAAATGATGTCAATGAAAAGAAGAGATCAAGGGAAAATAGTGTCGACATAACTGTAAAGGATGAATCTGCGAAGGATGAGTCTGATTTAAAGAAGCCAAAAATTGAGACCTAATCATGTACATTATATATAAACTGTAGATAAGTTTACTAAATCTTTTACTAAGAGAAATATTTATAAAACTAAAGCAATGCTATCTAAAAGGCGTACATGCTTAATTGATTATAAATGGATAAACATTAACTACGAAGTCTTTTCTGCCTGATTACTCAAATATATGTTACAATTACATCTTCTATACATACAACTATTTTATTGTTGAGCATTGATTACTGACATACACTTGAATTCATTAGAATATGTGGATTTCCATAAACGAACTTTTCCATCTTCACCTGCACTACTCAATATTGTGCCTGTTAAATTCCAAGAAACTGACCATACCTCTGATTTGTGATCATCGTGCTCACTTAATAGTTCGATCTCAAGTGAAGGCTCTAAACTTTCTTTATCTTGCGCAAAGTCATCCAACATATTATTGCTGGATTCGGATGCAGATTCTCCATTTGCTAAGCGTTCAGTCAATTTGTAAATACGAACTTTCCCATCTTTACAGCCAGTAGCAATTAATTGATACCATCTACCAATGGATGGTGCCCAACTTATACTTCTCACTAGGCCCTTGTGTCCTAATAATTTTCCTATAATTTGAAATTTATTGTCCTTACCTCTTTGGTATATAAGAGCTTGATCTAGGACACAGACTGCCAATTTTTCAGTAGAAAATCTGGAAGGACACCAAGATAAACAAAAATCGGATTGCAAGTTATTTGCTGGTGGGGTTTGTAAAGTTTTAATCTCTGTAGTCAAAGTCCATGATCTTAAATCTGATGGTTCCAGAGCATCATATATTCTTAAAATGCCATCGTTACCTATGCATGCCAATCTCAAACCTAAATGAGAAGGAGCAAACTTGACACTATAAAGAGAACCATTAGAATCATTTAATGTACATAGTTTATTCCAACGGCGACCTGAATTTTCTTCTTGATCAGGATTCTCTTCCCATATTTTTACTGTCTTATCATATGAGGCAGAAGCAATAATACGACCGTACTCTGGACTTGCCCAATCGATAGAGACAATACTACTGTTGTGGGCCTTCCATGAGTCACTTAATTCCCATTTTGTAGTTTCTTTATCCAGTTTAAAGACTTTGATGTGTTGATCAGAAGAGCAGGTTGCAACGAATCTCCCGTAAAAATCGTATGCAACATCGTGAATTAAATCTTCGTGTCCACTGTCAAAGGGTCTCATTCTAAAAGAAAAGCGATGTTGTAGTATTGATAAATTGCTTAAATTATTAGTAACCTAATATTCAATTATGAGTTATGGTAATTTGACCCTTTATTGTATATATGTTAAGTAGGTTTCCTATGTTTCTTCCTCTTCTTTTTTTTAAATGTGAAACTTCTCTGTGTTTTGTTATTTTTCTTTTTTCACTTGCTTCTGCAATAATACTGAACTAAATAAGTGATAATACTAAGAAATGAATAGAAAGTTAAAATGAGAGCATGATAATAAACTAAGTGTTACAAATAAGAGCTATGTGAATATCATATATGCATATATTTACTTATAGATAATAATGTATTTTTTTTTTTGTTTGTTTTGGGGTTGTTCATTCCTTCAAACTGTCAAAGTATTGACTTCTCTCTTGCATTAAGTCTGTTGCCCATTCAGAAACCTCATCGGTAGTAATTTCATTAAGACAACCATAAAATTGTGATAAATCTTTTTTACCTTCGTACATCCTTTCATATTCAAAGCATTGTACCAACATTTCAAATTTATCGAGATCTTTTACATATTTAGCTTCAATTGTAGTTTGGTCTTCATATTCATGCCACGCAGCCAATATATCATCTGCAGCGATTGGATTATATGGTTTAACTAGTTCGTTACACAGATATTCTATTGTAGATAATTCTCGTAAATGTTTTTCATGTTTATCTATCTTTACATCAAATGGTGTAATATCTCCTACTATAGATTCAGCCATATCATGAGCTAATGAAATTTTCATACAACGTGCAGAATCTATCTCATTACTTCTTAGAATCCATGACATTATACTCATTCTATACATATGATCAGAAATCGATTCAGGGTTTTCAATCCCATTATTAATCCATCCTGTACGTCTTTGTAATTTCAGTTTATGTAAGATATCGAATAATGCTAAAGTATAATTAGGAGTTTTCCTATCAATAAGATCCTTGATATCTTGATGGACATGTTCCTCGGGGTTCCAAGTAGTCATAATGTATTGTAGATATAAATCTATATATGTTTAAAAGTGGCGCTGGTAAAGCTTTGATGATTTGTCGAGTGTGTATAACAAATTATTTTTTGTAATTATTAATTTCATTTTTCTTTATGTATATATATATATACATCACATTTCGTTATAAGAAGCGTTAATTAACTAAAAAACGAATAAATTAAATTCTCTCAAATAATTAACAAATAAATTAAGAAAAGTAAGGTAGATAAAAGATGGAGTGGTTAATATAGTTCCTTCTTATCTTGATTGTACATATTGTTTTTCTCTATTTAAGACCGAAAGGTACTAAAACATATGCTGTAAAATAATGGTATCTTTTTTTTAAATGTTACTTTTATATTTTATATTATATTATATTATTTATTAACTTATTGTCTTAATATATCTTCCATGAATTTTCTGTAATCGATTCCACCATCTGAATCAATCTCTACACCTTTCAATAATTCATCGACTTCTTCATCAGGTAATTTATCACCTAATCCAGTCAACATATATCTAATATCACCAACAGTGACCTTCCCAGTATTTTCTTTATCGAATACTTGAAATGCTTTAATAAAATCTTCAACTTTACCATTAGTAGTATCATCTAACATTTGTTGATTAGATTCAATTAATGACATGATATCTTCTAGAGTTAAAGCATCTTGAGAACTACCACTGAGTATCTCTTCTACTTGTGAATTTGTAGGGTTGTAACCAATAGCTCTCAAATAGTCACCGAATTGAGGCTTTGTAATCGAACCTTGACCTTTCTTGTCAAACAAAGTGAAAACGTCCTTGTTATTCTTAGCAATCGAGGACATGATGGAGGTACTATACTGTATGATTGTCAAAAATGAATTAAATGGATATAAACAAAAGACACAGCCTAATCACGTAATATATGCTAGATTCACCCTTTATAACAAGTAACTTAACTTATAGAATGGTCAACAACAATTGATTGTTATAGATCAATATGTTCTATAATTGAATGTAAACAAAGAAATGATTTCTTGAAGCGTGGCGTCCCTATCCTCGGTCTCGTCTTTAGTGATATAAATAACATATCTCACGTGACTTTATCATAAAATACGACATACTATTCCACTTAAAAATACAATTTAAAGATATAAAGGTCTATTACTTAATTACAAATCCATATCTTTTAATAACTTGTAATACCAACAAACTTACAACACCCATCCATATAAAAAGCGTCTCATTCCACACTCTCTATCCTGTACATCTATAGTAATTCACCGGGTAATAGTCTCTATTTTACTAGAATTTCACTGGCTGAAAGTTTCCCGCTAAAAAGAGTTATAGATCCGAAATTTGCAGGAATCGAAAAAAATATTGAAGGAAGTTCCCACACTTAAAGCACAGCTTCTCGAGTATATTTTTTTATGGTAACACATTAAAGGGTTTTTAATATAAAAAGCAACAACTAAAAACTGGATAAAAGATATACAGTTTGGTAGAGGTCGAACTGGCTTGTTTGTTCTTTTTGGGTTCTATAGTATTTATTATAAAGGGAATAGGCTATAGCAGAAGATACCTTCGTTATAAGCTGGATAATTTAAAAGAAAAAGTTAAGAATGTTTTTAAGAATCGGTAGAAATTCATCTCAGTTGGGGTACAATTCGAAACAATCGTTGAAGTTTCTGAGTTCTGCTTCAAAGGGGTTTGTTACTGATACTAATGATACTAATGAAAAATTACAATCGAATTTCACTTACAAAAGGTTCAATTCAACTATCTCTACGACAGATGGTGTTAGAACTAAGCCTATCGCTAAACGTGATGATTTAGATAAATTGAATTCTTTCCAAGGTAATAATGGTAATAATAGACGATTATATAATAAAAGGAATGGTAATAATAATAAAAGTAATAGACGTAATTCAATGAGTAAACCAAATGAAATAGACAGTTCATCTCCATGGTATAATCAAATTTGTGCATTTGATGATTATGTTATGCAATCATTATCATTCTCTAGAGACGTACCAAGACAAAATAAACATAATGGTACGGGGAGTGAATCTTTAATGTTTTGGGATTCTTTAGCTAGAGCAATGTCGTTATATAATGAATTGTTAGATTGTCCACATCTAAATGCTTATAGAGTCTGTACATTGATTAATCTTTTGCATAATGGTCTAAGAATTAATAGAGGCCAACTCATGAGATTGAATAAGAAACCTGATTTTGATTCAAAATCATTTAATATCGAAATCTCTAAAAATATTACACTTTATTTAAGAGAAATTGCTAATAATATTTTAGATGGTAAAGTTGCATGTAATGAATATGGTGCTATGCATTTATTAACATCTTTTAAAGAATTGAATAAGATTGATGAAGCTGTAAACACTTGGAAGCAAGCAATGAAGAAACCGGAATTAGTTGATTTTTTCATTCATCCAAAAGTTGTTGGAGTAATGTTACCTATACTTTTTGAAACACAGACATTTACATTCGAACAATGTAAACAACTTTATGAATCAAGTAGACAAAGAATTGATTTTCAACATCCAAATTTAAGTTCAGGTTTTATTGTAACATGTTTATTGGCAAAAGAAAATCTATTAGCATTAGAGACATATTCTAAATTCTGTGATAATTGTAGAACTGATCATTTCAATTATTTAGCAGAAGCTCATTTAGCATTTATTGGTCAATGTAAAGATATCGACATTGCTTATTCTTTCTTCGAAAGAGCCATCAATTCAGATATGCCATACAGAGTTAATCTAAACGTTTCACAAGTCAATAGTCTATTAAATAATACATGGATAGAACTTGAAGATTTTGAAAGAGTTAATAAGACTTGGTTAACGGCGTTAAAATTTTACAAAACTAATGTCGCTTATAAGAATCGTAAGATTACAGGTATATTATCATCTTTGAATAATATTTACTTCGAAATATTTTTCCAAAAATATCAAAGCGACGCACTTGAAGGTTTTAAAGAATTACAAAAGTCTCTTAATGCATATATGGAGATTAATGGTACTTTAGATGAACCTCTATTAAATATTATCCTTACAAAATCTGCAATTTGGCAAAATCTTGATATTATTAATTCCTTACTGAAAAATTTTGAATTACACAATTTACCACAAACAATAATCACTAAAAGAATTATTTTGAAATGTTTAGGTTCAATTGATAGTATTACCCCAATCGATATTATTAAAAGATGGAATGATATGATAATAAAGGGAGACCAAATGGGTCAAACATATATTGCAAATGCCGATTGGGCTGCTCTAAGAGATGCCACTTTAGGATGGGCCCAAAGACATATGGATACCCCCGAAGGAAAAAGTAGAACTGAGCTTTATTTCAAACTTGTAAAACTTTACAAGATATATTGTCGTGATAATGGCCAATCGAAGAGAATAACAGCGGGAGCTGGTATCAATTTATCTGTTGCCCAAAAGTTCCAAGAAGAAAATAATATTAATACAATAAGCACAGATGATATCGAAATCCTGAAGGATTTGCACAGTTTAGAAATTAATGATTCTTTAGCTTGAAAATAAATTAATAAATTATACGATTACAAGGAAGGGACATAGAAAATTATTATTCATAACTCATGTAAATATATATAGATATAGATATATCAATAATAATATATAATAGAACTTTTAAAAATTTATTGTTTTTCTGTTACATTATATAGTAGAATTATTTGAAAATGTCTGGTATGTGTCGTTTTTAAATATTATTATAGAGTCTTAGTCTTTTTTTTCCGCCTTCGTACTGCAATGTAAAAATTAGGAGATGAATGGTTGAACATCACAATAAAACCTGTCTAGCTTTTTCATCAATACAACTTTGATTGCAATTTCATTCAATTACAATCTGGGAATGATATCACATCCTTAAGGATTGTAGAGGGTAGATAATCATCTCAAATTTACTTTTGTTATCTATATAAAACATTACAGAGAATTGATTCGAAATGGGTTTATGTGCTAGTAAAAGTGAAACTGTGTCTTCTGCTACTAATGCAACAACGAATAAGCCCCAAACTTCCCAAAGAACTAAGAAAACTAATACCAAGTCAAATGGTAACAAGACACCTGCAAAGCCAAAAACACAGACGACTGGCAAGTTAGGTACTAAATTATCAGATGAAAATGGAACTGAAAGTCAGAATGTATCACCTGCTGAAGCAGCTAGACTGGCTGCTGAAAAAAGACAGAAGGACCAGAATGATTCCTTGACACAAGGAGAGTTGGGGAAAAAATTAGCAAAAGAGAGAGCCAAAACTTACAGCTCCTACAGAAAGGAGGAATAGGCTTGGTTGATTTTTCTTCCACAAAAGTATTACTTTAATTACCTTAAATACTGCTGATAGATTTAGGGAAGGGAAAAGCTGTATGTGTGTAAATCAAAAATGTATCTCACACAATTTTACAGTGAATTTTGATGACCTTAAAAAAATAATGTATTGTATTGGGGCTTAAAGATCATTTAGAGAAACTCCATGAAATGTGGTTCCCTTTATCTAGATTTTTTTCTATTTGTAAATTAAACCCAGTTAAATTGGCACATTTTATTAAATACATCTTCGACATATTTGGAATATACTTTTGATATCTGTCATCGTCGGTTGCTTGACTCATTGTGGCGATTTTAAGATACGTACCCACTTGAGTAAGGTACCAACTGAACAATGGCTAGACATTCTTAAAAACAATTAAATATCTGAGCAAAATATAAATCTTCAATATATAATAGCAAATACATCTATATCGTCTAGTATATATTGCCTTATTACATCTGTAATTTTACCATTAAATCATTCAGTTGGAATATTGTAAAATCAATGTAGCCGGTCAAACAAATTATAGAGCGGTTTCTTTAATAGTGAAAATTATGTGGTGAAAAATAAAAGCAATACCAAACCATAACTATTAAAGAGCATTTGTTTTAGACTCTAGATAATTTTATAAGGTACATCCTAATAATTACATATATCATTATCGATATACATTCAACTATTGCATAATGGCTCCAAAAGTTCTAGAGGTTGAAGGAAAAATTGAACATTTAACGCTCCCAATTGTAACTTTCCCACCTTTCAAATTAAGAGCTCAATTGATAGAGAAAGATCCTGTGGTATGGTTACATCTTTTAGATACATACATACAATACTTCCAATTTTTGAATGTTGAGGAGAATCTTTCCAAATTAGATGATTCTACACTTGATCACTTATGCATGTTTATGAGAAGCTATATAAACGAAATGGGAAATGAGGAAGGAAAATTATTAAGTTTAGGTATAAACCATGACGTTCAAGAAAATTTAACTATATTAAGAGCATGGGTTCTCACAACACTGAAATCATGTGGTTTATTTTATTTACAAATATTTGGAGAGACTTTATGGAATTTTGTGATTCTTTATGTAGAGAAAAATCCTGTTACCGTAAGATCGTTGATTGATGGGTCTGCTAAACCTAAGATAACAAATATCCCAAGAGTTCAAGTAAACAGGATAAGTCAAATTCAGCAGCATATAAAATCAATGGTAGAGCAAAATAAATTTACTAGAATTGACCTTAAATCATTTCAATCTTTAGTTGAGGATAAAGATTTCGCAGACAAATTCTTTACCATAAATTGGATTGAATATTTAGAAAGTTGGTGGGACAAAGGGAATAATAAATTTTCGAATATTGCAAGACAATTAATGATTACGTGTTTACTTCAAGTACGGAGGAAAACTGTCGTGGAGATCACTAAATCCCTTGGAATTAGTTCATTGGATACTTTGTCCATATACCCACTTCTCGGTTCAGTTATGATCAGTGAAAGATTCAATACACTGAGACCAGATATAAAACAAGAAATGTCATACTTGAATTTGGCTAATTCTATTGAAAAAGTGACTGATAAATACGATATGGAGGATGCTGGACCAACTGAATCAACTGAGGTGGAAGTATCTCAAGAAGATGTATCCGCACTAGCCGATTTTTTCCCAGGATATTCTACATATCAGTTAAGTGAGTTACTGAGACGGTATGATGGAAATGTTCAGTTAATCACCAATTTATTATTTGAAGATCCATCAATTATAGAATCAATTCCAAAAGAGAAACCTATATTTGAAAATTCAGAAGCTATGGTGAGTAAGATATCTCCCCCACCATTGGAGGAATTAGAATTACACACAAATAGTTTGAGAGATTCTGAAATGAAATTATCAGATTTAACAAAGAAGCACGTTCCTGACGAAATTAAAAACAAGACGTTGACTAGGGCTTTGCAACTATTATATGATGAAGACGAAGATGAGAGGGATGACACATACGATGAGGCAGAAACCGATCGTTCTAAGGTATTTGGTAAAATCTCCATCGGAAATGATGTTGATGACAGCAATGATACAGCTGAAGCCGTTATAAATGAACAAGTAGCAAAGTACGACCAGATTGAAGGTTATCTATGGCAATTATTGAAAGAGGATGCAACACTTTTTGAAAGAAACAAGAGAGGTAGTAAAATGAGAAAAAATATTAAGCAAGAAACTACGTGGTCTGATGAACAAATAGAAGGGTGGGCAAGAATGTTGCAGAAATCCCCACAAAGAGCCAGAATTTTGGAAGATAAGTACATGTTCAGAGGTAATGTCAAATCTGGGAAGAGATCGTACGTCAAAAACCGTGATGGTGAGAATGATGTGGACAACAAAAGGAGAAATGAAAGGTATGTAAGAAAGCCTAAACAAAACTCCAGTAACGATGGGAACGCCAAGGAGGAGACTCCGAAGAATAGTGTCAATCAAAAACGCAAGAACGCCAGAAATGAAAAGAACAAATCATCCAGAGCGAATCATAATCGTAAAGCTGGACATGATAAAAAGGCCTCTAGAGCAATGCCTTGATAAGAATACTGAAAAATGCATACCTTCATTCTACTCTCTCTCTCTCTCTTCCATGGATTATTTTCAATATTCGCAGTATTGGTAAACGAATCTATTTTACATCATTAAGTAGTATATTTATTTATTATGTATTTAATGTATTTGCATATGTCATTCTCATCAATTAAATGACCTTTTAGGCGGCAGTATTTTTTTGTAGAACGAATAAGGAATGCACAGTGGGTACGCGCATGCAGTCAAAATTATTGTCTGGCTCGTTTAAGAAGTCACTTGAAATATAAACTTGATCCTATATATATATAGATAGAAGTCGAGCTTAAATTGATGTGTTACTATTATAAGTTCACTAGCAGTAGAGCAAGAATCAGTTTAATATTTACTAAATTTAGACTAGGGTGTCTATTCATTTACAATACAACGTATCAAAAATACTAAACGTGTGAGGATATGTATATTCGTGTAGTAATGCTATTGGCATTCACTGCATTTTGTGCAGAGGCACAACAATGTGCGATGTATGGTAGTTGTGGTAAGAAGAGTATGTTTGGTGGTGAATTGCCATGTCCTGTTACAGATTCACAATTCACTGCCCCTGTTATTTCAGATGACATACGGCAGATACTGGTCAATCTCTGTGGTGATGAATGGAAGAGCATCGACAACGTTTGTTGCACGAAAGATCAAGTTATTAGCCTTCGTGACAATTTGGAAAAGGCATCACCACTAATACAATCCTGTCCAGCATGTGTCCAAAATTTTAACAACCTGTTTTGCAAATTTACCTGCTCGCCTGAACAAGGTTCCTTTGTTAACGTCACAGATACAGCAATATCACAGAGCAATAAAGTAGTAGTGAATGAACTAAGTGTATTTATGGACGATTTATGGGCTTCATCATTTTATGACTCTTGTAAGAATGTTAAATTTTCTGCTACAAATGGTTATGCAATGGATCTATTGGGAGGTGGTGCCAAGAACTATTCTCAATTTTTGAAATTTCTTGGTGATGCAAAACCCTTACTTGGTGGTTCTCCATTCCAAATTAATTATAAATATGAAACCACTGATGACTTTATGAATTTTAATGATACCGTATATTCTTGTAACGATCCAGAATATAAATGTGCATGTCCAGATTGTGAAGAAACATGTCCAATTTTAGAGCCTTTAAAATCTAATGTCTGCCAAATAGGAGGAGTTTCTTGTTATAATATTGGAATTGGAACCTTTTTAGTAATATTATTTATTGTTTCGTTATTGTTGAGTGGTGCATATACGATTGGTAACGATGGGATTAAAATTTCACACCCAGGAGATGATCCTATCGATAATGAAGCTGATTTTGATAGCAGAGTAACAGAAGTTGGAAATAACCAGAATTCTGAATCTACTCCTATTAACACTAACAGTTTAAATGATAAAATTGCCGCTTGTGGAGAAAATATTTCAAAAATTGCAATTTTAAATCCACGAACTGTAATATCGACTGCAATTTTGGCCGTAATTTCGTGTTTTATATTACTAATTTTGTTTGGTAAATTGGAGACAAACCCAATCAAACTTTGGGTAAGTGAAAGTTCACCTCAATATCAAGAAAAAGTATATTTCGATGAAAATTTTGGGCCATTCTATAGAACAGAGCAAATTTTTGTTGTCAACGAAACAGGCCCCGTACTTTCTTATGATACTTTGAAATGGTGGTTTCAAATTGAAAACAATATCACCCAGACATTCCCTTCTTCTGACAATGTTACAACTTATCAAGATTTATGTTTTAGAGCAACAGATGACTCACCATGTGTCATTGAATCATTCACGCAATATTTTCAGGGACGACTTCCGGAGGAAGCCTCTTGGAAGAGGGCATTAAAAACATGCACTGATTCTCCAGTGAACTGTTTACCTACATTCCAACAACCTTTAAGAACCAATTTACTATTTAGTGAACCTGAGGATGTGTTTAATTCAAACGCTTTTGTAGTTACATTACTTGTTGATGACCACAGTCCAAGGGCCTTCCAATGGGAATATACATTAGAAAAATACTTAGTTTATTTACGTGAACATGCTCCTGATGGATTAAGAATTAGTTTTAGTACTGAGATTTCCTTAGAAAAAGAGTTGAATGGGAACAATGACGTTATTATTGTTATTATATCCTACCTTGTCATGTTCAGTTATACTTGCTTTGGTTTAAGAAGAAAAAATGCACCAAGTGGGAACCACCATAGAATTATGCTAGGTATTACAGGTATATGTATTGTTGTTTCTTCTATCATTTGTGCAGCAGGTATATTATCCGTCTTTGGGGTGAAATCAACATTAATTATCGCAGAGGTTATCCCATTTTTAATACTTGCAATTGGTGTTGATAATATTTTTCTAATTACAGAGGAGTATGATAGAATAACATTGTCACAATCTCTCTTAGAGACCAATGAGAGAATCTTAATGGCTGTCAATAATATTTCGCCCTCAATTTTCATGTCATTTGTTTGCCAAGCTGGCTGCTTCCTCTTGGCTGCATTTGTACCTATGCCTGCAGTTAGAAATTTTGCTTTATATTCTGCATTAGCAGATTTAAATTTAATTATCTTTTTGATTGTTTATATTGCAGTATTATCGATGTACGAAGGTAAGTACACTGTGTTGCAACCTATTGCATCAAGTGCTAATGATAGAGAAGATGATCAACCTGTAACAGTTCAACCAACAGCTTCTGTTTTTGTAACTCGCTACTTAGAGTTTATTGATGCTTACCGTAGACCATTATTGTTTGGATTTTTCACTCTATTCATATTATCTACAATTTGTTTACCAATGTTACAACTAGGTCTGGATCAAAAATTAGCAGTACCTCAAGAATCATATCTGATTGATTATTTCAATGATATATACACCTATTTCCAAGCTGGTCCTCCAGTCTATTTTGTTGTAAGAGGTCTTGACCTAACAAAACGTTCAGAACAAGTAAAGGTTTGTGGTCGATTTACTAAATGTAATGAGTTATCATTAGCCAACTTATTAGAACAAGAACGTAAGAGATCAACTATTGTTGAACCTGTTGCTAATTGGTTTGATGATTATATGATGTTTTTATCGCCTAAATTAGAAAGTTGTTGTCGTGTTAAAAAAAATGCACATGATGAAATGTGTCCACCATCATGGCCATCTCGTCGTTGTGATGTATGTCTTGCAGGACAAGAATATAAATATGATATGACAGGTTTCCCTGAGGGGGATTCATTTATTGAATATATGAAGATGTGGTTATCTACACCTAGTGATCAATGTGCACTTGCAGGAGAAGCCCCGTATTCTAGATCAGTTGTTTACAATGATACTACAGTAGTGTCATCTGTGTTTAGATCTGCCCATAAACCATTAAGATCACAACATGACTTTATTGAGGCATATAATGATGCTGTTAGAATTGTTAAAGAATTACAACAAGGAGAATCTGCACTTGATGTATTTGCATATTCGCCATTTTATATTTTTTTCGTTCAATATGCTACTATTGTTCCAATGACAATAAAACTATTGAGTGGTGCAATATTATTAATTTTAATAATGTCATCAATTTTATTAGAGTCAATTAAATTAGGTATTACATTGACCTCCATAGTAATAATGATTATGTCAAGTATTTTATTTGGGATGGTCATTATAGGTATTGATTTAAATGCAGTTACATTAGTAAATTTAGTAATATGTGTTGGTTTAGCTGTTGAATTTTGTATTCATATTGTACGTGCATATCACATTCAACAGGCAACGACGACGACGACGACGACGACGAGGGGTGATAAATGGACAGTGATGAATAAAGTAATGTTAACAGTTGGTGGATCTGTATTTAATGGGATTGCCATGACAAAATTTTTAGGAGTTTGTGTATTGGCATTTGCTCAATCAAAAATTTTTAGAATTTTCTATTTTGGTATGTGGATAATTTTAATTTTAGTTTCATCATTGCATTCATTTATTTTACTACCATTAATACTATCATTTTCATGGAATGATTTAGGATATCCATGGAATCTTAATACGAAGAAACCGATTGAAGAAACTGAACAATAAAATAGATACCGATCAATAATGTTTTTATATTGCTATATAATGAAAAAAAAAAAAAAAATGTGTCATTTTTTTAAGGATCTGTTTAACTCCGCGATAACAAAGTTCGGCTTTCAAGATAAAGTAGTTATGTATATAGATAGGAAAGTGAATAAGTTACGAACCGATCTTCGATATAACACACACACATCTATATATTACGTATTAGGGGAGGATCATATGACTGATAAATAAATAAGTTTGTATAAAAGGCAAGAAGAAAAAAATGTTTATAATAATATGTAAATAAATTATTTTTCTAGTTTCTGCTAAATGAGCAAGTTAATTGACAAAATCATATTAATTCGATATGAACAGATTTAGAATATTTCAAAAATATAATTCGTGGTTAAACAAATATCCATACCGTACTAATGCACTTACTACTGGAGCATTATTTGGTATTGGTGATATAATTGCACAAGAAATATTCCCAAAGGAAAAAGATTTAAAAAAATTTGATATGAATCGAACCATTCGTGCGACAACTTATGGTACGGTAATATTTTCAGTAATTGGTGATAAATGGTATAAGACATTAAATCGTATAAGCTTACCACAATTAAATAATACCAATTCGAAGAAAAAAATTATTACATTATTACTTCGAGTTAGTATTGATCAAATATTATTTGCACCATTTGGTTTAATATTATATTATGGATCGATGTCCGTAATGAATGGTGGAAATCTACAAAATGTGAGATCGAAACTTAATTCACAATTTTGGCCGACATTGTATGCAAATTGGTTAGTTTGGCCAATGGTACAATTAATGAATTTTTCAATTGTGCCCGTTCAATATAGATTACTATGTGTTAATAGTATTGCATTGTTATGGAACACATTTCTTTCAATGCGAAACGCCCAATAGCTGTGCCATGCCATGCGTGTAGCAGAAACAATTAATTGTCACACAGTTGGGAAAAGCGAACTGTAGTATATACAGACTGTCGCAATGTGTTGCTCGCTGTGACAGTTGCAGTGGAGATACAGTCAGCTCTTTCCCACTACGTACGCAGCACGCTTCAGAGGCGTCGCTCCCGCCCTCTCCCTGCCCCCCGTTCCATTCCATTCCATTCCCCATTCCACGGGAACACCTGCAGTTTTCACCCGCTCGCAATGAGAAAAACAAGGGGAGCCGTTCTCCGTTTCCCAAAATGTAGCTATCTGTGTGTGCATGTGCGCAGTGAATTTCCCGTACAACGCCGCAGAAATACAACCCGGGGAAGGGAAGAGACCCGCAGGAAGATGATTTATTGGCAATTTTTAATAGCGGAAGTGTGTTAAACTGGTGATATTGATAATGATGATGATGATGATGGTGATTCTGTTTGAAAGTTGTTGCAACTGTTTTTTCTCGTTGTCCCCTTTCAGGCTGTCCGTCTGCCTGCCGCTGGCGGTGCTGCTGCTGCCACCCCCCGGATTTGGATTAGTTGCTTTCTTCGATATCAAATTGATGTCTACAACCCCCCCCCCCCCCCCTTGACGTCTGGATTGGATTATATAAATATTTAGATAAAGTTTTGAAAATATTCTTTTTCAGTTATGTATATATATATTTATATTTATCAATTGACCTGTTTGAAAGGAATTTTTTTTTTTGTTGTAATTGGCACACTACCAAACATAGAGATTGAACAATAATCATAACAACAACAACAAGATAAAATGACCCGTGATTTACAAAACCATTTGTTGTTTGAAACTGCTACCGAGGTCTGTAATAGAGTTGGTGGTATTTATTCCGTCTTAAAATCTAAAGCACCTGTAACTGTTGCACAATATAAAGACAGATATCATCTTTTAGGTCCATTAAATAAAAATACTTATCAAAGTGAAATTGAAGAAATTGATTGGGAAGATAATTCACAATTTCCAAATGAATTATTACCAATTCAAAGTGCTTTGCATAGTATGAAAGAACGTGGTGTTTATTTTGTTTATGGTAGATGGTTAATTGAAGGTTCTCCACGTGTAATTTTATTTGATTTTGATTCTGTCAGACATTTTTTGAATGAATGGAAATCTGATTTATGGTCATTAGTTGGTATTCCATCACCAGAAAATGATTCAGAGACTAATGATGCTATTTTATTAGGTTATACCGTTGCATGGTTTCTTGGTGAGTTAGCTCATTTAGATACTCAACATGCTATTATTGCACATTTTCATGAATGGTTAGCTGGTGTCGCTTTACCATTATGTAGAAAGAGAAGAATTGATGTTGTCACAATTTTTACAACTCATGCAACTCTTCTAGGCCGTTATTTATGTGCTGCAGGTGATGTCGATTTCTATAATAATTTAGTTAATTTCGATGTTGATCAAGAAGCAGGTAAACGTGGTATTTATCATAGATATTGTATTGAACGTGCTGCTGCTCATACTGCAGATGTCTTTACAACAGTTTCACATATTACAGCAATTGAAGCTGAACATCTTTTAAAGAGAAAACCTGATGGTATTTTACCAAATGGTTTAAATGTGGTTAAATTTCAAGCAGTTCATGAATTCCAAAATTTACATGCTTTGAAAAAAGAAAAAATTAATGATTTTGTTAGAGGTCATTTCCATGGTTGTTTTGATTTTGATCTTGATAATACATTGTATTTCTTTATTGCAGGTCGTTATGAATACAAAAATAAAGGTGCAGATATGTTTATTGAATCCTTAGCACGTTTAAATTATAGATTAAAAATGGCAGGTTCTAAAAAGACTGTTGTTGCATTTATTATTATGCCAGCAAAGACAAATTCTTTTACTGTAGAGGCTCTAAAGGGTCAAGCTGTTGTTAAAGCTCTTGAAAATACGGTATCTGAAGTAACTAAAAATATTGGTAATAGAATATTTGATCATGCAATGAGATTCCCACATAATGGTACAACAACAGAATTACCAACAGATTTAAATGAATTATTAAAACCATCGGATCAAGTCTTATTGAAGAAAAGAGTATTGGGTTTAAGACGTCAACCAAATGAATTACCACCAATTGTTACACATAATATGGTTGATGATTCAACTGATCCAATTCTAAATAAGATTAGACATGTTCAATTATTTAATGCATCAAGTGATCGTGTTAAAGTAATCTTTCATCCTGAATTTTTAAATGCAAATAATCCAATTATGGGTTTAGATTATGATGAATTTGTTCGTGGTACTCATTTAGGTGTATTCCCATCTTATTATGAACCATGGGGTTATACTCCCGCTGAATGTACAGTAATGGGTGTACCATCCATTACAACAAACTTATCAGGTTTCGGTGCATACATGGAAGATTTAATTGAAGCAAATCAAGCAAAAGATTACGGTATTTATATCGTTGATCGTAGATTTAAAAATCCAGATGAATCCGTTGAACAATTGGTTGATTATATGGAAGAATTTACTAAAAAGACAAGAAGACAAAGAATTAATCAAAGAAATAGAACTGAACGTCTTTCTGATTTATTAGATTGGAGAAGAATGGGTCTTGAATACGTTAAAGCAAGACAATTAGCCTTAAGGAGAGGTTATCCTGATCTATTCAAAGAATTAGTCGGTGAAGAATTAAATGATGATAATATGGATGCCCTTTCTGGAGGTAAGAAAGTTAAAATTGCAAGACCTTTAAGTGTTCCGGGATCTCCAAGAGATTCAAGAGCTAATAGTGTTAGTGCTGTCTTTATGACTCCTGGTGATTTAGGTACTTTACAAGAAGCTAATACAGCCGATGATTATTTCAATTTAAGTGTAAATGGTAGAGATGATGACGACGATAATGATGATGACGATGACGATGAAGATGGACCTCATTCAAAATATGTAGGCGCCTAACTGTGTCTTTCTCACTAACAAATTGTGTGTCTCTCTCATCCTATCTGTAAATCTAATTAGCAAAATGCAACAATACGTGCACATATATATATACATATATATATATACATATGTAATATCTAACGAATACAAACAATAGTAGTAACATTACTAAAGGTGAAAGATTATGTGACATCTATCTGGATGTGTGACGATTGCCGAATACATCTCGGGTATAGGTTTTCTTATCGCCTTTAAATAAATGTGTCCGATTTAGCGTGGGATGAATTACTTTATTTTTCAAACTTACTGAAGCTTATAGCTTGGTTTCATGGGAGTGAACCGCATTTAGGATATGTACCGCGGGAGCGAGGGGATAAAATAAAGAAGATTTGAGGCGTTGCCCAGACGATTTAGTCAATGGAAGACTCTTCCATTTCAACTGAAAGGTTGGTAAGGGTGATATAAGATAAACCCAAAAGGAGAAGACAGTTTTAAAAGACAAGCATCTGAAATCATATATATATATACATATATGTGCATGATTGAAAGTTTGTAACTTACATACAATCGAGTATTCCTTTTTTGAATTTCCACATTTTTTTTACAGTTTTACATAATCTGTTATAATAAAGTAGTATTAAAAATTACTAAGGATGGCTGCTAAGACTGATGTTATTGATCCTAAATTACCTGAGGGTAGATTGGTAAGTAAATTTTTTAATAAAATTTCAGGACAACCTGATTCATTTATCAATAGAGGAAATTATGACTTCGGAAAGACTTTAGGGGCGGGAACGTTTGGATTAGTACGAGAAGCTATGAATATCTCAACAGGTGAAAAAGTTGCAGTGAAAATTCTTTTAAAGAAAGCATTAAAGGGTAATGATGTTCAATTGCAAATGTTATATGATGAATTATCATTATTACAACATTTACATCATCCAAATATTGTAGAATTTAAAGATTGGTTCGAATCTAGAGATAAATTTTATATTGTCACACAATTGGCTACTGGTGGTGAATTATTTGATAGAATCTTAAAACGTGGGAAATTTACAGAATTAGACGCAGTTAAGATCGTCATACAAATGTTAGCTGCTGTAGAATATATGCATGCACAAAACGTTGTCCATAGAGATTTAAAACCGGAAAATATTTTATATGTTGATAAATCTGAAAGTTCGCCAATAGTGATTGCAGATTTCGGTATTGCTAAAAGATTGAAAAGTAAAGATGAATCTATTAACAAAGCTGCAGGTTCTTTAGGGTATGTAGCTCCGGAGGTGTTAACAAGTAATGGTCATGGAAAACCATGTGATATTTGGTCCCTAGGGGTTATTACATATACTTTACTTTGTGGGTATTCTCCATTTATCGCCGAAAGCGTAGATGGCTTCTTAGAGGAATGTACCGAAGGGACACATCCCGTAAAATTCCATTCCCCTTATTGGGATAACATTACTGACGATGCAAAGAAATTTATTTTACGTGCATTGACTTTAGATCCATTGAGGAGACCTACAGCTACACAGTTATTAGGTGACCCATGGATTATGGATATGAATGTCAGTAGAGGAAGTACCAATATTTTACCAAACGTCAAGAAAGGATTCGATCTACGTGGGAAATTACTTAGAGTTATTGATAATGTTAAATTGGAAAATAAATTAAGAAGATTAAGAAATTTGTATATTGCTGAAAATGATTTGGATGAAGATTTACAGGAGAAAGAATTAAAAGAGGATCCTTTAACAACTGTAGCAGATTCATTGCACGATTTGAGACTAGATTCAAAGAAAGAACTTAATAAATTAACAGCCGAACAATGTAAATTGAAGAGTGCATTAGCTGAGGAATCATTCGCTTCTATTGTTAAGGCTGTAACTAGTGATCGAAAAAAATTAATAGATGGTATTACACGTCCCAGCCAAGCTTCTAAGTCTACTGCACAATCAGAACAATCTTCAAAAACTCAAAATACTATAAGTGAAGAACCTTAATTAATGAATCGTAACGTATTAATAAACTTTTATTTTCATATTTTTATATTTTTTGTTTCTGTTTTTATTGTTTTGTAACTTATTTTGATGTTTGCCGTTACTCTGGCTAACTCAAAAAAATTATTTAAAATTTAATCACTAATAATTGATATTAAGTTAACTTGAAATAAATTTATCGCTTTTACAGTTTTGTTTGTTCCAATGATTGTATACAAATTACGTATTAATAATGACGAATATAAAATTTAATGTCTTTCTCTTCTAGATTGCAATCTCTGTTCACGAGATATCTTTTGTGTTGGAGTATCCGATGCTTCAGTGCCAGCTTCATCGTTGTCAGCTGCAGGTATATGCCTCTGTCCTTCATCGTCATAGACAGACTCTGAACCGTTGACGAAATCTGCATCTGATTCACCTTGAATGTCATTTTCAAATTCCTCTTCTGATTGAAAACCGTAATCCACTCTAGCGCTGCGCCCTCTTGTAGATCGTCTAGGAGCACTATCATCTCTTAACATATCAATGGTATCATGACTTTTGTGTGTTGGTTTCAAATTTTCAAATTTTTTAACAACAGGATAAATTTTATCCAAATAATCATTCAAAATAGACAACGTTCTTTTTGTATCTTGGTACTTAATATCTTTTAATAAATCTGAAACTTCACCCGTCCCATTACCAGATAAGATGTCTTCAATTTTGGTCTTAAAAGATTTAAGTGAGTGAGAATCATTACAAATTTCAAACCAATAATTTTCCTCAGATGCACCATTATTTTTAAACCAATCGTTTGTCATCTTTGCTGTATTACGATATAATATTGAAAATGAAGGTTTGGTAGAGTTTTCAAATTCCTTATTAATAACATTATCATCAATTTCGTCATTTGCGTACATTTTGAACAATTTTAATAATGATAGTAAATCAACATAAAAATTAGTGTACTTATTAGGATTATTATATGTGTTCATTCTAGGAATGTAAAAATCACCTATTTCATTTACTCTGGCAATAAAGAATTCCTGTAAACGAAGTTTTGCGGAATCCTCCAGGTACGGATCGGATAATGAATTATCTGGTACTGTGTTATCCAATAGAATTACCCATTTATCGTACATTGATAAAATCTTTGCCCTTCTTTCATCTGTATTAGTCTTTAACACGTTAACAAGTGCAGCTCGTATCTCATCAAGTGTAGGTAGCTTATCTTTATATCTTTCATACTTACTAGTACGTTTAGCATTGATATAGATCACAATAGATTCACATAAATCAGTGAAATCTTCTACTGTTTGAGCGAAACCTTCTTTTAAGAAATTTGGTACCAGATGTGTATAATGTTGATCTTTTCGACAGTGTGACATACTGTTAACTTCATCGTGAATAAGTGAGGAATATCTTGTGTTCAGATCTACCAAATAACTTAATACCACGACTCTATCTTTGAATGTATCAATTGCATATATACCTTCAGAATCTACAATTGATCTAGTTTTCATGAATAATGGATGGTATTCATCTTGAAATGGTTGATGCAAAGGGATCATGTCGTTTGTATCGAATAAGATCTCATTGGAAGACGGGTCTACCAAAGTATTGTCAATTTGCTCCGGATGAATTTCATCTTTAGATAATTCGTATCTCCATTCCTTTGGAGAGCCCCATTCTTTAATATTGGAATGAAGTCTCCCAACCATTTTCCCATAAGGTTGCTTAATGTTTAAAAACTTCTCCAGGTTTGGAATATTGTAAGAACTTTTCTTGTCGCTTACACTAAATAATAATTTTAAAAAATTGAAAAACATGAAGTTCATTAAATTTTGAGTGTGCTCTAATTCTTCATCATCACGACTTCCGGTATTCTCATCGGAGGTTCCTAATGTAAGACCAATTGAGATATCTGAATATGATATATTTTTTATATTTTCATCAAAATATTGACTAAATTTATTAACAAACGACAGAACTTTTAAAATATCCTTTGCACGCGGTTCAGGTTTATCACAAAATTGTTGGTTCCATGATTCATTTATTTGGTCGTCAACAACTCTAAAATCATTATTCATTAATGGAAGATTCGGGGCCCAATACAAATTCTGTAATGTCTTTAAACTTGGAACTTTCTTATGATGTTCTGTTTTTAATATCTTATAACGATTAGATTCCAAATCAGAATATGTTCCACGTTTTTTAGGTATACTTTCTATAGCTGGAACTGTCGAGGTTGATTTCGGTTTTATATGTGGTTTGGAACGTGTGTTTGATTTTATCGAAACATTTGATGTGATAACCTTTGGTGTGTTATGAGATATTCTTATCTTGATTTTATTTCCATTTTCTTTCAGATCAGTAGGTTTAGGTTTAATAAACGCAATACCTTTGAAATCTGCAAATGTCATTTGACCCTTTGATTTCTGGGATCGTCTTGGTTTAGAAGAATTATTAGAGTCGCTATGTTCATTTGATGATACATCACCTTTATTCTTGGTTTCGTCGGAAATAACTACCGATTGGGCCTTCTCTAAAGAGTCCTTAGGGTCATTTATAGAATTTTGGTCAATTTCTTCAGATTCTAGATTTATGACTTCTTTCATATTATCAGGTGTAATTTTTGGTGAAGATCTTGGATTGATTTTTAATCCAAAAATTGTATATACCAAGACAATTGATCGAATATTTATTTGATGTGTTATTTAAGGAGTTTTAATGAGTGAGCATCAGAGGTTATCAGGAAGTGTTGGTGAACATTTCGATTAATAATTTTTTTTTGGTTGGTTTTTCGTGATTGGCCTATATACTGAGAGACAGTGTGTGTGACTTGCCCATAGACGAAAAAAAACTGCAGTCTGTCACATCGCGGAAAGTGCTAACTATTTTCGCTTATACTTCAAAATCGTCAAATTGAAAGTTACAGATGAACAAGTACAACTCTTGTTCAGGGAACTACACAAATTAAATAAAGAAAGTTACATAAAGTCTACTTTATTTTTTTGCTAGTTTAGTGAATCCAAAACAACATCTTCAGGAACTCAATATATTTGCAAAATGTTCAGAGATAGGACGAATTTATTTATATCTTATCGTCGTACTTTCCCCCGTTTTGGGGATTCATTGATGTCAACAGAACCATATCCCAAAAATAACAATAATAATGATACTTTTTTAGATGACGAGATAGAAATGGAAAGCTATCCAATGATGAATGAAGACATTGATGGTGGCCAAGAAAAGGACGGTAAATTGAAAACTGACAGACTTAATACATTACCTCCCTTATTTGTAGATATAGCGAGAGATATAGATGAATATCTTCATGAAATAGAAACTTTATTAGAACATCTTATGAAACTTTATCGAAAGAATTCATTACCAGGGTTTGAAGATAAGACTCCCGATGAACAAGAAATTGAGAAAATTAGTCTTAATATTTTGCAATTATTCCAAAGAAGTTATAATGTGATAAAAAAATTGGAAGTGATACATATGGAGCAATTCTTAGAAGGTAGACAGTTGAATAGGGGTGAATTAATAATTTTGGATAATATGACAAAGGATTATGCTCAAAAGATTCAATGGGAAAGTAATAAATTTAGGGTTCTACAAAATAATTATTTAAAGTTTCTTAATAAGGATGATTTAAAACCAATCATACCTAAAAATGCATTTGATTCATCACAATTATTACTCCAAGAGGAAGAAGAAAAGGGGAAAAATGGATTAAGTAATGAAATCGATGAATATTCAATGAAAACTCTTCAGAATCAACAACAGAAGGCTAAAAATTCAAATCAAAAATTCTTGGAACAAAGAGATCAAGAGATAACGGAATTGACAAAAGGTATATATGAAGTCGGTACCATTTTCCGAGAGATGCAGAATTTAATTATAGATCAAGGAACAATTATAGATAGAATTGATTATAATCTTGAAAATACTGTCGTTGAATTGAAACAAGCTAATAAAGAATTAGAAGGTGCAACACGTTATCAGAAACGTACTCAAAAATGTAAAATTATACTTTTACTTACATTATGTGTGATTGCATTATTTTTCTTTGTTATGTTGAAACCACATAATAGTACAAAGACTGTTAAATATGAACCAAATACAAATACAAATACCGGATCATTGGATGAACAAAACAATGAACCTGAGCATCAACCTGCCAGCAATAATGGTGCTGCTTTACTCGAAGACGAAATGAAAATACGTATTATATAAGTAATTAATAAATCTTAGGAAGTACATTGTAAGGTACTCTCAGACTTCGTGTTTTAAAGTAAAAAAGAAGAGACAGATTAACGATAAAATAATATAAAATGATAAATGGAATATGTATATAACTAAATTAAACTGTACCGAAAACTAAAGTATACAAAAACTCATTGTCTGTCCCAATTAACATATGTATATGTCTATAGGATAGCTGAGTTGAAATTAAAAATATAAAAAAATGCAATGTCAGTGTCTTTCAACAGAGGGTAAAAATAATGATAGTAGTAGAAGGGACAAATTACCCCCATTTGGTCCTTTAACGGAAGTTGTATGCTCCACCAGCTCCAAAGCCATTATTATTCAAATTTTGATAAACGTTAGCTCTATTATTAATACGTCTCTTATATGCTGGTGCAAAATGAGTATTACCAGTTTGTTGTTGAGGGAAACCTCTATTTTGGAAATTTCCTTGTTGATAAGGTCTTTGCATTCTTGGATTCATTCTATTTGAACCATTTGGTAAGAAATTAGGGTTATTTTGCATAATAATTTCTGATGCAGTTGGACCCTGTTGTTGCGGAATATAATTTTGTCTTTGTTGAGGTGGATAATTCATATTCATTGGCATTTGTTGAAATTGTCTTTGTCCATGATTGGAAGAAATATTCGAATCAGGATATGGAACAGTAGCAGTATTATTATTATTTATACCATTTCTTGAAATTGATGTTACTACGGAACCTTTTTCTTCTTGAGAATATTGTTCAGGAATAGTGTAATTACTGTTTGAATTATTCATAAAATCTTGCATAATTTTATTATTTCTTGGTTGAATTTCAGAATAATGATCCTTTTCAGAATATACAGACGATCCTAAAGATTCTGATGGGATATATTTATGCATTTTAGTTTCATCTGTATCACTTTCAATAACCGAAAAACGTTGTTGTGAATTTCTTCCCTCATCGTCATCATCATCATCAGCATTCATCTGGTTATTGTCATCTTGTTGTGTTAAATTATCTACGGTATTATCATAAACTTTAAATTTTTCTTTATTTAAAGAAGAATCCGAATCTTCAGAATCTGAACGTGTAGCAAATGTTAAACCATCATCTTTTTTCTCCATTGGATTAGCATGTTCAATATCAGGCAATACAGTATGATTCATTGGATCAATACCTGCATTGTTATTATCGTATAAATCCTCAACGTTCAATAATCTTTGGTTACCTGATAAACCTATTTCATCTTGATCAATATATTCGTTATTGTTGGAACCCTTTGATAAATAAGCGAAAAATAATAAAGGTAAGGATAATAAAGGTAAAACACTTGCAGGTATTAATAACCATGAACACCAAGTAATATGCGGATAAAACAATAAAAATGTTACTATACACATCAATGCGGCTGATAAAAATGCAATTAATTGAAAAATTATATTAATAACGAATGAAATTGCAGATATACCACTACCATTACCTGATGATGCCGAATAATTGAAAAATGACATTATACTTGAAGTTAATGCAGCGATAAAAGCAAAAAAATTCAAACCTGCTGCAATTGGCATAATAATTAAAATTGAACCTAAAGTTTTACGTGCATTAGAATTTAATTTCCATGAATCATTATCTTGAGTTAAAGAATATGGATCATAACTTGCTTTTGCTTTTGAACAACCATCAGAATCTGAACAATAGCCAAATACACCATATGTTATGCTTTCATATTTAGATAATCCGATTTGCTTAAATACTGGGGCTGTTACACAACAAATAATTAAAAATGCCATCGATATAAATTGGAATACACCAATTATGGTAAAATATATACCTGACTTTGCAGGCATTGTTGTTAAAAAGAGAGTCTGTTTGTTTGATTTCAGAGAGTTAATTTGATAGCTCTTACTTTGTTAATTTAATTAGCAAATATATATATATATATATATAGTAGTTGTGAATGATATCACAACCAAAAATAAAACAAAATAAAATAATTGATATATGTATATATATAAAAGGAACAAACAAAGAATCAGTCAAGAAAAAAACAACAAAAAATAACCTTTCTGTTATCTTACTTAAACACAATGTGTATCAAATTGATACCTTCTGTTGACAAGATAATGAAATATACAAGGCCACTTTTTTTCTCCCTCACTACGCACAGCAATTAAACAATGATTACCAGAAGAGAACAACCAGTATGTGCTATACTATAGCACTGCTCTCCGGTGAAACAGATCAAGTTACAACATACAAACAAAGCCATCAAAATGCACAAAATATATATTTAGAACAGACTAACGATACATTACTGCCAGACAGAAGAAGCTTGCCAGGTGCGAAAGCATCGATTCGCTCTCTTCCTCCTAAATCACTACAACTCAGCCTCTTCTTCTTATCTTTCTGCGCACAGTTTCCATGGCGAAAAATATATATTTGAGTGTGCGTGTGCCCAGCCATTTCTTTCTTGTTTTGCACACGTTTTTCTTACGCGTTCGGACAAGCCACCGCGGTTGTTTGTTTTTACCTTCCTCTCTGCGTGGAAGTGCTGGGAGACAAAATGCAAAAAAGACGCGAAAAGGGTGGCAGAACTGATTATACAAGCTTTGTTTTTGTCTTTGCTGGTTGTACCGCCCTTTCTTCGTGCAGTGTGATATGAATGACTTTGCTGTCCCGTTTTGTTTGCTATGCGCAAGATTCGAACGGGGACTTGTCGTTTGCTACGAAAGGTAAGGAAGATGCATCGCTTTGCTTTCAGCTCATCGCCTAATAGACAAATTTTGTGAGAGCAAAAAATAAGAAAATTTATCACTATCGTTATGCTGAGAAGAGTTAAAATGCATACTATAAAAATCAAAAAAGTATCAAGATATAAGTGAAGTGGCACAATAATAATTATAATAATACACATACCATTTCGACTTGCTTATACAAAAGAACATCAACACACTTATATATTAAATATGTCAGACATTGAAGAAGATTCATATGCTAAGAAGAAAAGTGAAGTTTATTTAGCTTATGTCGATGCACCAATTAAAGAAAGTGATGAATTGACAATTTCCGATACGTTCATTGGTAGTTCACCATTGTGGCTACATCCCGAATCTATCCCTGATGAAAATATGTTAAAATGTAATTCATGTAATTCAAATGAAAATATGCGTCTTTTAATTCAAGCTTTCGCTCCAATTGATAGTGAACAAATGGAATCTTTACAATTAAATTGTAAGAAAATTATTGGGAAACCAACTTTAAAATATATTTCAAATAATGATGATAGAGTGTTATATGTATTCATTTGTGATAAATGTCCAAGAAAATTAGGTGGTGTAAAATGTATTAGAGGTGTATTAAAACATGATGAAGGCAAAGTATCTACGGTAGATAAAATTGTATCGGATCAATCATCAATGGGCAAAAAATTTGACATTAATCCATTTGATATTAATAATAATAACGATACAAATCCATTTGGTAATGTTACGAATTCTTCTTCAATTAATGAAAATCCATTTTCAATTACTAGTAGTAATAATAATAATTCAATGAATAGTTCTATTGAAAAGACAAATGATTTACAAAAACAACCTTTATCAAAGAAAGCTCAAAGGAAATTACATGATGAAAAAATTGATAAAATTCATGATTTACAAAAAGAATATAAAGGGTTTTTATTGTATGTTGAACAAGAAACGTTTCAACATAAACCTGATCATTTAAAATTGCCAAAAAATTTAAAGATTGAGAAAGAAGCATTGGAATTATCAGATGATAATGTTATTGATACCGATGATTTAGAAAAAGATCCAATTAAGATGGATCCACGTACAGAAAAACTTTCACAATTCCTTGACGATGAAGTATTTCAAAAATTTCAAGAAGTTGTCGCTTATAATCCATTACAAGTATTACGTTATGATCTGGGTGGGAAACCATTATATTATGCAGCCACAAAACCTGTGTTAGACACTGTGATACCTCGTCCAGAATTTAATAAAGATAGTCAACGTGTCTTTGAAATGCAATTAATGCCAAAGATGATTATGGATTTAGAAGAAGGTGAAGTCTCAGTTAATGATGGAATGGAATGGGGTTCAATCTTAATATTCACAGATGTTGAAAATTGTATCCCAGAATTTGATGATAATGGTGTAGGTTATGTAGAAGAATGTGTTAGAGTTCAATGGGAGAAAAGATCATAATTAATACAAAAATGCATACGTTAAAACAATAACAACAACAACGCTTTTATAAGAAAATTACACTGTGTATTTTGTTTATTTGTCACGATTTACAGTTACTTTATATCTATATATAATTTACTACTATTTACAGATCGATGTAATATTATTATAAGTGTCTAGGAATTTCAACTTCTTCATATACTAAAATTTTATCACCAGCTTTGAATTGTTCAAAATTACCGTTGAATGTAATCCCACATTCACGACCTTTAGATGCACTAGATATATCATCTTTACCATGCTTTATTGATGATAATGTCCCATCATATACAATCTCTTTATTCTCACCACGTACTACTTGTACTTTAGAATTTCTATTTATTTGACCATTATTAACTTTACAACCAGCAATTTTAATAATTTTCTTCTTCATGTTAAATTCAAATATATCTTTAATGTCAACTGTTGCTACTATATTTTTTTCAAAAGTTTTTTTCATATTATTTTCTAAAATTTCCACTACAGTTTCTATTAATTTATAAATGACGTTAAATTTCTTCACTGAAACACCATGTTTATTATTTATCACATCATTTGGAAGATTTTCTAAATTAAAACATAAAATTTCACTATTAGATATTTCTGCCATCTTAAGATCTGTTTCTGTTGGAACTCCAACAGATGAAGAAATAACACCACATTGAACCTCTTCATTACCAAGATCTTGAATACTTTCTTCAATAGCCTCGGCAGAACCAGATACATCTGCTTTAATAATAAAATTCACCAACTTGGGTCCAATTGAAACATTAGTGGTAGTAGTTTCATCCTCATCTTCATCCAATTCATCTTTATTCTTTGCCTCCTTTTGTCTAATAGACTCTGCATATCTTTCGTCATTCAATTTATCAACCCTAGAGGCATTCTTTTCAACTTCTATTAAGGCTTCCCTTTTAGAAATATATTTTTTGGCAATGGCTTCACTTTTAACTTGAATGAATTCATCACCCACATGAGGTAATTCTTTCCATCCTGATACTTCTACAGCTTGGGATGGTAATGCTTTAGGGACTTTTTTTTCTGCATCTCCGAGGATACTTCTTACTTTACAATATGTATTACCACATAATAATATGGATTGATTATTTAAAGTACCTTTTCTTACAAGTATTGTAGCCACATTCCCAATAGTATTTTTCATTTCACTTTCTATGACAAATCCTTCTGACATTGTATTTCGTGAATTTTCTGTCTTAATATCCATCATATCACTCAATAAAATAATTGATTCTTCTAAAAGATCCATATTTTCACCATCCTTTGCACTAATTGGAATTACTTGTACATCACCACCAATCTTTTCAACCATAATTTCATTTAAAATTAGATCATTTGTCACTTTTTCAATTTTCTTTTCTCTTTCTTTCATATTACCAATTTTATCTATTTTAGTGATTGCCACTATTAATTGATTACCTGAATTTTTAATGTGTTTAATAGCTTCTTTTGTTTGTGGCATAATAGAGTCTTCAATAGAAACCACTAATACAATAATATCTGTAATATTAGCACCTCTCTCTCTCATCTTTAAAAATGCAGCATGTCCTGGTGTATCTAAAAAGGTAATTTTTTTCTTTGAAACAGGAGTTGTCACTTGAAATGCACCAATATGTTGCGTAATACCACCATGTTCTTGGGATACAACAGATGATTTACGAAGATAGTCAATGATAGTAGTCTTACCATGATCGACATGACCCATTATCGTCACTATAGGAGGTCTGCTTTCAAGTAATTTTGGATTCAATGGATCCTTCAACTCATTATAAACATTTGTGGACGTTATAGATGAGGTTGAAGATGGTATTTCATAGTTATATTCTTGAAGGATCAATTCAATATATTCTTTATTAATAATATAATCATTTGTAATGTTTTTAAACCCCAGGTTCTTCAAATCTTTCACCACTGTTTGCACTCTACAATTCAACAAATTTGATAATTTATCAACAGATATATAATCTGGTATCGTAAACGTAAGTTTCTTAGGTTTCTCATTTTTTTGATTTTTTGTAATACCTTTATTCCTTCGATATCCTTTAGAATATGATCGAAAATTGTTTTGTATTATTAATCGGTTATTTCTATGAAGGGTAGTTGATATAATCCTTGAATACGAACTATTCTGAGTCACTAGTAATGATATATATGATCTATTACTAATTGTCAGAAGTGACCTTTTCCACATACTCCACCTAAATTAATTATAATAAATGCCTGCTGAAAGTTAGCGTGTTTTAAATTCTTGCAAAACAAGGGAGAGTATATTAAAGTATATTAGGATTTTAAATGTTCCCAGTAAAAGAATAGAAAGTTATTCCTTCACCTAAATTTAAGTATTACCCATAGCCCTCAACTTCATATTCCTTTAACAATTCCCTTTATTGCTTTTAAGTTCCAATTTTTCAGACCTGAATTATCGGGAAGTAAAAATAAAATGAAAAATATGTTACATACAAAATGCTGAAGAACAAAATAACTATAGAATATATGACAGCAAGAAGACAAAGAGTCAAAAGGGTTTCATTAAGTATATAACAATATATCAATAATTAATATTTATAAACTTCTTAAGAATTTCTAATATATGATTAGAATTTTGAGCACTTTTTTATTCACAATTACATAAGATAGTTGTCATGAATATCATATGAAAGAAACCTAAAAGCAGACAAGAAAAAAAAAAACCGAATGAAAAGTAAATAGAAATATAGGATGAATGATATTCGTTTAATATACGACTTCTGTGATGAATAGTTCCAAAGTCTTCCCAATATTAAAATGAATTAATCATAGTGTGTACATGTATTATTACTCAAATCCCACTTTATCATACATTTCTTTTTTATAATCTTCATATTTAAATGCAGAACCTTCCCTTCTTCTAAATGGATTATCACCTGTTTGTTCTTTTGGAATATTAGATGATGAACTCACATCATTATATTTACCATTAAATTCTACAGGTTTCTTCTTTCCTTCTTTAGATTTCGTAATTTTATCACTATTATCTAACACATCGTCCACCAAATTATCTGAGTTAATTTCAGTTGACAGTCTTCTAATATGGATTGCGTCTTGCATATTCATCGATGGATTTCTAGACATTTTAGTAGGTTGTTCCAATATAGTAGTATCGGGACTAGTAGATGCTCTTCTATAATTATTGGTTGGGGCACCTACATAACTATTGTTTTGAAATGCACCTTGTACTGTCTCCTCATAATTATCCTTAGGCTGAGGTGGATTTTCAATATTTGTAAAACCTTCTTGAGAACCGTTCGAAGACATATTTTGTAATAGGCGATATGACGTTTACTTAATGGATCTCTTTTTTTAGATACGAAGTTTTCTTTCTTCAGCAGGTTGGAAAAGTTGTAATGTATATATATAACTAATCTCTCTTGCAATGAAATAAGATACAACAATTATTAAATATGAGTACAATAAAATAGTAGTTTTAAATTTAATATCAGAGTGTGAGTGGTCCCCCCTCTATCAGTATCCCTTTCCCTCTTCCATGTTACGTAAACTTATCAACTAATATTTACATTCAAAAAGTGGATTTACTCCCCTTACCGTCTCCTTCCTCCACCCCCAGAAACGTTCCGCATTTCATTCTCGCTCTCTGTTTGTGTCCACGGAGTTTTTCCCGGTGATATTTGGGGAGTATGGTGGGTTAAGTATGCAACAGAAATTTTTCCGGGCATTTTCTTTCCCACTCCGTGAATTTCGATCAGGGACTGCAATTTGCTAATGAAACTGACATATTTCAAGATGAATACAGATCCAATGAATGGTCGGAAGAAACCTGACTAATTAAAGAGTTTTCTGGGTATGGGATATATATAATAAGTGATTAATATATGGATTGTATACAAAAAAAATTCAAGAAAACCACTGGGTATTTATTTAAATAAGACTTTTAGTTTAGTCATCGCGCTTTGGAGGGGTAGATGGGTAAGTATCGATAATATTTGACAATGCAGATGTTTCCATCGAGGATATAGTAGATGATCCATATATTATATCTAATAATTTGTTCATGATTGCAACTTGATACCAACCTTGTGCTAACCCTTGAATAGTGTTGTAATAATTGCTTAAAATTTTTTCAACTATCTTTTCTGATAAATATTGTATCGTGCTATTCTTATCCTTTAAACCATGAATTACAACTTCTTCTAATATTTTACATTCAACATTATATGGTAATTTATCCATTTGTGATAATATTGAATAAATAGAGGTTCGAGTAGCAAGACCATCATCCACTTTTTGTTTCATATTCCCCACTTTTAATATTCGTATAAATTGTTTATTCTTCTTGATATGTGGTAGGACAATCAATGATAAAATCGATTGATCTCGTTTAGTAAGTTCAAAATTATCATCACGAATTAATTTCTCCACTATGTCGATACAGAATTGTAAACCTGTTAAATTATCTACAGAACTTGCAGATTGATAATCTAACGTAGAAAAAATATCATCCTTTGAATATTCTTGATAATAATTATCATCTGTAAGAATGGCTTTTAAATTAATTTCTTTGACATTTGGGAATTTAAATAGTGTGACTATAGCATTCTTATCTGCTTCTAATCCCATATCTCTAAAACATGCATAAAAGGAAATATCTTCCATTTCCATAAAATATCGTTCTGTTTGTAACGATATATCACAGTTTTGAAGAATGGTTAAAACCATAGATTTTATTAACCTTACTTGTTGGATTTCTTCTTCATTGTCATGTTCTTCAATGTTAACAAATTCGTCGCTGGTGGCTATTTCATTACTATATGTCGATCTACTATCATCTCCATCAGATACATCTTTACTTCTTTTTGTGTCATCATAATATTCATCTTCCATCAAAATACTTTCTTCTTCTTCGTCGTCATTTCCATATTCGTATGTATCAGTTGCTAATGATAACTCCTCTAAATATTTATCATCCTTTGAAACTTCATTTTGTATTACATTCTTCTTGAGATTATTTTGAGAACGCTCGCCATTTCTATATTTTATAGTAATTTTATCGCTATTGTATTGATCGTCACTTATATGATTACTTGACTTAGACAAAAGATCGTTATCGAGTTTTCTCTCACTAATATCAATATCTAGAATATTCACTAATCTTATACAACTTTTCATTAAACGTATCACACTATCTTGAGCCAAATATGGTAACCCAATATGTAAAATCCTCGTTGAATAATATGGTTCAAAATTATTAATAATAGTTAAAGTATTAATAAAATCTGATTTATCTATTATTTTGGTGATTTCCAGTTTTGGAAGTAACCTTGAATCGAAATACTCATCAACTAAAATATTAAACTTATACCAACATTTTGACATCTCTAACAATATACAATCATCTATATGTTCAGAAGCATAACTTAATTCAATAGGACTTGTAAGACGACAAAGGTTATTCAATAAAAGTTGGGCATTAGGGTTAATCAATTCCTCACGTGAATATTCTTTCAATAATGTGATCAATATATCCTTAGGTATGTAATGAGTATGTCCATCAAAATATAATGGTAACAGATAATTTAAAGCTTCGTAACATAAATATTTCTCAGTTTCAATTAGTTTAGTTTCTTTGATATTTGTTAAAAACCTAAAAACGAATGAAGCATCAGAGTTAACTACCATTGAAGAGATGTTGAACTTTCCGGTACGATTTCTTTCCTTTTGATCGATATCAATTAAATTTGAGATTTTATTAAATAAAACTTTAAAGCATTGAAGAAAAATTAAAGATCTGTTTTCAATTCTAATATTTGCCACAATTGGATTTAAAATTTTGTTTTCAATTAACTTAAACACATCCATGTTGACACTGTAGTTTGACCTTATACATTCAATAAATCGCGGAAGGAGTTCATAACATACTAAGTTGATAATATCCATATTTGTCTCCTGTAAAAGAATCGGCAACACAAGCTTATTCATTAATAGCGAGACATCATTATCGATATCGTTCAGTGTAAACTCATTTCTTAAACTCATATATTGTAAATCACTATCAGTCGACTCATAAAATTGATCAATTATCTTTAAAATAATCATTTTTCGTCTCAGATCTACTTAATTTTAACACTTTTCAAAGTAAACTTAAACGCTGGATGAAATTAAAAAACAGGGAGAAGTCCTAACAATCAGTACTGGCACGGTTAAAGCAAATTAAGTACCTGGTGAGAACAATATATTTTATATGCAAATTGATTAGATGTAGAGTATAACTTCTTCTCGTTATAAGAAAAAATAATTTTGATCACTTTCAAAAGGATCTTATTGTAAATTTTATAATAAAGGATGACTGCCTATTATAGCTTCTGTTTGAATCATTACTGCAACTTTTCTTTGTCAATAGTAGTTTTTCCTCATTCATAATTAGATCCGAGAGTGGAGCTAAAAACTACCCGTAGGAAAATATTCCAAAAATGGACAAAAAAAATCGTCACAGACAGGATTCGAACCTGCGCAGGTAAAACCCAATGCCTAATTGCTGTTTCGTAGAAATAGCAGGGCATCGCCTTAACCACTCGGCCACTGGGACAATTTCAAAAATTTTAATTAATACATTAAGTATTTGACGTTACTGAAAACCATAATTTAAGTGTGTTTAAACTTTGATTTGCACTTTACATGTTAAATATGAACTTTTCTTCCGGACTCATTACATAAATACAAGATGTATCAGTATTATAAATGATTTCGTCTATTATGACCATAATACAACGCTAGGTGGAGACACTGGTGGCAATATTATTGGCGCTGTTACACTGTTTGTAATATAAGAACATCGTGGAACTTCGATTATATGTTGCAGATAAGTATGACCTACTATAGTACCATTAAGAATATCAAGAAAATCAAATGTACTAAATGACGGAAATAATATGATATAAGTATATCTAGAATGTTTTACCAATAACATGGAAAGATCACGAGAAAATTACGTAATAGAATATTACATAACAAGATGTTACGTAATCACATTACTAATACAAAAATATATGCGTATTAATAATGAACCATTACGTAAGGAAGATTACCTAATAGATGAGGAGGTAATCAAAAGAAGTTAAAACTATATAAACACGAGTTATTCTGAACTTACAATCTGAGTTAGGATTCATTCGTTATGTATATTAAATAAAAAATAAAAAATCACTTACAAATTTAGAAGAAAAGTAACACATACGTTTGCTTTACAACCTACTGTCACCGTAATAATCTTCATTACCCATCACCACTTATTTAATATGCAAAACCAATCCGAATCTAACATCGATATGTCTGCTTCAGCTCA